GCACGAGATGTCTTTTCTGCGGGCGCGCGCTGTTAACATGAAAGAGCTGGTTAGACGGGCGCTTTACTTTGACCGGTACTTTAGAGGATACTCTATATTCGGCATGGCTTTTTTCGGGACGATTATTGCATGGATTTTATCAGTAGCTTTTAACGATTCGCCTTTGCCATTTTTTTCCAACTCCCAAAAAATATTGAATGAAGTGGACAAAGTTGTTGAAGCAAAAAACAAAATTGTCGCCAACAACTCTGCTACTCCGGACGAAATACACATAATAGACAGAACCTTAGAGCTGGTAGCAAATAACCTGTGCATTGAGTCTCTTTTCGAGAAAATGCAACGCGACTACATGGGCTTTATGTTCTGTGCCTTTATAATCACATCCACGCTTTCAAAAACAAAGTTTTACAAGCTGTGCAAGCAGAACATTAAAACAGGAACGATGAAAGTGGGAGACTTTATGCTTGCACAGACAATAGAAATTCTGCTTAGAGCCTCTCTACTTGTTTTTATTGCCCAGACATCCATATATGTGCTATTTTACCACGCCCTGGGCAAAACTGTCGTCAAATACTGCACAATTGGGTACTTTTGGCCCATCTCTCTGATATTCTTTCAGTCGCTTCTGGTTGGAGTGCATGTGTTGTTTTTGAACCTTGCTCCAATTCCAGAAAAGCTCTGCTCTTTGGTGAGCGTTAGCTGGTTCTGTGTTTTATTGATCCTGCCAGCTATATTTTTTAAATTGACAACTCTAGATGGGAAACAATCACAATTGGACTATGGTTGTGTAATGAGAAGTTGTCTTATAGCACCATGGGAAGATCCAGACTACGCCAGTATGATTAGCAATCTTCCAAATAGGCCATTAACGCCTAGGATTCTAACTTACATATTAATGTATGCGCACAGGCTTATAAAATTCTTTATGAAAATAAGTCCTTCAAATTACGTTTTTCAGCTTTTGCCGAGAATCATGCACTACCAGGGAAAGCTGTGGCCCAGGCCTGAAGAAAATCTTGCAAGCGTGTGGGGACCTTATTTAGATATGAACAAGCATAGTGGGCCGAATGACCAGACAGAACTATTGGCCTGGAAAGCTATCGCTGGCCTGTGCGATACAGATTTGGCTCCACACGAGGCTTACGACTCAACGGTCTCCCTTAAAGAAATTTCAATTTTCCGCCTTGCTTGGGGCTTTCCGAAGTTCTGGACGCTCCCTCTGCTCCTTTTGGCTGGATCGGCGTACTACACATACAGAGCGCTGCAGCCCAAGCTAAGAAGATAGCGCAGCCCTGCGCTTCCAATAAATAAAGGATAAAGGAGCTTACAATGCAGTATTATATTTTGTCTCTCCGGAAAAAAGCCAAAGGGCGGAGGCCCATACAAGCTTTCTGTGCTCTACAGCATAGCAGCTGCATTTGCAAAAAGCGGGCGCATTTGAAGCCATGCAAAAATGGCGACAAATAACGCGCAGCGCGTCAAAGAAAAGGGCGTTTATTTTTCGGCTTTTGAGGAGCCAGTCTTAAAATTGAAAGCAGGCCCTCCGGCTTTCGCCACCCCGCGTGCTCTGCTTCCCTATGCGGAAGCCTACAGCTCGTCACTGTCATCTTCGGTTTCCTCATATTCAGAGTATAAATCCAAGTCGCGCTGGGTCGCCTCTACCAGAGCGCCATACACCTTCTTGTACTTTTCTTCGCCCCCGTCGGCACACAAAGCCAGCTTCATGCTCTGCATTGTCTGCAACACGTCTTCATTGCTTAGACAGCGCATGGCTTTCATGCATTTTCTGTGTTTATATAGCGCACCCTGCTCAGGCAAAAGCACAAACAGGTCCTTGAGCAGCTGTGGAGAAGTATCCTGCTCCCTGCACTCTAAAATGAACCATCCGATTCGCAAACTCGCGTCGAGAACGCGCCTTCTCTCGCTGCTTTTTGACGAAATAATGCTTGAAAGCCTTTGGGCAAGCGCAGTGTTCCCGTGCTTAAAAAGACAGTTAAAGGCCATTTTCCGTATAGCCGCCAAATAATATCTGCCAAAACCGGAATAATCCGAAAAAAAGTTGGTGACAGAGTGCCCGCATGTTTCAAAAAGGTCTAGCGCCACACAAGGGAAGTCTTTCATCATCAGAGAGTGTGCGAGATCCTTCACTTCGTATCTTTCGCTAAGAATCTTTCTCTCATCATATGACAACAGCTCTATCTTAGGAGACAGCATGTCTCTATATGCGCCTACCATTACAAACAGCGGAAGAAGCTCATTTCGCGTGCTGAAGTCGCTGAGGGGAACGCTGGCCAGTATGTTGTTGATTAGCCTTTTCATCGAGGCGTACCGATCGCCCAGCTCTTCCCGGTTCTCCCTTGCATGCTGCAAAAGCTGAACCAGCAGGTTTTTTTTGCACTCGAATCTCTCCAGCTTGGTCTTCGCCAGAGCCTCGTCCATGCTCCACGGAGCTTTACACGCTTCCGCGTTTTGCAAGACATCTGTGTAATCTGCTTCATAGCTTTCTTCCTCACGTGTATCCTCTGCAACAAAGCTTTTAACATAGTGCATGAGCAGGCTGCATGCAAAGCCTTCCTTAGTCGAGCTGCCTCTGGCCATGGCGTGTATCGACCTTATCACATCAGGCAACAGACCCTGCCTGTCTGACTTCATGTATATCGCAGTGTGCCCTTTCAACAGATGCAGCCCGAGCAGGCTGAACTTTTGGTTTTCAGTGTATTTCACTTCAAGGTCTCCATACGTGTCAAGCCTTCTGTCGGGCCGTGCAATGTTTGAAGATTCTAAAAGCGCCACCTTTAGGGTTTGGTCTCGGGAAAGACGCATAAACATGTCTTGGGCAAGCGCCACTGTTTTTTCCTCAAACTCTGTGCTCAGTGAGCCTTCCTTCTTTATGCTTTTGAAGAGCTCGAGAATTCGGGGCTCGTCCCTCTTGAGCGTCCCCGTTATTTCGGCCACGACAAAAAGTATGTTGAACAGCCCAGTCCGCAGCTCGTTTCGGGTTTTGTTTTCGCACTGGTTGTACACAATGTGAGGGCACTTCAAGTCAGAAACCACCCTGCTCCAGTCCTTCTGCATTTCAAAGGTAACCTTCTCGGCCGGCTCCTTGTGCTTTCCAAAGAACTCCACCAGTTCTCGGGACGCGCCCTCTATTGCCTCTGGGCAGTACTCTCCCTTGGCCGGGTCGTATATAAAGCAGCAAATCAGGCTGTATACGCCAGCCTCCACGCAGTTACTGAAGTACTTCTCGCGGCTTTCAATCAGCTTGCCCTTTGCTCTGTTGTATGCTGGGATCTCTGTGAACTCCGCCAGCTGGCTGTGCTTTTTAAACGGGAAGCACAGCGGCCCTTCAAGCGTCTGCAGCGCCTTTATTCCGTCCAGCAGGACGTCCACGCCGCCCTTTTTGGCGAAACATCTTTCAAACACCTTCTGCGCCGCGCGCGCCTCCTCCGAGCCATCCGCGCGCTGTTCAGCCGAGTCTATTATGTCAGCCAGTATCTCGAACACGCAGCTGGCAAACAGCTGCGCATCGCCTGGCGTGTCTACGTACTCGAACACATATGTCTGCACCAGGAACTGCGTGCTTTTGAGAAAGTCTCCGCTTTCTATGCTCTCAGTGACATTTGACAAGTCTCCTGTTTTTTTGTATTTTTGGAAAAAGCCCACCACCTGGGCGACCTCTGCCTCTTCGTCAAGGCACTGCGGCGCGAGCGGCTTGCTTTTTGTGTGGGCGCATACGCGCTGCCTGAAAAAGTAGCTTTTCTCGCAGGCCTTTCTCAGAGAAAGCTCCCGGGTCTCCTGGTCAAACGCAATGGGCACGCCCACGCCTTCGCTCAGCAGAAAGAGCGAGGCCAGGGCATACATCGCGCCCTCTTTGCCAAGGTCTCCCTGGAGCGTCTGGAAAAGCGAGTTCTCTCGCTCGGTTTTGATCGAAAGCTCCCCCTCTTCAGACGGGAACATCCGGATGAGCGTGCTGTGGTAGTCGTGGGTGTATGCGTCCAGCGGACCCTCTGCGCCAGCACACGGAAGCGCGAAGTCCATGCTTGGCATTCGGGTAAAGATATACTCTGAATCAATGCTTTCAGGCCCTCCCCTGGGGCGCAGGCTGTAATCTGTCTCTATTTCAGACGAAAAAAACCGTTTGTTGTGCATAAAGCCTCTTTCAGTGTACACATATCCGCACGCCATGTTAAGAGGGCCCTCCGTGTTTATTCCTACGGCTGTGCCGTTTCTGCACAGCTCAAAGCTCGGCATAGACTCCAGCTGCGCAATAGAAAGCCTTGCACACACTTGGTGAATCGTGATTGCTGCTAGAAAACAATGTAGTTGCATAAAATTTTGAAAAGCTTGTGTGTATATATAGAGGCAGATATAACTATCTCTATATAGAGACAAATATAGCTATTTCTATACAGAGAACAAATATAACTATCTCTGTATTGGAAACACATATAACTATTTCTATATAGAGGCATAGACTCTACAAATTAAAACCCCCGCGGCGCTATTCTAAAAAGAAAACTAAATATTTCCGCCCCTAGCCTTGCTTAGGGCCCAGGCCGCAGGCCCGCGCACACGGGAATCAGACACCCCACCGCATTGCAACAGATAGCTGGCGTGCTTGGGCCTGCCACTATGGGCTCCGATGCATCCGCGGAAAACATTGCAAAAGCGCATTTTTATTTTTGGCAATTGTTTCTCTGCGGGGCAGACAGGTGAAAGGAGCGGATGAAGAGCGAAGGGAATGTGCAACTTGGAGCTGTCTTTCCATTTTTCTTCTTATTCTTTATTTTTGCAAGTTTTGCAAAGAGCCCCAAAAAGCGCCATTGCATGCTGGAAACAGCTGTGTGCGTAGAAAAATATTCAATAAATCGAACTAATTCAAATTGTTTCTCTGAGTGTGGCGGCCTGTTAAATGCGCATTTTAGGACGCTGCGCTTTCTCTACAGTAATTCCGCTTGTAAAACAAAAACTGTAAAAGTTGATTGTGCACGCGAAGCTGGTAGTCAAACACGTTCCGGCTGCGAATAACAAAAAGAAGAAAGTCGCAGCTAATGGGGATTGTTTCTAGCTCTTGAAATATGCTCAATGTAGGCTTCTTGGTTTCAAACAGAGTGCTGTTTTTCGATTGAAAGAACAGAAATAGCATCGACTTATGTGTCTTCTCAGTTTGGTAGAAGGAAAAAAGATGGTCAGTTGCGAAGGGCTCTTTTTTTTTCAGGGAACTCCAAGTACTTTCTGTGTTTCTTAGAATGTAGTGGCTGTATACCTCCTTGTTCTCATGCGTCTTTGTGTACCAGAATATTTTGGCTTTTTCCGCGGAGACATAAACCATTCTATATCCTAGCTTCCAGCACAGCGGGACGGTGTTTGGGCTGTCTATCCACATTTTGCTGTATGTTTTTCTAAAATGCTTGTATTCTCCCTTGCCCTTCATATAGCGTGCGTTTTCTGGAGCGCTTGTATAAATGTAAACCGACGGACGCACTCCGCCATCTGCAAAGTCGGCCAAAGACACAGTTGTGTGGCAAAGTGAATCTTTTTCGGTGTATGGCGTTAAAACAAGCGCTGTTCTGACCAGGGGCGAAAGGAAAAACGGGATGTATATCTTTTCCTTTGAGAGCCTTTTCTGGTTGAAGTCTGCAAACACCGAAAACGTGAAGTGGTTGTCAATGAGGCCCTCCGGAATGTGGTAGAATACCACAACAACGTTTTCTATGCTGTGGCTTTTTGTGGTTTTCAGCAGGTCCTCCCCTGCAGCCAGCGTCCACGCGCCCGACGCACGGCTATACAGAAAAGGATACACCCTGTCCTCCTTTAGCTCAAACACAGCAGACACGTGTTTGACAATGTTCTGCACTGTATGCAGCCATACAGCACGATCGTCCACAGTGTACAAAGGCATGCACACTTTCCTATACGTCTGTGCATGGTTGTCTATAAAATGCACATGGTAGTGCGCGGCAGGGGGCTCCATATCTGGATAGCCATACACTGTGACGAGCATCTCACTTTGTGCCGAATAATTGTTTTCACCCAGCTTTGTTAAGCCCAGGCAGCACCGCACATACTTTTCGTGCACAAACGCACACTTGCCTAGGAACCTATGGCTGGCGCGCGCTTCAATGGCGTCTCTTCGCATGTATGTCCATGGGCAGTGCTTGTAGAATAGCACAAGCGCATCATATCCCTGCATATATATGCTCTCCGCAGTGAAGCCAGGGGCTTTCCTTTTCTCTACCAGAAGCCGTTCAATACAGTCTCCCCACTGATTATAGCCATTTTCCTTGATTTTTTCATCCATGTTCACTTTTGCATGCAGATATCTTAATATGTTCACGGCGTCGCTTTTTTTATATGCAGAGCTATGGCTTGGCGTGTCTGCGCATATCCGGGATATGGTTTCTGTAAATGAATCTTTGTCGACATATTTGAAGTCGTCCAGCACCTCTGGGAAGCGCAGCATAACATCAAAGCCTTCTAAGCACATGATGTAATCCTTCATTCGGGTTGAATTGAAAGGGGAACTGAAGTTGGCGCTCCTGTGTGTCTTTATAAAATGGTCTCCTAGCGTTCTTTTCTCGCCAAGGCCAAATGAAGGCGCAGCACCGAATGCCTTCAAAAACTCTCTGGGGCCATTTTCGCACATGTATCTACAAAGGTCGTCAAAAAACCCGGTATAGTACCCTGTGAGTATCTTTTTTGGTATTCTGTTAAACTCGTAGCACACGCTCAAAATCTTTAGACTGGCCAGTATCTGCTTTTTGTCCAAAAGATATAAATAGAGAAAGCTCCACACGCTGCTGTACTCATCGATCTTGCTTAACACCCCCTTGATGTCCTCTATGCACTTTTTTACCATCTCTTCTGTGGGGGCATCTATTTGAACCTCGCAAGACTGCATTTTACAGAGCTCGGCCTGCTTTGAAATAGTGCCGTCTGAACAAAAAAATCTTCTATACTCGTCCATGCGGTCCTTGCCTCTGCGGCTCGTGTAGATGCCTAGAACTGCACTTTTGGTCGGCGGGCGCGTCAATGCATCATTTGGCGCGTCTCCACATGTAGACAAGGCGCTTTTATGCGCTGCGCTGATGGCCACGCTAGAAGGCCCCGCCTGGTCCCATGTGTCCACGTACTCCGGGGTCGTCGGCAGCCCTGCACCGCCCGCCCCTTCTTTGCGTTCTCTTGGATCCAAAGCGCTTTCCGCGGCACACGTTAAGGCGCTTGGCTCAAGGCCTTTTGCCTGGGTTTTAGGCCTTTTCTCTAGATGTGCGCTTGCATTTGTCTCTGCAGGCCGCTTGCGCTGATTATCCCAGAAAGAATCCAAAACAAGTTCTAGAGCCAGACCAGGCTCTGCGAATTCGGGAAAAGCTTCTTTCTCTATGCTGTCAAAAACTGCAGCTACTTCCTCATGTGACAGCGCATTATTTATCAGAAAAGATGCATCCGTTTCTGCATTGCCCGAATGCGCCCCAAAGGCCTCTAAAGTGTGGGCGTGCATGGCAAGGCTGCCATCAAAGTCTTGAGCGCTCGCCGCCTCTGCATTTACTTCGCTGGGCCCCGTTTGGCAAGCTCCGCGCACATTTTTTGCGCACAGCAAGCCCAGAGCAACTGCCAGGCCTGCCCCCTTTGCAGCATATCTTAAAAGCCAAGACCGCTCTGAAAATGTGCAGTGTGCTAATGCGTGGAGACACTTCGCTGCCCCGGGAGCGGATAAGGCTGTTTTTATTTGTTTTTCCAGATTGTGGCATTTCAACATTTTTTCTTATAAACTTTATATTCGGAATAAAAGTAAAATAGTATTGCTAAATATCAATCCAAGACATATTTTTATTTAAATTTTACTCCTACAAGCGTCTTCCATAAATCTAAATAGTTCAAAAAGCGCCTTCCTGGCGGCATGCTTGCTTCTAGCAATTTGCAAATGTTTTGTAATGCTGCATGCCAAAGACATAGTTAAGCATGGTTGTTTATTGGTTTGGCGCTGATTGGAGGGCGATTGGCAGCAGCCAGTTCGGGCGGATTAACCACATGCATATGTACGCAAGCCAAAAATTGAAGAAAAAACAATGCCTTGCATGGCTGCTTTTCGTGTTACAACTCTCCCCTTTCAGAACTGAATTTCTTTTCCTTCCTTAACATGTCTCTTCCTTGTTACATTTAAAACGCCTCGCACTTCTCTCACCTCCCTAGCCCGGCCTTTGCTAACTCTAGCGCTCTTTCCCGGTGCTATTCGAAGAATTCTTAGGCCCCAAGCGAAACAAAGCCCGTGCACACAGCAGTATTTTTAAATTGGCTGTCCACTTCTCACACGCGCAAATGCATGCCCCGTTCTGAGCTCGCATTTTTTTTCTGTGTCAGAGAGCATGCTTGGCCTGCTTTGCTTTTTTTCTGTGCTTTTATTTTTCTACACGGCCTTCATGCGCACAGAGCCCGAAAAGTTGGCTGTGAGATGTCTATGGTTGCGCCTTTGCAAAGTTGCGCATTTTTGTATAAAACGGCCACGGAACATGCGCATCCATCTCCCTATAAAATCGAGCCATGCTTATCCATTTACATGCAGCCCCGTGCTGCGGACTTCTTCTTCTGATAGGCCAGCTCGCCATGGATAGGAGCCCATCTGCAACGTATATATATAAATCTTTTTTTTACCCCTGATCATGAACGCAAAATTTTATGCACTTATGCTTGCTGCGCTGCTGCACTGCGCGCTTGCGCGAGTGTCGTTTGGCGAGATCATAGAGATGCAAAGCACTGAAATAGGAGAAAGTACCGAATTTATAAATCCGAGGGGGCCGCTCTGCCTGCTGCGCGGGTTCCTCTACTCCGAGCAGGGCTACATGCACAACAAGCGCTTCTTTTCGCCTGAAATAGAAACTGACTACAAAGTGAAGCCTGTTGGGGATATTGAAACCACAGAAGAGCACAAATACACAAGAAACGCACAGAATGACAAGCCCTATCCGCCTGCAGAGGGGCCCGCTCTTAGCGCCGGTATTGCTGCCACAGACTACGCTGTGGAGTACCACCGCACCCTCATCGAGATGTTTCCGTCTGTCGACGGGCACACTCTGTCGGTCGCTGTCGCCCGAGATGACTCCTTCTTCCAGTTTCTGAAAAGAATGCCCAGCAACCACGCGCACTACATGCTGGCTGCGCTGGTCCTGCTGAGCGAGGGCGTGGACGTGCCCATCGAGGCAACAGAGAAGGAAGTAAAACTAGAAATAGGCAGCATAAAAGTTGAGGAAAATATATGCGAAAAGGCTGCACAGGTTATAAACTTCTTCAAAGAGAACATGCAAAAAGAAAAACTGCCGGACACGCCAGAGGCCTTCAGCACTGGGGACTTTCTAAACACGCCGCAGTTCCTCATCCAGGCGTACGTCTTTGAGTACATCACGAGCAAGGACGACGCCCTGGACTTCGCAGCGTGCGTGCACGCCATCCTCACAAGCCTGCCGAAAAAAGACTATAAAGACGTATACAGCGCGTGTTTTGTGGAGAGCAAGGCCGAGGAAGACGAACTTCTGCACCAGCTTAGGATGATTCAGAAAGCCATGAAGAATCTGGACTCGTTCCCGTTCACCAGCCCAAGCATGCTGCCGGCGTACACAAGCGTGCATGCCTGCAAGAGAGGCCAAACAGAGCTTTTGGAGGAAACCTTCAGCAACTACGTGGAGGCCGGCCTGCTTGCGCTCTTCTGCTGCCTTGCACACGACCCAGCACAGAAAAAGTACAACGCAGACGCCATGCTCGGCGAGGCAAAGGAGAATGAGGAAACAGAGGCTCTGCGTACATTCTTTCAGTTGGAAAGTGTCAGCCCAAAGACGTGCACCACCAAAGAGACGATGCAGGAGTGGAACCGCGTCGTGTCAGGCCTGCAGAGCGAGCACATCGCGTACGCAAGAGAAAACAGAAACCAGGTGCGCTCCGGAATCTTCAACATGCTCTACGTTGTGGCAGAGGTGACGGGCAGGCGGAAGGAGGAGGAGCCAAGAATACGCAAGCTTGAGCTGATGCTAGAAGGCTGCAAAATTGACGAGGCCTATGAAGATGTGTTTAAAAAAATACAGATGTATGTGAAAGAGATTTTTGCGTCTCTCTCCGTGGATAAGAGCTTGAGAGTTAAGTTTTCTGATTTTAAAGTGTGCGAGCAGGGCAATGGGCAGAAGGACATGTGCGGAAACATCACCCTAAAGTACACAGACGAAAACGAGGTGCTTCAGCAAGGCATATGCCTTGCCTTTTCGCCTGGGGACCTAGTGGTTATCCTTTGCCCGCTCGCCGTTGTTTCCTTTGAATTGGAAGACATTGAGGCCTTCTTTTCAGTGGATGGCTACCCAAAGCCCAGCACCTTTGCCGAGTGCTTATTTTCCAGATACAAAGACATGTGGAGGTCCAAGGCAACGGCGCCCTACACATCTAAAGTTATTCGAAAGATTTGGGATGCCACAAAGCGCCTGGCTGTGAGTAAAATCCCGAAACAGCCAAACCAGCTTTTTGTACTGGGCATGGCCTTGGGATATAGGTATGCACGTGAAATCGTTGAGCAGTTCACCTGTTGTGCAGGGATTGCCAAACTTATTCCGGATTCTTCTCACACGGGCGCGCGCCTCATCTTGAATCTGATCGGCAGTTTTCCGCTGGACGACTACAAAACACAGGAATCTCTACTGAAACCCCTGGTCTTTTTGGCAGATACAGTTTTTCTACGGTCAAAAATCATACTGACAGCTAAAAGATTTTCTGAATTCTATAGAGACACACGCATGATCGCCAGATTAGGAAGATACGCTGATAGAAACCGCCAGGAGGCGGTGGGTGCCATGATGCAGTATTTTAAATTATATAAGATAGGCGCACGCCAGCCTTTGTTCCTGTGTAGTGCACTAGGCAGCTTTTGGGGCGTTTCTGACGTATTTGGCCCTTTGCTTTCAAACTTGACAGCGCAACATATAGAAAAGCTTGACGAGCTTTTTCTAGACGTGGAGCCGGATGACATGGAGAGGGCGCTGGATGCCAAGGCGCTCTTCGACCTCTTTCTGTTTTTACACTGCTTGGAAGATTCGAGCAGTCTGGATGGGCTAGTCCGTATCCTGTTTCGAAAAATTTCCCAAAGATCGTTCAAAGTGTATGAGGAAAACAAATGCATAATTTATGGAAGCAAGAAGATGATCCACGCAATGCTCGCGGCTATGGAGAAACACCAGAGCATTTTGTTCTGGGAGATCAATGACAATGAAAACTTTGAAAAACTTCTGTGCTTGCTTCATTCTTCCATGACATCTGACAAGGATTAACTGCCTGGTTTTTGTGCTCTGGGAAAAGGCATGCAGTGCGCCCCCCAAAAGCCGGGCCAAAGTAAGGCACACGCGTGTTTCACGCTCAAGTAAAAATAAAGCACACACTTCCTATTTACTGCCATCGCGCAAGAGCAACACCGCCATGCACATGTTTTCTTTAGACTTAATCCCGAATAATCCGAATTGCCGCTATGCAGTAAACTCTAAGCAACGCAAATGTATTTTCTGCGCAAATTGAAACTACTGGACTCCTATTACAGTGTTTGTAAAAAAGGGCCCGCGGACACTAAAGCAGACCGTGTGGGTTTGGGCTTTATTGGCAGGCCGCACGGGCTTCAAATGAAGGGGCAGCGCCAATCTTGCCTCCCTAGGACACCCTATAAATAATGCGATAAACTTTCCTGCCGCACCAAAGATATTTCAATGCACGCAGTATGTCTGATTCCGCACAAAGAGCTGCATAGCCTGTAGCCCCCTGCATGCCTCTTCTGTAAACCTACTTTATATTGTTTAGGCTTTGCAAAATGTTGCATCCGGCATGCTGTTGCTTCTCCAGATGTGTTATTCCGAAAATCGGCTTTTTCCGCTTTCTGCAAATATGTGTATGGCGTATGCCAACTCCTGAGAAATATCCTGCATGCCGCTGGAAATGGAAGCCCAAGCCTCTCGAAGCTCTTGGTCCAAGACCTGCGCTTGCTCGCGGTTGTCCTGCAAAATAAGCTCGGAAAGCTCGCAAGCTGCGGCCATGTCCCCTTTTTTGAACAGACACTCAAACACTGCATGCAAGATGTAAGGCTTGATGGATTTTGCACTTCCGCTGGCGATCCAAAAGTCGCAGGCTTTTCTGGAGCATGTATAAAAGGCCTCCAGCATAACTGACGGGCATTTGAGAAGCGCAATGATGTATATTCGAGTGTCATTTAAGCTGAGGTCCTTAAATGCCTCTGCTTGTTGCAGATCCGAAATGGCTATGCTTGGAGGCAAATCCTCCTGCGCCCCTAACAGTATAGGAATGCATAGGAGAGTGCAATATGCAACTCTGTGCCCAAGGGAAACGCTTCCTATTACGTTATGAACCATCCTTAAAATAGAGATGTGCGGGTTTTTGAGGCAGCTCCTGCTTTCTCTATAGTTTGCCAGAAAAACTGCAGCTATAACGTCCTTTTTCTTCCAACATTCTATTTTTTCCATGACAAATAACGCATTCATGCTTTTAGAGCCGCTCACTATATTTTTTGCTAGGCAAATTGTGTTTTCTAAGTACTTCCGGCTGCTTCTCTGGAATCCGTCAATATGCGTTGTTGCATAGTGTCTAAGCAGGCTGCCTGAAAACGATTCGCGCATTAAATCGCCCTCCATTATTTGAGAAACCCGGGCGGCCGCTTTATTCAAGCAGTCCAGCCTGTTTGAGTCTATTTTCACCCCGGCGGGCCCAGGCCTGCCGGCGCTGCCGTCTTCATGAAGCATGCTAAGCTCAAATCTGGTCCAAGCCTCCCCGCTATTAAATAAAATCACAAGGGTGCCATAAACGTCAAGCCCCCCGTCTATCCCGGGCTTGCTAATAGGGTGCTGAAGCACTACAGACGCTCCAGGGCTTCCTGAAAAGTCAGAAATCATGTTTTCAATATGGCCAATAATTTCTTTGATGGCTTTTATGCCCGGGTTTACATTTTGCTTTAGCCTTTTCTGGATTGCGAGGAGCTTCCCCTGCTCACAGGCAAGCCGCCCTGTTATCTCATAAATCGCCAGAAGCATGTTCAGAAAGCCTGCATGCAGCGTGCGCTCTTTCTGGATTGCGCTCTCCCGGTACACAATGCTTTCGCAGGCCAGGCTTGAAAAAACAGCACCCCAACTTTTCTGCATCTCAATGCCGACTGTTTTTTCAGGCTCGCTGTACAGATGAAAAAACATCTGCATTTCTTCTGAGGCGTTAGGAATTCTGTCCAGACAGAAGCTTTTCGTTTGTTTGTCGTATATGATGCTGCATAGCAAGAAGTATATGCACATTTCCACACTGTTACTGCAGCTCAATCTTTCCACGCCCAGCCCCTGAGCCGTAGCGCCATGCTCCTGCACCGGCACATCGGTGTTCATCTGGCTTTCCTGTATAAACGGAAACCCGGCTGCTTCTTTAAACTCGCAAATTGCCTTTACTCCGCTAAGCAGAGGGTCTGGGTGTTTGCCAGCCACCGCAAAGCATCTATTCAACGCGTCGACTGCGTTTCTCTGCGCGACTTCCGTGCTGTAGTTCCTGCCCAGAAACAGTATTGTGTCCTCTAGTATTTTGCACAGGCACATACAAAAACAGCGCATGTCCTCTTCTGTAGAGATGTACTCAAACAGATATGTCTGAATCAGAAATTGCATGCTGTTCAAAAAGCCTCCCTCCGCAAACACATCTTCTGCATAGGGCGGGCTTTCTGCTTTTCTGTAGTTTTTAAAGAACTGGATAATGCAAGCTGCTTTGGTTTGCTCGACAAACTCTGCGCCATTGGGCTGCGGGGCTTTCGCGCGGGTCTGCATTTTCGCTTTAAAAAAACGTGTGTCTTCGTTGTTTTTCCAGAGAGTTATCTTCTTTGTGTCCTTCTCATACTCGAGGTCTACCTCCACTCCCTCGCTCAGCAGCAGAAGCGACGCAAGAATGTACATGTCCTGCCCGCGGACAGACCTCTCTTGAAGGAAGTTGAAAAACGAGTCCTCTTGCTTGGTTTCAATCGAGAGTTCGCCGTCTTCTGACGGAAACATGTAGATAAGCGCAGTGTGGTATTCAAATGTGTACGGCTTTACTATGTACATGTTCTGCGTGAACCTAAAGACACTGTCCTTCTCCGGGTGTCTTTCGTACGTGTGCACAACATTCCCCGAAGCGCTGTCCTCAAGATGCCCTGCACTGTACACTGTTCTGATTTCAGGTGAAAAGAATCTCTTGTTGTGCATAAACCCTCTTTCGCGATATATATACCCGCGCGCCATGTTAAGAGGGCCGGTTGTGTTTATCGTTCTGGACTCCGCGCCGTCTTCGAACACCATGCTGTTTATACGCTCAATCTGCGAAAAAGAAAGCCTTGCACATATCTGCTGTGCCATTAGGATGCCAATGAATATTCGCATGATTATAAAAAAAATCCGCTGATGAGCATAAGTATGCCTAGCACCTTGCTTTTCTAGAAAACAAAGTCATCTTGCAGGCGGGGCGCGCGCAGATGCGAAGCAGTGCACTCTTCAGCTTTCTGCAGCCGTCCTTTAGCCTACTTGCTGCGCTGACGAGGAGTCTGGACAAGAAAGTCGCAGCCTTTGGTCTGGCAACTCTGTTCTAGGTTCTTGCACTTTTTTTCAGCTCTTGCAAAAACGCAAAGAGCAGGCAAGCCGGAGATGGGCCGCACAAACCAACCAGTCTTTACAAATCCACAGCCGCGCCCGAATAAAATGGCGTGCAGCTTTATGTGCTTAAATAGTACTTCCTTCGGCAAGCCAAGCCCTTAGCGCACAATAAAAAGCGAACACAAGTCCTAGATGCAGAGGCCTTTCCGCAAGCCCCTTCGCTGCAAGAATTGAGGCTTTGGCAGGCCAACATTCGCCCCATGCGCCAGCGCCTTCAAATAGCATCTCTAGGCAGCTGGCGCGCTGGAAAGCAGGAAAACAGCAAAAACTTCAAGAGGAAATTTTATTTTCAAAGGCTTTCTTCATATTTGCACTTTGTTCAGAAAAATCACTCAAGGCACAAACCACGCCTGCGCCGAGCCTTGTATAGCATGCGTGTAAAGAAGCAGCCACGTGCCAAGCGCTATGGATGCTCTGTTTGGAGCCGCCTGCGCTCCCACAATCTTCTTTGAACTATCTGGAAAACACTGCTTTCAGCACCTTTAGCACGTTCACAAGCTTTTTGTTGTCACTGTTGCCAATAATGACCTTTTTGTTTTCTCTTATGTAGCTTGTAATGTTCTGGATGGGGTGGGTGCTGAGCCTGCTAAACGCTATAGGCTCTTTTTTGTATAATGCGTCTGGATCTGCAATTGCATACAACTGCGCAATTAGGTCAGGATGGTCTCTCTTGTGGACTATGGCCAAGCCCAGCCACACAAAGTCTAGCGTTTTCTTCAAAAAAACAGCGCTTTCTTCTTCGCCCTCCGCCAAGATGATTTCCGAGAGCGCCTCGACGCCTCTTGTCGTGTTGTCCAAAAACAGACATTTAAACATGCCCGACACCTGGTATTTCTTGTTCTGTAGGATGCCTGAGGCAATAGACTCCCCGGTCTCCCGCTTGTACGCTTTTAGATAGCCGAGAAGTATGTCTGTGGCCTTTTCGTACCCGCTGTTTGCATACTTGTATATATTGAAAAGCAGGCTCGGGCTCTTAAACAGCTCTTTGTATCTGCTTTCTGTAATGCCTACGCTAGGGCATATCTTTCTCAGAACCCCTGTGAGAATCGGGGCAGAAAAAAGAAACCTCTGCGCCCTCAACTCCTCAAGTCGCGTGTTTCCTATGATGTTGGAAATAAACCGCGAAATTGGGTGATGCTCGGTCAGCTCCACGCCCTCTCCTTTGCCGTACATGCAAAGCCGGTCAATCAATTCAAGCCTGCATGCCGAGCTGTGCAAGCACCCCTCCAAAAGCAAGGTTTTTATCTTTCCCTGGTCGCCCTTCACCACCTCCATGGAAAGGCTCTGTGCTTTCTGCATCAAATCGGTGTCTTTCTTTTTGCAGTTTATTTGTGCAACAGTCAGATCGATATAATGTGCAAACAACTGCCCAACAAACGTGTTTTGCCTCCTGTAAACGTTTTGTGCGATTTGCAGAAGCCTTGCCTTTTCGCTGGGGTAGGCCACATTTATGGGGGGGAGGCTGATGTGCAGATTTGTTCGGGTAAACTCCAGAACAAGCCTCTGCGAAACCGTGCCCTGGCCGATCCAGTAACTTAAAATCAGCTTTCCAAACAGTTCAGGCGTCCCATCTTCTCGGGTGTTTTTTCCAAAGTTCTCAACATCCAGCTTAATGTTCTTGTTGACTGACAGACGGTGGACAAGATTGCACAAACACTTGTATGCTTCATTGTATACGGAATGGGGGTCTTTGCCCTTTATCTTGGTTGAGATCCAGTCCAAATAGGGCTTTTGCGTTGGCAGTGTCCCAGTTATATGGGCAATCACATGAAAAAAGTTCAATATTCCAGGCTCAAGCTGGTTTCTGCAGGGCATCCGGTATTTAATGCTTTCGTTTGGAAGATCAGAGACCACCTTGACCCACTCATGCAAAGCATTGCAAATTCCGGCCCGCTCGGGCACACTGTTTTCTCTAAAAAACTCCTTCAAGTCCGCTGTTGCGCGTTTGGACATACTTTCTGCGATGTACCTGCCCTGTTCTGGGTCATATGCAAGGCAGCAACACAGCGCATAAAGCCCGATTTCCATAGAGGCTGCAAACGTCTTTTTAGAAAACAAGCGCAAGCTTCTGTTGTATACAATCAACCGCCGGGGCATGGGCAGCTTATTTCGGTCTGCAAAGGGAAACCAATTCAGACTAGAAAGCCCGCCCTCTATTTGCACAACTGGCTGCATGTATTCTAGAGCTTCATGCATTCTGCTCTCCGAAATAAAAAGGCAGTCGTATAGGGCATGTGCTTCGGGAGAGCCTTTAAGGCCAAAGCTTGGGTTGATTAGCATCGTGTTTATGGTCTCGACCAGATCTCTAACCTCATGCAAGTTTTTCAAATAGCAGGACATGTACATCTGTATGAGAAACTGGGGGCTGTTTAGAAAGTCGCCTTCCAAAAACTTTTCGCGCGTTGTGGGCAGTCTCATGCCCTCTTTGTACTGCTTGAAAAAGTTTATAATGTACTCTGCTTCTTTCAGCGAGAACTTTAAGCCAGCGTCGGCGCTGTCTTCGTCTGCCTCAAACACCACAAAGTCGTTGACCGGATGCTTTCTCTGGATCACAATTTTTGTCGGCGTTGCTTTAATCTTTATGTCCATGCCCTCGCTCAGAAGAAAAAGCGAAGCAAGAAGATGTATGGCCTGCTTGCCTTCGCATTCTTTTCGAAGAAGCCAGGTGAAGGAGCTACCTTTTCTTCCAAAGATAGAAAACACCTCGCCCGCTGACGGAAACATTTTTATGACGCACTCGCAGAACTCCTTGCGGTATCTAGCGTCTTTTTGCGCTTTTTTGCTTGGCTGCTGCTCCTCAATCTGGTTTGCCTGGTCCTGCAGCGCCGTTCTTGTCTGCTTGTATACTTCGTGGTTTTTTTCGGAAACCCCGATATACTGCAACGTGTACGCGCTAGAAATGTCCGGCATGTACATTCTTCTTCCAGCCATAAGATTCAGACGGTTGCATATGTACCATGCCGTCATGCTTAGCGAGGACCAAGGGCACACGATTCTTTGGTTTTCTTTGTCATCAAGCACCTTCAAGACATGCCCAGCCAACGAAATCTCATGGGAGAGATACTGGCATGCTATTTCAGATATTAGCAAATTTATTATGAAAACTATTTTCATTTCTTCAAACACAAAAAATCCTCTTATACGTGCATTTCTGCTCAAATCAGCGTGATGCCATCTAACAGCAGCAAAATCTGGCTGCAAATTATCAGCAGTCAGTTCTTTATACCGCGGCGGACTAGCTGTTTCCTGTATTGCGCGAAGCAAAGCTTAGGCCGTGCAGGGACGCGCCCGCCGTGGTTTAGGAAAAACAGCTTGGGATTTGCATGGCTGTCCTGGACATGCCCCTATGCGCTTGCTGTGCAAGCTCTTTTGTAAGTGCGCACGCCCAGCCCCGAATAACCCGAACGCTTTCCCAGCTCGCGCCGAGAAAAAGAAGCGGTTAAAAGCCGGCCAGAGTGCTGCTTAAGGCACATAAGACAAGTGCAACACCCTACGCGATGCAATTTGCTTTGTTTATTTTTAACGCCATGCCTGCATAGCCAGCTAGCTCGAGCGCCCTGCCAAGCGCTTTGCGTGCTGGCAAAGCCAAGCAGCCTGCTTTCATATGCTTCGAGAAGGCTATCACTGGATTGCTTCCCACACTAAAAAGCAAAGCGTGGGGCTCAGCCAGCACCTATATGCACTGCTAATGCATGGAAATGCTTTCCACATGGAGCCTAGAAGTGCTGCGCGCTATTACAAGAAAGCCTCTGGGAAATTCCTAAAACTAGCTATGTTTGCGAATTTTAAAATTTAGTCCGGCATAACCAAAGAGAATACGTCTTGAATTTGTAAATTGAGTCTTTGAATATGTAATGTAAATAGACAGGCTTTCTTTGGCGCGCCCCTTGCTTGTCCTTTCTCTGTGCATACTTTTGCGGTTTCCAGACACTGGCCACCCCGTGCTTGGCGCTTGTGTGCTTTCATGGAAATCCATACAGGCATTGCTTCTGGTATTTCGCATGTGTGGCGCCAAAGGCAGCAGGATATGCCTTCAAGAACTCTTTCCTGGCAGCCCTGGGCTTATGCGCTCTGCTATATGCACACCCGCCCATAGTGCGAGCTGTCTTTTGCTCTATGACCGCCTGGGCCTGTCCTGGTATAGAGGCTCTTCAAGCACTGTGCGTGCGCCTCTATAAATCCATTCCGTTTTTGTAAAACTCCCTACTAAGCAGACAGACTTGGGGATTATTCTCCGTCTGGCTTGCTCTTGTCTCTTGGGTTTAGGCACGCTTGCAGCCTCTATTGGGCAGTTCGCGCCCCTTGGGCATGCCTGTCACTGGATGCTCATAGGCGTCCATGCAATGACGCGGAAAAAGACGCCCGCCCGATTCAGCGGGCTGTTTTCCTGCCTGCTTGGGTGCTGCAGGTCGTCTATTTTCCCAGAATGCTCCAAAGGTGAAGCACATCTGCCAGAGGCTCCATTAAAAAACTGTGCGGGGCGGTCTGAGACATGCTTTCCTGGGCTTGCCGGGCCAGCTGGCGGAAGGCTGCAGCTCAGGCAGATGCTCTCGCCCTCCATCGAAGCAGCACGCCTTTCTTGGCTATTGCAAAAAAGATTTCTCTGTCCAGATTCCTTGGCTCCCAGAGCACATCCAACCCAAATTGCTAAAAAGGGAAGTGTGTTTTTCAGCATTATTGCAATTGAAAGATTTCTGGAATATATAAAAGTTCTTGATAGGGGAATCGGAATCACACGGGGCTCGCATGCAAAACATCGTGCAAAGACAAGTTATGGGCGCTGAAAGGGCGTTTGTTTGGCTGCAGTGAATTCGGGCAGGCATTTGCTCGGTGGTTTCCCAAGCCACTGCAACCGCGCGCCTGTCCTCCAGGCTGCGCACTCCTGTCGGTATTCTTGAAATAAAAGCTTCCAAAACTGGAAAACGCGCTGCATGCCCGAATGGCGCCACAGCGCGCGGTAGAAGTAACCTGCTGGCGATTTATTGCTCTCTTTGCATGCAAAAAGCTCTGGGCTTGGCTTGCTCCCATGCGCTCTGGCTATAGCAAAAGATGCGCCCCTCTTGCTGCGCCAGAGCTTCTTTGCGCTTGCTCTTTTGCTGCCAAGCCGACCACACAAAAGCGATCATTTTTGTGCTCAGGGGCAGCTATACAGAAACAGCGCATAAACCAAAGAGCCCGGCCCACAAGAAGCGGGGTTTCACAAGCCAGCCCGCGCTGCAGAGGCATTGCCCCAAGCGAGCGATCACACCGAGGGCGAAAAAACGCCATTTTTAATGAAGAAAATGGTGTGCTTGCACTGTTTCCGTATCTCCTGGTCTATCTGCGCGCTTGTCTGGCATATGGCATGGCACATCTCGCATATGTCCATTGGCGCAATATTCGCGCAGTGATCGCAGCTCTTTTCAGCGGAGGCGCAAGCAACATCACATTCTTGGCGAGCAGCCGCCTTTAGGAAAAACCGGCTGTACACATTGGAGATGTCGGAAAACGCTTTTTCTATTTGAATAATCATGCTGGCAGCCTTGTCGGGGTGATCGCCGCGAAAAAGCTGCAGCCCCATCAAAGTAGACATGCTCTGGAGAACAGGCCCGCTCTGCTGGTCTTTCCACAAGACGGCCTCCAGGTTTGCCATCTCATTAAAGCCCTCTATTGTAAGGTTCATGTAGAGAATAGCTGTGTGCAGGCGCTGGCCCATCGTGCACACTGCCTCCTGCATGCACACAGCCGTTTCCAAAAACTCCTTGAGGGCGTCTGCCTGCTGCATGTCTTTTTCGCAAAGCATCCGGTGCTGTGCGCCCAGCCCGTCGATAATGCTCTGGAAGTGGCTGGCTTCGTGCAGATTGAAAACGCTCAAGCTGATACACGGGGCCTTTCTTCTGCACAAAATCCGGCTCAAAATCGTGGACTCAGCCCTCGACGCAAACTCTCCTTTTTTCTGCGCCTCTATTCGCATATATATAATTGCTTCTGCACACTCAGACAGGCTGTTCGCAGCAGGAAGCTGCAGCTCGTCCAAAATGCTGCACTTCCTGGCACATTGCAGCATCTCCCTGCAGGCCTGCCAAGAAACTCCGCCGCCCTCATACTCTTTGCACCACTTCTCCATTGTTTCCCGAAGCTCTCTTCTGGGCAAATACCCGCTCTCCCCCGCCGCGGCAGCGCCCCCAAGCACCAAAGGCAGAGCTGCAATTGCAAAAATGCGCCCTGCCGCCTTCGCACGTGCGCAGCCTCTCAAGTTTCTGCAGATCCCCGCACAAAGCCACATTTTTGATAGAGCAGCATTTTTATTCCAAAAAGACATGCGGGCAAAAAGTGCAGCACTCTGTGTTCCCACGCGGTCTCCCATCGCAGTACTATCAAAGCTGTCACGCGCTTAACTTCAGAGATCGAACGGGTTCTGGTGTGAACGCGAGCATATGGCCGCACGTCTTTTGTCTGTGCTCCGGGCCCGTGTGTGCTGGCGCTGCACAAAGCAGAAGCAGCAGGCTTTTAGAAACGCGCACGAGCAAAATTTTAGCGCAAAGACCCGGGATGGAAGACTATGGGTATACGCAGCAAGTCAAAACGGTCTTTAAGGAGCGGGCAAATATGGGGCCGAACGAGATAGAAGTCATTGATGGCGCAGACGCGCTCCTTTTGGCAGGCACCATGTCGCAGTTTTCTGTAAAGTGTGCTGCTTTCTATCTTGCGGACCACTACAAAGTTTTGGAGGGCCTTTTTGCCCCGCAGATGTACGACTACGACCACTACTTGGCGCAGAAGTATGCAATAGACAATGCGCTGATGTGCGTTCTTTTCAGCCTGCACGAGAGCCACGAAATCCGGACCTGCCTGAAAGAGAAAAAAAGCGCCCAGGTGCTTCGGGAGCTGTTTTACAGAAAAATCGAGAAGAAGATGACGCGGTGGACAAACGTGTACATTGCAATCCGAAACAAGGAAGACCACAGCTACCCCACGCAAACCGCGATTTTGTACCAGATGTGCATTCTCAAGCTGAGCCGGATGCTGGTGCGGGAGAAGAAGTACTGGTTCAACCTGCTGGAGCAAATGCAGCACGTGTTTGCAGAGAGAGACCTGCTCTCTCGGCTGAACGACTTTTCTTCTCTGGAGGTCCGGCAGGGCGTGAAGAACTTTTCCCGGCCCACCGAGTTTCTTATTGACCTGCGCAAGACGTGCGTCGACGTGGCGCACTCGCCGAAGGGCGTGCGCCTTACGTTTCATCAGCTGCGCGCTGCAATGCAAGTCAAACTAATAGTGCGAAAATGGAGCAGCATTATAATGATCAACGACATCATCTGGCTGTACCAAGACATGTTTGACGGGCGGCTGTGGCACAAGTTCAAGGAAACAACGCAGCAAAACCGCGACGAGCTGAAGCGCGCAATCAAAGCGTACGAGGAAAACATCATTGCGAAGGACAGCCAGACTTTCAAGGAAAACCGGGGGCAGTACTACGCAATTTTCAAGCGGCGGTTTATGGCTGCGTTCGAGAAGGTGTACGAGAAAAACCCGCTCTTCACTGAGTATTTGGAAATCCTGTCCGGGTTTGTGGAGGCCGATAAAAACGCGCCAAGCCCTTTCTCCAAGGTAACCCGCATGCTGAAAAAACGGGGAACGCGAATCGAGTTTTCAAACCTGGCTGCCGCGTGCGACCTGCCCCCTGCGCCAAAGCGCTATAAGCATCTGCTCCGCGGCGAGTGTGCCTGCCCCTGCACTGTCTCCGTGTTTTTCAGCTGGCTTTTCAGCCTATTCCAAGACCCAAGCGCCCGTGTGCGCGAATGCCCCCCGTGGCTGCAGGCTTTTCTTCTGCGGGCAGGAATGGCGCCTGGTTTCTGGGACGTCGCTGCAGAAAAGCCCCAGGCGTATGAGCTTCTTCTGAGAGCTGGCATGTTTGCACTTTTTTATGCGCTGACGCTCTGGATGCATGCAAGCCGCTGCACGGGAATACGGGTTTCCCCGCTCCAGTTCTGAGCATGCGCACATATCGGCAAAGCCTTGCCAGGGTGCGCACATTCTTTCGGGATTCTGGCGCTGCGAGTGCGCCCCTGCACATTGGGCGCATGTTGTTTATTAAAGAGTGGCATGGCTTGGCATGTTTGAGAAGAGTGGGCGAGGAAAGCGCGCGCCCGTGTAAAGAAAAAATAAAGGCAAACACTAGAGATATATTGATGCACCTTTCCCAAGGGCACAATGCCGCGTTGGGGTGCTAGGGCCTGTGCGGCCCTTTTGGGCTTGAGCTTCTTGGAGCTGCGGGGGCTGTCTTAGCGTGCCCAGCCTGCAAGCTGTCCGTTTGGCAGAGGGCTCCTAGCCTTCTACCGGCTCGCTCAATGTGTTTTTCACGTCCTTTAAGAAGAAAATAATTAGGAATATCAGCACCGAGGCGACAGTGGCTGGCCATGTGCTGGAAAACACCTTTTTTGTCTTGTACACAGACCGCCGGACCACAATGTCGATAATATTCGAGATTTTGAACAGCCCGCCCATCACATACAGAACAACAATGGTGTTCTGCTGCTCTGTAAGGTTTGGAACAAAGTGGCACAGCAAGTATCCGGAGATTACAGAGACCAGAACCACGGCAATAAGGAAAATTGTCTTTCCCAGCGCAGGCGCAGGCCTTCCTAACAGGCCGTAAAACCTTTCGATTTGCTTGTGGATGACGTACAGGCATGTGAAAAAGGTTGTGCTGCACAGGAACCTCCACCCCAAAAAGAGCAGAATGCTCACTGCATTCCAGCGTGCATGCCCTTCTAGGCTGCCAGGCGTGTTTGGGAGAATGTCCAGGGCGAGAAACGCGCTGGCAAACATGAAAAACAGCGAGGTCATCCCCAAAATCGTGGACGTGATGAAGTTGAACACTATCTGCGACCTTGAAATGTAGCTTGCGCTCTCCACCTCCAAAGCGCTCACTGACGCCAAAACAGTCTCTGTGTCTTTTATCGGCTCGAAGCCTTCCGACTGGGAAAACAGCGCGCGCGCGCCAGGGTCGCCCTCGGCATAGATTCTGCTCCGCGAGGTGCACTCTGAGAGCGGCATGTGCACATACTGCAGGCCGTTCACATACTCCTTGTAGTCTGCAATCTTCCAGGTGATCTCCTTGGTGTTTTTTTCTTTGTACGCGTTCAGGATGTCCATGTAGTACTCAGGGCCCAGGTTGTAGCAGAATGTGTTGTGCCCGTGCCATCTTTCTGAAATCCCCTTCAGGAACCTCACGTCACTGCACATGCTTGGGTCCCACCCCTCGTTTTCAAGGTTTTTCTCTACTCTTTTCATGGCTGTGTCTATAAGCACGCTTAGAGGGAACTCGCTTTCTTTTATTTTGTCGGCAATCAGCTCTGTGCCGTCCTCCAGAATGTGCCGGTACGAAACCTTCTTACAGCGCAGCTCAAGGAACGGAATAATGTTGCGTATTTGCTGTATTTTGTACGCATAGACCTTCGTGGTGTCCAGCGCTGTTTCCAAAAGCTTCCGGTGCTCCTTAGGCCCTGCGCCCAGAGCCTGCTCGCTGGGAGCGTCCAGCATCTGGCAGAACTTGTACGTGTCCATCCAAAAAACCAGCTCTTCCTGAACAATGTCGCAGAACTCGTCTATCAGCTTGTTGTCGACTCTTTCCCCCGTGCTGTCCCGCTCTTTTCCAGACACGTGCATGTTTACCAAAAATCCCAGCATTTGGTACTTCTTGCTTCTGCAGTCTATGGGGAAAGCGTTTCTGGTGGCCCACATGTACGCCTCTCTGTCCTGCTGTGAGCCGCTAAACTCGGACGGCGTGGCCCTGGCCATCATCTTGAAAAAATACACAAGGCTCTGCTGTATGGCGGAAATTGTTGACGCAGGGGTCCCGCCTCCGCTGCTCATTATTCTAAGTATTTTCTCCTCTGTGCTCTTTGCGCCTTTCCGAGTGGACTTTCTAAACATGTTGTTTGCTATCATGTTGTTTATCTCTTGCTTTAGCTCGTTCATATGCGTCCTCCCTGCAATTTGCACTTATATATCCGTGTGCTTTCCCGATGTGGAGAGTTGGACTTTCAATGTATACATTTGGCAAATAAATAAATCCATAGCACAAAAAGAGAAAGTGCAGATTTTATTTTTATGCAGCCAGTCCGAGTGCAATACTGCTTGCTTTAGAAAGACAGGACAGAGCGCAAAAGAGAGAACTGCCCTGGCACGCCATATGCGCTGCAGGATGCCAAGGGCGGTGAGCCTTTGTGAACAAATGGGATGTAATGCAGGAAGAATCTGTGCGAAAGCTTAGCTTTATTCAATTTGGGCCTATGTAAACACGTGTGTATTCTGTCATTTCTCTATGACTGCTGCCAATCATAGTTCATTAAATGCCCAAACAACAGCAAAAACAAGCAGCCATGCATTCAGCACGAAACAAAATGGATGCACGCCCAGCAATTCAGCCTATGTGTGCTCTGCATTGCACCGCCCGAAAAAGCCTGGCAGGTGTTTGCTCTGCGGCCGAGTAATATCTTGGCACTGTCGAATGAATGCGCAGTTGACGTCTGGCAGCAAAGCAGTGCATGCGTCCAGAAATTTAATCTGTCCATTTATATCTCTAAAAACACACACTGATAGATGATTGCCAAATGCATAAATAGATACTAAAAAAAGACGCCATGAAAGGAAAAGCAATTATAAGCATACTCTGTCTGCTGACAGGAGGCATACTGCACGCGCGCGGAAGCGTAGCCACGCACATAAATGGGTTGAGAGACTCGATTGGCCAAGGCATTGGCGTTATAGGGCAAGCCGTCAGCAATTTCACGCATTTTGGTGCGAGAGCTCCTTTGTCAGAAGAAATGTTTGTAAACAACCAGTTTGACGAATATAAAGACCGATACATGCCTCGGGCTCCCATGGAAGACCGAAGATACTTTCTATTTGAGTCGCACGACTATCTAGAGAGAAGGCTGAGCAGCTTAAAATATTCGCTGATATATTCAATTACGCCGCCGGATGGCGAGATTGCATTTTTAAGCGACTCGTCTCCGTACAGAGGACACATGTACACCAATAGAGGAGTCAAAAAGATAACCCGAAAGCCAAAGGGGTTTGGGTTCATGTTCGTGTTCCCGAGTTCACATGAAACCCTGCAGAATACCTTGGATGGCATATACACACTGGAAAAAAAAGATGCCATAAGCTGGGATAGCACGATGATCACCCAGAACGAGTACAAGGAAATCCAGACGGAGGAACTGTGGAATGCACAGGCTTTTTCCACAATTATGTCTCTGGAGGTTTCAGAAGCCATCAGCCAGAAAGCCCTAGGCCTGCCCGCATACAAGAACCAGATGCTAGAGTCTTTTGACTCCCTGCGGGCGCTTTACACGTACAGAATAGGCGAAGTGCAAAACTTTTTAGAGGGCATCAGGTTTCTGATAAACGAGTTGTATGAAAATACCGACAACACAAAGAAGCACGACATAGAACAGAAGATGAAGATCAACAAACACATTTTTGAGCTCATGGTTGAAAATGGCAACGCGCAAATAAAAGGCCTAGCCGATACGATAGAAAGCCATCTTGTGAATCTGTCCAAGCTTTCGCCAAGCTCGGAAAACCTGCTGAAACTGCCGAGCAACTATAAGGAAATCGAAAATATGTGCAGCAGAATTTCACATCTGTTAACAGCCCAGCAAAAAGCGAATGGAAGGATAGACAATACTCATATAATCTATCATACAGTAAGTGATTTGACAGAAAATATTAGCGAGATGATAGCGAATTTTTTCAAAATCATTTCCTACGACATCTCCGAAATAGCAGACACTTCTGTGCGTTCTGGCACAGGCAGCAGCGTGCGTTCCGCTGAAGAGTTAAGTAGGCAGGATGCCAAAGCACACGAATACATGCAGATTTTGAATCGCGAAATAACCAGGCTAAACACCTTCAAATCATATGCCAGGCACTGCGTGTCGATGCAAGGGCATCTGGTTCACAGAATATCCAGAGATCTTTCCTCGTCAAACGTGCTCATCTACCATGTACACAGCAGGGTTCCGCCCATCTCAACGCCCTCAACGCCCTCAGCGCCAACCACCGCCAGAACAGCGCCGCCCCAGCAAAGGCGCGTCCAAACCCAGGAAGAGATTGCGCTAAATGCGTTTGACCAAGCCTTCATCCATCCGTTACGAGGCGAGCACGACAGCAAGAGAAAGGAAAAGGCGATAAAAGCCGTGGACCAGATCATCAGCATTCTAAACTCCCAGATAGAAAATGCCAAGAAAACAAAAAAATCCAGCATTCTCAGCCTAGAGCACGGCGCCTTGATGAACTCGAAAGCGCAGAAGCACCTGCTCTCCAGCATCGCTCTGGAGCAGAGCGCGCAAGCACAGCGGAAGCAGGAGCTTCTTCGTCTGGATGCGAAGAAGAGTGCGCTGCTGCAGGTGATAGAAGAAATTACCCGCAGGGAAAAAAACATAACCGAGTACCTCGACACCGTCCAGAGCAAGCAGAAACAGGAGGACGTAGAGCACCAGAAAAAGCTAGCTGAACTCAGCCTCTCTATAGACGCAAAAGCCAAGCGCATAGCCCAGATAGCCAATGAAGAAAAAACGGTAGAAAGTGCGATAAAAAAGACAAGCCAAAAGAACGCCGAAACCCAGAAAAGTCTAGACGCCAAAAAAACAAATTTGAGCAGCCTAGAAGCCTCTCTTCGCAAGAAAGAAAGCGAAAACTCAAAGAAGCTGCAGGAGGTCAAAAAGGCAAACGAGAAAATGCGAGCCGAGATAAAAGGCATGGAAAAGAAGCTGAAGGACAGCGAGAAAGAGGGAAAAGAGGCTTCCGCCAAGACCGAGAAGGCGAAGGGCTCTCTGAAAGCTAGGCTTGGAAACCTTCAAAAAATCTCGGACCTGCAGAAGCCCTTGCAGGCTCTGCAGAAGACGCTGGCGCCGCTGAAAGACGGGAAGGACCCGAAAACCGACCCGAAAGATTTGGCAATTCCTCGCCTCACCACTTTTATATGCGATATAGAGAAGGACGCAAGCCCAAACTATTCGCACAAATTATGCTCTACTTTAAAGAGTATGGGTGGAGAAGCTGGGCACAAAAATGTTCTGCAGAGTCTGGATGATCTGCAGGCGTGCAAAAAAGATACGGAAGCCGGCGCATTGGTTAAGAACAACAAGCTCCTAGAAACCAAGCTGCAGGAGGCCGAAAACAGCATAAAGTTGCTGCAGAAATCTCTGAACGCCCTGACTACAAGTGCATCTGCTGCAAAAGGGGAGCTGAAGGATCTTAAGCAAGCAGGCGCGGATATGGCCCAAAAGAAGTCTCTGGACTTCGGGCTGCAGAAAGCCCAGCTTTTTAAGATCAGAGATGAAATGGTTGCACAGGCAGAGAAAATGCCGTTTGGATTTAAGAAAGCTCTAAACGTGCGCAGCATCAAGTCTATAAAGCAGAGTGAAGCTGCTAAAACAGTGGCTGCTAAACTGAATGCGTTCTTGGCTGAGTTTTTGGAGGCAGCGGAGGCTGCAAGAAAGCAGCTGTCCGAGAAAAAGAGCACCGTAAAAACGTGCGAAGTTCGGGTTAGTTCATTGATTAAGTCGTATGAAGACAAAATTGCGGCTTCAACAACGACAACCAAAAAACCTACTACGACGTCGACGACAACTACGGAAAAACCTACCACAACGTCAACAACTACAACTACAGAAAAACCTACTACGACGTCGACAACTACAACCACGGAAAAACCTACCACAACGTCGACAACTACAACCACGGAAAAACCTACCACAACGTCAACAACTACAACCACGGAAAAACCTACCACAACGTCAACGACAACCACGAAAAAACAGGAAATAGCGACCAATAAAATGAGGGCGTCGGAAAAGGTAGTAAAGGTAAATCCAGCAAAGAGCAACCCTGTGGTTACGCAAGACAATGCGGATGAACTTTTTGGCCCGGAGGAATATCCCATAGTCGTTGATAAAACCAAGCCACAGCCCACCCAGGAGGAAAAGGCTCCAGACTTTGACCTCAACAGGCTGTACAAGAGCCGCAAGAACAGCACTGCAAAAGGCGAATTCAACCCGGAAGTTGCTGTCGCCCCCCCTAATCCGACTCAAACTCTGCCTGAAAATGAACCCATCGACTCTTCGAACAAGACGTTTTGGGATATGTTCTCTCCCTTCGACCTGCCAGACACGCGGCCCATCTATATAGCACAAAACAGCTCAAACTTGGCCCCAGAGGACGTCCCAAAGACAGACCTTGTCCAAAACTTCACGCCCGACAATAGCGACGACGACAGCAGCGTGTTTAGCGAAGAGCGCTACCCAACCGTGCATGAAAAAAAATAGCCCGAGTGCACAGCCGCTGTTTGACCAAGATCTCCGTCCAGCAGAAAGCCCAGCAAGCGCCTAAGGCAAAAAGCTGCGGCTCTTTCCCCTGGAAATAAAACAGTTTCTTGAAAGTTTAAAATTTGATAAAGAGCATAGTCGCGCAGCATTTACTTATTTAGTCTATATGTTCTTGACTATGTTGCTTTTCACAGACCCGTTCTCCAGCAGAACCTGTATCTCCTCAGGAAGCTGCTCCTCGCTCTGCGCCCGGCATATTTCGTCCAGCTCTTCCAAGCTCTTGCCGTGCGCGTCCTCCACGGTAACCAAGGAAAGCGCAGTGCTTCTTCGCATTCTGAGCTCGGTCTTCTCCATGGACGTCCCCACGCGGCACTCCACGCACTGCTCCAGCACCGTCATTGGGCACTTCCCCACAAAAAGAAGCGAGTTTTTTGCACGCGCTATCTCAACCGTGCACGTGGCTGCGTCCACAGAAATAAGACACTTTTGCACGTCCACAATGACAACTTTCATGCACTTTCCCCTAATTGCAATTTGCGACTCCACTGTGTCAGCAATGTACACAACCTGGTCTGCCTCCACGCTCACAGTCCTGCTTTCTCCCCGTAGCTTTTTCACTTCGACAATCCTATGATTCATAAAGAATTTCAAGGGGAAAACTTTTCACGCGATATGAAAGTGCACCCAATCCGCACCGGAGAGACCAATATAATGTATTTGGTGGAGGGGGGAAACGGCGAATTGGCTTTAATAGACCCTGCCGACCCAATAGAAATAGAAAAGGCCGTGCAAAAAATATGTCCACGCCCCTCCAGCATAATTGTGCTTACAACACACCATCACAGTGATCACTCTGCAGGAAATGCAAGCGTAAAAGAAATGTTCCCAAGCTGCGAAATATATGCAGGCTCTGCCCGAGCTTTCCACACGAAGATCTGCCAGGACGGAGAGGTCATCCGCATGGGGGGAGTGGCCATTCGCTGCATCCACACGCCGTGCCACACGATGGACAGCTTCTCCTTCTACTTCGAGCACTCCGGGGAGAGAGCTGTGTTCACGGGGGATACGCTGTTCTACCTAGGATGCGGGCGGTTCACAGAGGGCACTGCAGAGATGATGGAGGCCTCCCTTCGCAAAATTGCCAGCCTTCCCCCGGAAACAAAAGCGTACTACGGGCACGACTACAGGGAGAGCAACATGCGCTTCAGAAGAACACTCTCTGAAGACCCGGAGGCGTGCCACCCAGAAGCAGGAATCTTTTTGACCGTAGAGCAGGAAAAAGAGCACAATCTGTTCGTAAATACAGAAAGGCTTTCTGCACGCGCAGAATTTGCAGAGTTGTCCCCCACGGAGAGGCTGTCTCTTGTTAGAAGGATGAAAGACGCATTCAACGTGCAGGACAGTGCAGCAGCGCACGGGAGAGCAGCAGCGCACAAATAAAGAGCTTGGCCGCGCATTTGCGGCTGCCAATATTCTCTGCCAGTTTTTGACGCGAAATTCTATACATTATCACAAATCAAAATGATTGCACAAAAAAGCATGATTTGCCTCCTCGCGGGCGTTTAAAAATGCAACTTTTAGAGGCGCGCCGCCAGGCGGTAAAAAACATCGGGCATGTGCCCAGCGCCCTCCAGGCCTAATATACCGTGCATAGAAGTGCTGCAAAATTCATTTATTAATTTCGCCCAAAACAAACAAATGCCCGAGCGCTCTAGAAGCCCCGCACAGAAGCCCAGAGGAAAATAGATGAAAAGCCCCCAGAAATTAGAGGTGTTTCCCTGCACGCGTGAGGCACTTTCCTTCCATCTGCAGGCAGGCCTCAGCAGGCCCGGGCACTTTCAGCCTCTAAAACACCCCCAGGAAACGCGCAGTTGTTTCAAAGCGCGTGCGAGTGAAGCCGCCAGAAGAAGTGCCTGTTTTACAGAGTGCTTCAAAAACTGGGCTCTGGCTCTCCACAGGGCGGCATGTCTGTGCATGCAGATGCAGCGCTTTCCTCTGAAAGGGCGACTTTCTTTTGTGCAGCTCTATAAAGGAGTGAAAAATTTTGGGGACATGCAGCTAGCAGAGGAGCCATACAACTACTTGCAGAAAAAGGTCGGGTCGATTCTAGGGGAGCTAATTTCCGAGCTGAACCAGAACGTGACCGAGTTTAAGAAAATGTCGAAGAAGGCCTACGAGGTGGAGGAGGCTATTTTGCACAGCAGGGGCAACTACATAAAAGTCAGCCGAGAGGTGGAGGACGAAATGAAGAGGCAAAATGAAATAGAGAAAATTCTGGAGTACTTCGAGGCTGAAACAGACAAGCTGAAGCTGAAGCTGCAGAGCATTCCCTGCGAAACAGACACCGCCAATAGGCCCTGCTATGCAGCACTGGGCGACATAGGGACTCTCCTCACAGAGTTCAACGAACTTGTTTCCCTTCTTGACGTAGGTGTGCCCAACAAGATAAACATCCTTCTAAACAGGAACATAAATTTGGTCAACCAAATAGAGGAAAAGACTGAGCAGGCGCTTCGTAAGTAACAAATAAATAAACCTCCACTATAATAAGCATAATTTAGACACAATGTTGCATATTTGCGTGATAGAGATCGTCTGTCAAATATTTTATTCCTTTGTTTATTTTAAGCCCCTGCATGGAAGATCAAAAGAAAACAGATGTAATTAAGAACATGCGCACAGTTCTGCCTTCTCTCAACCTAAAGGAGTCGGAAGTACCAGAGCAACCAGCACAGAAGAGCCCGTCACCACACTCAGCACATTCCCCGCAGGAAAAACATCCCAGAGCCACCCAGGAAGGCCACCCAAGGGCAAGCCAGGAAGGCCATCCCAGAGGCCCAGACGGCCACATGGGGGGAATGCCCCCGCAGGCTCCGTACGGATACAGGCCAATGCCGGAAAGGCACCTCGACAGACATCCAGACAGGCCCATGCACATGCCGAATGGACGATACAGAGTTCACCCGAGCAGTGGATACATGCCGTACAATCCGTATGGAAAGGCTCCGATGGGGTATCCTCCCTGCAGGCAGCCGGCACATGCGCAGACCCGATACTTTCCTCCCTCACGGCAGCACCCGTACATGGGGGAAATGCACCACGGGAGAGTTCCTAGCGAGAAGAAGCCCTCTGTAACACCGCCTCCAAGGCACGCTCCAACCGCGATACTTATGCCAGAGGTTGGGGGAAGCGCAAAGGTGCAAATAAAGGACGCGATGCGGTACTTGGACGTTGTGAAGGAAGAGTACAAAAACAACAAGGAGGTATACAACAAATTTCTGAAAACCATGAAGGACTACAAAGACAGGCACATTGACGCAAAAACTGTCATAGAAATTATGCTGGCGCTTTTCAACGGAAACCAGAAGCTCATCCAAGGATTCAACCAGTTTCTCCCGAAGAAGTACGAGATTCTTCCTTCGGGAGAAGTGAAGGTGCACGAGCACGCCGGACAGAGCGTGGGCAGTCCTGGGCCTGTGCCTGGCATGGCAATGAAGAGCAAGCCCAGCTCCTCTGCAGGAAGCCCCATTGGCTTGCGGGAAGACGCGCGAAGAGACGACCCCAGAAGAGACCTTGAGGGCCTTGGGATAGGGATTAAAAATGGGCGCAGCGAGCTGGACAGCACAAGCAGAGTGGTCAACTACCTGAACAAAGTCAGGAAGCACCTGGAGGGAAACCCGGTTGCCTGGTTTGAGTTCCTCCGAATTGTGCAGTCGTACAAGAACAGCCGAGACCAGAAGCCTGTTTCGGAAATACTTGCGAGCATAAAAGTCCTCCTCAGAGACGACCCGGTGCTTATTTCCGAGTTTATGGTCTTTCTGCCGGGACAGGAAAGAAGAGGCCGCGCAGGCACAGCTGCAGGCAGCGCGCAGGCATCCTCGCTTTCCATGCTGCACGACATCCGCACGATCCTCACAAGAAAGGGCGTATACAGAGAGTTTGTGCGCGCTCTGAACCTCTTCAACCAGGGCCTTATTAGCACGAGCGCGCTGCTTCTGGTCGTTGAGCCCTTTCTGAGAGGATCCACAATCTGCAGCCTGTTCCGGTACTACATTGGCCATAGAGAGGCACACGCGCCGCCTCACATACAGAGCAGCCTGGAAACATACGAAAAAGTGGGCTCGTACAGAGTGCTTCCAGAGAAGTACAGACACTCAACGCACTCCGGGCAGAGCGCAGACGACGCGTCCGTGCTGAACACAGGATATGTTTCGTGCCCGACTTTCTCCAGCGAAAGCTCAACCTTCATTTTCGCAAAGAAAAATGTGCACGAGGAAACCCTTTTCCGAATAGAGGACGAGAGGTATGAATGCGACCTTTTGCTGGAAAGAGTCTCCAGCCTGATTCTGCGGCTTGTGGAGTACGAGAATGCAGCTGCACACGAAGCCAACTGCACCAGGGAGGGCGCCCCGGTTGCGCTGAAGCCGCTCTCTCTTTCCGCCCTCGACAGAGAAGTCATCAGCGCAGTGTACGGGTCTGCGTGCGATGACCTTATTTTGGGGCTTATTGCACACCCGCTGCGCGCCATTCCTGTTGTGCTGAAACAGATGCGGGCCGCAGAAACTACCTGGATCCGGGCGAGGGCTTCTTCCGCAGAGGGATGGGCGCAGGCCACAGACAGAAACTTTATAAAGGCTTTGGACGTGCGCGGGTTTAAGGCGCGAAGCACCGAAAGGAAAGCCCTTCTCATACGGCAGTATGCAAGGGACCTGGACACGGAGAATATACGCTTTGTCCTGACGAAGGAGCTGGTTTCAGAAGTGTTTTCAATCATCTGCACGGGAATGGACTTGGACGGATGCGACCTGGAAAGAACCCGCACGCTCAGGCGCTTTATCTCGCAGCCCGGCGTGTTTGTGTGCTCTAACGACGCATACTGCGCCATTCGGGGAGTGTCTTTGATATGCGCAAGAGTCAGCTCGGCAGTTTCCTCGGAGCACACAAAGCCAAAGCCTAACGGAGTGGCTGCAGACTTGGGGCTTGTAAAAGACGACCCAACTAGCACAGTCTCCTCCCTGCAGGACGTGATGAGCTTAATTCGGGCGCACGTTTTGGGCGACCTTGAATGCGCCGAGTTTGAGGAAACGGTCATCAAGAGCCTGGGCGTCGCTGGGGCGCAGCTGGCCGGGATCCTGAGCCTTTTCCAAAGCGTGAGCGCAATGATTGAAACAGCCGTCGAAGGAACAAGCGCAGAAACCCTGGACAGGCTCGCCAACAGAAAGACGGTCCAGAAAACAAACCTCACCGAGCTGCTGCTTCGGGGCGTGTCTTTGGTGCGCGTGGAACTGAACGAAGAAGAAAACGGCGCCCTCGCAGTGCAGGCTTCTCGCGTGGTGGCAGGAGAAAGCGGGTCTGCAGAGTGGGCTAAGCACGTCAAAGACTTCAGCAGGAGCAGTGAGGCAGGAAATGCGCCTTTCTTGAGAAGGACACTTCGCACAGGAGGGGGCACGGCGTGCTTTGGCATGGAGTCTTTCTTCGTGGGAGGAAAGTGCAGGCTCAAGCACATGCCGGGGACTGAGGACTTTGTTTTGTCAAAGGATGTTCAAAAGTAAAGGGAATCAAAGCATTCCCAGAAAGGCAAAAATGTGTTCTTCTCTTGGCAAGCCAAATGTCATCGAAGCCAGCCCCTGCGCTGGGACTAAAATGAAAATATAATTTATGCGAAAATAAAGACATAAAGTTAAGCTGAAGGATGCACTTTGCCAGCGAAAGCTGCTGCTTTTTGGAGAGGCTCTGGCTTCGGCGGCCTCCAACCGTTTAGCCGACAGATTGATACTGGCCAAGCACATCACACTGTTCCATCATCTGATCAATCACACGACAGAATTCGGCAATTTAACTAATCAATTCGTAGACTTTGTTCTAGGCCGCGCCTTATTCGGATCAATGAATACGCAATGTTTTCTATATATTTGCAAAAAGATGTCAGGTTATGTCTGCACTTACAGTTTTTGAGGTTTTGATCGCAATATTCCTTCCCCCCGTGGCCGTCTTCCTGGTTACTGGCTGCGGAGTAGACCTGCTCATAAACATTCTCCTGTGCTTTTTGGGGTTCATTCCAGGATGCATCCACGCGCTGTACATAATTTCCACGAAAGACAACCAAAGCAACTCCAGCTCCAACTCCAACTAAAGTGAGCGCGAAATAAATGGTAATAATTCTGAAAAATGCCTTCTCCTTGCCCTGAAAAGTTCGCCCCTAGCACCCCTAAGGCTGCCGTCTTGCAGAATCTTCTTCCCATGGCTGGCTTCAGACTCTAAGCCTCTATTTTGCTTCTTTATTTGCTCTGGCGTGCTACCTCTGGGCTTCTCTTCCCGGGCACGCCTATACACGGGCTTGGCGCACTCTCCTTCTCTCAGCTGCACCTTCACCCCCTTTTGGGCTCGTATATGAACCCCTCGTACTTTTTCTCTCCGTTCTTGCCCCAGTGGAACTCCGTGTAGCACTGCACGCACAGAACGTTCTTCTCAGGGCCCACCAAAACGTCCCGAACCCGCCTGTACAAGGCTATTCTGGTTTTGCACATTCTGCACGTTCTCTTTTTTGTGCCTATTTTGTTCAGCTCCATAATGGGGTCTCTGCCCTCCCCCTCCTCCACGTTTGGGTCTATTGATATCTTGCTTATTTCTATGTAAAACACTTTTTTGCCTTCCACCACTATCTCCACCTCCTCCTTCATATCTATTATTTTCATCTGGTGGACTTTCTCGACGGGGCCCACACTCTCTGCCCGCGTCTGCCTCTGCATCTCCTCGCACAAGTCCTGCACTGTCGCACACGAGCGCGCATGAAACTTCCACTCTTTCCTGCCCTTTATTCCTACTAGAAATCCGTGTGTTTCTGCTCTGGAGCCCTTTATTTCTATTTTAAACTGCCCAATCGTCTCCTTCAGCCATTTTCTGTGCATTCCCCTCGCTTTTCTTTTTTATTTTCTCTCTTTCTTCACTTTCTCCTGGCTTTATACAGACTAAATACGGGGCACATATATGATAATACGAAAGCTGAAGGCGCTGCAAAGCAAGCTTCTGAAACAGAAAGGATCCCGCAAAGAAACACAGAAAAAAGAAGAGCCACCAGTTGAGCCGCTTTCCGTGGAGGAGTACATGAACCGGAAGCAGATGGCAACGGAGAAACGCTACTTTGACAGCGCAGACCACTTTCTGAAGCTGCACGAGAAGGAGCAAATCCGGCAGAAGGAGCTGGAGTGCGACGCGGAGAAGGAAAAGTCTCTCCAGCCAGCCCCAGCTCCTCTCGAGACTGCATATTCAGAAATAATCGATGAAATGAAGCCAAAGGAGTCGGTGTAGCGCAGAGCGCGCCCCGTGAATAAAAGCACAAAATTTGGATTCTACACTCGCCACTAGAAACAGCAAAATATCCGCAGGAAAGCCCTGCCCTCTCGCTGAAACACTGCAAAGCAGCCAAAGAGTTCCCCTCTAGTCTATTCTGTTTATTTTCTTATTCTACCGCGCAGCCTGCCTGCCTTTCCTTCTCACCACATCGCATGTCTCTCCCTTTCCCTGGCGCTTCCGGTGAGCAAGCACACCTCCCAGAACCCAGTTCCACTCTGCCTCTCCACCGCCTTCGGGCCCTCCCTTGGCATAATGTGCCGCACTACATCGCCCACTTTCGTGTCTATCCTGTGCATTCCCCGCACGAGAAGGGTCTTCAGCAGATTTGCACTTCCCGCGTGCCTGTCCATCCTTTGCACGGCGTCGTACACAAGCCCGATCTCTCTTTCGCTCATCTCTGCAAACATGCGCGCTGGAATCTGGCAGATCTCTTCGATCTGGAAGGCATACTCGATCTCCCCCTGGAAGACGATTTGCATCGTACTGTAGCACAGCGCCAGCACAGCCGCCCTTCTTGGGGTGATGTCCTTTTTCAGCTCTCCTATTATGTCGGTGATCATGGAGAAAATCCCCTGCTTCAGACTTCCCGGGACGTGGAGCCTCTGTATCTGCTGCAGGGCGTAGTAGTTCTTCTCGACAGACTTGCTGGAAAGCACCAGCAGGTATATCCTGAGGAGGCGCTCGTTTATCCCGCGCCACGCCTTCATCTCCTCCGGGAGAAAGTGCAGCTGCGCCTCCTTTTTGATCGCCTTCTCCTCCACCGAGAGCTTTCTCATTTCGCTTGGGTGCAGCCTCTGCACCTTCTCGGGCTTAGTGAGTGCGTCGTCTGAAATGTGGAGCAGCGCCCGTATTGTTTCCTTGGGGATCTTTTCTGTGCTCATCTGGTTGATTACCTCCAGTATTTTGACTATCCGGTTCCCCTTGTCGCACTTGAATATTTTTATAAGGGCGCGCGCGCACTTTCTGCCGGTCCTGCTTTTCAGGGCCGTCCCCTTCACGACCTTCCCCACAAGCTTCATGCTTTTGTTGAAGAGAATCGCATTCGGGAGCAAAACAGCTGCAGCCTCGTACGACTCCTCCGTCCGCGACCGAGTCACCTGCTTCAAAAACGCCCTCCACTCCTGCATGAGCATATACTCGTAGCTAGTTATTTTTGAGACGGTGTTGTACTTGTGGCCCTCCACCCGTATGTTGTACGAGGGCAGCAGGTTGAAGAAAACCTTCGTGAGAGAAAGAATCACCAGCCTAGAAGACCCTTTCTCTTTTTTCTTCAAAAGTGCTCGCATGCGCCTTCTTACTTCGCCCAGCGTCTTCTCGTTTGGGTCTCCCAGCAGGCTGCAGACACTGCTCAAAAAAAGATGCTTTTCCGTCTGGACAATTTCCTCCCCCTGCGGATCCTCTGGAGTAAATACGCCGTTTTCCTGGAGGTTCTCCTTCTCGCTCGCCTCTGGGCGCACACTCTGGGCGATGCATGCCCCGGACTCTTCCCCCGCCTTCTCTTTTCTTTTTTTTCTTTCCTCCCTTGCGCTGCCTGTTGCACTTTTCTGCAGGGCTGTCTCTCCGTGTCGGGCTCTCTTCCCTGCCCCTTCTCGGGCGGACTTCTTTATGCTTGTCTGTGGCATCGTTTATTTTTTCTGGGCTGTAAATTTTTTACTAATTCTTTCGTCTACGTAGTACTCCGGGCTGTACAGAATCCTGTCAATGTACGCCCGATGGGTCTGGTCCGCATACTCCACGACTCGGGCAATTGCATCTTCTTTGTCGTGGATAATCCCGAATATCAGGCCAGTTTGCGTTTTTAGTGCGGTCAGTGTGAAGAGTTCGTACTCCGCCGACATTCTCGCATACTTTCCCCTCCGCGTGCACACGTTTATGTCGGTGAGTATCTCCATAGCGGTGTAAACTGTGCTTGCCATGGCTATGAGCTTGTCGACCTCAATTGCGCTGAAATGTGTTCTGTTGATTTCCTGGTAAACAAGAGCCCCGCACGCGCTTACCATGAACATGCCGTGAATCATAAACAAAAAGAAAGCGATGCAGCAAAATGCTCCGGAGAGTGAAAAGTGTGCTGCACGGACAGGGCAATTTCCTGCAGAAAGTGCGGATGCAGAGCATTTCCAGCGCGTGAAAGTGCTTTCTTAGGCCTGGATGGTGGACAGCCTGTTTTACAGGGCTGGGAGTCGTAATTTGCCTTCTTTATTCCTTGCAGTGCTGGCGCACTTTCTGTCTCTCTGAAATTAAACTTTCCCTCTTTCTGCGGCCTGCATCTCTAGCGCATTCCTGCATCTTCTCCCTTCTCTCGCTGAATCTGTGCATCTTCGGGCTCTTCAGGTGCACGTGCTCACTCCTCTGCCCTCAGGACGCAGACTCCCTCCTCGTGCAGGACTTTCAGGCCCTCTGGGCATGCGTGCATCTCTATGCAGTTGTCCAGGCGCACTGCCACTGCGTAATTGCAGACTGAGAACTCAGTGTCTGCGCCAGGGCCCCCCACTGTGAAGGAAATGACTTCTTCCCGGGTCTTGGAGATGCCTGCCACGAGCCCAGCCCCATAGTATGTGAGAGTTTCGGGTATGACTGCGGGTATGTAGAAAAACTTCCGGATTTTTCCTGTGTCTTTGAAGATGATCGCTATCCTGCTGTTGTTGATGAGATATTCTGAGGGCGTGTCCTGCGCTGGAGTCACCCGTATTACGTCCTGGATCGGGAGAGCGTGCTTTGTTTTTTCAATTGTAAAGTAGCAGGCATTCTCTGTTGCGGTTATGCGGTCCATAAGCGTCTCTGGGGCAGACCACTCTTCCTTTGGCTCGCTAGAGCTTCGCACGAACTTGCGCCATCTCATATGAAAGAAAAAGAAAAGAGCGAGAGAAATACATCTGCCAGAAGCACGGAAAAATGCACTTTTATGAAAACATGCAGAAACTGCTGGGAATGCGAAAGCTGCCTTTTCTAGCTATAGTGCATGCAGGCGGTGCGGGAGAGTCCTTTCAGTTCCTCCCTTGCGCCCTTTCAAGCACAAACTTGAAAAACTCCTTGGTGTGCATCCGCCGGTTGCTGGAGGCTGTGCACAGCTTTTCCACCTCTTCTGCCACCTTCTCGGGCGAGGACTCTTCTTCGATTATTTCGCACACTCTCTCCAGCTCCGCATGGGCCCGTATGAAAACGTCTTCTTTTCGGGCCTCTTCTGCGCGCATTTGCAGAAGCGTTTTATTGGAGGCTGTCCTTCGTATCTGCAGGTCTTCCAGCCTTGATCTAATTGCCTCTTTTGCCTGTGTTTTACATTTGAGCAAAGCACTTCTTATGGAAAGCACCATTAAAATATAAAACATTCATAATAACTATTTGTCCACGGCAAAACAGCTTCTTCTTTGCCCTCCTTTATGAATCGAAGGCAGTTTCACAGTGACACAAATGTGTCACAATAAGATATATAGAAGAGAAAGCTGAAGGTGCCAGAAGAAAATGGCAGACACAAACGAAGGAGGCTCAAGCGCAAACGCAGGCTCGGAGGGCGGAAGCGGAGGAATGTTCTCAAAAATGTCAAAAACCACCAAGATTGTGCTAGCGATACTGCTGGTTGTTGTTATATCTATTTTTGTGTTTCTAACGGTGTACACGGTCACTGTGTCATTTGGCAGCGGCGACTCCAAGAAAGTTGCGCCTGGGAAGTCTAGCCTAATCGCCACAAGCAGAATTGCGCAGGAGTCCTTCGCCAAGGCAAAGGCCAGCGAAGACAGCGAAGCAAAGAAGAAGAAAGGCGGCTCAAAGAAGGGGAAGGGGAAGCTGTCTGTAGACTCAACAAGCCACGGAAGTATATCACGGCCAGGCACAGCCAAAGCAAGCACCGCAGAAGCTTCTGACGACGCTGAGAAGAAAAAATCTCGCAAGAAGAAAGCCGACAGGTCTGGGAGCGCCATAGATAGTAATTTGAGAAGTATCTTGGGAGTGACCGATGTTAGGCTGGTAGAACCAAAGGCAAGCAACCTGGTAAGCGCATAAGGTTTAAAGGCGTCAAAGCAAAAATAAATAGTACTCGGTTAGCATTATACACGCGGCCAAAAAGGCTCGCTTTTGGCTGCAGTGTGAGGATAGAAGCACACTTTTGTGAAGGAAGTTTTCCGCGTGGACTGCACAGTCTTTGTGCTGCAACTGCTCGTTTCCAAGTGAAACAGTTTCTCTTCTGTTTGAGGGTGTTTTTTTGCAGGGAATGCGGCTGAAAAAATAAATGAGTCTGCAGCTTCTAAAAAGTGTTCTGATATTTTCATTTTAGACGCTTTTATTTTTGTGCTATCACCAGCGGAAAGACCTTTGTATCTTCCAGCCGGGATTCATGAATATCGGCCTTGAAAACAGGGGAGAACAAGAAGGCGAATGCCTGTACTTGTTTCCCGTGGAGATGCATTGCCGCAGGCTTGCAGCACAACTACACTGGCGTGTTGGAGCAGGCTGCCGCAAGCAATTGCATGCTAGGCATACAAGAATGCGCGTCTACTTTTCTTCCAGGATCAAGTCCAAATCAGTGCCTTCTAGGGCTTTGTAGAGCGTTTCTTTGGAACGACTATGCATGGCAGAAATTCTCGTCTCGCGAGCAGGCTTCGTACTTGCTTGTTGCTCAGGCTTTACTGGTTCGGTCAGGCTTTTCTCTAGGGAAGGCCTTGACTTCTCAGAATTAATTGCTACATGGGCACGTTCTGGCTTCACCGTCTGGGTTGTCTCTTGGACAGGTTTCTGCGTGGTTGCATTTCCAGGTGTAGATGCGCTTTTTGTTTCCGAGAGTGCAAGCATGTTGCGCACACGCGCTTCCACCTCGTACTGAGAGGTTTCTACGGGGTACGCAGGGCATAGATTTCCGTCTTCCAAGCACATCTTGTCCATCATCGCCAGATATGCATTTGAGTAGTCGATGCACTCATTGCTATAGTCCCGCAGAATTGCCTTTGCATTTTTCAAGTAATCTAGGAATGGATCCAGGTATATAGTGTTCTTTTTGCCGCGGACAAGCACTATCTTCACAGGCTTCTGTCCTAGGATTCGGGCCAGCCTTTTCCCTATATTTTCTGTTATTTCTGTGTCGTCAAAGAGGGTTTCAAGTGGTTTTTCCATAAGATACTCCATGCTGCTCTGCATATGCTCCCTCTCATACGGGCGATTTATAAAGTCCACAAAGAAGAACATTTTGCGCACCTCAGGAGTCATTAAGCACGGCTCTCTTCTTGTGCACCCGCTGAAGGCTTCGGAGATTTCAAGGATCTCTCTGCTCGCCAGGCCCTTCATAACTATGCGAATTTTGCCTTTCCACTCATCGGACTTCTTGTTCATGGCATCGGGGACTTTTATGAAGAGGTTGTGTATTTTGTCAAAGAGCATAAAGGCCTTTCGTATTGAGTATGCCTCAGATCTAAAGTGGACTGCTGCCATTTGATTAATGGCGGTGTTCGGGGGATTGTAGCTTTCCAGTGCCTCCAGGAGCATTCTGTGCCTTGAAACCGAAAACTGCACTTTGTCGAGCAGGTCCACCCTGGCCATGTCGTACACCATCGCACCCACCGCAAGGCACTTCAACACTTCAGGCTCTGTGTACTGTTCGCTCTCTTTGTTCAGCGTGCAAAGTTGGTCTATTGCCTGTATCATGGTTTCACACTGGCCCCTAACCCACAGCCACGCGTCGGAAGCCCCAACTACGGACTCATAAAGATGCTCTGAAGGCGTGTAAAAGATCCTGGCGTCTTTGCTGCGCACTGTGGAGTTCTCCGAGTGCGTGTACGGCTCGGGAATGGCTGGCATCGTAAGCGTCAAATACGTCTGTTCAGGAACCCCGCATGCGAGCTTGGAGTGCTCCTTTCTTATGATGTAGGGCGGGCGGTGGTTGTCAAAGAAGCAGTTAAAGTGATACTCTGACGGAGACAGCATATTTCGCAGGCCTTTCCCGTCCTGGATCTTATACTTAACTACTACCCTTTTCTTAGGGGGCCGTTTTTTTTCTTCCTGCCCCGTTCCTTGCTCTTCTGCGAGCCTCGGGGCTTTCCCCACATGGTCTTTTTTCTCTATTCGTGCAAGCACTTTGGGGTGCCGAGCGTCAATATCGTCTGTTATGCATATGTCTCCACCCAACGGCATCTTTGGGTTTCTGCGCGTCACAGGCCCATTTGTGTATGTGCTGCATATGCGTCCCCTGTTGTGCACGCGTGCAACGCAAACAACCGAAATGAATAAAGCAGAAAACAGCAGAAGAAGTACCCCAAATATTTTCATGCAGAAATATTCTGGGCCTTTTTATGCATTTTACTGCGCTCATATTGATATTGTCGCACGAGGGCGTGATTTTTGTGCAATATCACAGTGATTTTTTTTTGCTTTTGTGCTAATTATGCAAAAACTCCAGAAAAATTTGGGATATTCGCAGTATATGCGCCCAGGCAGAGAATTCGCCCACTTTAGCACTTCTCTCGCGGTGGGACTTGCAGGAGGGGTTGGGGAAGTGTGCACCTGCCTGCATCCAGAATGTGGGGCTGTGTGGATTTTTCGGGTTCACAGGCTGCCATTTCTCTTTACGTGGGGATAGCACCCTTGTGGAAGCACGTATCCTGCTTGGCTGCTTCTCTGGCGGCTGAACTGCAAAGTATCTGGACTTTTCCGTTGCAGAGCGTCTACGAGCTTGCCTGTTTTGAGGTGGCAGCACCCAGGAAGAAAGCATGCCTTCTATCGCACCCTGGGGGATACTATGCTCGCTTTTGGGCTTATTCTGGAACTTTCGAAATGTGCCCGCAGGATCTCTTCTTTACATTCTCTTTCTTTTTTCTTTTGTTTATGAAGTACTACACTGTGGAGTACGACGGATACACCTACAAAAGAGAAGAGAAGAAAGAGAAAGAAAGCACGCTGGGAGCCAATAATTTAATTCAGGCACTTTCTCTACCTAGCAATGACACGGTTGAATTATTAAGAATCATCTCCAAAATGAACTCCAAAAGCAAGTGGAAAGATATCACAGATAAGCAGGAAAGAGTCTACACAAAAATGGACAAGATTCTTTCGAAGCTCAAGGCGTATACGCCCTTCTCTGTGCCTTTTCTCAGCAAAGTCAGCAAAAGAGAGGCCCCAGAGTACTATACGCTCATAGAAAACCCGATGGATCTCAGCAAAATGGGGAAAAAGCTTTTCCTGCAGGAGTACTCCGACATAGGGGAATTCTGCAACGACTTGAACCTGATTTGGGAGAACTGCTTCAAATTCAACCACACGCACGGGAACGTGTATGCGATGTACGCACAGAAAATGAAGGAAAAGTCTCTCTTCCTTTTGCAGGAGCTCTTCTCCGAGAGGGAGATAAAAATAAACGAGCCAGAAGAAGAAGTCAGGCACTTCTTAGACTCTGAAAAGTACAGGAAGGAAATGGCAACGACAAGAGCAGCGATCCTGCAGAATCCGAGCGAGTTTACCTTTCGAAGGACCCCGCAGAAAATGCACGACTTCTGGGAGCGCGAGAGGGAGGCGATGGAGAAGCCGGAAAATGAGTACTTCCTGCACATTCCCGAGTACATGCACTTCTACAACAGCTTTCCCGTTACGAGAGAAGGGCAGAGCCATGGTCTGGGCGAGTCTTCAGAGTGCACCTTCGGGGAAATATTTCCACCAGAAGCCGTTGCAGCATCAGGGGCTGCTCTGAAGGAGAAAAAGTCAAATAATAGCCCGAAGGTTGTAACGTACAGGGACGGGAAGTACTTTTCAGAGGGAAATGTCTGTGAGAATTTAGCCGTTGGAAGAAGTGAAGTTTTCCACCTTATGAGGAAAGTTGTCTCTCTGCAGCTGCTTTCCGTGGGGTTTACGGGGGCTGAAGGGTCTGCGCTGGGGGTGCTTGTTTCCTACGGGGTTTTGAAGATGGAGGAGGTTCTTCTGAGCCTGAAAGACCTGTCCAGGAAAGTACCTGAAAATATGAATGCGTGCGAGTATCTTACCAGAAGCATTCTTAGCAAGCTAAACATCCTAGAAGAAGAGCCGATCCGGAAAGAGTTTTTCTCCGATGATGATGACGATACGGAGGAAGACTCGATTATAGACATGATATACTCAAACCCCGAGGAAATAGAAGTAGATGATGAGATGTGATTTGTAAAGCGAGACTCACTGCAGAAATAAATATAGAGTGGATTCGGGCTATTCAGGCTCTAGATGGGAATTCGGCAGGGAGTGCTCAGAAGCCAAAAGTATCTAGAAAGCCCGAATAACCCGAATAACGCAGAAAAAAGATGCCAGCATTCAGGAGCCTCTGTCGAGAGCATCAGTGCATTTTGTTTCTCTGCTTTCTACGCACTGTGTAAAAATAAAGTTGTTGTGTAGTGTGCAATATAAGTAGCAGTACATTTTATTTTTCTGCTTTTACGCAGTGCAGCATAAGTTTGTCTGTCTTCCCTACTTTATACGCTATGTGCACAATTCCTGCTGCTTTTTGCACAGTGCGCAATAAGTAGTGCCTAGCCCGAATTATTATTTACTGCATGCTGAGTTCGGGATGTTGCCTCCTTTAACTGTGGCTTAATCCACAGTGTGCAATAAATAATTTTAAAGTATAATGTGAAAATATTTTATGAACTCTGCTCTGAAAATACACCACGCAAGAGGAGCCGTTACACGAACACTCATAAACGACTTCTTCAGCCCTTTTGGAACAATTCGAAAGGTGACTTTGCCGAATAGGTCTGCGGACTTCGCGATTGTCGAATTTACAACGGAACTTTCAGCCAAGAATGCGATGAGGGAGTTAGACGGGACTACGCTGAAAAACATAAAAAAAAGAAACAAAGTCTCCAGGAATGCTTCAAGCGAGTTTATTTGGAGCATATCGCAGTTAGGCGAAGAGTATCTGTGGGAGGAGGACAGTAACGACAGGACCAAACTGGAGAAGGAAATAGTTCGGAAGAAAGTCAGGAATATGCAGTACATTGAGTCTCTAGGAAGTAGCCTCCCCGCGAAAGAGGTTAGGCAGAGGCCTGTTGTGAGAAATATGCCCGTGAATTTAGAGGAGTAGCCGGCACTTTTTGCACACAGCGTAAAAAGAGGCAGGATTTATTGCGCACCGCCCTGCAAGTAAGACTTAGTGCGCGCTGTGCACAAAGTAGAGGCAGAAGCCGGCTGCGATTTATTGCGCGCTGTCCTAGAAACAATGCAAGATGCACAGTGCACAAAAAGCAAGAAGTATACCACAAATTATGATAGACTGCGCAATAAGTCTCGCAATAACTGTGCAGTGCGCAATAAGAAAAAGCAGGCCGCGGGTTATGATGCACTCCGCAAAAGTATGGAATAACCCGAGTACGCAATAACCCAAATAAAGACAGACTGCACAAAAAGTGCTGTGAGTTATGATGCACTGCGCAGTAAGTACTGCGGCCTGTGCAGCAGTGCGTAAAAAGTAGTTTTATTTTTTATTTATTTTCTGCATTTTTATCACCCTTGTAATGGGAAGAAGACCAGGCAGATGCTACAGATACATAAAAAACAAGCCGTACCCAAAGTCAAGGTTCTGCAGAGGAGTCCCTGACTCTAAAGTGTCGAAATACGACACAGGAAAGCGAAAGGCCCCCGTCCTAGACCTTCCAATCTGCACCAATCTAATTTCCCTGGAGAGAGAGCAGATTTCCGCGGAAGCCCTTGAAGCTGCAAGAATAGCGCTAAACAAGTACTTAACCTCGAATCTGGACAAAGACTCTTTCCACTTCAGGATAAAGGTACACACGCATCACGTCGTTAGAATCAACAAAATGTTGAGCTGTGCTGGAGCTGACAGACTCCAGACGGGAATGAGAGGATCCTTTGGAAAACCCAACGGAAGAACTGCCCGAGTAAACATCGGCCAGACGCTGATCGAAGTCAGAAGCAAGGAGGGAACGGAGGCAAAAGTCCGGGAAGGTCTTCGCAGAGCCCTGCACAAATTCGCAGGGAAGCAGTCGATCGAAGTTTCAACAAAGTTCGGGTTTACGCCGTACGAGAGAGAAGACTTCATGCGCATGAAGGAGGCAGGAATTCTGCTGCCAATGGGAATTGGGGCGCTGGAGCTGAAGAAGAAGGGGCCACTCAGCGAGTACCTGGAGAAGGCTGCGTGCGTGCTTTAATAAAGGCTAATTTCAGACTATTCGGGCAATAACGGTCTTTTATCTATGTTTCCCAATAATAACGGTCTTTTATCTATGTCTCCCAATAATAACAGTCTTTTCTTGATAAAAATAAGATGTAGATGTTTCTGAGGATGCACTCGCGTGGGCTTTGGGATTTGGTTTCTTGCGGGGACAAAAATGCGAACTCCCGGGCTCGAACCAGGGACCTTTAGATCTTCAGTCTAACGCTCTCCCAACTGAGCTAAGCTCGCCCACAAACTCCCTCCCCAGAGCCAGAATCCAGAGTGTATTTTAAAGGATAAAAAGAGTAAATATTTTTGCAGGATGGAGTGTCCGTACTACAGGAGGGGCGAGTGCCGGTTTGGGGAAAAGTGCCGGAACATTCACAAGAAAGTATCTGATCTCATGAATCCTGCTTTTTGGATTCTTGGCTGCAAATACGCCAGAGACTTCGGATATTCTATGGAGGAGATGCGGGTGTTTTTCTACCGGGCGTGCGAGTTGGGGCCTGCAGGTCTCCGGGAGTTTTTTCAGGGATGGAATTTCTCCGTTGTAAACTCTCATGCAGGGATTGTTTCTGCCCTGTCCTCTGAGGAGAGGGGGAATATTCGCCTCTCCGGGGAGGGGGAGAGTGTGGATTTGCGTCTCCAGGAGAATTATGCGCACATAATAAGCCCCGTGGATGTTGAAGAGAGTGTGGGAAGTGCTGGGAGATGGTGGCATGACCGGATATCCCGAATGAGAAATCCCATGAATAATCCCATGAATAGTAGTAATCAGATGAGTAGTATGAATAATTCCATGGGCAATAGTAGCAATGGCATGAATAGTAGTATGGGTATGAATATGAATAGTAGTAATCAGATGAGTAGTATGAATGGTAGTAATGGTATAAGCAATGGCATGGGTGGTATGAATAATCCTATGAGTAATAGTAGTATGAATAATCCTATGAATAGTAGTATGAGTAATATGAATAATAGCAATGGTATGAATAATCCTATGAATAATAATCCTATGAGTAATAATCCTATGAGTAATAGTATGAGTAGTAATCCTATGAGTAGTAATGGTATGAATAATCCTATGAGTAGTAATGGTATGAACAATCCTATGAATAGTAGTAATCCTATGAATAATAGTATGAATAGTATGAATAGTAATCAGATGAGTAATATGAATAATACTCCGAGAGTAGAGGATACTGCCCGGTATGAGATTGGCAGAATTCCTAGAATGCCTCCAAAATAAAAGTGCAGAGATACACTTTATGTTCTAAAATAGTCTCCTGCCTGAAGTATCAGCCCATTCTGCAATAAATGCCCTTTTGGCCTAACTGCTGCATATATTTGCGAGTAATAAAAATTTAAAAGAACATTCATCCAATGGGAGAAGCCGAGGAAAAGAAAATCCCAAGCGAAGTTCACACGGACTCAGAGGGTGATAACGAGTATGAGAATGCTCGAATCATTCCAAAGACTCCGGAGAAGAAGCACCCCGTCAAACACATTTCCAACATAGAGACGCCCTTCAAGCTGAAGATCTCGAGGGAGGGGAAGATCGCTGAATTAAAGACAAATCCCCCGAATAACCCGAAAAATTCCGGGGAGGAGTCCGAGATATGGTTTCGCAAGAAAAGGTTCGGGCGAAGAAAGAGAGTCTTCATTGCAGAGACAGAGACGGCTGCCCCTGTCGTAAAAGCCCAAAGCGTGTGCCCCGTAAAAAGATACTTTTCGTCGCACTTCTCCATAAAAGCGCCTCTCCACATAAGCCCAGCCTCAGAAGTGTATCTCGTGCAAAAATTTCCAGACGCTTTCTCCTCGGAAAAGTGTGCTTTTTGCACTTCGCAATCCCTTGGAGTCTCTGTGGTGAAGGTTTCCCGGAGGAAGTGGGCCACGAAGCAGGAAAGAGCCCAGAGCATGAAGGAGGCGAAGTTTTTGTACAGGCTCAGGAAGTCCCGATTTGTCGTTGAAATTTTCAGGGCCTGGGAGGAGGCAGGGCTTTTGCACATAGAGATGTTCTTTTGCAATTTGGGCACGCTCAAAGAAGCGATGAAAAGAGAGCACTCCCCGAGCGAGAAGGCGGAAATTGCTGCCCAAATTTTGAAGGGAGTGAAGGCTGTGCATGCGAATAGGATCATTCATCTTGATATAAAACCTGAAAATATTTATTTAAACGAAAAAAATGGAGTAATTTCTGTGAGAATTGGAGACTTTGGAATCAGCAGATCCGTTTTTGATTTGACGGAAATTGAATTTGACGGGGACCGGCTGTACATGGCGCCGGAGCTTTTGCAGAATGCTTGCTCGTATGCGAGCGATATTTACAGCACGGGGCTTGTTCTGATGGAGTTTCTTTTTGACGTGGGAGCGCCTTTGAAGAGCGTTCGTTGGGAAAGTGTCTGTGCTGATGTGAAGAAAGAGCTTATTCGGAAGTCGGGGGTCTCTGAGGGCATGTATCGGGTGGTTAAAAGCATGATTAGTGAAGACCCTGGGAAAAGGCCCAGTGCTGAAGAGGCGGTTAAGGAGATGCAGGCAGCACAAGATTTAGCAAATAAAAGGTAACATAGGCAGTATTTATGAGACAGTGTGTGCCAAGTTGTGGTATTCGGGTTATTTACATCACAGCGTGTATTTAATCTGCTACTTATAATACAGTGTGTACTAGGCCATAGTGTTTTCTTTATTTATAGCACAGTGTGCATTTATTCTGCCACGTATAGCGCACAGCACAAAAAATAATCTGTTTTTATTTGTGGTACTATAATCCCGAGTGCATACTAAGTCGCAGATTTATGACTTACTGTGCAGTGCGTGAAAAGCAAAAGAGAGTGCGCACCCAGCATTTATTACGTAGTGCGTAAAAAGCATCCGGATTTCTGCGCGCTGCCACTATTCGAACTTAATGCACCCCGCATAGCAACTCGTGCACCCCCAGGCCGTTCCCACCAAAACAAGAACCCCCGCCAAAACAGCCCCCGCCAAAAGCATGCGTTTTCTGCACGTGTTTTTCTTCCTTGTTGTTTCAACGTGCTTTCCCGTATGAATCCACTCCAGGCACTTCCCGGTAAAGCTTTCCCTTTGATTCTTAACCAGTTCAGAAAATTCTGAACTCACTACGCTTTCACTCAAAACACCCAACGGAACATTTTCGGCGTATTTATCACGGGCCATTTCTAGCACAATTTTGTACATGAACTCCTTAACCTGCTTGATATGCGAGGCTATTTTGGCTTCTTCCACGTATCCTTTAATGTCCGGTATGCTTTCAATGTATAGGAGCAAAGAAGCCCCTATAACAGAGTTTTTGCTGTTTCTTAGTTGAAGGCCCTCAAGGAACCACCACGTGCTGTGGGCCTGCAAAACTCTTTTGGCGGCATTCTTCCATGCGAGGATTTTCGAGTTTTTTGCCTTATTTGGGAATCCAGAACCTGAAAGTAACGTGTTTTCTGCAGATGGTAAAACTTTTGCGATAAATTGATAAAATGTAGATTTTTTCATCGATTCCAGCACCCGAAGAAAGACCTGAATATTCCCTCCGGAACCTATTCCTAGGCTCACGCCATTCGCATATATTACGTCCAAAAGCTGCAGAAGGCGAATCTTCAAGGCAAATCCCACAGTCTCGTACTGCTTCCTAAGAAAAACTGCCAGCTTAATCGTGTTGCAGGCGCGTCTGGAGCTGTCCATGGAGGATTCAGGTGCAGTTTTCAGCCGGTGCAAAACCCAGGCAACTTTTGTCAGGTTCAGAAAATATTTGCAAAAAACCGTTGTAAATGTTTTGCTAAAAACTTGCATCATTTTGCTATCGGAATCTGAAACAATATTTTGCATCGAACCTGAAATTTCCCGAGACATGCTCATCAAAGGGAATACGCAGGGGTCACACAGAAAAGAGTCCAGCTCCTCCAAAACGCCTTTGTCAGGGCATATTTCGCCTGTTCCAAGCCCTGAGAGAAACCCTGTTTTGTGCAGGATTTCCTGTAAACACGTGAAAATTTCTGTCTCTTTCCGCATCGAGGGATTCTTTCTGAAAAAGGCCTGGATCTGTGAAAGCACATTCATCTCTGTGATTTTATCGTTTAGTGCGTCACGAAGGCGGGCTGTGACTTTATCGTGCAGAATCTGTGCTTTTGATATAAGCATACAGCAAAAAACAATCCTCTATTTCAGGCTCTGTGGAAATTAGAAAATCAATTAGCACCGACCACATATTGCATAGTGCGGCATAAGTCGCAGAGAAAATAGGCCGTGTGTCGTAAGTAGCAGAATATTTTATTAGTAATAAGACAGTGTGCAATAAGCGGCAGAGTAAATAGACCGTGTGTCGTAAGTGGCGCCCTTTTATTGCATGCTCCTGAAAATCTCCCGAATTTCCTCCTGGGAGTGAGCGTGTATTCCCTCTGAAGTAACCGTGCAAATGTCAACATCTTCCTCGGAAATTGCCGTTTCTGTGAACTCCCGCATTGCAAGTGCTGCAATTACGACAGCATCGTTTATCTCGATCTCCTCCGAGCACCTTCTCTCCAAAAACTGCGCACATTCCCGGAAGAACCTTCCAACGGCAAAGGTCCTGGCACTTTTTATCGATCCAGAAGGGTCAATGTGGTACAATCCTGCCCTTTCCTCAGCCCCTGCAAATAAGCAGACGCATCCAATCGGCCTAAGCCCTGCCTTCTGCGTCTTTTCCTGGATGCTCTTCGAAAATTCCCGAACAAACGTCTCCAGAGGAGGATACTTTCCGTACACTTTCAGAAAATCATCAGCAATTTCTCGGGCAATTTCCAGGGCCGCTCTGAAGTCGGCGCTTAGCCCGGAATACGTGGAGATGATGGAATCGCAGACTTTATGCACTTTCTGGACCCTGCTGGAAACCACCAGGGGAGAAGGCCTCTTTTTAAGGGAGGCAAGAACAGTCCCATTTGCAGCCTGAATCCCCAAAGAAAGTGCTCCGTTCTTGGCAGCAGCAAGAGCTTTCTCGCACTGAACGAGGACTCCTTTGCTGGAGAAGGTCGTTGTTGAGTAGCTTATTTCTTCGTGCATAAGGAAAGCAAAAATAAAACAAATATTAATAGAGCAATAATAGCAGGACAGCTAGGAGTACGGCGTATAGTAGGAGAGCAATACGGCAGTGGAGAAGTACAGAGTATAATAGTAGAATAGCAGTAGAGTAAAATAGATAATTGGTGGTAGTATAATAGATAATTGGTGGTAGTATAATAGATAATTGGTGGTAGTAGAATAGGATACTTAGTAGGATAGAAGTAGAGAAGATAATGGACTAGTATAGTAGTAGGATAGTAGTAGAATAGTAGTAGGATATTAGTAGAATAGAAGTAGAATAGAAGTAGATATTAGATAATGAATTAGTAAATTCTCAGTAGGATATTCACGTAGTTTCTTAGTTAGACATATTTAGATAATAGTGTATATTTATCTCTTGTAAATGCAAAAAGTATTTACCGTCTTTTCTTTTTTTCACTCTCTGGATTCCGTGAGAGTCAAAACATCCCCAGAATAACCCGAAAAAATGCTGTAGCCACTAAGAAGGCTAGCACAGTTATAGCAACGATATGGTGCAATCTGATAAGTAATTTAACCAGCTAAACATCATCCTGCATAGCTTCAAGCATATTAGAAAAGGCTTTTATTTGGCAAAAACAAACACGGGCTATCTTTTTGATAAGAAATGCAGAAAGTAGTAAGAATGAACAGTAGTATGATATTTGTTCTATGCTAAAAGCATAGTTGCTCGCAATTGGTTGTCGTTTGGCTGATGAATTGGCATTTGTTTAACAGCACGCCACAAACAACGACAAATTAAATACCTGGGTTGTAATGTGGCGGTGCTAAGTGAAATTCACGGCCTTTATTGTTTTTCTACCTGCTTAGATAGACATTGTTTAATCTGTCCCATATCGTCCAAACTATATTTGCCTCTTAATTGGCCCTTCTAAGCAATAACCAATTACGAGAAACTATTTTTTCAGCACAGAAAAAATGTGTTTTTTCATCACTTTGATTGATCAATTGCCCAGCCCATTCTAAAGGGGGAATCTGAAAAGTATAAAAAAATATTTTTTTTACCCCTGATCATGCACGCAAAGTTTTATGCACTTACAATTGCAATCCTGACGCACTTCGCGCACGCGAGAGTGTCGTTTAACGAGATCATAGAGATGCAAAACACTGAAATAAGAAATAGTACCGCCTTCATCAACCCAAAGGGACCGCTCTGCCTGTTGCGCGGGTTCGTGTACTCCGATCTGGGCTACATGCACAACAAGCGCTTCTTTGCTCCTGAGATAGAAACTGACTACAAACTGGAGCCCGCTGGGGATGTTAAAACCACAGAAAAGCACAACTACACAAGAAACGCAGAGAACGACAAACCTTACCCATCAGAAGAGGAGCCTGCTCTTAACGCCGGTATTGCTACCACAGACTACGCTGTGGAGTACCACCGCACCCTCATCGAGATGTTTCCGTCAACAGGCGGGCACACTCTGTCATTGGATAACAGCCCAAAAGACTCTTTCTTCCAGACTCTGCAGGGAATGCCCAGCAAAAACGCGAACTACGTGTTGGCTGCGCTTCTCCTGCTGAGCGAGGGCGTCGATGTACCCATTGAGGCAACAGAGAAGGAAGTAAAACTAGAAATAGGCAGCATAAAAGTTGAGGAAAATATATGCGAAAAGGCTGCACAGGTCATAAACTTCTTCAAAGCTAACCCGAAAAAAGAAGAAATGCCGTGCACACTAGAGACCTTCAGCACCGGGGAGTTTCTAAACACTCCGCAGTTCCTCATCCAGGCGTACGTCTTTGAGTACATTAAGAGCAAGGACGACGCCCTGGACTTCGCAGCGTGCGCACACGCCATTCTCACAAGCCTGCCGGAAAATGAGAGAAAAGACGTATACAGCGCCTGCTTTGTGGAGAGCAAGGCTGAAGAAGACGAGCTTCTGCAGCCGTTTGTGCAGATTCAGAAACTCATAGAGAGTCAGAGGCGGTTTCCGTTTTCCAACTACAAATTGGTGCCAGGGCACATAAACTTGCACGCCTGCAAGAGAGGTCAACTCGAACTTTTGGAGGAAACATTCTCGCCCAACATGGAGCCTGCCCTACTTGCGCTCTTCTGCTTCCTTTCATATAATCCAGAAAAGAACGAATACGACGTGGAAGCCATGCTCGGTGAGAAAAAGGATCATCCGGAGGCAAAGGCTCTGCGCGAATTCTTCCAGTTGGAAAGTGTCAGCCCAAAACAGTGCCCTACCGTAGAGACGATGCAGGAGTGGAACCGAGTCGTGTCTGGCCTGCAGAGCAAGTACATCGAATACGAAAGAAATGACCTAAACAAAGCGTGGCCCGGACTTTTTAACGCTCTCTACATTATCGCAGAAATAACAGGCAGACGAAAGGAGGAAGAGCCTACAATACAGAATTTTGAACTGATGATGAAATCGGCTGAAAATGGAAACAGTGAGAAAACACTTGAAAAGATAAAAGAGTACGTGGAAAATCTTTTAAAGTCTCTTTCTGTGGATAAATCCATAAAAACCAGCTTTTCCAGACTGTTTATGTTCGAGGTAAATGATGACAAGGATGATCTCTACGGAACAATCACCATAAAGTACACAAGTAGCGATAACCTGTTCGAGCATAGCATACAAATTAAGTTTTCTGATAGTGTCAAGCTCCTGCTCAGTTGGGCCTTGCTTAAGGACGAAAGCATGACCTTTTTTTCTGCGGGCAGATGCGGGGAGCCCAAGACCTTTATCGAGTGCCTGTTTTATAAGTACGAAGACGTGTGGAGACTCGGGGGCATGGACCCTGAAGAAGAAAAACTGGAAAAACGTATCATAGAGATCGCACGGCGCCTGTCGAGAATTGAGCTCCCAGGGAGCCCAAACGAGCTCTTTTTGGTGGGGCATGCCTTGACACACAAACTGGCACATATTGCCAGCCTCTACCTGGCCTTGAACACAATACAGGTAAGAGAGGGCAATTTCCCCCCGAAGGAGCATCCGTGCATGCGCCTTACCTCGAACCTACTTGGGAGCCTTCCGCTGGACAATCTTTCAAAGCAAGGAGAGACGGTGCTCGGGATAGTTTATACACACAATGCGCGCCCGGCTTTTCCAAGAATCAGCCTGTCAGACAGAAAATACATGAATGTTTTGCTTGTTTCTAATCAGCTCCTGTCACGCTATTTGAAAAAACTATACTCGAATTAAACAGTATGGATTCTTCTGTGCTGAAGGCAAGCTGCTCCTAAGACAGCACGTCATAGAGTTATGATGGATTAGATACATAAGTATTTAAGCAGGCCGGCATGAATAAAGGAGAGTGATTCACTTGGTATTTCCCGTATTGCAGCATATCTTTAAGAATTTTGAAATTACAGCGGCCATTCAAAGCGTATGTGTGAGCAAGTTCAACCTCAGATGCCAAAATAAGAAGAACATAGCAGTAAGACAGTCAATAGTCGGCATTTTTGGCTGTCCAACGGCTAATAACTCTTTACTGGAACTAGCATTAGATACAGGCTAAAATCTGCCCGAATTTATAACAATTTTAATTATTTGTTTTTTGCTTGGAGTATACTCATTCTCTCATACTGTGCCACTATATGATGCATCTGTAGAACTATTTAGATTTATTGAATAATTTCCTGCGCACACAGCTGTTTTCAGCATGCAGTGGCACTTCTGGGAACTCATTGAAAAATTTGCAAAAATAAAAAAGAAAAGACAGTTCTAAGTTGCACATTCTCTTCGCTCTTCATCCGCTCCTTTCGCCTGTCTGCCCCGCAAGTTCCCAATGCAAGACTATGACAAATTAAATGCAAGAATAAGTATTTAAGAAGGCCGATTTTATGAACAAAAGACAACTTTTTACTGGCACTTCAAGTGTTGCAACTAAGTGCCTGGCATGCAGGGAAAGATGAACGGCGTGGAAAGAGGCCGAAGGCTGAAATCCAGTCTAGAGAAGTTTTATTTTTCTTTGCAGGGTCGGAAGGAAAGTTAGAATTTGGGCGATTCTATTTTTGATAGAAGTTGTATAAAAGCGCAGCGAATATACTGCTAAGAGCAAGCGGCAATCCAGCGCATGGGCGCAGTGGCTATTCATTCTGGTCTATGATGGACTGGAGTATGTCCACCACGTCTCTGAACACCTTTTTTCCGCTGGACGTCTGCAGAAGGGCGCTCCGGTGTGTGTTCAGACCCTCCAGAATCGCAGTGACTGTTTGGCTGTCGATGATATACGGCTTGTACTTGGGATTATTGTATGCGTGTATCGACCTTGGCTCAAGTCTGCTGCCCAGAGCAATCATCAGATCGGGCGGGGTGTCTTTGTATTTCAAGCTGGCGAGGAACAGGAGGAGGTCGAAGAGCGCCTTGGCATCCAGCGCCTCCTCCCGGTCTTTCTCCTCCACGTCGAGAAGGAGTGTTCTAATTTCGTCTGTGTGGCGCATTGACTTGTCTGCGAGCAAAACGGGAAGCATTTCAGAGATGATGGTAAAGTTTTTTAATTGGCAACATCCAAAAAGAGGCTCGCGCACCTGCTCTTTGTACTCTCTAAAGTATTTCATAATGGCGTTTGCTGCGGGCGTGCAGCTGTGTCCAGTGTATCTCGCTATTCCGATGATAGTGGATGAGATTTGATAAATTTTAGAAAATCTTTCCTTTGACAGGACGATTCTTGGAAATAGCTTGCGCAGCATGCCCAGAAAGGCTGTGTGCTGAAGCACAACTAATTGCGTTCCATAGTCGTCCAGCGGAAGGCTTCCTAGCAGATTCGAGAGCAGGCGCACGCCCGGGTGCTCCTGGGTGAGTTTGGTGCCCTTTGCTGCTGCATGCAGGATGAAGTGCTCGGAAATGTCTTGTATCTGTTCGTATCTCAGAGCGCTTCCGAGCAAGAAAATCTGGTTTGGGTGATTCAGGGCCTCACTTGTCGCCAGGCGGCCTGCAATCGCCGAAATGCCATCAGTAAGGCTTGGTTTGTAGAGTTCCATGTGCCTGGCCCTCCACGCGCTTGCATACTTGGCAAACGCGCACTCAGCAAAGGTCTTGGGCTTTGAAGAGTCTGTCGCCAAAAACAAGACCTCTATTGGATCATGCGCATAAGAAAAGAAGGTCCACGGACACAGGGTTACTGTCAGATGCCCAGGCTGAAAGGCAAGGCATATTCCCTGCTGCATCGCGCTGTTCTTGCCTTTGTACTTCAGGGTGATTTTTCCATAGAGGTCTTTCTGCCCGTCGCTTCGGGCGTCGACCTTCAAGTTGGAAAAGCTGATTTTTAAGGATTTGTCCACGGAGAGAGACATGAAAAGCTCTGCCACATACTCCTGTGTTTTTTCAAACACGTCTCCAGAGTTCTTGCCAATTTTACAGCCTTTTAGCATCAGCTCAAGCTCGCGTATTCTCTGCTCCTCCTGCTCTCGTCTGCCCGTCACCTCCGCCACAACGTAGAGAGCGTTGAAAATTCCGGAGCGCACCTCGTTTCTGCTCTCCCTTTTGTACGCGATGTGCTCGCTCTGCAGGCCAGACACGACGCGGTTCCACTCCTGCATTGTGTCTTGAGCGGCGCATGCCTTTGGGGTGACACTTTCCAACTGGAAGAAGGCACGCAGGGCCTCTGTTTTATCACTCTCTTTTTTCTCACCGAGCATGGCTTCCACGTCGTACTTTTTCTGAACTGGGTCGTGTGCAAGGCAGCAGAAGAGCACAAATAGACCTGTCTCCACGCAGTTGCTGAAGGTTTCGTCCAGAAACTCGGTTTGGCCTCTCTTGCAGGCGCGCACGCTTGTGTACGCCGGCAGCATGCTTGGGCTGGTGAACGGGAAAGAGCCCAGAACCCTCATGACTTTCTGAATCTGCGTAAACATGTACAGGAAATCGTCTTCCTCCGCCTTGCTCTCCACAAAGCACGCGCTGTATACGTCTTTGCAGCTGTCTTCTGGCAGGCTTTTGAGGATGGTGTGCACGCACGCTGCGAAGTCCAGGGCGTCGTCCTTGCTCTTAATGTACTCAAAGACGTACGCCTGGATGAGGAACTGCGGAGTGTTTAGAAACTCCCCGGTGCTGAAGGTCTCTAGTGTGCACGGAAGTTTTCCTTTTCCTTTGTTCTCTTTGAAGAAGTTTATGACCTGGGCAGCCTTTTTGCACTGGCCTGTCTCAAATGCTATACTGCCTATTTCTAGTGTGATTTCTTTCTCTGTTGCCTCGATGGGCACGTCGACGCCCTCGCTCAGCAGGAGAAGCGCAGCCAACACGTAGTTCGCGTGCTGCTTGGTGGGCATTCTCTGCAGAGCCTGGAAAAAGGAGTCCTTTCGGCCTACAGCCACAGACAGAGTGTGCCCGTCGACAGACGGAAACATCTCGATGAGGGTGCGGTGATACTCCACAGTGTAGTCTGTGGCAGCGAGACCAGAGCTCAGATCGGGCCCCTCTTCTGATGGGTAAGGTTTGTCCTTCTGTGCGTTTCTTGTGTATTTGTGCTCTTCTGTGGTTTCATCGTCTCCAGCGGGCTCCAGTTTGTAGTCAGTTTCTATCTCAGGAGCAAAGAAGCGCTTGTTGTGTATGTAACCCAGATCGGAGTACACGAGCCCGCGCAGCAGGCAGAGCGGCCCACTCGGGTTGATGAAGGCGGTACTATTTCTTATTTCAGTGCTTTGCATCTCCATAATCTCGTTAAACGACACTCTCGCGTGCGCGAAGTGCATCAGCGCTGCAAGCATAAGTGCATAACATTTTGCGTGGGTTGTAATACGAGAAGTAGCCATGCGAAACATTGTCCTTTACTATTTCTTGACCTACTTATATAGACACTATGTAATATATCCCTTAGTTCGGGTTATATAGCCCCTTAATTAGGCTCGTCTAAGCAATAACAATTTAGGAGTAACCATGCTTTCAGCATAAAACACCCCCTACTCCGGGCAGGCTGGTCTATCAGAGGAGGCGCATCGCACAGGACGACGGCTGCATGCAGCTGGCCAATTAATTGTCAAGATGTTGGTGTGACAACTGCACAAATACATTAGAAATGTGAGCACTTTGCACGAGCCAGCCGGGGTGCTGTGTGGGCAGTTGTACTGCAGGAAAAGAAAGAAAAATAAAGTAAACAAAATGTAGTGCTCTGGAGAGGCTGGAAGGCAAAAAGCAGAATGAAGAATTTATTTTTTGAGTGTTATGATGGTATAGTAGAAAACACACAAATACATATGGTAGAGAGAAGGAGCGAGAGAAGGCAGGAAAGGACAGTTTGATGCAGGGGGCGTGTGCTCTCAGCTAGGGGCTCTGTAGAGTATGGAGCTTTGTTGGTGTTGGTGGTTGATTTCTTTCTCTTTACTGTGTGCAGAGAGACAGAGACTGAGGCTTGTTTCTTATTTTTGAAGGCAGGAAAAGAGGAAAGGAGCCCACACTCGCAGGAGAAGAGAAAACAAAAGGTACAAAACGGTGTTTTAAACAGAGCAGGCCTGGTAGGGGCTGTGGCACAGAGAGAGCCCGGCTTGTGACTCCGGGCGTTTAATCATGTGCAGAGTGTGCGTGCATATTGCATGTTAGTATAAATTATATAAATGTGGTGAATTCTCTGAATTTCCACACTATTGGAGACGGCCAAGATCATGATTGGCGTTTTTGATATGGATGCGTAAGAATTGAAAACAGTAGTGATCGCTTATAAGCATAGCTACGAGAGCAATTTCAAAAAAGACGCACAGAAAATCGAAGAGCATAAAAACAAGTCAATCTAAAGCCGATCGCTGGGGTTCTCCAAAGGCTAACAAATCTTTACTGGAACTGGATCTAGACCAGGCCCAACCCTGCCCCGGATCTATGACAATAAAAACAAATTACGCATGCAAAATGCCAACTTTGTATAAGCTGCCCGTGCACACGCCCGCATTTTGTTTTTGTTGGCAGCAGGCGCAGAGCCCAAAGCGCGCAGCGCCTAACTCTAAGAAGCGTCGTTTGTCCGCTTGGGAGTTTGGCAGCTTTTTTGTTTTTCCCCATGATAAGCTGATTTGAACTAGTTTGACTTATTGAATGATTTTGATCCGCTGATCGCCGAGAAGCATTTAAACGAAAAAAAACAAGTTTTCCAAAGATGAGATTGCTCTTTGGTTTTATATGTGTGCTGCTTGCAGAAGTGCATGCGGTAGCGTGTATAAACATGACTTACAATGAGATGGTGGAATGCTTTTGCATGCCCGTGGGATATGTGCGTGGGGAAGAAGTTTGTGTGAGCCCGGAGTGGATGGGGCACCCGGTGTGTGTAGAAAGGCTAGGATGGCTGGGATACATGTACAACCTGCGGAGGTACGCGTACGGGCTGGATACGAGCTTCAGCCTGCTTCCAAGCGGAGAGGTAGATAAAAGCGGAAAAGAGGTGTACATGTACGCCCGAGAGCCAGAAAAGGACAGGGCACACCAGCCCGATGGCATTAACAGCAATGTATTACTTGAAGGAGGTGGAGAGTACCGCGTGGCGTTCCATCGCACGCTGGTGAATATGTTTGGCCTGCAGAAGAAGGGGGGCCTGACGGTTGAAACTGGACGGCCATGCTCTTTCACAGAGTTTCTCCGGGAGAGCTGCAAAACAAAAACAGAGGCGCACTACGTGTTGACTGCGCTGGTTCTGCTGAGCGAGGGCATGGACGTTCCGATTGAGGCAGCTGGGAACAAAGTGATTCTAAAAAAAAGAAAAGACAGCGAGGAGGTGCTGGTGGACGCATATATAAACATGCCAGCCGTGGAGAGTGGAGAAATGCAGTCATCCGAGACGTGGAATGTAGTAAACTTCTTCAAGCGGTGCAGAAGCGCATACAGGCTGCCGAGCACATACGAAGAGTTTAAAACAGGATACTTTCTGGAGAGCCCGCAGCTTCTTATTCTCACCTACGTAGGCGAGTACGTGGAAAACGCGGAAGAGCTTATGTCTGTGATGGAGTGCATATTCAAGCTCGTGGAGGGCATGGGCTTGGCTGAGAGCGTGGGAGACGCGGACAGCGTGGCCGGGCGGCTGTTTGTGCCTGAGAGCCGGATGCCTAAGGCCCAAGCGAATCTTGCGCCGTTTCTAGAGATATTTCCTGGTTTAACGGCCTTGGAGCACTTGGAAGAGTTTAACTATTTTCAAAGAAAAGCCAGATATCCGGTCCTAATTGACAGCGCCTCAGACGAGAATAAGGAGAACTTTAACGAGCATGCTACGAACTGCAGGTTTCTTGGAGCGTGTCTGCTATTGCCGTGCCTGGCATACAACCCAGAGAAGAACGCGTACAGCCTGGAGGGCCTGCTGGCCGGGGCCGAAAACACGGAGGAGGTGGCCAAAACCAGGGCGTTTTTTGAGGCAGTGCAGACACACATAGAAGAGGGTTTTTCTTTGGGCTGGCTGAAGGAAGGACATGTGCAAAAACGAAGAGACCTGTGGATCATGGTGCATAGGCAGTTTGTAGAGGCGCTGGGGAGTTTGGAGCCGACGGTTCTAAACCAGATGCGCGTGCTTGCGCTGATGACCGGGCGGCCGCAGGCCGTGATGGACGAGCTGGCAGCGCACCAGGCAGCCATGGATGCGGAAAGAAGGACAGAATTAACTCCTGAGGCGATCGAGTGCGTTCGGGCGCTGCTGCGCTCGATAGCAGTGGACAAAGGCGTGGCGGTGACGATTAGAGAGGACTTCGGTTTCTTTAGAGGCAAAGAATACATAATTACAATACGTCATGTGCCCGAAGGCATCAACAGATGTGAAACAACGGCGGTGTTCACACAAGAAGAGACTTGGATGAGAAATCAATTTTTTCCTCACCGAACTCTCTCTAGCAGAGAGGAGAATGTGTTGGGCACGGCGGTCGTGCAGTACAGGAGGGAAGCGCTGTTTTCTGGCTATGTGCTTGCAGAGTGCATGCAACGAATGGCAGCTGTAAAGGACATTTTAAACCTTGCAAACAGAACAGTTGAAGATGTGCAAGAAGCTGCGCGGTGGACAGTTGAGTGCAGTCCAGCAAGGCCAACCCGCGTTCTGATGGCGCTGCCAGCTATGAGCAATTACTTCAGGAAGGAGCTTGTCTATGCGCTGGTGCTGTATGCCGAGCAGAAGAAGATTGTGCTGACGCTGGCACACCCAGTGGGTCGACTGATTGCGAACATGATAGGGAGCATTGACCTTAGCGACTCGACAAACCGGCGTTATATCCTGAAAGTGCCTATAGTCTCTAGCACTCTGCAGGTGCTGTGTCCAGCGCTGCAGCTGTCTGAAAAGTCGCGATGGGAGCTTTGGAACTCATACATGCTTAATATTCATTTCGTGCCGTATCCCTTCGAAAATACCGATTTGCTTACACGGGAAAACCTTATGTGGTGTCTTCGAGCGTACGCAGAGAAACAAAATGCGCCGCTGTTCAGGTGTAAGCTGCTGCATAAACATGCGAACATAGCAAAGCATAGCAAGTATCTGTTTTCGACGGACCCGATGGCATCCCTACAAGAGATATGTGCGCTTGTTCTAGCAGATAATGCGGGAGAAGACCTGGTGACGGCCAAGGCCCTGGCCAATGCGCTGCGGCTGTCCTGGCTGGCGATTCTTTTGGAGAGGGGCTTGGAGGAGAATCGAGACGCAATTGTCGAGATTTACAAGACTGTTAAGCCAGGGTATCTTGAAAAAGACCTTAGAAGGCTTTGCGATTTTTGGTGGTACGTAAATCTAAACTCTACCCTAGACAGCCTGAATAGAGCAAGGAATGCTCTTGTAGGGGAAGGCGGCTGCGCGAAGTTTGAAGCGCTGTGTGAACTCTACCGCCAAGCATGCACTAGATTCCAGGGTTGACTCGAAAGCATTATTTGATGGCGCCCTTCCCTTGCCTGCTCTCGGGCTGCCCAGTGCCCAAGTGGCGAAGCTTTGAGTGTGGTGTGGCTGCTGCCAACCATTCAGTTCACGCCACAAATAGGCAAGTGCGGGCTGTTCTTTGGCTGAATCTCTATGGAAAATAAAGAAGCAAAAACATATGTGCTTTGGAGCAGGTAACTGCCAAGTTTGTTTAGTGGGCGCGGGAGAAGAAGGCCGCAGGAAGCTGCTGGGTTTTCAACGGATGGAAGAGCTGTGCTGCTGTTCCAAGCTTGCGGCGGATTCTGTCTTAAATGCGTGGGTGGCCAATGGGACAGTTATAGCGTGTTTTGAGCTGTACTGCTGGAAGTATCCATGTGAACCATTGTTCTTTATTTTTTTCGGCCTTCTTAAAAACTTATGTGTTTAACTTGTCATTGTTTATGACTGCTGCCAGAACAATAATCAATTTACGAGTAAATATGCTTTCAACATACAACATGTTGGCTTGACAAACGCCATGCAAGACTATGAAAAATTAAGTGCATATGTATTTAAGCAGAACAAAAAAGAACAAAAGACAATGGTTCACTATCACTTCCAGTATTACAGCTGGCGCTTATTTATGCTCGGAATCTCTTTGCATCTGAATAGAAATTGCTCACACATACGCTTTGGGTGATCCTTTGGTTTCCACATACACACGTCCATTATGATTTTGGCCTTCTCTAGAGCGTGGGAATTCTAAAAGTCTACCAGAACAGCCATTCAACCATATAACCAACCAAGGAATAGCCAGAATAACTATCTATTCAACCAACTATTCAACACATCTACTCAACCAACTAAACTAACACATCTATCTATTCATGTACCCAACTAACTCTATACCTATACCGTGATACTGTCGTGCTATTATAACCCGCATAAAAGCCTGCATTTTCTGCAATTTTAATTTTTTCATGCCAGAGCCAGAAATGCCGAGTGAAATTTCCGCCTGCAAGGACCTTCTTCTGAAGCTGAAAAAGAGTCCGCATGCAGGCCCATTTCTCTATCCTGTTGACCCGCATAGGCTCAACATTCCCGATTACTACGACAAAATAAAGCACCCAATGGACCTTTCCACACTCTCAAAGAAGATAGAAACAGGCGCGTATAAGACCCCAGAAGAGTTCAAAGCAGATGTAAACTTGATGCTTTCCAACTGCTATACGTACAATCAGCCGGATACTGCCGTATACAAAATGGGGCTTTCCCTTGAGAAGTTGTACAAGCAGCTGCTCGCTAAGGGCGCTCTGGAGGGGAAAACTCAGCCCGAAAACTCCCCGAAACTCCCGGAGGGCGAGAAAAAGAAGCAAAAAATGGGCCCGAGTGCGTCTGGAATGGCCATGGAGGAGAGGGAAAAGTGCCTGGATGCCTTGGGGGAGATATCCAAGAGCAAGCACAGGCGGATAAATTGGCCGTTTTTGGAGCCCGTGGATGAGAGCCTCGTTCCGAACTACTACGCCCTTATAAAGCACCCGATGGACATTTCCACGATGAAGAAAAAGCTTGTTTCCGGAAAATATCAGGGCACTGATGAATTCGTCCGAGACTTCGACATAATGATCAGCAACTGCCACACATTCAACACGGAGGGAACGGAAGTATACGTTTGCGCCACGAAGTTAGACGCTTTATTCAAGCAGATATTCATGGATAAGAAGAAGAAAAAGGCCGGAGATGATGCAGCACGGATTTCTGCGCTGAAGAGCCTTATTGCGCAGTACGAGGGGGAGCTTAGGCGGCTTGAAAGGAGGCCTGCACCCCCGGAGTTCGGGTATGAGGAGAAAGTCAAGCTCAAGAAGCGCGTGGAGGCACTTCCCCACAACAGAATGAAAAGCGTAGTGGCTTTTATCCAGCAAAATGTCCCATATACGCTCGTGGATCAGGACGAGATCGAAGTGAACTTGGACGAACTCGATCAGAGTGCTCTTGCCCGGCTCAGTGATGTCATTCAGGAGACGTGCGTCCAGGAGCAGCACCTGGATAGCGACTCCAGCAGCGAGTGAGGGAAACCCCGAATAACCCGAAACCAATAAACGGCAGTATATATTACACAGTGTGGCATGCGTGCTGGTATTTATTAGGTGGTGTAGCATAGGTAATAATAGCTCCGCCTACTTGCTGCACACTGCATACCATGTGCTACTTGTTACGCAGTGTGCAGCAAGTCTTGCTGCTTTTGCACAGTGTGCAGTAGGTAGTGGTGTTTTCATTTACTGCATAGTGTGCCATAAATCGCACTATTTATTGCGCAGTGCCCATTAGATTCTGGCGAGCTCTGCTGCTTACTGGACAGTGTGCAGTTGGTGGGATTTCTAAGACACCGCGCAATAAATAGTGGGGAAAAATGCAGCTACTTATTACGTAGTGTGTACTAATTGCCGATGCTTTCTACTGCTTGGCACACACTGCACAGTAAGTAGGAGAATATGCTGGCACTTACTACGCCCTGCACAGTAAGTAAAACACCCACTGCTTAGTGCACACTGCACCATAAATGCCAGCACCCATGCTACAATACGCAATAAGCAGTGCACTTGCTCTCCAGTGCGTAATAAGAAAGAGAATCCACCACCAATTAGTAAACACGGCACAATAAATAATCTATCACTGCACCCACCCAATAAACACAGCACTTACTACACAACACGCAATAACTAGCACAGCATATGGTGCACTCTGCAATAAATACCCCGAGTGCACAAAGCAAGAGAAACGGCACTACTTACCGTACAGCACGCAATAAATACTGCCATTTACGCAGCACCCCACAACAAATAGCATACTTACTGCACACGGCACAGCAACTATTGCAGAACTGCCCGGGCAATAACCTGAACCCCACACTTTTTCAGGTAATTGCATTTACATTCGCATTGTTTATTTTTCATGATTATAGGAAGAGCCTTTGCATGTGCAGCCCTGGCTTTCGGGTGGATATGCGCCTCAGAAGAGAGCAGCACCCCACAAAAAGCACTCCAGAGTCCTGCACAGGAGAATCCCCGGAGTCCCCAGAGCCTTTTCCAAAACGCCCTGAAACTGCCAGAAGGCGCTGTAATTTTCCGAATAACCCGAATAAACAAAAAAACACACGCAGAAATCGAGAAAATGCGGAGAATCCCCCTGAAGACCCCCATTATAACGTACGTTGACGGCGTAAAAGAGATGCTGCGCCCACAAAAGGAGAAGCAAGTCCCAATAGTCGTAACACTCCGTGGGATATCGATGCTTTCCAGCCGAGTCATCGTTTCCAGCCCCAGAGAAAAGAGTCTCCTCGTAGCAGCATGCGGAATTCCCCCAGAGAAAGTCTCCGCCCTCCCTGGAGAACCCGAGACTTCCCCCACGAAAACGGTCACCCTCAGAAAGTTCCAGGTTCCAGACGGGTTCTACGTGCTTCTAGCAGGTGCAAACCTCCACATAAACGCAGAAATCCGCAGAAATCGCCTGCAACGGATTTTTCTCCGGGGAGTTGATGAGAACCTGAAAAAGTCCAAGAATAAAATTGTCCGGGGACCCTACAGCAGGCTCATGCGAGAGGTCTTTGCAGACGTGCGAAGAAAGGGCGTTGATTTAGGCCCCTCAGACTCAACGATTTTAACGGCAGATTCTGCAGGAAGCCTGGTTTTACGCCTTCCCGGAGTCACTGTGAGAGTAAATAGGAAAAAAATGGCAGTTACGGTGGAAACCCGAAAAGATGCTCCTGCAATGCCAGGACTGGCCTCAGAAAAGAGCAGGAAGTGGGCTTTCAAGGAGGCAGAGAACAGGTTTGCAGTTTCCCATCGGCTGCTCGCGTACAGAAAAGGGGGAAGCACAGGGTATATGTACAACAGGCCGAGAAGACACCCCCGAGAGATTTTCGAGCCTTTTTTCGAGGCTTCTCCCCTGAAACGAGTTTTCCTCCGGGGAGATTTCAGGCCTTCCGGGATGGGGATAGTCTCGTGCCGGTTTCTCCTGGGCCTGGCAGAGCACCAGAACTTGCTCGTTCGCTCGGACGCACTTGCAAAGTTCCAAGCCCGGAGGACTCCCCGGGAGCTTAGCTATAAACTTGTCCGTTTGTACCTGGCAGAAAGCGGGCAAACAACGAGGAGAAGGGCAATATACCCGGAGGGAAAGTTTGCCTTGCCCGGAGTTGAGATCCAGAACAGATTTCCCCCGTATCCACCGCATGAAATTCCCGGGTACCCGAAAATATTCGTCCATTTCCCGTGGGAGTTCAGCGTCATTCCCTCCGTTTGGTCTGAGCCTCTTAGAAGGTCCAAGCGCGTGCATCTCATCGTTCCGTCGGGGTTCTGCAAGAAAGTGCACGAGAGTGGAGGAATTGGAGGGCATCGGATCCACGTGGTTCCGCATGGGGTTGCGCACGAGACGTTTAAGATGCTGCAAGCCCTGGAATCTCCGCGAAAAAACAGGTTTCAGGGTCTTGATAAAAAAAACGGAAAATCCAAAAAGAATGATTGCGTCAGATTCGTGATGATTAGCGGAGCACTTGCCAGGAAGGGCTTGGACGTGGGGGTAAAGGCTTTTACAAAGGCATTTACGCGGAAGGATAACGTAGTCCTGCGGATCCATGCAGCGTACGGGGATAGCTCTGCAAAGTGGCATCTCAGGTCTCTGGTCCGGACGAATCAGGTCCGAAATGGGCCCAAGATCATCTATACGGAGGGATACATCTCCGATAAAAGCGTGCAAAAGATGCTTGAGGAGGCACACTATAACGTGGCCCCGTACAGGGGAGAAGGCTTCGGAATAAACATTCTGGACGGCCTCTCCTTTGGGGCAGTGCCTATTGTGACGAATGCAGGGCCTGCACCTGAATTCTGCAGCAAAAAAGGCTCTTTCCTGATCAACTGCCAGATGGAGAACATCCACACTACGCCTGTGAGCCTGCGGAATGGCAGAGTCTACATGTTTGACGTTCTTGTAAGCAGAAGCCCGAAATGGTACGAGCCCAGTCAGGCGCATCTGGAAATCCTTCTGAAACAGGCCCGCAAAATAGCAGGCACAAAGAAGTACGTGCAGATGCAAAAAGAGTGCTTGCGGACAGCGAAAGAAATGTCCTGGTCCGCATCGATAGAGGAGCTCTTGAAGGTTATCCTGGGAAAGCGCAAGAGCAAAAAATAAATGTGTACCATAAAAGAGTTCTGGAGAGATTCAAAAGCCCAAGGCCAGCACAAGAATAAATGTACGAATAAGCATCAAAGAGTCAACTTTACTATTATTACCCCACAGAAGCTAAAGCTCAAAACTATGCCATAGCAGTGTTATAGCATGTATTATAGCATGTATACTAGAACAGTACTAATGTATGCTAGAAACTTATGTTAGAACAGTAGTAAAACATTCTATAAACTTATACTAGAACAGTACTAATGTATGCTAGAAACTTATGTTAGAACAGTGTTAGAACAGTTCTAATGTATGCTATAAACTTATACTAGAACTATGCTATAAACTTATACTAGAATAGTTGTAATGTATGCTATAATCCTACTACAGCACGATCAAATGATCGCCAATACGCACTATAACTCTACCACAAATTTACTATAACCCCATCAAAACACCCCTCAAACTACTGCAGCCTCCCTGCAATCCTGCACCTCCAGAAGCAGCGTCTTTCTTGCGGCTGCCCTGAACTTTCCCAGGATCCCCCGCAGTACACGCCCTGCAGCCGCGCAGAACTCCTCCAGAATCACACCCGAGTAGTACCCAACGACCACGCAGAAAAACCCCATGACGCCAAGAACCAGGCCCTCACACGCCCTCTCCACAGCAGCTTCTGGCACGTCCCAACTTTTCATAAAAATACAGCCAGGCACAATTAAATCCTGCACTCTCTATTTATTCACTGCTCTCTGCACACGGGCACATTCTCCTTCGCATCTTCTCGCTCCTCAATTGCCTCTTTTACGAAGGCAATTCTCCCTTTGAGCTCGTACACTTTGTTGAGGTCTACTTTCTCCTTGCTTATGGAGATGAGTATCCGCTTCAAAGCATCGCTTCTGCTCGCCATGTCCGAGGAGTACACATTCCCCTCCTTTTTCACGACATCCACGGCCACGCTCTTCAGAGTGTTTCTCCTGCAGGAAAGCACCGCCCGAATGCACAGGAGCACTTCGTACCGCATCTCCTTGCTCTCAAAAAGCTCAGTCAGAACTTCCAGCAAGGGAATGACTGATCCCTCGGAAATCCCAGAAATCATCTTTGCTTGGGCATCTTCCTGGAGCTCCACAAACTTATACAGAAACTCCTTATTCTTGCTAATAACGGCCTGCTCCAGGGCGGACTCGCACACAGCCTGTGAAGAACTCATAAAAAATTTTCGGATCGAAAAGTATTTACTGCAAACTTTTAGAGAGAAGAAAATAAAAACGTCGGCACAGCGATAAAACAGTGCAGAAGTGCAGTGAAAATTACGGCCTTTATTATTTTTAGATTTGCTAGACATTTTATTCTATTCCCTAATGTCCAACGTATGCAGCCCATATCAGGCCGATACAAGCAAACCAATACGAGCAAACTTGCTTCTGCACAGAGCAGCAATAAGCAATTGCTAATTATAAAGGTCCTCCAGATGCCTCATACTTTAATATGAAATTATTTTGGCTCTTTTCTATAGCTCTCTACTCCTCGTAATTATCGTCATCAGTTCCCTCCTGCTCCTCCACCTCCTGGGGCCTTGCCTTCCTTCCTCGCGTAATGTCTTTGTTCCGCATCTTTCCGTGGATCCTGTAGTACAGCCCGCACGCATTGCAGACGACTATATCCCCAATTCGGCGCCACAGGCTGGTTTCCTTCGTGTGGCAGAACCCACACATCCTTTGAGACTCATCAACGTACACGCGCTTCGCCTGCATTGTTTTCATGTAGTAGCTTATAAGCATCTTCTTAACGTTAATCGCGCGGATTGAAGGGTCCTCCTGCACTGGCTTCTTCTCTGCCCCATTTGGCTCGTACCGCATCTCTATTCTGCGCCTTAACTGCTGCTGATCCGCCTCGCCTCTTATCTTTTTACTCTTCATGAAGATAATTTTCGAATTTTCAAAAAGGAATTCATTTATTATATATCCTGCCTTTCCATTGGCGCACTGCCACTTTCCGGGTCCTTGCCCTTGAAAAGGCGCCTGGGACGAGAGAGTCCCCCGTGCGTCCTGGAGTACAGTCCGCACGCGTTGCAAACGACTGTATCCTCGAACTTCCTCCACAGAGGCGTTTTCAGCGTCCCACACTGCGAGCAGGAAAATTTCAAGCACTTTTCGTCCTTTCTCTTCGTGCAGGACTCGCTAGAAAGCGTGCAGTTGGAGACTTTCTTGCAGATGGAAGTGCACTTCCCCAGGGAGTTCCTCTGGTGCAGGTGCAAGTAGACGCTCGAAAACCCATTCCCCCGGTGCAAGTAGAAGCGCACATTTTGCATTCCCGTGCTCACGTCCATAAGCATGAAGACCTTCTCCGAGTCGTACTCTGGGAGAGTCTCTCGTGCGGAGACGTATCTCTCGCTTTCCGCGTACTGCTGAAAATCGTCTTCCTGGAGCATCTTTTTGGCTTTCCGGAATTTGCAGATATTTATCCGCTTGAAAATGATCTTTTCGCGCGAGATTGTACTTTCTGCTCGGTCCCATGGAGTCACTGCCCTGCGGTATCCCGCCTCTGGAAGTGGCTTATCCTGTCGGTTCTCTTTAAGTTCCTGTACTCCTTCATGGCCTGGTTTTTCTTGTTTCTCCTCTTCTGCTCCTTCAGCTCGGAGTGTCTGTCCACCATCGGATCCTCGTGGTCCTTTATCTCGATGAGCCAGTTTCTGTCCAGATCGTTCTTGCTGCCTCTTCCAAACGAGGGGACGTGCTCCCGCGTGACTTCATCGTACGTCCGCCCCCCTGACTTGTTCTTGTTCCTCCGGATCCCCTTTCTCGCAGCAAAAGCCTCCCACTTCGTCATGCGGGCATCCTGTGGGAGGATCCTCGCCCTGGGAAAGACCGTTTCCTTCGAGTACTCCGGAGAGTGCGGGAGTATCTCCTTCGGGACTATATACTGCGCAGCTGCGTGCAGGTCGTACTTCGTCGGAAGTTCTTTCAGCTTTTTGAAGAACCCCAAAAGTGTGCCCCTATACTTCTCTGCGGGGGAGGCTTCAGAATTCCTCCTTCCTATGGCTATGAACGACTTAACATCAAAGACGTCTTCCAGTTGCATAAAATTTTTCAACTTTTCCACGCCCATATACTACCCCAGAAGCATCCAGTAGCATATAAAGAGACTATTCACAATGATAAGGGGGATAAAACAGAGAGTTTTCACAGTTCTAATCAGCTCGGAAAGTTGCCTAATTGAGGCATGGTCGCTCTTCCTGCATATTCCCACGTTGTTCAGGAATCTGTCCTCGTTTAGGATGCACACGCTGTTTCCCAGCATCGTAAAAGTGTACAGAATCGTCCCAAGGCCAAACATAAAGTGAAAATATTTTTGGCATAAATGCAAATATACGCGCAGTGCTGAGGGCAGATGCTTCGTGGGAATATGCGTTTTATAGGGAGACTGCGTGCTTTTATTTGGGGGGTGGACTCCTGGAGTTATAGGCACTCCCTGCTTCCTGCGGGGAGAGAAACAATATTTCCGCATTTTCACGGCAGTTGCTCCTGGAGGAAGAGCTGTCTCCTTCGGGGAGGGCCCTGGAGGCGTTTCTTCTCCTTCAGGAGGTGCTTTTTCTCGTACAGAAGCACCAGAACGCACGGGGAGACCACTGTGCAGAAGAACTCCCACGCGGACACGTGCAGGACGCTCGTGCACTCTGAGAAGTTGCTGAGAAGAATGTTTAAAACGAGGGCGAGGGCTCTCTCCGCGTAGATGTTCCCCGGGGAGTGTGCACTGAGGGCGCGCATCGCCAGAATGAAGAAGATCGTTGCCCCGTTGGCAGAGTCGATTCTTTCGGCCTCCGTGGAAAAGCACAGCGAAGAAAGCACCTGCAGGGCCCTGGATGTCGGCCTGTGGAAGGAAAGGAGGAAAGATCCTGCCCCAAAAGAAACCCCCGCATGAAAAAGCCCGATCCCAGAGAAGAGGCCGTAGAACAGGGGAGAGACAAAGAGAATGTGCAGAAGTTCTATCAGGCGAGCATTTTCTATGCGCCTTCGGATATACTTGTCCTTCACAAGCGCAAGAAAAACAGCAAGAATATAGGCGTACTCGACGCAGTAGAGCAGGCCCCACTTTCTGTCGATGAAACAGGCTGCATTCACTGCTGCAAGAGTAATTGATATTTTGTTGCATGTCCCCCACATCACAAGAAGATCCGCGTGGGGATACCTGTACCTCATGTAAATAAAGAAAAATATCCGGATATTTCCCGTGCAGGAGAAAAGACAAAAAAACACAGGGAGTTGTGCAGTTTATTCTCTTCTCTAGTTACGATTTATTTACGAAGGCAGGTGCTCCTGCGGTGCCTCTCTTGAGCTCAGTCGCACACGTCCACTATTTCGTCCATGTGCGAGCCATTTCCCTGGAGTATGCAGTCCGCAAGGAATATGATGTTTCGCACCTCTATTTCCTGCAGGGTCAGGTGCGTATATACTACGCTGGGATCGTCGTATATGTAGAAAGACTTGTTGCAGAGCCGGACCTCCTCCCGAGTCAGCGCATCTTCCAGGCCTCGCTCATTTCCGATGATGTTTCTGTGCCTGCTGTGCGTGCTCAGCACTCCTTGCAGCTCGTCGATGCTTTTGCAGCCCAGGAGAAGGTCCTTGTGTATGTCCGAGAAGGTGCTGCACGCAGGAAAAAGGTTCATTTTGTCGCTGGCACTGAGCGTGGAGTCTATCGAGGAGTACAGGACCTCTATGATCCTTTTGTCGCCCTCAAACTGCACGAGTTCTGCGAGTATCAGGTTGTTCTTCACTGAAAATTCGTACAGAAGCTCAAGGTACCTTTTCTGCAGGATGCTTCGGACGTACTGAATGTCTTCCTTGAGGATCTCGTGCGACAGTCCGACGACGTACTTGCACAGACTCGTATGCTCCAGGCAGTACTTCCACGTGTCCTGCGGGGTCTGCGTTACCTTTATGAAGCTCAGGCCTGGGTATATCCCGAGCGGATGTATCTCCAGGGCAGTTTCGAGGGACTTTGGGCTCTCCTCCTTGCACGCCCATAGATAGATGAAGTTGTCGAGCTGATACTTCTCCCGGTAGAAGTCTATGAGAACTGAAGACTTTTCCGTGGCAAAAGAGTTTGTGACTTTCATCTGCTTTTCGATCGATTTATATATCGCCTCCTTAAAGGATTTTAACGACGACTCCGTCTCTTCCATGAGGCAGCTCCCGTATACGCTGGTCTGAAGCTTCAGTTTTAGGTCCTCCAGAGTGCTCGCTGTCTCCAGAGTCCTATACTGCTCCCTGCTCATGAGCTGGTTTCTGCTCCCGTGGACGTAGTTAATTATTCCTGCTTCTGCATACATCTCTGAATAAATAATTAAAATTATTTGCAATTTATATCGCGAGAAATATCTGCTCACGCCTCAACACGCTACAACAGTGGTATTCGGGAGAGGCCCACGAGACACCGCAGAACTTCGCATGCGGAGAGAGCGCATTCTTTTGGAGGCACCCGCGAAATTTCCCAGTCTCCCACAATTTCTCAGGCTGTAAATGCCCAAAATCAGCGCAGAGAGTCCTCCTGAAAAGTGCATGTGTGCGCAGTATGCAGCCAGTGCAACAGGTGCTTTTCCAGTGAAGGTTTCTTTCGGAGGCAAATGCTGTTATATTCTGCTTTTTTTTTCTTGCAATGCCTTCTATTTCAGTGAGCAAGAATGCGCTGCTTGCAGGCATAGAGAAAACATACACGGACGAAAAAACAGAAGAGGCACTTTTCGAGTTTGGCTTGGAGTTGGACGAGATATACACGGAGGAGGGAGAAGTCAAATACAAGATAGACATTCCTGCGAATAGATACGACCTTTTGTGTCTTAGGGGCCTCGTGCACGGACTGAAAGCGTACATAGACAATGCCCCTGGGAAGAGTCTTTGTGTGAAGACAGTCGATGAGAAAGTCCTGGGAGACAGGCCAGAGGGCCGTCCTTATATAAAAGTGGCCGTTATGAAGGGGATAGACCTGGAAAATGGCGGATATTCTGACCTTATAAACTTCCAGGACAAACTGCACCAGGGCCTGGGGCTTAACAGGACGCTTATGGCGATAGGAACGCACGACTACGACAAAACCCAGCGGCCGTACAGGTACGTTGGCGAGGATGAAGACCTCGTAAAGTTCCAGCCTTTGTCGCAGGACAGAGAGTACACCCGGAAGGAGCTCGACACCTTGTACGAGAAGGACGGAAAGTTGAAGGAGTACCTGAAGCTGGGCAGAGAGAACGGGAAAGTTCCCGTTCTGTACGATGCCACGGGAAGAGTCCTTTCTCTCCCCCCGCTTATCAACAGCGACTTTTCCAAGATAACGGAAAAGACCAAAAACATACTTGTAGAAGTCACGGGCACGGACCTGGGAAGAGTTTCAACGGCGATGCATCTGATACTGCACCACTTCGCAGAAACAACCACGGAGATTGAGGAGCTCACCCCAGACTCCCCCGAGGAAAAGTCCCCGTTCACCGTTGAAGTCACCCCGGAAACCGTTAAGAAAGAGCTTCTTATAGACCTCTCCCTGGAGACAGTAAAGACGTACCTGGAGAGAATGATGCACACTGTGGAGGTTCTGGAGGGATCTGGCGCGTGGAGAGTGCGGGTCACGCCCTCCAAGCTCCGAACTGACGTCCTGCACCTGTGCGACATCGTGGAAGATATCGCAATCGCCCACGGATACAACAACTTCAAGAAGACCCTCGGAAATACCTACACAGTAGGCCAGGAATTGCCCGTGAATAGAGCAGCAGACGCCCTCAGGCGAGAGTGTGCAATGGTCGAGTACACAGAACTCTTTACGATGGCGCTAATGTCTCGGGAGGACTACTACGGATTCGGTGTGGAGAGACACATTGCAGTTAAAAACCCGAAAAGCACCGAATGCGCAATACTCAGGCAGCACTTGATTCCCTCCGTGCTGAAGTGCCTCATTGCAAACCAGCACTACCAACTCCCCCTGAAGGTCTTTGAACTCTCCGACGTGGGAGAATTCGCAGAGTCGGACGTTGGCGTCAGAAACAGCAAGCGCCTGTGCATGGGAATATGCGGGCGAAGTAGCGGACTCGAGTCCCTGCAGGAGTCTTTTGACGTCGTGATGAAGAGGCAGGGATACGCCGTAACGTACGAGGAGGAGGATGCAGCACCCTTTATCCCCGGAAGGTCCTGCAGAGTCCTGCACAAAGGGAAAAAGATCGGAGTTATGGGCGTCATGGACCTCAGCATCCTCAACTACCATAAAATGCCGTTTATCTGCTCCTTCGTAGAAGTCTCAGTAGATGAGCTTGTGAACCCATAAATAAAGCGGACTCCCACATAAGACAGACTTCTCTGCACGCAAATCCTCGATATACAAGACTAGAGGTACGATCAAAGTGTGCAGTTAATTTCAGGTGCCCGAGAGTGTTTAAGCATTGCTGTATGCGGAAAGCTTAGTTGCTCGTAAGCGGCTATTTTGATCCTGGCTTGACAGACAGCGTGCAAGATTGCGGTGGGCTGTGATACTGGAAGTGCTAAGTAAAACATTTCCCCTTGATATTTCTTGGCCTGCTTAAACAGACATATTCAGATTGTTGCATGCGGAAGCATATTTTCTCGTAATTTGCTATTGTTTGGATGATAAATGAATATTTGTTTGGCAGCTGCCATAAACAGTGATAGATTAAATATATAAGTATTTAAGCCAGACAAGAGTTGAGTTGTAATACTGGAAGTAGTCATCTGAAACATTATCTCTTAATATCTAGATGCGCAGCCCTTTAACTAAGCCCATCCAAGCAACAACAATCACGAGCCAATTGCTTCCGCATGCAAGATTATGGTGAATTGAATGCACAGTGTCTAAGCACAGGCGTAAAAAATAAGGCCGTAATTTCACTAGCACTTCTACGATTACAGTGCAGGTGCAGCCTCACTCGTAGAGTTCAGCCTGCTTAAACCCGTGCATTTTCTGGCTCCCCTGCAGCCTAAATTTAGCCTTTGCGCCTCTCTAGCACCAGCCAAGAGCAAAAATGCAGCAAAAATGCAGCAACTGAAGCATTTCCGGAAATCTGCAAAAATATTTTAGTTTACATGAGCTGGTTCTTTGCGCTTCTTGAGCACGCTGAGAGGAAGGACTGGGTCAAAAGAAGCCCGGAAATGGCTCTGGGCATACTCGTGCACTTCATCGCCTCAAAAACGCAGAGCACCTCAGCAGCAGCAAAGGAAAAAATACGGCGGATATACGCGTCCACACTCGACTATCTGCACGAGGAAAGCGAAGCCTTCTCCCCGGAAGAATGCGCCCCTCCCACGGCAAGCCCAGACGCAAAAAAGCAGAAGGTTCAGGCCCTTGTAACGGCAATGAACGGCCTTTTCTTGCTGATTGAGAAGGAAAAGAGCGACCAGCACCTCCTGTACTACGCCCCCATCGTGTGCGACTTCATCCTGTCGAAATTTGCGACGGAAAGAGTGAAAGTCTCCCTCGCCAGAAAAGTCTCCCAAATTCTTTTCATGGAGTGCCCAGACGAGGCCTTCGCAGAAGTTGCAAATGCACTCGCACGCCTGGAGGAAGAAGGCGAAGATCTTCCCGAAATATCCGCAAGTGCCCAGAAGAAGGCAACGCATAAGACGATGCAAAGACTCTTCAACTTCCAGCGGGAGCACCCGAAGCAGCTGAAAGTCCTGCACAAACTGGGGATCGACAGGAGTCTTATTGCAAGGCCCTGCCGTGCCCTGAAGCCCAGCCGAAACAATAACCCCGAAGAGTCCTCCCCCGAGAAGATGCACCTGCGCATAGAAAAGAGCCTGTGCATAAGCGCCTTCTTGGAGAAGCTGCAGGCTGCCTTCGACAGGAAGCTCTTGGGCACCCTCCCGAAGAAGAAGGAGCTTGAGATGGCGAAGGCCCTGGAGAGGCACGAGAAAGCATTCCTCTCGGAAACAAAGGCCTCGGAAAGTCTCCCCGTCGAAATCATCCAGCACTCTCTCGCATGGGGGAGAAGCAAGACCGACGTAAAAAGGGCTGCAAAGAAGCACGTAAGAGAAAAGGCCGGAAACCCCCCAAAATACGTCCCAGTCCTTCTGGCGTGGTGCGAATTGCACGACAGAGCATCGCTCCAGGGGGACTGCTCGGGGCTCAGCGCGGAAAGTGCAGGCGTTTTTTGGGACAGCTTTTTCTTCTTTCTCTCCCTGTGCGGGGCGGAGAGTGTGCAGGTTCGGGAGGCGTGGAACTCCGTGAAGGGGCATTTTCGGGGGTTCCTGCGCCTGGAAAATACCCGTATCCTCGAGAGGCTGCACAGAAAGTATCCGTGGACGCTGAAGGTTCCGGAGGTCGTCGAGGCGTACACGTGCAGGGGGAAAGAGCCTGCTCCCTTGCAGGACTTCTACGTGCAGCAACTCGTCCTGCACCGGATCCAGGGCGTGGTGGAAAAGCACGGACTTCACGAAGTTGCCTGCACTGAGATGCTGAAAATGAAGGATAAAAGCGCGCAGGAGATGCTCTGGGGGATAGACCCGGAGTTTGCAGGGAAGAGTGCACTTTCCTGCAGGAAGACTTTCCCCTTCATGAAAGTCCCGGAAATAGTCGAGTATGCAGAGGCGTACGCACGGCAGACAGCAGGCATTAGCGAGGAGGCGAAGAAAGTGGTGCCCCTCCTGCTGAAGGAGGACCTTTCAGAGATCCCTGCAGAGCAAATCCGCGAGATACTTTGCAGGACCAACCGGGAGGAAAAAGTCCAAATACTTCTCCACGTGATGTACATGTTCGCCCTCCTGGAAACAGATGCCCCCGTTCTCGACAGCATGGCCCAGGCCCTTGATCCGGACGCGCACGAAAAACCCCCAAAAATAGTCTAGGGAAACTTTCACGGCGTTAAAGTGCAGTAGAATGATTTTATTGGAGTATTTTCCCTCTATGCCTTTTTCCTAGATAGATTCTCCGCAATGTCTCACTTCACTTTCACGGGGTTGGGAGCTCTGGGGCGGGCGTCTTTTCTCCGGCGTAAATTCATGCGAGAAATCACGGGCAGAAAGTGTAAAGAATAAATCAGCTCGAAAAAATGGGATTGCTTTTTTATTTTTCGGAGTTACTCTCCGTCTGGCCAAACTGCCCCCACAAGAATCGGAAGAACAATGGTCGCATCCGCATGGACTTTCACGGAGTTCGTGTGCTTTTTTATCTTCCCCCAGGAGACGGCTTCGTCCACGCGTGCTCCTGCATCGCTTCCGTCATATTCCTGCGCAGTGTTTACGAGCACGCAGTGATCCAGGCCGTTTCTGAAGAGGTTTGCGTTGAGAATGTGGTGCTTAACAACGCCTGCCCCAAGGACCAGGGCACCCGTACTCTCGCAGAAGAGGCCCTCTCCGTTTATCCTGGCTATATCCTCCACCGTATCAATTACCAGGTCCCGCCTTCTCTTGTAGTACGTTATAATATCCCCAATTGAGCCGTCTGTAATTGCAGGGCAGTAGACGGGAATGCTGTTTTTGTGCGCCCAGTAGTAGACGGACTCCGCGCATTCCACTTTCCGGCCCATCTCGTGTATGAGCCTGGAGGGCGTGATAATTGTAATATCTCCGGCCTTCCTGTATCCGCAGCCCAGGCCCTGCACTTCTTCGCTGCACTTTTCCGACACATCCCCTGCGATAATCCCGTCGAGGAAGGAGGTCATCCACTCCTCGAATAAAAAGTAGTTTTCGTTTGGGATCAGGACATTTCCCACACGATTCAGGCCGCTGGACCGCAAAGAAGCTCCGTCCATGGAAAAGTCTCCCATTCTCGAGGGCCGGAGGGTTTTTATAATGTCTTCTTCAACGCCCCCAGCTGTTGTCACAAGGACGTCCACGAACTTGTTCCGGACTAAGTACGCAATGACGTCCCGAAGCCCTGAAGAAATCATGTTGCTTGTGTAGCCCAGAAAGACTTTGCTTCCATTTTCCCGCATTCTCTTCAGCTCTTCTATTGCCTGGTGCAGGTGTGTTCCCTGGAATCCCACCGTTTTGTACCCCTTCGCCCACTCTGAGAGGCTGATTTTGCAGAATCCAGCCCCAGAGACGGTTTCCATTGCTTGGACCTTCTCCAAGTCCTCCTCCACCTCCGAGTCCGCTAGACCCCGTATGCTTTTCCCGTTATTTTTTGGAGTTTCCCTCTCCGCGCGGTCTTCCATTTATTTCTCTGTTTTTCCAGAGCAGACAAATATTTCGCGGGATTCAGAAGAAAAAGTGAGTAAAAGTGTTTATTACGGATATTCGGCCTAAAACCCCCAGGACCGCAGGGAATAGGCCTGGAAAGTGCATTTCTCGTGCTATATCGCCTTCTTCTCCTGGGCGATCGTTCTTTTCCTCTTGCAGAACGCGCGGGAGGTGCTTCCCCGCATGTTTAGCAAGAGGAAGTATGCAAAGAGCGCGGCCATGAATGCCCCCAGAAGGCACGTCGCAAAGAGCGTATAGTAGAAATAAACGGACATAACGGTAAATTCCATTTTTGGAAAATCCTGATTAAACCTAAAAATAATTGCAATCCCTGACCTGGCAACTTCCAGGGAGAGAAGATTCATGAAATACGGGTAGTTTCTCTCCCCTATGCAGTTATTCAGCCAGATGCAGTGATGGTCCATTTCTGAAACGCACCTGTTGCACTCCCTGCAGTGCGAAGTCCCAAGGGCCCGAAACACGCCGCAAGTCCGGCAGAATATCTCCGAGTGCATACGAGCTCCCTTTCTCTCAAAGGATCTTCCCACAATTTCTCCCTCATCGAGGACGTTTCTGCACATATACTCCTTGAACAGGGTGTGCTCGTAGTACTCGGAATTCCTCTGGGCGAGCCTCCCCGGATCCATTCTCCATATGCTGAGGATGAGGGCTGTAGAGAGAAAAGACATGCAGGCAAAGACCCACCAGGCGCCTCCCTGCAAAAAGAGAAGCCCCAAAAGTGTCCCAAAAACCTCCAAAAAGAGCGAGAAACTTATTTTTGTGCTCATCTGCAGCATTCCCCTGGCAAATTTGTATATTTGCGTTTTTATTGGTTTATTAAGACATAATCTAATTCGCGACTAGGACGGACTAAGCACGGCACTTGACGTATTGGACTCAACCATCAGAACAGACGAGACCGGATCGGCTTTCTCAACTTTTGCAGGAGCCTTTTTCTGCACGGCCTTTCTATATGTTTCTCTCTCAAAATTCAGGAAGAGCCCTATAAGAAAAATAACGTATACTACGTTAAATATAATGGCGGAGTACTGGTACATTTTAAGCGTGGGCTCTGGGCTGAAAGTGTCTGGGCTCGTGATGTATATCGCCCCAAAAAACAGCCCAACGAAGAACTGCGTGATCTGCATGAACGTAATAAGCCTCTTAAAGGGCGGGCGAACACCCACAACTGTCATTGCGTAGTACATGTACATGGCACTGTGGATGAAGGAGTTTAAAACAACCCAAATCCACCCACTGTAGGACTCCGAGAGAGAAACCAGCCAGCACGCAGGAATTGCGCCTGCATGGTGGTACATCTGCAGGAACGAGCTTTCCTTCTGGCTCAGGAAGAGGATGTACGTATCCATGATTTCGTAGTACTTCGAGATGTAGAAGACCCATATCCAGGGCGCCAGCTGCTTCTGCATCGACCGATCAGCGTCTGCAATGAACGCGCGGAAGGGCATTGTGCAGAATCCCGTGTATACGACCTCGAATGTCTTCTTGAAAACAAGCATGCTGAAAATAGACATTCCCATATTGTGCAAAAATATGAGGGACTTTAGCTGGAGGCTTTTTTTGTGGGGAGGCCTGCATCCGCTGGCTTCTGGGGTTTTTGGCCGCAGGATCTCCTTCTTGTTCTTTTTTTCCTTGATGCGCTTGTTGTTTCGGAGCACCCAAACCACATAAATAAAAGATGTGAACACGGGAAACTCCCAGTGCAGGGAAATGTTCATAATCCATCCCAATAAACCGTGTGGGTTACTTAAGAAGTCCATTTGTTTTGCTTAGAGAAAATTTATTTTAAAACACCATGTTATTAATTTGCTCATAATTAAACCCACAGTTGTTTTCAGGGAAGACTGCAAGATAAAGCAGTGTGCGCCGGGTTCTCGATGAGTTCTCGATGGGTTCTTCCCTGGAAAGCACGCCCGAAAAGTTTCACTCCCTCGCACGCACAAACTGGGGCTTTTTCTGGGAAATTTCCCTGGAATTCGCACAAGCTATGCTGCCGATACGCCGCACAGCGCCATGCTCGCGCAAACTCTCTGGGATCGTGTGGGGGTTCACCACACTCCGGCGTACCTACAGAAAGCCCGAAGTGTGCAGGTACGTGGTGCCAGCCCGTAATTTCACGATATTTCCCGTGGGTTTTGGGAAAGAAGCCGATATCTCCCGGGAGTGCCCCGGAAAGTGCCAAACTTCAACTTTTCCAACGGCAAAACTCTGAAAAGAAGCTGCAAGAGAAAAAGCCGCGCAACCCACAGCAGTGCCCCCCAATGCCCAGCCCACACGCAAAAACTCCGGACTTTTCGTCGCCGTGCATTTTCCCGAAATTTGACCTCCGCCTCCCCGCACCCGCAGAGAAGGGAATAAAAATATAATATTCTTGCACTTCCCCTGGATTTTAATGAAGTTTAGCAAAACTTTAAAAGAGAAGCAAGTACAAGAATGGCGAGCAAAGTATTTAAATTATGAAGCTTTAAAAGGAAGCATCACACAGCCCGAGCAAGTCTTTATGCACCAGCTGGGCAAGGAGATAGAGAAAGTAGAGGTCTTCTACAAAGTGCTCGAAAGAGGCGTTCTCAGGGGGCTTGCAGATCTGCTGGAGTTCTTCCCCGAGGAGGAGTTCCCGCACGCGTACGAGCTCGTGTACGCCAACTGGAAGCTTGCGATGGCGAAGTCCGCGGGAGTCCGGCAGAAGAAGATCCGGCACGAGAGACACGCGAAGAAAATAACCAAGAAGGCGCAGGAAAACAAGATACTCGAGTACTACGTGGCGCTGAACAAAGTCCTGCAGTACAAGAGAATGAACATGACAGGATTTCGGAAGATACTGAAGAAGTACGACAAGCTGAACGGAACGTTCACACAGGACAAAAAGATGGAGGAAATCCGGACCCGCACAGTCTTCATGCAGCAAACGATAGAGGAAATCATGGAGTTCACGCGGTACATCCACAAAGAAATAACCCCAGACAAGAAGAGAGACAGAGCAAAGCGAATGGTTGTGGATCTGACGCAGGAGGACGCAGAGGGAGACGGGAAGAGCTTCTCGGCAGGAATGATGTGTGCGGCAGGCATGTCGCTTGTTTTTATGTCGATAAATTCCGGCCAGTTTGCATATTACGGGATGCTCTACGCATTTGACGCACTTTTTATCACATTTGGAATTCTTTTTTACATTTGCAGAAAGAATCTGGTGAACTACACGCTCATCCTCGAGCTGAATCTGAAGCCAAAGTTCAAAATATCCAGATACTTCCTCATGTGCACGGGCATGTTTTTTGCACACGCAGCAGCTGGATACGCCGAACTGCTCTGGCCCATCACGTACGGAGCAACTTTTCTGCTCTGCATCTCCCCCGTGTACTTCTTCAGGGAGATCCGCATATACTTCATCCGGTCCATTTCCGAGATCCTGGGGTGCATGTTTTTCGGGAGAGTCCACTTCAAGCACTTTTTCATCGCAGACCACCTTCTGAGCGTGCGCCCCGTGATTATTACGGCACTCACCGTGGGCCTGAAAGAGCCCCCAGGCCACATCCTGGCAGGAGCGATAAATCAGGTTCCAGTTGCCGTCAGAATCCTCCAGTGCCTCCGCAGATACTTCGACAGAAAGAATAGAATGATGTTCCCGCACCTGTATAATACACTGAAATACATGATATCTTTTCTTAGCGACACCCTGCTCCTTCTCTCAGACCTTGTAAATCCCTGGGTATGCGGGTCCGTGCTTGCAGCCTCGCAGGTTTGTGGCTTCTACTGGGACGTCTGCGTGGACTGGATGCTTTGGAGAAGGCCAAAGGTCTATAGCACGAAGCTGTACTGGATGGCGTGCATTTTCAATGCAGCAGTGCGGAGTACCTCCCTCGCATACTTCGTAGCGTCCACAGCAGCGCACAGATTCAGCTTCAAGCAAAAAGTCGCTGCAAGATTTGCCATGTCCTGCATGGAAATGGCCAGGCGTATTATATGGGCAGTTATCCGAATTGAGGTGGAGCACCTGAATAACTGCAACCAGCTTAAAGCCATCAGCGGCCCACTTAGTGAGCTGTTCTACCTGGAAGACGACGGGCAGATGGAGTAGCTGCACGTTAAAATTTAATCATCCTAAATAGTGGCAGGGCCGGCGCTTGTCTATTAACACCTCTGCGCAATGCTGCGGAAATCCTGCAAGAAGAACCTTCAGTGCCTGCTGCTGTGCAACACTCTGTATAGTCGGGGCGAAAAGAGCTGGGCCAGCCACTTTAAACTAATAAATATTTAGTATCTTTGCCACATACTAAAGCATTTGGTGTTTGCGCTGACATTTCAGGTGTTCAGCTGCAGTTTTGCTGAGAAATGCAGGAGCTTTGCAGTTGGATGCTAGGACGGACTGAATGCGCATATTTAGGCAGGGCAAACCAACGGGCAGAGAGGATTTCGCGCACTTGCTCCCGCACTGCATCCCAGCGCACTCTGTATGCGGTTTGCGGGAGAGTGCGGCATGTATTGGCTGCTTTTCATCTACTGTTCTTGGCTTTTGTGGTGCTGTGCGCCCAGAAATAAGCCAAGAGACGGAAAAGCAGGAACTTTGCGAACGCACTGCACTCTTTCATTCGGGAGGCCGTAATATGCGCGAATCATATGCGTGTGAACACGCAGAGCCAAAGAGCAGTGCGAAAACCAGCAAATATTTCCGTTGGATTTCCGTTGGATTTCTGTTGGATTTCTGCTGGATCTTATCTCCTTTGTGATATTAGCCTGAGTTTACACCAGAAATAAACAGTAAAAACAGTTTCTGCTGCAATAAAATATATACACTTTGCTTTTTCCGCTCTGAACTCCCCATGCATTTAACGTCGTTTATTCGCGAGTGCTGAAGCAGGACCCGGAGACTTCCAGGGAACTGCCCCAGAATCACGGCAGCTCCATGTACGCAAACTCCTCCGGGTGCTTGTCAAGCACCTCCAGCCACTGCCTGAACTTGTCTGCATTCTCCCGGGTGCACACAATCGGGTACAGCTCAGCTCTCTTGTACTCCTCGCACCCGGCACTGTCTATTGCTCCGCCCCTTTCCCCTCCAAAGCGCTCGTTGTAGTTCGTGAAGTAACTGTGCGACAGCAGAAGAAACTCCCCGGGGGTTTTCGGGATGTTTCTTTTCTCGGGGCAGAACACGAGAGAGAGAAACCGCCCCACGTCCGACTCAGAGGCAGCTTTCCGCGCGCAAAGAACCGAGAACCCAATCATCTTCCGGATCTGGTGTATCATAAAGCTCTGTCCGTGCAGGGTCACTCTCTCCCACCGACTATTTCCATACGAAATAGCCTCCACGGATATTTCCTTTATGTACCGATTCGGGCCTTTCTCCTGGTTCTGCGCTGTGAAGTTGTGGAAGTTGTGCGTGCCCTCGAGGGACTTCAGCGCCTTCACGAGCACGGCCCTCCTCTCGGAGACCTTCTCTGCAGTGTCTTCCGGCAGGGAGTACGCCTCTTCAGGCACGAAGTACTCGTACACCCGAGACTCGCAGCGGGCCTTTGGGTCAAATCCCTTCGTAGTCTCGACCACTCTGTGGAGGTGTATCCCGTGCGGAGCCAGAGCCTCTCGGAGCTTCATCTCCAGGTCCCGGCTGTTTCTCTCTTTGTCGACCTCAATCTTCAGGGAAAGCACCAGCATCGCTGCATGCACGCCCTTGTCCGTTCTCGAGGACCTTTGCAGGCCGACTTTCGAGTAGTCCTCCGCATTTCTCTCGGAGATGTACCGCAGCTCCGCTATCCTGTCGCAAACTGTTTTTTCCACTGTGTTTTCGTCCTTGTTTATCTGGCTTCCCCTGTACCCAATTCCGTTGTACCCTATTATCAGCGCAACTCTTTTCTTCCCCATAAGTTCAAGCAACAGAAAATGAAAGAATAAATCTTTATTCGCGCGCAGCACAGCAGAAAGTGGCGCTAAACAGGCGCATTTTCACTCTCTCCCGCAGGATGGGGATTTGGAGTTTCCTTCTTCACGTGCACGAATCCGCCCTCCTCCTTTATAGTGTACACTTTTTTGCTTCCATTGCATATGATGACCCCGTCTAGCGTGTACCTCTTTGACGCGCTTTCGTTCATCAGGCCTGTCAAAACGGACTCTCTGCACTGAAGAAGGGGGCCTGCCTGGTCCTCGCCAAAACTCCCTGCAAAGTACAGGGAAATTCCCTCCTCGCTCCTCGCGACTCTGTGCACTGTCTCTGTGTTGTATATTTTTATACTGTGCAAAGCACTCTCTGAAATCTCGTGAAATTCACGTTCCGTGATCTCTCTCACGGAAAGGCTTTCCTGCGGGCATGTTCTCTGCAGGACCTGCCTGTTGGAAAAGACCTCGAGCGGCCACTTCTGGGAAAAAGCGTCGCCCACGTCCCCCAAGAAACGGACGCGGTACTGGTGCATGTGAACTGCTGGGATTCCGCTGTAGAAGAGGCTGTACTCTGAAGGATCGCACAGAACAATCACGGGCTCGCTTCGCACGGCCTCCAGAGTCTCCGTCCGGTCTGCAACTCGCAGCCTGTTCGTTGCGAAGAGTGTGGAAATGACCGAGGACTCGGACGTAAACCTGCTTGCAAAGACCTCCTTCTTCACGTCGTACAGCTGCATGAGCCTCTTCATTCCCTTGTGGGAAACGAGGATTCTTCTGTTACGGACCACGCTAAGAATGTGCAGAGCCATCTCCAGGGACTGATTCAGCGTGTCCATTGTGATTGCACATGCTCTGTCGGGTCTTGCCAGGTTCTCAATCCTCCGGGTGAGACTCTGCATGTCGGGAAAGCCCTTCGGCGCAAAGACGTTCACAATCAAGGGGATTTGCGTGCTCTGAAAGGGCATTGCCGGCGACAGAGAAGTTCCCCCAGGCACTCCGTACGTGTACGCGCAGACTTTCTCCAAGCCCTGGGAAATTACGTACATGGGACACCCCAGGAAAATGCCGGCAGGCTGCGGAGTAACTGACAGGTACGTGAACGAGACTATCTGATGGTACTTGATCAGAACCACTCTCCTGGCAATTTTTCTGTACGAAGAGACCTCAACTATCTTTGTGTGGGCCTGCGGCATTCTTTTCTGCTGGGAAACAGGCCCCAGGGACACGTAGTGCTTCAGGCGCTCCTTCATCTGCGTGTAAACAGGCTCTGTCAGGTATATGGGCACGTTACTCTCCGTGAAAAAGACAGCTAGAGAGTTGCTGCTCGTAATGAATATCCCAGAAATGCCCGCAGGATACTCCTTAAGCACCTCTACCTGGATAAAGCTCTTGTTTGGCCCTCTGGAAACTGTAAGGGCATCCTCAAATATGCACGAGGGAGGGTCAAAAAGAATAGACGTGCTTTCGCTCTGCATGAGATACCCATCACTAGAGCCCTCCGCATGAGTGTTTATAATAGAAAGCCTTTTAGTTTTCATATGAAGAAAAAATTTAACTTTTCCGCTATGAAGTACTTCTTGCAAAATGAAGTTAAAACTCTACAGGAATCTGAAATAGAGGCCTGGTGTGCCGACAATGCGGGCGTGCGTGTGGGCATACAGACGGCAAAAAGTGCATTTTCCACAGGGAAGGAACTCTGCGATTTAATCGGAAAAGCGCCAGCTAAAGTAAACGCATCGATACTCGCGGACTCAGATCGGTGCTGCCTTGACTGGGCCGGAATAATGCACGCGCAAAGCACCTGCGTAATAAAAAGATCGTTTTCGTGCCCCCTCCTCGGCGTCACCCGAAGCAAAATGATAGAGAGATCCCCTCCCGCGTGGCAGTACATTCCAGAGTGCAGCCTGGCTTTGGAGACCCCGCAAACAAACGCCCCAAATCAAGAAACAGCGTCTCTGCGCGCCCGAGCAATCTATCTTGCAGTTGATATTTTCTACGCGCCAAGGTACCAGGAGATCAAAGCGCAAATTGCAGGCACTGTGGGACAGGAGGTGCGAGACTGGGAGTACGGCCTGCACGCGCCAGACTCTGTCGTGCTTGTAGTTTCGGATAACATTGGATTTATCGAATACTTCTCGGAAAACTACGCCTTTATCCGCATCCCCAGAGAGTCTCTGAGGACCCGGGAGGAGATTGTTAAGGCAATAGAGGGAAAAGCCCCGTCGCTGGAGCAGGAAAGAACAAAAAAAATAGTCGCAAAAATGGCGTGTGCAGAACACCTCCGGGGATTAGAGCGGATTGGGGTGGTCTACACGTCGAGCGGATACGAGGGACTCGCGGACACTGTGTCGAAGTACTTGGACCTGCACAGGAAAAAGTTCTACCACATTTTCGTCAACGGGCTCAAGCCGAACAAGCTGGAAAACATCGTGGGAGTGCAGGCTTTTGTGGTTATAGACTGCCCCTTTTCCAGCATCAGGTTCGATCACACCGCTGAAATCTATCGGCCGTACGATCTTTTGCTGGCTTTTTGCAGCACGTGGAACGGCTTCTACAGCACAAACCTGGAGGTCGCCGAGAAGGAGCTGCAGGCAGCGCTTAAGACGGGAAAAGAGGAGTGCGACGAAGATAATGCGCCCGTCGCCCAAAATGGAGTAAACTTCCTGCGGCTGAAAAAGGGCGACCTCTGCTTGAGGGAGCACACCCTGCAGTTCTTCCAGACGGGAGAGTACCTGACAAACCTGATTGGGCTGGCGGTGGAGGAGAAGCCCCAAGAAGAAAACGACGAACTTCTGGAGGGATACTCTGGGATCCCCACGGACTATGCAAAGAAGCAGGAAAATGAGTAGCCAAAAGATGCACAGCCTTTGAAAACAGCCCGTGAAACTCCCTGCTTCTTTGACAATAAAAACACAAACACGCACATATGCCCAGGCCCAACAAACCCGAAAACTCCCAGCGCATCCGCAGGCCTGGAGACTTTAGTTTCAGCAGCACCTTCAAGAGGCTCTTGCAATTAATTCATTCTGCTTTATTCATTCGCTGCTCCGGCGGAAACAGCACGGATTCAGCTCGCCACAATGCCATGCTGCTGCCTCTACGGCATTCTTATGATGGTTTTTCCTCCGTTTGCCACGCACAGCCTCTCCTTCCGTATCATCCCGTCTATGCAGCGAGTCACTACTCCCTCGCTGTGGTTTCTGCAGAGCTCTCGAAGGAGGGCCTTGTACGGGCGTGCTACTCCGACGGGAAGGCTGCTTCTAAGCGCAGCCTCAACTGCTGCATGCGCACGTGCCCACTCCGCACGAGGCATTCCCTCCACGCAGTGCCCCATAGAAACTGCTTTCACCGTGCTCTCTGTGAAGAGGCGAATTGCCTCCTCCACGTGAGAGGCAGTTACGACCGTTTCCAGGCACATTCTGGCCAGGGCCTCGCTCACTCGAGCAACTGCCTCGAGCTGTCGCACTGTAATCGGCACGCCAGCTCCGCCTGCTCTGCGCCGAGTCTGCACGTAGAATGCCTGCAGCCGCTGGGAAGCCTCTTCTTCCATTGCAGGCTGGATAGTGCGCGCATAAGTCACGTATGCCCGGAGTTCCTCTGTTGAGACTCCGCCTGTTTGCCCGCCTGCAAGACGCTTTATCACGTGCTCAGCGACCTTTTTGTCTCTCTGCATGGTGTCTCGCAGGACAAAAATAAGGTCAAATCTCGAAAGAATCGTAACTCCAAAGTCTATGTTTTCTGCGGGTCCTCTGCTCTCGTCGTACCTCCCAAAGACGGGGTTGGCTGCAGCAACTACTGCACACTGCGACGGGAGCGAAGTGACAATTCCGGCCTTCGAAATTGAAATTGTCTGCTGCTCCATGGCCTCGTGGATGGCGACTCTGTCCTTCTCCTGCATTTTGTCGAACTCGTCTATGCAGCACAGGCCGCCGTCTGCAAGAACAAGTGCTCCTCCCTCGAGGTGGAACGCGCCTGTTTTGTCCCTGCACACGGAGGCAGTAAGCCCTGCTGCACTTGCCCCCTTTCCGGAGGTGTATACGCCCCGCGGGGAGACTCCCGAAAGAAACTTCAGCATCTGACTCTTTGCAATTCCAGGGTCTCCCAGGAGAAGCACATTTACGTCTCCTCGGACGCGCACTCCGTCCTCAAAGGTTCTCTGCACGCCCCCAAAAAGAGCGCAGGCCAAAGCGAGTTTTACGTCGTCGTGCCCGAAAACTTCCGGGGAAATGCTTCGGATGACAGTCTCCCTGGAAAGCGGGGCGTGGACTCTGGGGGCTACAGCAACTGTGGAAGACCCTGAAGTCCCCGTTGCTCGCAGAAAGGGCGTCCCCAGCCTGCTGCACACCGTATAAACTCCCGTGATGGTGACAGAAGAGCCTGGCTGGACAGTGTCTACAAGGCCGTCTGCTATCCGCACCTGAAGATGCCGCGGGATCTCGCCTGGGGGAAGATCTTCAAATGTCTCCTGTATTTTTATGTACTGCGTGTCCTGCAAAATGCTCTTCTCTGGGGAAGAAATGAACGTCTCCACGCCCCCGCAGGCCTCGCACTTCTTCGGGAGAATGTCCTTTATAAACCTCGAGTGGAGGCATGTTCTGCAAAATGCGTACAGAAGAATAGGCTTGGGCGCGGCAGGAGACACAGATAGCACGATGCCTCTGACTGTGGATATTTTATTTATGTGCGAGGCGTCGAGCTTCCTTATTGGCGTTACGGTGGAGTTTGAGACAATTTCCAAGTGCCTTTCTTTTTTTCCGGGATCATTTATTGCTGCCTGAAACAGCTCCAGATAGTGCAGGGGCCGGCTCATCGTGCCCTCAAACAGCCTGGCATCAAACGTGCTCATGTGCTCAACCACAATCCGCAGCAAATTCTTGTTTTGGGCAAGCTCCTCTCGATAGACGTACTCCACGCCTATTCGAAAGGTGTCCACAAAGGACTTGAACAGCTCCTTTATCTGATCGTCTGTTAAATCAGTGTCGTCATTTGCTAGACCTATTTCATACGGCCTGTCTCTTTGCTGCATAGTGAATAAATATTTTACAAATTTGCGCGTATTTATATGTGCATGCACGGAAAAATTGCACACCCCGAAATAAAAAAGAATAAAGCCCCGAATGGAAAGACTGGAAATCCAATTCGGGTGCAGAATGTTGAAATTCAAAAACTTCGCTGATTTTCGAGTATGTATTCCGCCGGGAATAGTGCAACATACCGTGATGCTTCTTTTTGTCTGGAACCGGGTAGGCGGTCTTTTTCGCAACTCTTTAAACCGGAAGTTTCCTAGAGTCTGGAATAATGTGCTTTGCTCTGTGTGGAAGCAGCCACTCGTAATTGGTTTGCCTATATGGGCCTGATTGAGGGGCTGCATGGCTTAGATACTATGGGATAGAATAAATCGTGTCTGTATAAGCACACCAATAAACAATAAAGGCAGAGACTTTCACTAGCAATTCCCGTACTACAACATGCATGAACTTGCTGTATTTATTTCAGCGAAGTCTGGTGCTTGCTAGTTCTCGTGGGAGAAGTCGGCCTGGTTAGAAGAAGAAGAGACATTCGAGTTTTTGCTTACTTCGTGCCCTGCATACGCCTCAAATGCATGCGCCAGCTCCAGCATACCCTGAAAGAACGCCCGAATAACCCGAATTCTACAAAGTTTCTCTCCTCCCCTCGCACAGCACCTTCTTATACAGAGACTCTGCATGGCCTGGGGCAGTGGGTATTCTTCTCTGGGAGATCCGCAAGCATCTTCATAAAGCCATCCAGCTCCAGAGATATGAGAGGGACTTCTTCCAGCTCTTGGTTGTTTTGGTCTATTCTGTGCACTAGCTGCCCTCTTTTCTTTTGCAAGACCCGCCTTGCAATGTTCTTTTTGCTGCCTTTCTCGATGCTTTTGTAGTAGCTGTGGCTGAACGTCAGACACTTTTGGTGCAGAAACTCGTATATTCTCGCATGCAGTGCACGGGTGAGTTTCTTTTTTCTCTTTTCTGATGCGCCGCCGGCGACTACTATCTCGCAGTTGTTCTCCACATTGTAGTAAACCTGAGAGATAAGCTTGTACGGATCTGTGGCACATGGAATTGAAATTCTTGTTTCCTCCAGCTCTTTTGCAAACTTGTCTACGCCGATGTTTATCAGTACATTGTCCTGGCGCTTATTCATTGCCAAAAATGAAAATGTGTACAGTTTGTTTTTTAGTCTTTGAATTTATTTATATTTGGGTACTTGTTTGCTATATGTATAAGTATATGTACAGGTATATGTGTATGTGCAAGTGTAAGTGGATAATAATAGGATATAGATAGTTCGCTGGACTGAGTTTGTTGTAGTTGTTGGTTGATTATTGAAAGCTTACTGCAGGTGCCAGTAAGGAGCGCGAAGCTTGGGTTAGAAGCCAAGCTGCCACAGATACACATCCCAGAATCGAGCTAGAAAGATATCCGCCGAAGAGTTTAACCTACCTGTAACGAGCAGCACAATGTGTAGTCAGCTCAGGGTGTTTACTTTTTCTTCTTGGTTTCTTGTTTTTTCACTGAGAGGTAGCCTAGTGTGAACAGCGCAGTGCCATAGTCCACGGCTTTTATGTTTTATGTGGTTGAGAGATCGAAGAGCTTAGTGCGCCGCCTCCGTGATATACAGAGGTAAGATGTGTATTGTATGATTGCAGGGTTGCTTTCTTTCTCTGAAGTTCAGAAATGCTCGCCCTTAAATAAACAAGAAGTGCAATAAACCCGTATTGGGACAGGATAAAATATGCCTGAATAAGGGAAATAGAATGTCCTAGCCCAGAATGGACAATTAAATTGCGCATTTAGACCCGCAGAAAGACTGTTCCAATCACACCTTAATATAAGGACCTAGTCAGCCATAGCATGCCATGTGCCATAGAGCAAGAAATATGCACAAAAACGCGTCCAGCGGAGTAACTATCTAGATCTATTGATTAATTTCCTAAGCGCCCAGCTGTTTCCAGCCCCGTAGAAAAGCCCAAAAGCCTCCACCAACAAAGAATCCCACGATAGACACAACAATTTATTCAGGCCCGTCACAGGCGAAGCGTAAACACCTGCGAGTGCCCAGACGGGGGGCGTGCAACCCCCACAAGCGTATCTGCAGTTTCAAACAGCTCTATCCGGTGGGTAACTGCAATAAACTGTGCCTGTATTTCCTGCAGAGACGCCCGCAGAGAGGCTATTTTATCCCGGTCCAAAGCAGCATCCAGCTCGTCAAAAATGTAGAACATAGAGGGATATATCGAGTCCACAGAAAGCAGGAGTGCCAGCGCAACCATTGTTTTCTCCCCGCCAGACAGATACTTTGCCTCTCTGAAGGTTTTTCCGGTGGGCATCACAAATATCTGCGTGCCAGCAAGATACGGCTCCACAGGGTTTTCCAGCCCCAAATGCGCCCGCACATGCCCCGAAACATTCTCCGTCAACTTCGCGTATTTTTTGTTGATCAGGCTGTTGATTCGGTCAAAAGTCCCCAGGAAAAGGCTCGCTCGCTCCTTCCGCACGCGGTGGAAGTTCTTGGAGACTTCCGCCAGCACGTGCTTCTTCTCTTCAGCCTCGCTCTCTATCTGCGCGAAAATCTTGTGGGTTTCTGCAACTGCGCCCTTCCTCTGCAGGAGAGCCCGGACACTGTCGATTTCTCGCCGGACTTTCTCAAGGTCCTCCCCCGCAGGCGCTGGAGCACTTCGGACCTCCTCCTCGGTGATCCCCTCCTCGGCCATGTACTGCTCTATTTCCTCGAGCTCATCGTCAAGGGAGAGAATCTGCTCTTTGATGATTTTGATCTCTATTTCCCCGCAGGGCTCTCTCTTTGCGGCTTCCAAGATTCTCGCCTCAAGCATCTCTATCTGCGCCCCCAAGGCTTCTGCGCTCTCCTCCGGCGAGTCTTCCTCCGGAGCGTCTTTTTCTTTTTCTCTCTGCAGCCTTCCCAGGTGCTCCTGCAAAATGTCCAGCCGATTTTTCCACATCGTCTTCTTCCTGAGGAACTGCTCGGCCTTCCTCTCCGCGGACGAGCTGTCAATAATCCCCTCCTCCTTGGCCTGCCGTATCACGTTCTCGGGGATCTTCGAGCCCTCCAAAACCCGCTGCACCTTTTCCCGCACGTCCTCCTCGGCCTCCTCCAAGTGCCTCTGCGCAGCCGCGTACTTTTCTTCCAGCTCTGCCACCTCCCGGCTTTTCCCAGGGCCAGACTCGCAGGGCATTTTCCCCTCCCGCTGTATTTCCGCCAGCAGCCGGTCCCGCCTCTCCTCGAGCTCGCTCAAACCGCCCGCACTCTCCGCCGCCGACACTTTCCGCACTACTCCGTCCCTGGATATGACCACTCCGTCCAAAGTAACCACTTTTTCTCCTGCTCTGTTCTCCGCCGGACTCCCATCCCCCGTGTATATAAGGGCATTCCCGCACACGTACTCGAGTATTTTCTCAAAGTGCGCTCTCCCCTCGCCAGGGACCTGCACAACATCCCGGCACAAAACGTACCCCGCAGGAACAGATGCGCTTTTCTGCGCGCTCCTGTTCTCTTTGCACGCGCTCAGCTCCCTCTCTGCGTGCAGCCTGTTCAGCGGGAGAATTGTCACTCGCCCAGCCCCAGACTGCGCCAGGCCGTTGAGTATCGAAAGAGCGTGCTTCTCCTGCTCTATTATAAGCACGTTTCTCTTCCCGTGCAGGAGAGCGTGCACTGCCTGGCGGTACTTCTCCTCCCGGCACGTGACAAGATCGCAGACCCGCCCAAGAACGTGCGGAACCGTTGACTTTATTCGAGAAATAAGGTACCCCAGGCGAGCACTGTACTCGCCCTCTTTGGTTTTGTACGCTTTTTTTGAAATTTCCTTCAGCGTCTCCAGAAGGGCCTGGTTTAGCTGCGCGAGTTTTTTGCTCGTTTTTTCCTCGGGGGGAGCTTCTGCGTCTTTTTTTTCGGCTTCTTTTATTTCTCTCCGGATTTCCCCGAGCTCGATCTTCAGCTGCAGGATGCTCTTCGAGTCCTCTATTTTCTGAATCTCCGAGAGAGCCCGGACAATCATCTCTCGCTCGTACCTCTCGTTGTAGACGGTGCTCTCCTTCGCCCTCCTGGCGTGCCAGTCTGCCTCCTCAATGTGGGCGCTTGCTTCTGCAATTTTCTCCTGCAGCTCCTCCACGCGCTTCCTGCGCTCTTCCTGGGCCCGCTCAGCCTCTTCAGCTTTTTCTTTTTTCGCGTCTTCCCTGTGCCGCACTCCAGCCTTCATCGCACGGCACTTGATCAGCTCGGTGTGGAGACTCGCAATTTCCCTCTGCCCTGGGGCTGCTGTGCCCTGCCCTGACGAGATTTCGTGCTTTCTCTCGGCCTCCTGCAGCCTTTTTTTCAAGTCTGCCTTCGCCTCCTTTATGGACTCGCGCTGCCCCCTAATCTTTGCGCTGGAGATCACCCGCTTCTTCCCCAGAAGCTCCGCGTGCTTCTTCCGCAGGAGAAGAACCTCCTCGTACTCCCGCGAGGAGACTTCGGCTGCCCGCTTTCGGTCCAGAATCTCCTGGTACTCCCTTGCATGCGCGTCCTTGCTCTCCTTCAGGCTCCGGTACTCCTCCTTCATCGCAAAGGACCCGGATATCTTGTCGATGAATTTTGTCAGGTCTTTCGGGGATTTTATCAGGGACTCGTTCTGCGAGATGAGAAAGTTCCTGTGGACGGTGGATATGTTCTGCCCCTCCAAATACGCAGCATACTCGGACTGCGCAACTTTCCGGTCGTCTATAAAGAAAGACGAGACTTCGTTGTGCAGCTCCCTTCGGAGGCGGACTACAACGCCAGTCTGGCCCCGGAGAGAGACTTCCACCGCGGTTGGGGAGGGACTGCTCCTTGCAGCCAGCGTGCCTCTGATCTCAGAAGTACTCGATCCCAGAACAAAGAGCAGCGCATCCACCAAGTTGCTCTTCCCAGACCCGTTCGGGCCCACAATGCACGTAAATGCAGAAAATGGAATATTTTCGACTTTGTCGTACGTCTTGAAGGAAAGTATCTTCAAACTAAGAATGGCCATAAAAATAGAAAATAGAAAATATTTAAGCCATGCGCTGCAAGTGCGAAATTGATCATTCTTTCCGGCGCAGTGCAGGAAATTGGTGAGAGCCCGGCTGTGACTGTATATTTATTGCTTCTTGATTCTTTCGTACAGCTCCTTCAGCTCGCTGTTGCTGAAGGCGTACGAGAGCTTCTCCTTTGTGTGGACTTCTGGGCGCTTCCGGTGCCTCTCTATGCTGGACTTGTCGAGTTTCGCGTATCTTCCCAGCTCGGCCTCTATCGTTATTTTGTCAAGGTGCAGCTCATCCTTGGCCTTCTTGAGCTGCTCCCACAGGGTATTGCTCACCATGCGGGCGTAGAACAGGGAGTACAGCGCCTTTGTCTCGTTTTCCAGCTCCTCCTCCTTCTCAATGAGGTATATGCTGGCCTTCGTGAGCACGTTGAAGTGGTCCAGCTGGGAGGCCTCCGGAGAAAGCTCAAGATACTCCTTCAGATACGCATTGTCATAGACCAAATCTGCTTTCTCCTGCTGCAAGATGCTTCTCCGAATGTAGAAGGCGATAGATAGAACAATAAGAAGGCTCAGCGCAACGAAAATAAACATGCAATAAAAATAAATAGAGAATATATACGGCAATAAACAGGCGTGATCCACCGCCCACCCAGAAATCCACGCACAGAAAAGAACAAAGCCCAAAGAATTCTGCATGCACGACAAAAGCATGCGCATAATTTACTTCATTTTTCCGAGTCTTCGGGTGCAGGTGCAAGGCAATGCCTCTGCCCGCTCACTCTGAAGGGGTCAAAAGTATCTCCATCGCCCTTGCCCGCAGGAGGTTTTCGCAGTTGAAATTTGGCAGCAGAGATGCGACAATAGCGTGTGCGCCCATGTAGTCCCCCAGGCGCAAGAAGGTGAATGCCCTTGCAATTTCCATCTTCGGATTCTGCGACCTGAGAAGCAGCAGGTTATCTCCTATCTGCAGAAGGCTCTTCTTGAAGACGTCGAAAAACTTCTTTTCCTTCATCTTCTTCTCAAAGCACAGGCAAAGCACCTCCAGAATCTGCTCTGTCTGCGGGCTGCTCCAGATGGTTTTATTGTAGTACACGGTCTCCAGGAGGTCCATTGCGCTTGCAAAGTCCCTCTCCGCAAATGCCCGCATTCCCAGCTCCTCCGCCATTTTGTAGAAGCATATGGTGACTGAGTGCTCTGCAGACTCTCCCTCTGCGCTGAGGGTGGAGGAAGCGTGCTCTCTGTGCAGAGCCAGCGCCTCCTCCAGGGGCAGAGACCTGATTTTATCGACCATCTCAAACTGCGGGTATCCGTGGCTGGAAACCTCTTTCTGGATAAACTCGTTGGAAAGGTGCGGGCACGGGGCAGGCTTTTCCCTCCGCAGGAAATAGTCCACCTCCAAAAGGCCCTCCTCCGGCACGGACGTGGCCTTCTTCAGGGCGAGAGCAATTTCCTGCAGGTCTTTGTACTGGCTCTCCCAGGACTCGCCGTTTCGATCTTGTATCTGGATGTTTTTGATCAATTTCTTAACGTACTTCCCAACTCGCGTGCGCAGCAGGTCTGCCTCCTCCTTCGCATCCACGAACTCAGCCTCTTTCTTCATCCTCCGCACAATCTCGGCGTAGTGCTCCTGCATGCTCTCCTCAATGAGGCAGCTGGTCATGTACAGGTTTATTCGGTGCCTTTCGCTGCTGGACAGATCACCCACGCCCTCTATCTCGAGAAGCGCTGCCTTCCTCTTCTCCAGGCTCTCTATGAGGTACGTCTTTGATATTTCCTCCATGTAGCTCTTCTTTTTCTTCTTCTCCTCGACAAGCTCCAGAACAACTTCCGCCTCCTGGTACTTCTCCAGGAACTTTATCTTCTTCTGCTTGAATATAGAGGGCGTTTCCTTCTTCCCCTCCGTCTCCGCGAGAAACTCCAGGAGGGCCGAGGGAACTCCCTGCCGGCTGAAGTGCGCCGAGTACTTCGTGAGCTTTTTGAAAAACTGCTCAACGTCTTTTGGCTTCTTAAACGAGGCATCCCTGCACATCTGCGCAACTTCTTCGTCTTTTTTTTCCTTGTTCGACAGGCTGGGCTTTTCCTCCCCGCACTCATCGTCTTCCATCTCGGCAGAAATCGCAGAGCGAACTTTCTTCTGCGGAGCGTCGTCTAATCCCTCAAAGAACTTCGACATAAAAAAAGACAAAGAAAATTCTCTATATGTAGAGGCCAGAGCGAACGGGGAAAACGAGAAAAAAGGCAGACAGCGCCCTTCAAACCACCTGCAGGGCACATCCAGGCAAAGCTTCCTGTTTGTCCGTTTCTGGTGCGGCGCATCAGGGCGCCACCTTGAAAATGGCTTTCACAATTCCCACGGCATTCACGGGTTTCCTCGTGCTGGAAGGGCTATAAATCGCGTGCAGGCTCCTCCTGCAGCCCTCCCAAGCAGAGAAACATCCTGCCAAACCAAAGCGTACTTTCAGGCAGGAGCAAAACAGTTTATTTCTTGCCAGACAAAAGGCCGTCTGCGCAATGCGCTTCTGCCGTGAGAGGAGCAGATTCCCTTAATGCCCGCACCTTAAAACTCTGCAGATAGGGCCAGGCTACTCCTTCTTCTTTGCTGCGGCCTCGCTCTTCCTCCTCTTCATGGCGCGAACGGCTTCTCCAACCCTGCGCATGGCCGCTCCCACCAGAGAGCCCGGAAGTACGCGCAGAAACATGCTGAGAATGAAGTGCGGAAAATACGGGTACGTAACGTGCCCGGTCCCGAAGGAGTGGATGCAGTTCTGCCCGTACAGCTCCGCGGAGGGCGTGAAAAGGTTCGGCTTCTTCGCGCCGGAAAGCTTCGAGCAGACCAGGCCCGTCATAAGCACCTCGCAGTGGCAGTCCGTGGGCTCGCTCGCGACAGAGTCCATCCACGCCTGCAGGAAAGCCTTTGACCCAGCGTAAACCTGCTGGAAGGGACTCGGCATGATCCCCAGCATGGATCCTGTCGACAAAATGTACCTTTTCCCGGCGGGGGATGCCCCCCACGCGAGGAACTCTTTCGTTATTCCGATTGTATTCACTATGTTCACCTGCAGGATCCTGTGGATGCTTTTCTCCGTGTGCTCAGCGAATGCAGTGGGTCCTGCCTCATTCACGCCCACGTTATTCACCAGCAGGCACGGAGAGCACTCTCTTGCAGGCTCCAGGGCGCTGCGGAAGTCCACCTCCTGCTCAAAGTCTATGGGAATCACCTTCGCCTCGACCTCCTTGGAAAGGTCCTGCCGCAAAGCCTCCAGCTTCTCCGGGGACCTGCTGACCAAAATCAGGTTCACTTTGCAGCGGGCAAGCTCTCTCGCCATGCTCAGGCCAATTCCGTCCGTGCACCCCGTTACAACTGCCCACTTTCCGCGCATTCTTCCCAAAATAAGCCCATTTCTGATGCGCCTGACTGCAGTGCAGCATATCTCCACGGCGAGCACAACCAGCGCATTCCCCAAAAGAAGCGTCGCAGCCCATCCCAGCGCGCACACAACAAACATGCGAAAAATGAAAAAGCAGAATAAAAGAAAAAGCATGCCTGCAGCAGCGCATATTCTTAAGTGTTTTTATTTCAGCTATTCCACGTCAATAGTGTACTTTCTGACGGTTCCGTCGGAGTATCCTGCGATAAGAGTGAACCCATCCAGCCAGCAAATGGCTGTGCATGATCCTTTACAGTCTTCTGGGTTTGGGATTTCCACGACCACGTCTCTCTCGAGTATATCCCAGATCATGATCGACGTCTCCGTTCCTGCTGCCAGCCAGTATGCGGACAGGGCGAACTCCAGGCAGCTGACTGCGTCTCCAACGGAGATCTCGCACTTGTTTGATCCCTGCTCCTTGAGGTCCCACAGGAGGACGTTTTTATCTCTTCCTGCAGTTGCGCAAAGGGAGCCGTCTGGGCTAACCACAAGCGAGTCCAAAATGCATGCGTGCTCCTTCATGGTGCTCTCGATTGCTCCAGTTTCGATGTTCCACGCGACAATTGCTCCGTCTGCGTATGCGCACAAAACAGTCTCTGGCTTCTTTGGGACGGCCTTGATCACGGTGATGAAGGCTGCTGGGTTGTCCTCTCGGATCAGCTGCTTCTTCAGCTGGAGGGAGCTGTTCCAGATGTTGAGGCCTGGCTGCTTTCCTCCGGTGAAAATGTACTCTTCGCTTCCAGTGTTGTGCACGAGGACGCAGTACGGCTTTCCTGGGTGGGTTGCTGTCTTCGTTTCCTCTGTGGGGGAGCTTGGCCACTTTCTTATGGTGTCGTCTGCTCCAACGGAGACCAAGTAGTTTGCAGAGTCGGAAATTCCGAGAGAGGTCACAAAGCCTCCGTGTTTTGCGTGCAGCTTGGAGAGCTTTGCGAGAGTTTCGCCAGTGCTTCCAGTTATGAACTCCCATCCCTTGATGGTTTTGTCTCTAGATGCGGTGTATAATATCTGCTTTCCGTTTTCCTGCTTTATCTTCAAGTCGGTAACTCTTTCAGTGTGTGCGTTGAACTTCAGCTTCAGTTTTGAGGATGCGACTGTACTTGTCATTTGCAAGGGCGGAAAAAAATTAAAAATAATATTTACGTTACTGCGCAGGAAAATGCGAAAAGAGTCCCTGAAACGGCAGCACGGCAGAAAACAGCCTGCAGAAAGCGCCCAGCATGCCCTGCGAAGCACCTGCGAAAAAGCCCGGGCTCGTGCGACCGAATCACAAGAGAGCGCTGGAAAAGCCCCGAGCACTCCGAGAGAAGCACTTTCATGGAATGGCACTTGCACGGGGTCGCACTGCCCGCACAGAGGAGGCTGAGAAGAGAGACTCCGCGCATTTTCTCCTCCCAGACACTCTCTCTTCTGCGGGCTCTTGGCAGCGGCTGTTCTCTGCGCAGAAATTTGGTTTCTTCGTGTTTAAGACTGTGCGCATTTATTCATTGCTTCTTCCGAATCCTCCTAGGGCGCCAAGGCCTTGATCTTCTTCGAGATGAGCTGGCAGAGAGACTTTACAACGCGGCACTTTTCTCCGCGTATTCTAAAGGTGGCTGTAAGCCCCTTTCCCTTCTCCGCCAGGGCTGTTGCATTTATGTATATCTCTGTTCCCTGTGCTGTTTCGGCATATATATTGCGCACAAGTATGCCCTTCTTCTGCGCCCCGCTCTCTTCTTCGTATGCTGCCCTGCTTTCGACTTCGCTGCCCTCTATCTCCCCCTGGATCTTTTCAATCACTCCGCTCGGCGTGAGCAGTGGGTCCGTTAGCGTGATCGTGTACAGATTCTCCCACAGCAAAACCGGCCACTTCTCCCGGAACTCCTCGCGGGTGATGCTCTTTCTGTGGAGCATGTCTGAGAGGTTGAACCGGATTTCCTGCATGTTCTGCAGGAAGTAGTCGTCTCTCCCAATACGCCCTGCGGTGATTGTTCCTCCGATGTACCCGGAGTCTGCCTCCTCCATGAGAAGCGTTACCTTCAGCGTGCGCATCATATACGGGCGAAGCTTGTCGAGAGTCACTGCTCCGAGTATTCGTATATTCGGGCTGGAGACAAAGTCAAACTCAACGGTCTCCAAAAGAGCATCTGTCTGGTTCACCAAAAGAATGTCCAGAAGTATCTCCGTGCGCGTGGTTGTGATCTGGCACTCGCAGTAGAGCGGATCGACTGCGGATGTAAGCTGGAACACGCTCTTCAGCTTGTTCAAAGAGGGAGCATCTGCCGTGCGCACAAACCGCTTCAGCGGGCTTGCATTCATGAGGAGAGTGCCCTTCTCCTGTATCAGGGAGAATGCAGGGCGCGCCAAAACGTCCAGCTGGGCCTCCCCTGCAAACTCCAGCAGGGCTTTTCCGGGGGAATTCCCGCTTCCAACTGCCTTCAGGGCTTTCTCTGCCCCGTCTGCGCCGACGAGAGAGGCCAGCCGCAGGAGAGAGATCCTGGAAGGCTCGTCAAGCGCCCCCGCCTTCTTCCCGAGGGCGTACATCTTCAGCACTGCCGCCATAACATCTGCCTGAAACTCCGTTTTTTCAGGTTCTTTGCACTCGCGCATGTGCGTGGACATCTGCAGGAGAAAAGACGCGACAGAAACCCCCGGAAAAATCTTGCCCGTTTCCTGCGGGCTTCTTTTCGCCTCCGAAAGAATGCCGCTGTGCTCTGAAGAGAAGGCTCCCAGCACCTCCCTGACCGAGTCTCTCGCTGCCCCCACATCCGCGTGCTTTTCTATCAGGGAAAAAACCCTCCGGAGCAGTTTTCCAAATTTTATTTCGGGGATGGTTTTTACAACTTTCGAAAGCGCGCTCCCCTTCCCCTCGACGGACAAAAAAACGTCCAGAAACTCCGCAGCCTCCATTGCGAGTTCTGGCACGCCCGAGCACAGAAGCTCAACTGTTTTCTGGACTTGCTCCTCCGTGTGCATCCGGTACTTCTTGAGAAGCTCCTTCTGTGCGCGCATGAAGAATATTTTGTCCTTGCTCCCGGAGTGTCCTGCACTGCTCTGGCTGTTTACGGGGGGACTTTGCATGTTCTGGCACAAAAAGACGAAAAGCTCTCGCGCCTCGACGACGGAAAGCACGCCCATGGCCATTTCCAAAATGCTCTGCGACAGGCTCTCGTTTACCTTTGCAAGAGCCGGCGTTATCATCTGCGCGATCTGTATCGCCATATTCTCGAAGGAAAACCTTCCGCTTCGCCACGCTCTTTTGCACGCGTTTATGATCATCTCCTTCGAGTGCGCGTCCAAATACTCGCTCGACATGTCAAAGAGCTTCTCAACGACGGGCTTCAAAACCTCGCGATCCGCTGAGATCCGGACCAAAGCCACGCCCGCCTGCAGCTCCACTCTCCTGGAGGACGTTCCCTTAAAGATCTCCAGGACTCTCTGCGCGTCCCCAGCTGCCTCCGCGCTCCGAATGAAGCACTCCTGCAGGCACTCGTGCGCAGTATCCTTCATTTTCTCGTATATCTCCAAAGCGCACGCCTTGTCAACCTCCTCCACGGTTTTATACCCCTCGGAGAGGCACACGGGGTCTCCCTCCTTGAGCAGCTGCTCCCGCAGGGCAGGAATAACGTCGGAAAAGACGCTGGAAAGCTCCCTGCTCTTCAGAAGCGAGCGCAGTGCTATGTATATTGCGCTCCTCACAAAAGGGTTTGAGTACGATATGTTCTCCACGAAGGGCACCTTCAAAACGTCAAAAATCGAGGCACTTCTGAACTTTCCAACAGCCCGAATGGCTCGGGCCCGCACGTACTCGTTGGGGTGCGCCAGATGCCCCCGAATCATGTTGCACAGCATAAGAACTTCGTCCCGGATGTTTCCCTCCGCGTCTTCTATCGCTATATTTTCCATGTACAGATAGAACATTTGAATAAGCTTCTTGTCTTTGCTGTTTGGAATGACCATGGTAAGCGTCATGAGCAGACTTTCGTGGTTTACGCCCATTCCTGTTTCCTTTATTATCTGCCACAAAGCGTCTATTTTGTTCTCGTCTGTTCCTCGCGTGAGCAGCATCTTCAGAGAGTCCTTGCTTCGAACCCCATCCAAGTCTCTGGACGCATATAGTGCACGGCCGCAGGTTGTAGACATATAAAAAACACAAGAATAAATTATATTTATATTGCCAAGCACAGGCGAAATCAAGCAAAGTCCGCACAGAAATCGGTTATTTCAGGAGAACCTGAAAAGATACTATAGAGCAGGCCTCGGCGGGTGCTAGCAGCATGTTCAGCCAGAGGCCTTGAAAGCAGATATTTTGCACAAAAAAGTCCTGGGACGTGCTGGGATGGAGAGAAAACGCGGAAATTCAGCCTTTCCCGCAGAAGGGCAGCGACGCATGCAAACTCCACGCCGTATCCGCCCGGGAGAGACGGGGCATCCCGACTTTGCAAGGATGCTCTTCTGCGGGCGTGCATAAAAATATTCAAATGGGAATTTTCTGCATGTACGTGGATGCACAGCACAGCGCAGAAAGGGGAGAAAGCGATGCAAGCAAGCAGATATTTGCGTACACCGTGCACGTGCAGGAAAAGAAAAGCCCCCCGCAGAGAAGGGAGGGAATTTCCAAAGTGACGATAGAGGGGGTTGCGCTGCAAACCCGGCCGAGAGACATATACGCCATATCCGACAAGTTTGACATATGCGAGCTCGAAGTGTGCTCGCCCGAAGAGATTTTCCGGTGCGTGCAGTGGAAGATAGACATGATTCGCCCGGATCTGACAAAGGACCGCTGCCCGTTCAACAAAGGGTCCATGTCAAGTGCCGTGCACAGCCAAATATACGTGAACATAAACATGGCCGGGTACAGGAGCCCGCACAGAAGAAGGCGGTGGATATACAACGTAAAGGAGGTTCTTAGACTCTGCAGCAAAAAGCACATTATTGTCTCCTTTGGCGCCGAGATAATGCCGGAGGAAGAGGTTGTTGAGATATTCAAAAAGTTCAAGGTAAAGGAAAGCGTCACCAGGAGCTTCTTCACGGAAAACATCGAGAGAATGCTCATCCAGGCAGCCACCAGGAAGTATGCGTACATGGGAGTCCTCGTCCACATGCAGGAAAACGAGACCGTTTTCAAGAAGATGGTGTATAAAGCGACAAAGACCGTCCCAGGAATAAAATAAACGCATTTATAGAAAGTCTCTTCGCAAATACGCGAGTTTTACCAGCAGGCCCAATAGAAAGAACAGGCAGGCTCTGAAAACACGGCGAAGTATCCCCCCGCGCAAAGCCCCCTCCTGCACTAAAAGTCGCGCCTTCCTGCAGGGTATTTCCGGCATTTCCCCGGGAAAGTGCTGCTTTTTCCGCGGCTGAATTTCAAAAGTATAAATTCTCGGAGAAACTGCAAAAAATGCAAGAAAAAGTGATCGTGCAGGCCCTGCTTGCCTTTTCAAAGTTTGCACGCGCCCTCATCCACACCTCCATTCCCGTGCAGAACAACCCATTCCCGCAGGCGTATCCCGAGGAAAGCGACGACCTCGGGGACTTTTTTATAAACCCACTCATAGCCATAGACGAGGAGTATCTGCACATTCCCCGGGTGGAGAGAAAAGTCGTGAGAAAAGAGTTCCGAGACCTCACGCAGAAAGAGTGGAAAGCGTACAGGGAGGCCGTGGAGCTCCTGAGAAAGTCCGGATATTTGGAGCCACTCGCGCGAGTCCACTTTACCGTGCGTGGGTATGCGCACAACTCCCTGGAGTTTCTCCCGTGGCACAGGCTCTTCCTTCTTTACTATGAATATCTTCTGAGAGCCGTCTCCGGGCAGGACGATATCACAGTCCCGTACTGGAACTGGGCCCTCGATGCGGATAATCCGAGCGAGTCCCCGATGCTGGACAGCGCCCACTGGGGACTTACCCGATGCTTTCTCGTGCACGAGCCTGTCACGCACTGCCTGCAGCGCACCCGCAACAGGAAGATCGACCCCTTCTACAACGAGGAGGAGATCGACCGAATCGTGCGCAAGAAAAACAGCTTCTACGACTTCACGATAGAGCTTGAGCTGATTCCGCACGCTCTCGTGCACCTGAACCTAGGCGGCGAGTATGGGGACATGTCGTACATGCAAAGCACGAACGACCCTCTTTTCTGGCACCATCACTCGTACGTGGAGTACATCTGGGAGCAAAGGATGCGCCTGTACAGAGAGAATCCTCGCGCGGAGAAGTATCTCTACCCGCAGGAGAAGCTGGACACTGTCCTGTACCCGTTCAACATGACGGTTAGGCAGGCGATTGCCCTGAGTACGCGCATCGAGTACAGGGAGAGCCGTGCAGCGAGAGCGTAGGCCAAAGAAGTGCCAGAGCAGCCCAAAAATAAACACGCGCAAGCCCTGGAATTACGCCCTATTTACTTCTTCGCTGCTTGCACGGGAGGCCATTCAAAGGGCGCACTATTCGCGTCCTGTAGTTTACTAGCTCACTCGGTTTATTATCGTATGCAGTATTTTCCTGTTTCCCTGGTTACCTCACAGTATTTGCTATTTCACTCGGTTTATTATTTGCATTCAGTATTTTACTATTCATTTGTTTTGGTGTTTTGCTCGTACAGTGTTTCAGTGCTTGCTTGCTACTATTCACTTAGGCTACTAACTCACTAATTCAGCAGTACTTTACTACTATTCAGCAGCACTTTGCTACTATTCACTTAGTTTGCTAGTTTACTACTATTCACTTAGGCTACTAGTCTACTAATTCACTTAGGCTACTACTATTCACTTAGGTTACTAGTTTACTAACTCACTAATTCACTTAGGTTACTACTATTCACTAATTCAGCAGTACTTTGATACTATTCACTTAGTTTGCTATTTTACTACTATTCACTAACTCACTTACTTTACTAGTTTACTAGTTTGCTAATTCACTTACTTTACTAGTTTACTAGTTTGCTAATTCAGTGCTTGCTACTAACTCCGTGCTTTACTATAACCCGGACTTGCTCGCCTGCTATCCACTCGCTTTGCTTGCCCGCGGGCCGTGCTTTGGCGGAGACAAAAAAGTGCGCTAACCGGGAATCGAACCCGGGTCTTAACCTTGGAAGGGTTGCGTTCTACCATTATACCATTAGCGCGCACACTCTCTCGCCAGCCCGCCCACCTCTCACGCCCTCTTTTGGGAGACGCGGGAGCCTCCCCGCCTTTTTAAGTATAAATGGCTTGGTTTATTTTTGCGCATGCGAAGAGCGCCTTTTGAGGAAAAAACAAACGAGGAAAGAGTCGAAGAGGTGGGGAAAGGCAAGATTCATTCTGAAAGGCGGGTAATAATGGAGTACCTTACGATGGCCTCGGAGCAGACGGGGGACTACAATTTAAAGTACGACTTGGCCCTGTGCCTAGAGGCCATACAGGGAAAGGAGAACATGCAAGTGAAGGAGCTGAAGGAGGCTGTCGTTGAACTTTCCGCTGAAAACGAGAAGCTGGTCCACCAGTGCAGCGCCCTGCAAATACAGCTTCTAAACAGAAGCTCCCAGTAGGCAGCCCGCGAATGTATACTCATAAACAATATTATATTTTATTCTGCTTTGCTTTTCTTGCACGGGGATGGGAGGAGGCTTTTTGAGACTTCGAAATTTTAGGAAGGCCTGGGGCTTTACTGGGCGGTTCCGCACGGGATTTCGCCTGTCCCCGTGTCTTCCCGGACTCTGGGATTTTTCCGGAATTTCCGCGTTTGTTTGTTTCCTGCGGGCTTCCTGCGGGTGAAACGGGACTCCCGAGAGAGTTGGAGTTTCTGCTGAATGTGAAACAGGCGTATCCATGCACAAGAGAAACAACAAACAGGCCTATATATGCGGGGGCGTGTCAGAGGGGAATGTCTCAAGTGGGAAAGTGTCTTCTATCCGTTCTGGGGATCTGCATCTTTGTCTCTTGCGCGAGTGCATCAAGCGTGCAGGAGTACTACGTTCTTCCGATGGCTTCCCTCGAGGAGTCGAAGGACGCGTGCAGAAGCGCCTCTTTTGTGCCGCCAGTCCAGAAGAAGTGGCTGGGGATGGTGCAGAAAGGGGGCTGCTCAACGCTCAGCAAGTACAACACCCTCCGGGAAATGGGGGCTTCGGGAATGCTTATTTTGGACGGGGGCGAGACGGAGTATACGTCCACAAGCAGATTTCACGTGGTCTCAATAGAGGCAAGCATGTATAAACGGCTGGTGGAGGCGTACGAGAAGAACAAGGAGCTTCCAAAAGTGAAAATATCGCACCCCTATACAAGCACGCTTCCTGCAGTGCAGATTCTCTACATCGTGTTTCTGGTTCTGATGATATTCGTGTTCCCGAGCCTTTTTGAGCGCCTGGACGAGCCGGCTGTGAAGCTGGTCACTCCGAAGGACTTATCCACCGTCTCCCTGGAGAAGTACGAGAGACTCCCAGAGAAAGACAGAAAGTACGAGGAGTGCCCGATTTGCTTCGACAGGTTCCAGCCGGAAGACTTCGTCCGGACTCTGCAGTGCAGGCACTACTACCACTGCAATTGCATCGATCCGTGGCTTCTTAGCAGGAGTTGTCGCTGCCCAGTGTGCAACCAAGAACTATCTTTCCCATGATAAGTCATTTAGAAAGTATAAAATTTTAATTTCTTGATCAAATAGAAAAAACAATCGATCGCATAAAATCAGCAGAGGATGATAAAATATAAGAAAGGAGACGACATAACATGCGAAAACTGCAAAACAAACATAACACCATTGTGGAGAAGAAGCGAGACAGGAAACTATCTGTGTAATGCCTGTGGGCTGTATTTAAAGATCCACAAGAAGCACAGGCCTGTAAAGTTTATGAGCAAGGAAATAAAGCACAGACAGAGGCAGCCCGTATCCAGAATTCTGGCAGACGGCACAACTGAAGGGTATGAGCTAGCATACAACGAGATAGGGGTGCAGAACACAGGAGGGAAGAACCACGCGTTTGACGACTGCCTTGTAATAAACTACAGCGAAGAAGAAATAGAAGCACTCTCCGGCCTGGTGATGCTTACAACCATAGATAGATCAAAGTAGCACAGAAAGCTCACTAAGCATGCCTGTGTCCTGTGACATAAAGACTCTCTCCACGTGAGAAATGCCCTCTCCCTTCACTGGGCATGTCCCAAGCCTGTGGAGGGATTCATTAAATATTAAAACACTCGCACGAGTGAAAAGAATAAAGAGAGAGTCAACACTCATAATGCTTAAAACTTGCCTTTTTTCTGCGCATCCCAGAGAGGGGGCGTGCAGTTTTCTCCCAAAGTACGAGACGAGAAGGGGCTTCGGGTGGAAGTCCAGGACAGGCCACGACCCGTCCACAAAAACCCGCAGAGTCCCCGCGTAGAGAGACGCCTCCAGCGCACAGAAGGCACTTTCACCGAGTGGAATCCCTGCTTGGCCCATTTCCGAGGCTACTTCCGGCGCGATTTCCCTCCGGTGGAAGAGCACGGAGTAAATGCGCCCCGAATCCATGCCCAGAAAAAGATCGCCGCTGATGTATTTGAGGCGGGTGCACGTGTCACCCTCTGGGAGGTCTAGAATCCTCTGCCTCTCCTCGGAGTAGAAGTACAGCGTCCCATCCTCCACGGCGAAAGGCCCAAATTCTGTGCAGCAGGACGGAATGAAGAGACTAGAGACGGTGCAGTGCACGTATTTTGGCGTGATTTTGTAGTAGCTTTTCGGGGCAAATATGTGCACTGTTCCTGCATGGTTCGATGCAAAGTGCTCCCAGCTGGAGGGCAGAGTGCAAACATCCTGCAGGAGGCGCTGCGAGTTTCCCTCCGCCTTCGGGGGGAGTCTAAACATTGCAAGAAGAGTTGGACTTTTGTCTTGCCACGCGTATATATAGTGGTCTGTGCACGTGTAGAGCACTCCGTTGGAAATGGCTAGGCCTCTCACTTGGCTGTTGTGGTTGTACGTTGCGGACTCGCACACTTCTTTCGCCTCGTTTACTTCCATGCAAAATTCGTGCGTGCAAAAGAAAGAAATCAGCTTGAAGTGCGGAGGAGACTTGCAACTTCGAAAATAGAGGGAAAGGATGCACAAACTCGGGCTGTGCATGCATGTTTGGCACTAGTGAGCATTTTCCCTCTTTTCTTCTTTCCCTCTTTCCTTCTTTCCCTCTTTCCTGAATGTCCTGAATGTCCTGAATGCATGAGTCCCACAGTCCAGTAATTGCAGTTCTTCTGTGTGGAAGCAGTTACTCGTAATTGGTTTGCTTATATGGGCCTGATTAAGGGGCTGCATGCCTTATATATCACGGGATAGAACAAATAATGTCTGTAAGCACTCCAATAAACAAAAAAGGCTGTGATTTTTCCTAGCACTTTCTGCATTACAACCACAGCAATTATAGCAATTCCTTTCTCAAGGCTGAATTTCTAATTTAAATCACTAATTATTTTGTGCTGATGCCAAAATGTGCAAAAGCACGAATTCAAAAACAGATCTGCTTAATTTTATGTCGTATATAGTCTGAAATATTTCTCTTTTTATGAATAGCCCCAATCCAGGTCGAATAAGTGTGTATGGTTCCCAAGAAGTTTCGCATGCCGACAAAAAAGACGCTGAGGCGCTGAGAGGGCATGTTCCGGGGTCGTGCGTGTTCTCTCTTATTTCCGCCCGCGAGCTGAGACCGTGCGTGCGCATAAGCAGCCTGCCAAACCTCCCAGGAAAAACGCTTTCCCTCATGGAGAGGCTGGCCGTGGCAACTGCGTACATGGAGATGCGCACAGCCAAGCGACTTCAAGGGGTTTCCTCGGATTTTTTCGTGGGCTCCGAAGCCCCCGCACAAGAAAAGTCTCTGGAGAAAGAAAAACCCGCTGAAAGAAAGTGCGCGGAAGCCCCCGTGCAGAAGGCAGCACCCGCAGAGCACACGGTAATTGAGGGGGCAGTGCTTGAAAGTGGAAAGCAGGAGGCTGGGCCAAGGCCTGTCGAAGAAGAGCTTTCTCCTGCAGAACGTCTTGGGCATAATGTACAGGTGCTTTGCTGCGCTGCTGCTATCCTGGGGTTTATCGTGTGCTTTTCCAACTTATTCCAGACTGGAGCAGTAGCACCCAAATTCCAGAAAATCCGCATGAATAGCAGTCCCTCAGCACAAAACCAATAGAGAGTGCGCGTATTAGCTGGTTTCCGGGCTTGCCCCAGAGAAAACGGAGTTTTTTCATCTGGAAACCATCCAAATACGCGGTCCCTGCACGACAGACGCAAATATAGCGCCCTGGAGGCAGGGCATGGCAATAATAAAGTCCGGGCTTAGAAGACTTTTCTCTGAAATTTAGCCGCAGAGCAGAAAGTGTCTCTTTTCCTGCAGCACTGCATTTATAATTTCGCACGGGATTATTTTTTTATGAGCAGCCCGTTCTTTATGCAAAGCATTCAGCTCGTGAACTTTATGTGCCACGACAACTTGCTTGTTGAGTTTAGCAAGAAAGTGACGTGCATAGTTGGAAGCAACGGAAGCGGGAAGTCGGCTGTTATGGTTGCGCTTGGGGTTCTTTTTGGCGTCCGCGCGTCTCTAATGCGGGGCAGCTCGCACAAGCAGTACATAAAAACAGGAGAGGAGTACGCTGTGATTCGGGTGCACATTAAGACGCAGAGCCCAGAAGCAGCAGGCACGTATAAAGACACGCACATAGAAAAGAGAATCTCGCCAGAGTCTTCCAGAATAAAAATAACGGTCGATGGCGAGGTTGTGGGAAGGACGCAGGAAGACCTGAACGCCTTTATAGAGCAGGAGCGGATCAACCTGAAGAGTCCCATAAGCTTCCTGACGCAGGACGAGGCCAAAAAAATCCTGAAGTCCCACAGCGCGAAGGGGATGTACTCTTTCTTCAAGGCTGCCACCGAGATAGAAAGCATAGAGGACATCCACGCGCAAAGCCAGAGCACTCTAGAGGAGATAAAAACCTCCCTGCACGCTGCCCACACGAGATATACGGGCAAAAAGAAGACTCTGGAGTCCCTGCGAAGTGCCCTGAATGCGCAGAAAAGCCTGCAGGCGATGGGAGAGCAGGTGCGCGCCCTTAGGATAGAGCACGAGTGGAGCAAGGTCGGGGAAATAGAAAAGAAGCGAAGCGAGGCCGAAAGAGCGCGCGAGGCCCTGCTGAACTCGTACGCCGACATGTCGAGGGAGCACCAAAATCTCCTGGATCAAGCCGAGAGCATCTCCAAGCAGGTCCTGGAGGCAGCGAGAAAAAGGGCCGATGCGCGCGCCCTCAGACACGCCAAAAACGAGAAGGCGAGCGAAGCCATTGCAAAGAACGAAAAAAGGAAAAAAGAAATCCAGAGAGAAATCGAGTACTACGCGTACGAAATAGAGCAAAAAACGAAAAAACTCGCGAGAATCCAGCAGATCCTGGGCGCCCCGAAAAAGGAGCCCGAGGAGGACATCAACGAGCTGAAGGAGCAGCACAAGGCACGCGCCATTGCCAGGAAAAGCCTGGAGGTGCAGCAGGCGCAGCTCGACATAACGATAAAGAAGGTGCAGGCGGAGGAAGAGAAAGCCCGCCCCCAGAAAGACGCGAACATGGAGGCAGCCGTCCAGGAAATATCGCAGAGAAAGCTCGACGTGCTTGGGCCCTTGCACGCGCACATAAAAGTCAAGGACGAAAAGTGGGTGCGCGCTATTGAGGCTCTTCTGGGGAGTGCCCTCTTTGGGTTTATCGTGCACACAGCGGAAGACCGTGCCGTGCTGGAAAGTGTTTTGGAAAAGCACCGCGTGAGGAGGTACAGGATATACCTGACAAAGCCGCAGAAGGACCGAGTTCTCGACCGGATATACGAAAAAGCCAGAAGTGTCTCGAACAAAATCCTGGCAACGGCAAACGTCCCTGGGCTCACAACAGTGATTTCGCAGGTCGAGGGAAGCCCTCTTTTGGTGGAGACTCTGGTGGTTCTGCTGGGCATTGAAAGAGTCGGGCTCCTCGAGAGCAGGAGCAAGGCGTACGAAGTCGTGCAGAGAAGGTGCGGGCTCGAGTGCATCCTCACGCCTTCTGCGGATCGAATACAGTGCGTGGGAAGCAGTCTCAGCGACATGCGGTGTGCAGCTGGGAGAAGGGTTCTTTCCGGGGGGAGCACACTCCCCGAGAGGGGAGAGCAGCTGGCAAAGGAGGCGAGAGAGACGAGGAAGATGCTCGTCGAGGCGCGGGAGAAGGAGCGGGCACTCGAGAAAAAAATCGAGGAGATCGAAGAGAGAATGCGGAGGAAGGAGAACGACGAAATGGAGGAAGAAAAAAAAAGCGTCCACGAGGAGATCCAGAAGATGCAGGAGCAGCAGGCATCCGTGCAGGAAACGTGGGCGGAACTCCTGCGGAATGAGGCCCACCTGCCGCGAGTAGAGCCTGCAGAAGAGGGCGCAGAAGACGCAGGGCACAGGCGAAAGGCAGAGGAGGGAAGAGATGCCGTGCGGAGAGATATCGTCCGAAGCGAAGACGGGATGAGAAGGTCGAAGGCGGAAATAGAAAAAATTGAGGCGGAGTTGGAGGAGATGCACAGAGCGTGCACAGCCGCAAAGGCACGCGCGGAAGAGTCTGGGCACGTCCTGCGCGTGGACAGGACCCCGCAGGAGGTGAAAAGCGACCTCGAGAAGGCAGAAGCCCGCATGCGCGCAGCAGAGGAAGTCCACGGAGAAAAGACCATGCACAGCGAGGAGGAGACTGCGCGGAGTGAGAGGGAAGTGCAGAGTGAAGTTTGCGCGATTGAGCAGGTCCTGCAGGAGGGCGAGCAGAGAAAGACGGAAATAGAGAGGGCCACAAAAGAGCGCATAAAAAAGAGGGAGGAGATGCTGAAGGCAATTGCCAGCGCGGGGAGGGAGGAGTTTGCATCGCTTATGAGGATGCGCGAGTACGAGGGAGTTTTGGACTTTGACCATCTGCAGGAGGAGCTGCACATCTCCGTAAAAGTCTCTGAGGCTTCTCGCGGGAATAAGGGCAGCCTCAGCGGGGGAGAAAGATCGTTTTCTGGCGCGTGCTTTCTCCTTGCGCTGTGGCCTCTCATTTCGTCGCCCCTCCGAGTCCTCGATGAATTCGACGTTTTTATGGACGGGCTCAACAGGAAGGCAGCATTCAACCTGGTCTTTGAGGTGGTCCGGAAACTGGATACGCAGGTTATTATAATATCCCCTCTGGGCATGGCCAGCACACCCCCCGACATCTGCGAAGTCGTGACTTTGAAGGCTCCCGTGCGGTAGCTCGGGCTTTGCTATTTCCGGCTCTGGGCTGTCGCACTTGGAAGAGCGTGAAGGCCGGGTGTAACTGGAGGTGCTAGCGAAAATGCAGCCTTTATTCGGGGGCTTAGCATACGATAATAAACGATAGAACTGATAGAACTGATAAACTTTCCAGCCTCCTTCTCGCATAAATTGCGATGCCCTTCACTTTGCCTGTTCCAGCAGCGCACGGGAGTAACTGGGCTTTCGTCGTGCGAAGGCCTGGGCAGAGACGGAATCAATAAATCAAAAACTGCGAAGTGCACAGGGATAGAGCGGAAAGACTTCCTGATTGGTTTATTTACGAAAATATTCTGTTGTGAATATGCGCAATGAGTTGCTGCATTGTGTTTTCGCTCATTAGGGTCTCTGACTCGTGCAGAATCCTTCTTCGCACGTCCAGCTTCCCAACAGTTTCCAGCTCGACGTTCATCTCCTTCGCAGCCTTCTCCTCCTCAACCCGCTTTTTGAGCATAACCCCCAGCTCCTTTATTGCCTTCTTCCTGGTGCTGGCTCTTTTCTCAAAGTCCTTGACCGTCTCCATCTTCAGGCAGTCCGCCCAGGTCTTCTTGTGCAGGCTCAGGAGCATGTTCTCCTCCAGCTCGTTCTTCTTGTACTGGATGTTTATCGAGTAGTAGTGCCTGTTCAGGCCGTGCAGCATGCTCACAAGAGTGGGCTTCGTCAGGTACCCAATATTCGACGTGACCTGCCGTGGCTCCACTCCCGTTATCGACTTCTGCATGGGAATAAGCCTAAACGCGTCAATAACGACTTTTCCGCGCACGCTCTGAATTGGGTCTATCACAACAGCAACTGCCCTCTTGGAGAGCTGCTCGAATGCAGACTGCGTGTTTATGTCCACGCTGGAAAGCCAGCACCCGAACCCAGGATGCGAGTGGTACCATCCAACAACGCTCTCTCCTCGCCCCGTTATTTTCAGCATATCCATCATCCTCGTCTGAAAGACAGGGTCAACAGCCTCCACGCTGACTCCAGTCCCGCTTTGCGGCATTGCAAAGACGTCAGTCACGCGGATCGTATACTCGTCCACAAACTCCCCCAGCATCAGGCCCATGACTTCCATGGGAACTCCAGCTCTTCCATGCTTAAGCATTTTTATCAGGGCAAGCGAGGAAATTTGTATCGTCTCTGCGGCATCTGGCGTGTAAGTGTCTTCCATTAGTCTTGCCTGGTCCCACATGCGAATACAAATAAATTTTAATTAAAAGCAAGAATGGGCGTAAATGCGCAAAGACGGGGCAAGTCTGGGCGTGAAATGGCCGAAATACTCAGAGGGCTCAAAACCCCAGGAATCTCTTCGGGCGAGATCCAGGCTCTTTTGGAGAAGCACTGCCCGCACGTGGATTTTCGAAAGTATGTGCGAGGGTGTGGAAAGTGTGCTGGAGACAGTATGGGGGCGGCAGATGCCCGCGGAACCTCCCACGGAACCTCCCACGAAACCTGCTGCGGAACTCACCCGCCCTGTCTTGCTCTTTTGGAGGAGTCTCTTCTCTACGCGGGAGACCTGAGCAGGGCCTTTTTGGGCGAAATTGTGCGTGCAATTGAGGAGGAAATGCCCCGGGAGCACCTTATACACGTGCACAAGATGCTTTCCAACACTCTGATCTCCTCGCACAGGTGCGGGTATGCACACGAGTACGACAGATGGCTTGTTCTTGCGGCAATTAAAATTATGCAGGTACTGAAGCGGGAGGAGTACGTGCTAGAGTACTTCCCGTGCGTGGCCGAGAGAATCAGCGCAGATTGCCACCTTTCAGGCGGATTTCGGGACAGAGCCGTTATTTTGAGCGACTATCTCACGCAGGGCGAGCTTCTCCTGGAGTCGGGAGAGGCTGCGCACTTCAGCAGCGACGTCCCAAGGAAGCCCCGCATCGAAGAAGTGTGCGAAAGCCCAGACGAAGACGCTCCAGAAGAGCCTGCTTTTATAAGCACGCTCGCAGAGTACTACTTCACGGTGAAGAGCAAAAAGTTTGAGTCCGAGCCCCCGGAGGAGATACGCCGCGTGATGCTGCAGCTCCCCGGAGTACTGCGGAGGGAAAGCCCAAAAACCGTGAAAAAACTGTACTTGGAAATAGTGCAGGTACACGCTTCAATTCTGACGAAGGAGTCTCTTGAGGGGATATGCAGCCTTCTTTTGCAGGGAGAAATCGCCTGGGAGATTCTTTCGGTTTTGTACGACAGGGACAAATACTCGCTGCACTTTCGGCGGGTGATAGTGCAGTGCCTGGGCTCAGTCCTGCACAGGCTTCGAGGGGACGTCCTGGCCCGAATTGTGGAAAAACACGCACGCACGGAATATTCAGCGGAGGACGTAAAGCTGGGAATTCCCAGGCTTTTTTCGGCTGGCTCTATAAAATAAATGCATTCCGATTTTTATTTAAATGGGCATAGAAAGAGCCATCGAAGTGCTGCAGGAAACGGACTCCCCTGCAGACATTCGGCGATTTGTGGAGAATAAGCTGGGGGCGGTGATAGACTATATTTTTCTTATTTCCAGCACGAGCAGCCAGAAAACGTCCAGGCTCAACACACTGGACTTTATTAAGGGGTCGATATTCCAGAAGTCCATAGCGCCAAAGCTGTGCACGGAGAAGTACATTTTCGGCCTGCGCAGCATCCGCAAAAATGCGCACTCCAAGAAGGTCTCGGACGGAATTGTCTCTCTTTGCTACGAAATATACGCGGACGGGATGAAGATTCTGCTGGAGTGCATGCCCGAAAAAACCTTGGAGATCATCGCAGGGCATCCCAGCATGTGCTACATCGAGCAACTTTTGAAGAGCTCAGAGTACAGCCCGATCATTGAGATGTTTCCGTGCTTTTTCTCGCTTGGGGAGAGCAACTTCTGCAGGTGGATTCGGCTCTTGGTGGCGAAGGATGCGATTTCCATGCTGCTCCGGTCTCTGGAGAAGCTCACCCGGGCGCAAAAAGGGGCACACAATTTGGCGAAGTTTCTGTACTTGTTCGTCTCGTTCACCGGGAACGTCTTCAAAGACTCTGCGCACATGGAGGCAACGGGGTACCACTACACGCACTTCTACAGCCAAATAGAGGAAAGGGCAGAGCCTCTTCTGAGCTGCATATTTTCCGGGTCCGACTCCATCAACAGGCTCGCGTGCCTGGAGGTTGTCCGGGAAATGATCCGGACCGTTGAGTATTTGCCCAGCGGAAAGCACACGCTGCGGTTCCTGCACGTGTACTTGGAGGGCTCGAGCGTGCTCAAAAGCCTTGAAAGCAGCGACCACACGGCGCCTGCCACTGTCTGCATACTGTACCTGATAAACACGGTTTCCCGAACGGTCCGATACAAGCACGCGGACATGCTTGAATTCCTGAAGAAGACGCGATTCCTCCACCACGTTGCCGTTTACCTCCACGGGACATCGACGCACAGCATAACCAACGAGGTTTGCCTCCTCCTCAATGAGCTTGTGTACGTGGACAAGGCTTTCTACATCGACCTGATCGTGGAGTTCAGCCGGTCAGTGAAGGATCACACTTTCAAGAAGGTTGTGCAAACATACGCAGTCTCCCAGCAGAGACACAATCCGCACGTCTCCGTGATCGACTGCATTACGCCGGTTGTATACATTCTTTACAAGCTGTATCACATGTGCATGTACGAGTGCACAAAAAGAAGCAAAGAGGCCCGGCAGCAGTCGACGCGGTTTGTTGTCGTTGACGAGACCAAGGAAATGTACAAGCTACTGCAGGCTCTCGAGTTTCTGCAGGACGAGCAGGCGTACTGGTACATCACCACGCGAATTTTCGAGCACGAAAAGCGAATATCCTTGGAGTACGGCAGGTCTCTTCCGGACAGGCACCCGAATGCCGAGCAATTTGCTCGGTACTTCTGCGACTACACTGCATCTGTGCTTCCTGCGTATCCCCCGTGGTTACTCCAGTAGATGCAGCAGTTTAGCTTAAAATAAACCCATACATATTTGAGAAAAAAATACACATTCTTTATTCTGTGGCGCGGAGAAGTCCGCGGAGAGCGTGGAAAGCCCAGCAAAAAGAGGGGGAAAGCCCGCGTGGAGTCTGCGAGCATGGAAGCTAAAGGCCTCTGCCTTTGCACGGGTGCGGGCCCAAATAGTACGGCCTAGTCCCACGGGGAGTGCCGCAGGCCGTGGAAATTCCGCATTTGGGCTGCACTGCATCGAGAACTTCGCCCGTAAGCTCTTGGTGGGATAAAGAGGTTTTCCCACAAGACCATGCTTCTTGCCAGGAGATGGGAAAGTGCCAGAGAAATAAGTATAAATAAAGATAGATCTGGTTTTTTTATGGCGTGTAGCAAAAAGGGGAGTCTTTCTTGCATAGACAAAAGCGCCAAAACAGAGGGCAAAAAGCACAGCGAAGAGTGCGAAAAGGAAAACAGCAGCCCGTTTCCCGGGGCATTCAGCGGAGTGTGCAGTGGCTTTGCCATTAAAATGCGGGAGTATACGCTGCGGGCAAAGGCAACAGACGAAGTTCTTTTAAAAAGCATAACGTGCAAAATACCAAAGGGAAAACTTACGCTTTTAATTGGAGACTCGCAGGAGAGAAGGGAAACCCTTCTAAACGTGCTCTCAGGACAGCCAATGCCCGGGCACGGGAAGGAGCGCGGACGCATAAAAGTGCAAAATGCGTTCGGGGAGCTGGAAAGGCGAGACGCTGCCGCGTGGATGAAAAGGACGAACTACTCGAGGCCTGCAAGCCCGCAGATGTACGACGCGATGACCCCGCGGGAGGTGCTTATGTTCGTGGCAACGGTGAGGGAGCGCCCAAAAAGTGCTGTGGACGAGGCCCTCCATTTTACGGGGCTAGCTCCAATCGCAGACGTGCAGATACAGCACTTAGCAGAGGAGATGGACAGCGTCCTCGACGTAGTTATGCTGGGAGCAGGCATGCTCACTGAAAATGAAGTGAATACGTGGAACATCAAGGAGACAAGAAACCCGTGCTTTTTTGACGACGAGAAGCTCCTGCAGAGAATTCGGGAGAACAAAAAGACGAACATTCTCGTGCTGGAGAGAGACTTGCCAGAAAGCATTTTGGCCTTAGCGGACTGGATCGTGTTTATGCACAAGTCAGCGGTGGTGTACTGCGGCCCGTGTGCAAAGATGGAAAAGCATCTAAGAAGGCGTGGAATGGCATTCTCCAAAAAGCCCTTTTCAGACTTTATCCTAGGGGCAAACACGGGAAGACTGCAGGATATTCTGGGCAGGGAAGACCGAAAAGTCCTTGAAAGTTTCCTCGAAGGGACAGGCCGAGTCAGGCACTGGAGCAGCTGTACGCCCACAAAAAGCGTCTTCGTGAGGCCGGACAGGTTCAACTTTTCAACGGTTAAGGCCCTGATGAAAAGGTCGGCCTTGCTTGAGCGGAGGTTTCGATTCCCCGTGTTTCTCGCCAGAGTGCTTATATACTGCGCTGTCTGCGCGCTCTCTGTGGGCCTTATTTTCTTCTCCTGGGAGACTCTGGACTTTACGGACATCCACAGCAGCCCCATCGTGACAAAGTCCGCAGAAATCCCGAAGTTCCCAAGGAGAGTCCCGGAGTTTGGCAACTTCCCAGCGCTGAAAGAGGGCATTTCTGCTCTGATTCGGGCTGCAAGAACTGTCAGGTGGAGCATCTCTGCGTGCTTTCTCTTCTGGTACTACATGATATTCCTGTACTTTGCAAGCGTGTGCATTTCCCCGTGTGCCCTGCACTCTGCAAGCGTGGAGATGTGCAAGCTCGAGATTCGGTCGGGAATGTACAATGCAGCAGAGTTTATTGCTGCCCTTGTCTTGGAGATTCTCGTGAAAAACATTCTTGTCCCGTGCATCCTCCAGGCCGTGTGCTTCTGCACCACCAACTACTTCATCACGCGCGAAACTGCATTTATGGGCCTTATTAGCTACACGTACTTTGACTACTTCGTGGCATTCCTCTGCAGCAACTTTGTCTTTGGGATGTACGTGGTTCTCATACACCTTATATCCTTTAAAGCGCTATTCTCCAGGGTAAACACGTGCGCACTCGTTTTGGTGCCACTTGCTGCTCTGGGGGTGGAGGCAATTCTCTTCCCCATGAGAAGGACGGAAGTTGCAGTGGATGCCAGACTGCACGGGGTTTGGAGGATTCTTTTCAACAACATGCGCAATGAAAAGAACGTTTTGGAGCGCAAGTACGCGAAGGAAATGACAGCTCTTCTGAAAAGGCCGTACCTTCTTTACGCGTTTAAAAGGTTCCGAATGCGGGACTTTCTGGTGCGCCCCATCAGCTGGTTCTCCTTCAGGAATATGCCGGAGTGGGGGGCCTTTTTCGGGGCTATAGTGAGCATTGCCGGAGACTGCACACACTGCCTGTACAGGTACGGGCCCTCCGTTGTCTTTGATGAGGTTCTCTATAAAATCGGGTACTACAGAGAATACTTTTCCATGGGGGGTAGTGAAGCTCTCACGTGCACAAATAATTCTCTGGCCGAAAAAATATCCGAGGAGATCCAGGAGAGAAACAAGATCCCAGGGCTCTTCATGCACTTCTACCCGCTTATCTACTGCACAGACCCGGGGAGCTCCACCCTTTCCTTTGCCTCCTTCACAAAAACAGGCTTCTTCGGAATTCTCTTCACGATAATACGGTGCAGCCTGCTCCCTGGACTCCTCCTGTGCGTGTTTTTGCTGCTCTCGTATACCTCTATGCAGCCTGGATAAAGAGGCGTGGAAGGGGCAAATCCCAAGGCGAGTCTTCCTAAAACCTGCCTGCAAGCAGTAGTTATTTGCAGGAAGGAGTATTGCACTGAACAATGCCGTGCTACCGTGATTTAGGCCTTTATAGTAGGCCTTTATAGCGGATTTTCCAGCGGATTTTCTGAATTTTTCAGAATATCCCCAAAATTTACTCGCCAATACAGGCTCTCCGCGCACGTCCTCAGAGAGTGTTTGCCCACACTTGCAGACACCTCTTCTGGCGCACTCCCACGCCCTCATTTTTTTCCGAGTTTTTGCCGCATCCGCCTGCAGCAGCCTGTCCCGCATAAATTTTCTTTTTAAAATTTGACCCATGGCAGCAAAGAAAGTAGACCCAAAGGCACAGCAGAAGAAGGGAGGCAAAGACAAGGCCCCAAAGAAGGTAGATGCTAAGAAATGGACCAAAACAGAGAGCAAGGCCAAGACCCTAAAGATCTCTGTAATCAACGAGGAAACATTCAACAAGATAAAGAAGGAGGTTCTTGCAATGAACATAATAACTCCAGCCACAGTTTCCGCGAAAAACAACTTAGAAACTGCAGTTGCCAAGAGAATCCTCGACAAAATAGTCGAATCTGGCGAGATAGAAATAATTGCAAAATCTTCGTTCGGAAGAATATACGGGAAGAAGGAGGCGCCTGTTGCAGCACAGTAATAAATTGTCCACTTTATTTTTTCTTCTTCTTTAGCAGAGCCTCTTTCATTTCCTTTTCCTTGCGCTGCTGCTCTCTCTGCTTCTCCATGAAGTCCAGCTCCTCCTGCGAGAGCTCCTTCTGGGGCTTCTTTGAGGCCTTGAGCGGCTTCTTCTTTCCTCCGTCTCTGTTCATGCAGGGGCACAAAATAGAAAAAGCTCAAATGAGTGCATAGTATTTATTATAGCCCACTGTTTCTCTTTACAGCTGATCTATACGAAGGGATCCAGTTGGACGGAATGACCTTTCGTGTTTTGTAGTATCGAGAAAGTCTGCTGATTCTGGACTCAACGAGAATGAGTCTGTACTTAGAGTCCGTGTCTCTCTTGTTCGACTCCAAGTGCTTCCTTATGCTGATCGCCTTCTTGACGAGGGCGGAGAGGTCTTCCGGAACTTGTGGGGCCAGGTTGTTCTTCATAAGGATCATAAGCAGCTTTCTCCCGCTGAAGAACTTCATGTTTCCGATCTGGTACTCGTCTCTCAGAATAGTTCCGATCTCAGAGAGAGTCAGGCCTTTCTTGGCGTATGTTACTATTTTTGACTCAATGTCGTTGACGTTGGCATCTAGCCATTCTGGGCTCTCCCTAATGTATGGGGTTGTTGATCCAGAAATACCCTTTCCTTGGTTGTGCATGCGGCCCATTCTTCTTCTTACAGGGGATAAATAATTTAAATTTTAAATAAGAAAATGAGCCAAGAAAGTGGGGTAGAGAGCAAAAGGCTGCTAAGGTTCTTTCGGGGAAAGAATGGGCCTATGAGTGTAAAGGAGCTGCAGAGAACTCTCAAGTCCCTGTACATCATCATCAGATTCCAGAAAGAAAGGGCTCGAAAGAAGGAAAAAGTCCGTGCAAGCAGGCGCGGAAATCTGCCAGAAAACAGAGAGAGCCGAGAGATGCAGAAACAAGCCGTGCGAAAAGGGGAAAAAACAGCCCCACCCGCGAGAAATCGCCACGTGCCAGCAAACACTCACCCCCTGGAGGGAGAAAAGCCGTTTTCAGGCGAAGTCCCAGGCACCCCCTCCACAAAAGCCCCGGATTTTGCAGCGCCCTGCCCCAGGGAACCAGCAGCGCCCTTCGGAGGCGGAATAACCGGATCCCTGAGCGAGATCTTCAAAAGTGCAGCTCTTGCCCAGAAATCCCCCGAACTCTCTGCATCCCACGGGAGAAACGGCGGAGAAGAACAGGCCCCGGGGAAGAGAGAGCCTTTTTCTGGAGAGAAGAAGCCGCAGAAGCCAAAGGACCCAAAAATACCCGAGCATCCACCAGCAGAGCCTGTTTACGGGTTTGAAATACGGGAGAGTGCGAGGAAGGAGGTCCCAGGGAGTGGCCCTGCATTTGCATTTTCCCTCCCGAATTGACTCGCAGAGAATAGACGGCAAGCCCCGTGCACGCCAAAACAATAAATGAAAATAAATCTAACTAGTTCAAACTCGCCCGTGTGATATAAATAATAAATTCAAAATGTTGTAAAAAACTCGCGCATGTGCCCTGCCTGTTAGAAGCCAGGCTAAATGGGCGTGATAGAACGTCTTATTTGCTGTTTATTTCGATGTGTTTGGCCTGGGCTGGAGGTGGCGATAGTGTAAAGTGGCGCTTAAGATCCTGTGCTTCTGCCACTAACTTCTTATTTGCGGCTGCATCTGCTTGTACTTCATCAGGCCAAATAAAAGCAGGAGGGCCGTGGGGAGTAGTAGCCCCCGGAGAATGCAGCCTACTATTTGGGAGAAGTGCACGGTATCTACGTGCACGTCTGGAAGGAACATTTCGTGCATCTGGAAAGGCCTCTCCATGTTTTCGATGTAGGAAAGGGCTGTTTCGTACTGGAACTTCTCTACGGCACCCCCTGAGTAGAGAAGCACGGGAGTCTCCTGTTGGAGGCGGTGCGCCAGGTCTGCACTTCCTTCAACGGAGTAGAGTGTTTCCCTGTAGAGCCTTAGCTTCGTGAGCAGTTCCTCTGTGATTCCGAAGGGGCCTGCTCTGTACAGGAGCTTGAGGAGCTCGGAGGACGCCTTCATACAGAGGTGCTTTAGGGTGGACTTCTCGCTGTCACTCGCGCTGGCGAGGCGACTGTCGAGGAAAAACATCTTTTCCTGGAGCATGTTCAGCCTCTGTTCGTACAGCGGGTTTTCCCTATTCTTGGGCTTCGGCTTGGAAAGGTCTGCGAGGTCCACCACCCCGTTCAGCACTCCCCCGATCAGTTTGGCCATTTTGCTCTCCATAAGGGCGCCCAGAGAGGCCATTTGGTAGACCAGGGACTGCATGAAGAGAACAACCCCAAGCCCAGCGTACATGAACAACTTCGGGGGAATCGGGAGGAAGTGGATTGCAACCACGTACATGCAGAGAAGAAAAGACGAGACGAAGCAGACGAAGAGAAAGTCAAAAGTGCTCCCGGGCACGGATACTCCCAGATCTCCTGCTCGCACGGCAGTATACGCTATGCAGTACGAGAAAACAGAGAAGAGGAAGGAGGTTGGCAGCTTCCGGGCAAACACCTCAATAAAGCTTGCTGCAAGGAAGTCCCCCACTGTAAACTGGCCCTCTGCGATGTTTGTCGTGCACAGTCGGAAGTAGTCTATCCCCGTGAGGTTTGAAAACAGGCTCAGCATGCTCACAAAAATAAACGGGCGCTCGTTCTGGAAGAATCCTACCACACACGAGAGCCACTTGCTGCTAGAAGCCACGTCAAAGCAGCTCGCAAAAACATCAGCATCTGGATCGCCCTCTGATATTTGGGTGCGAATGTTCAGAAAAGCGAGGATAGGCTGCAGGAATAGCCCGATAATTGCTGAAGGCTCTGGGCCCAGTATGATCTTGTCGAAAACCACGCAAATTATCTTCAGAATCAGGAGCATCCCCGAGTAGTACGCTGCCTCGTACAGAATGGAGGAGCCAAAGAATCCGCTGTTGAAGTAGAAAGACCGCGAGAGAACCTCAAAAACTCGCGTGGAGCTGACCCCGAAGGAGTTCGACAGAAAAACATTCCCAGCCCTCTTCTCCGCAAGAGGCTTCCCCGTTATCTCCAGAGTAAGCCTCTCCAGCACGTGTATGTTCTCCACGTCCTCCTGCGTCTCTGCATTTTCTGCGCTCAGCCGCATCATGTAGTCAATGAACAGAATGTCCTCGGTGTAGGAAATTCCCCTTCTCCGGAAGTACTCCTCCATTCCCTTGTACGGGCCGGAGTATATTACCGTGGAAGAGTGCATGAATATGACCCACTCAAACATGCTCATCAGCTGGGAGGAGGGCTGGTGGATGCTCACTATGCTCGTTGTGCGCATCTCCTGCTTCATGAACCGCAGGGTTTTCTTCGCTATTTCCGAGTCCAGGCCCGTCAGTGGCTCATCCCACAGATTCAGCTCTTTCTCTGCAAGGACTCCAATAATTGTCATGACTCTTTTCTGCTCTCCCCCGGAGAGGTTTGCAAAGGCGGTGTGTCTTGTCTTGCTCACGCGAAAGTACGCTAGCAACTTGTCGATCCGGCCTACGTCCGCACCGTAGCACCGCGCCACAGAGCACAGCAGCGTGTAAACTGGAATTTTCCTGTACTTTGTCACTTCCTGCTTGTGGTAGTTTACGCGGGGAACCCACTCCTCTGCATGCCTGGAGTCCATCCACCCGCTTTTCTGAGCGACCTCTACACTCCCGTACGTCGTATGCCCTGGGCTGCACCGCCCAGAAATGCTTTCAAAGAGCGTGGTTTTTCCCTCCCCGCTCAGCCCCATAAGCGCAATAAGCTTCCCCCGAGGCACGTCAAATGTTACGTTGTGGAGAAGAATGGTTTTCTTCCCCGTTTTCCTCGTGTAGTTTCTAAACTTAAGCAGAACTCTCCGCGGCGCCTTTTCCGAGGCATGCCGCTCTCTTCTCTCTGACTTTCCCTCGCTCTCCCGGCTCTCACCAGAAAAAGCACGGGCTGCAAACTCATTTTCAGCTATCATTACTTGCAAAAAAAATATATTGTTTTATCCCTTCTAATCTAGCAGTAAATAGAGGAAGTTTGTTTTTCATTAAAATTATATTTGCATCTTCTGCAATTTCAGCCGCAAAAATTACGGAAAATAGCAGACTTTCCCACGGAGAAAGTGCACGAGCACGCAAAAAGTGCAAAGAGTGCAAAATATACCGGGCTAGAAAAGGCCTTTCTGTGCGGGGGCTGAGAAACTTCACAACTTCCAGCTCTCCCAGAAGCTGCGGGCGGCCTAATAACACCCGAGTACCGCGCTCTTTCTGCGTGGCTTTACCCGAATCCGCAGCCCGTGGGATATTCGGAGAATGGGTCTAGGAAAGGGCATAGCCCCAGACAGGGAAGATAAATCAATAGATTCGTTCTACTTTAAGGCCGTACCCGGTGGAAAGCGCGAACTTTTTCGCCCGGGAGCTTTCCTGCACGCTACACCCCTGCAAAGGGCGTACCTGACTGAGTGCGACAAATGCACTTTTATTTTTATCCCCATGATATGGAAGCGCGTCGTGCAGGCAGTGACCAGTCCCCTGCAGATTCTGGAAACAGCAAAAAAGCTCAACCAAATAACAGACAAAAACGACGCCCGCGCGCAGCAAAACCCCCTCCCTGCGCGGATGCAGCCGAAAAAAAGCGCAGCCCCCGTGCAAGAAGCCCAGCCCTTTTCCGGCTTCAAGTGAATAAAAGTGCCCAGGCGCCCTTCTTCTACTAATGTGTTTATTTACGATCGCCGGGAACTCTCCCGCGCTCTTCTGGGCTCTCAGCCCAACGATAAAACGGGCTGTGTACGCCTGGTGCTTTCAGGGCTGCAGCTCTCTAAATAAAGTAAGTTCTTTTATTGCGTGTAAACGCGAGCGAAATACGAGGCAATTTCTGCGGTGTCTACCACCTTCTCCCTCCTCTAGCTGCCATATTTCCGCCAAAGCGTCTGTTTCGTCCTCCAAAGTTTCCTCCGCTGCTTCCTCCTCTTGTTTCAGCAATCTTCACGAGCTCTGAAGGCACCTCCTGCTTGGAGTCCCTTAATATGTCTATGTATTTCCTAGCGTTTGCTCTGTCGTTAACTGGGGAGAAGAATGTGAGCGACAGCCCCTCCTCTGAGTTTCCTCTCGCTGTTCTTCCGATTCTGTGGATGTAGTCCTCGCAGTTCCCTGGGAAGTCGTAGTTAATAACTGCCTTCACGTCCTTCACGTCGAGTCCTCTTGCCGCCACGTCCGTTGCGACGAGGATGCTTCTCCTTCCCGACTTGAAGTCTGCGATGATCCTGTCTCTCTGGTTCTGGGCCTTATCCCCGTGGAGGGACTCTGCTGGCCATCCGTACTCCTGCATCTTATCGACGAGGTCGTCGCACTTCCTCTTCTGGTTGCAGAAGACGATGATCTTCGGGTTGAGTTTCTCGTCTCCTGCGACCTCTGTGAGCACCTCCGAAAGCAGCCTGTCCTTCTCCCTGTACTCTACGATGTACGTCTTCTGCGTGATCTTTATGTTTGCAACGAGCTCTGCCGATCCGATCTTCACCTGGATGTAGTCGTTCATGTAGTTTCTCGCGAGGGACTGGACCTCCTTTGGCCACGTTGCCGACCACATGAGTGTCTGTCTCTTCGGGTTTGTCTCCGGGATGATCTTCTTAAGCTGCGGCTCGAATCCCATATCGAGCATTCTGTCTGCCTCATCGAGGACGAGGAACGAGACTCTGCTGAGGTACACTGCGCCCTGGTCGTAGAGGTCGATAAGTCTCCCGGGGGTTGCGATGAGGATTTCCGTTCCCCTTCTAATTGCTCCCTTCTGGGGCCCTGAGGGGACTCCTCCGTAGACGGAGAATGTTCTCATGCCGAAAAATCCTGCGTATTTTTTTGCCTCCTCCTCGATCTGCGAAACGAGCTCTCTCGTTGGGGCGAGTACGAGAACGATGGGTCCGTCGCCCTGTCTGAGCGGCTTCTGTGCTCTCGCGTGGATCAGTGCCGGGAGGATGAAGGAAAGTGTTTTTCCGGATCCCGTGTTTGCGACTCCGACCATGTCTCGCCCGCAAAGTGCCATGGGCCATCCCTGCGCCTGTATTGGCGTGGGGTTGGTGTATCCCGACCTCTTGAACTCCGCCATAACGCTCTCTGGGAATCCAAAGTGCTCGAAGTTCATGCACGGCTTTGGAATGCTATCTCCTGTAATGGTCATGTCGAAGGTCTTTCTCATCTCGTTGACTTCGCTTGCGCTCAGCTTTTCCTGCTCTGGGTGCTCGCTGTAGAACTCTTTATCAAACTCTACTGGCCCGTTGTCCTGCATTGAATCTCCAAAGTTTCCCCTGCGTGCTGCACCAAATCGCCCATTTTCCTTTCTGTCTCCGCTTGAGAAATCGCCTCTTCTCTTGAAGTCTCCTCTAGATCTATTTCCTCCGTAACTGGTAGTCATCTTACAAGGCAAAAAAAAAAATTCATTATATAGCTTGAAAAAATAAAATATTTTCCGTGCGCAAAGGCTTCCATTGGACATATTAAAAGAAACGGCCCAAACAAAAATAAAAACATCGCCTGCTTTGGACAAATTAAAAAGAAAAAAAACAGTCCAGCCTAGATTGGAGATATTTTGTGTTTGTACGTGTTTGTTTCATATTGCTCAGTGTCGTAAATCCAGGCCAAATTCTGAATATTGCCTAGGAGAAGCTCCAATAAAGATTTATTAGCCTTTGGAGGATCCCGGCTGTCGACCTTTGCTTGGTCTGATCTTCGATTCTTAGAATTTCTTGACGCTCAGGAATGTGCACACGCTAGTATTCAGGCCCTCTGCAGCCTGAAAAGAATCCCGGAGACACTATCGTAATCCAAGCAAGGTCCGGCTAGGCCTTGGGCAAACCCTGCTGGATCCCTGCTGAAACTCCACGGGAATATTTCGCATATCTGGCCGGCACTCGGACTATTCGGGCACCCCCCAGAGAAAATTCTCTCTGGATGCTTTTGCATTTTTGGAAAACTCTGGGAAGTCCGCAGAAGATTTCATTTTTCTTCTTATTTTTTATTCTTGCAAGTTTTCCAAAGAGTCCCCAAAACGTCATTGCGTGCTGGAAACAGCTGGGCATAGAAAATTATTCAATAAATTCAAATAGTAAAAAAGTGCACGGAAGAAGGAATATTTTGGCAGGCTGAGACTTTGCAAAACTAGCTTTTATTAATGCAGCATCTGCTGCTTATCGGGTCTTCTTCTGTGCTGTGCACCCGCTTTTGAGCCGTCTGCTGTCCTGTACTGGGCTGCTGCATGCCTATTTAGAGATAGACTTTGGCTTGGGCACGCCGTCGTCTATGACCAGCGTTATGATTCTCCCGGTCTCGCCAAACTCAGCCAGAGCCTGATCGAATTCGTAGTCTTCCAGCTCGTAGAATCGGCCCAGATCTTTGATCTTCTGCAGGTCAGCCTTCCCGTGCGCCTTGAACATCGCATCCTCGCGCTCCCCCAAGGTTTTTCCCTCGAACTTTCGGAGCATGTGGGAGTACACGGACTTTGCATCTGCGCGGCTGCTGAAGAAGAATCGGGCTTTGTGGATGGTTTCTATCGCATCAGACCAATACCTCTTCTGGTACGCCATGTACTCGAGCAGGCGCTGGATTCTGTCCCTGCAGTGAGCTCTCCTCTCTTCCTCGAGGACGCTGTACACCTCCTCAAACTCTCGGTGCATGTAGCGCTGGAAAAGGTTCAGCATCTGGGTGCACGACTCTAGAATTGAGCCTATGAGTTTGTCGCTCTGCTCTATGCGCGGATCTGCAAGCATATTCGGGTTTATTTTTAGGGCTGTTCCCATCGCCACGTACACCTCAACCCAAACACTTTTTATGAAGTCTTTGAGGTCCTGGGCGTGCAAAGAGTCATTGACCAGAATTCGGATGGACTCTTCCGTGTTCATAATTAGGCCCATCATCTGGTGGAGAATGTTCAGCTGCATGAGCTGCTTGAACTTGGCCCATTTAGTGAGTCGGGCGTACGCCATCTCTGCGTCTTCCTCCCCTTTTGTGCTGCGCGTCTTTTTCGGGGCTTCCTCGTGGTTTGGGAAGAGTATGTGCGAGTTCTTGCCTGCAAACCTTCGCTTCTTCCTGCCTATAGGCCTCAGCTTGTACGTGTAGAGAGCCAGCCTCTCCTGGTAGTGCGCATTCTCTATTTCCTGCTTGCTTGCATGGATGTTGCTCTCGACGATGCTTAGCCCGCTCTTTATTGCCTCCGCTAAGTCCGGGCTGTCTGTATACTCTCTCTGCTGGATGAACTTCAGCGAGGCCTCTGCTATCCTGGCTGAGTTAATCTCCGACACGGCCTTCAATTGGCCCATGTCCAGCATAGTGATAATGTTGTTCATCGTAAACTTCGTGGGATCTGCATCCTCCTCGGAGTCCTCCTCTGCTTGGCCGTTTAAGCTGGAGTAGGCGTACTCCATGTTTCGCATGATGATGCCCTGGAAGGTCCCCTCAATAGGGAACTTCGCAAGCCAGGATCCCTCCAGGCTCATCATGTGCTTCTCCAGGGAGCCTTCTGGAACGTGCAGGTGCGAAGTTCCAAGCAATGGCGTCTTTGCCTTGTAAACTTCTGCAGCTCTCTCCAGGATATTCTTCCCCTCAAGGCCTTTTTCCTTCTGGAAGAGGACGTTGCCTGCAAACCGATGTTTCTCGTTCGAGCTGTCTTCTTCGCCCGTGTGCGTGCTCATGTGGGCTTGATCCTCCTCTGAAAAGTCCTGTTTCTCCGAGCTGATTCGGGAAAGGCCTATAAAGGGCGGAACTATCTCATGTGTAGGGATGTGCATGATGCTCGGCGTAGATAGCGTGTTTGCAGCGCTTACTGTGCTGCTCTCCATAGTGGCATTGCACCTGCACGCTAGCAGGGCGCATAGTAAAGTAGAGCCTCCTATTCTCTTTTCTGCTTTCATTCAGAGAACGCGCAGCCATTTCTATATACTTTTTTCTTTAAACATTTTGATTTTCCCAGGAGCCACGGAAAGACAATAACTCTGTCTTCTGCGGTTCCATCCAATCGGAAAAGTACGCCCAAAAAGCTGCAGGAGCTTCACATTCGGGAGTTGGCCCTAAGCTTTGCTCGTGTGGAAATCGATGGAAAGCACGGACTATGTGCAGCAGGAGCGTGTGGGAGCAGCCCCTTGCGAGTGCCCTAAAGCTCAGAGCTCGCCCCGGCCGTTCTTGCAGGCGAAATGGCCGCTGCCCGCACGAAAAAAGCCATTATACAGGCTCCCAGGGCATGGGGCGGCGCAAAATTGGCGGAATACGTGCGCCCACACTGTGATGCAAAGCTCCGCCCGTTTTTTCGCCTATTCTTTCGCGCATTTCCAAAAAGTCTTCCATGCACTTCCACTCGGCACGGCCTCTCCCAAGCAAAAACACGCGAACAAAATCCAAAAAAAGCCCTTCAGTAGACTTTATTTAAAACATATAGTTAATAGAGAGTGCCCGAGAATACGACGGCCCTGCACATAATTCTTCCAGAAACATGCATCTACACCTTTCTGGCCTTCTGGGGCGTGCAATGTTCTTGCACTTCTTCGCAGGGTCTTTTCTCGGCGCCGCCATCTCCGAGCGCCCTGGGAAATACCTCCCCGGATCCTCCTTCTGAAGGCAGTCCTTCATCCGAGGGGATTGCAGAGTCCTCAACAAGCTGGCCATCAATAAAAATGCTAAGCTTCGCAGAGGCCATCGAAAGGAGAGCGCGCCCATTCAAGTGCATTGGGAGCTTAAAAAGCACCCTCTTAAGGTCTACGCCCCCATCTTCGCCGTCTTTTTCCACCCCAGAAATTGGACTTTTTTCCTTACTCGATAGAACTTCAAGTATTCTCGGGTCTATCCTGCTCTGTTTTTTTCTGAATAGTCTCCGGGCTTTCTCCTGGTCTTTTTCGTGCGGGGACAGACCATAGGCAAAAACATTCACGCAAAATTCGACTGTCTCGCCGTATTCCATTTTTTCTGAAGCAGGGCCTTCTTCTGGGAGCTGTTGAAGAGGGCGCGTAATTTGAACGCTTTCCTGGCCGGACTTTCTATTCGTAAAAACATCCCAGTTTACGAGGTAGCTGAATTTCAGCGCGTTTTCGTCGGAATTGCACATAGACGGAATGCAGAGGCCCTTTCGGAGCGTTTCTAAAATGGCAACGGGCTCTAGAATCAGGTAGTTTTTTGCGGGTATGCGCAGGTTTTTCCCGTGGAAGCACTTTATTCTTGATGCTGGATATTTTCTGTCAATAATCACTGCACAGTTTCTGCTAAAAGGGTGCAGAATTTTGCTTGCGGTGAAGACTCTCCTGTAGAATATCAGCATCCGAATTACGCATATGGGGATGTCCTGCTCAATTGCGTCTTTTCTCATGAAGTTTAGCGCCGCAACTTGGGAATTCGGGTGGTGCATTTCTGCCTTTTGGGCTGCCATCGCCAGTGCTGGGAGGTGCTCAAACGCAGTCCTTGCAGCACACTCTATCAGCAGCCTTTTCCTGCCGCCGCACATCACAAACTTAAATATGTCGTCTTCCATCTCTTCGGGAAACTTGCTCGCGTTGAGGCTCTTCAGGAATGTCCCAAAAGTGGTTGAAAAATCGTTTTTTAGCGTGTTTTCTATCACAACTGCGCATGTTATGTACATTTGGTCCTCTAGGCGATACACTCTCTCCTTAAAGGGTTCAAACTGAGCCTGTATTGTGTTTTCCCCTACAACAGGAAATATGCTCGAGTGCTTCTCATGCACTGCCTTGGCCAGGCACTTGCCGCAGAGAAAGATGCTTATTCCGGAAGAAGTCTTGCTTACAGCCATGCATTTCTGGTCTCGCTGGCACTCTACGCTATATATCACCCTGCACGATGCAACTCCCCTGCATGCAGTGCTGGATATTTCTTGCAAAACTTTGGTGTTTTCTATCACTGCAAGACCGTATTCTATGTGCTCTTCCCTGAGCTCTTTAATTGTTTTTTCGAAGTTCTTGCTTTTATTCCAAAGGAGGCACTTTGCCATGAATAGTCCCTTCTTGTAGCTTTCGAGCAGAGCCACTTTCCGGCATAAAATACCCCGTTCATGCTCTATCCTCTTTATCTTCTCCGCCATCCGCACTCCTGCATTTAAGCGCCCGGCTGGAACTAGGGCAGCCTTTTTTTTGGCCTTTTCTAGAGATATCTTGCACGAGACCATGCTCTGAAACACGAGGTCTGTGATTCTCTGTGTCTCCTGCACTAACTTTACCACCCCGCAGTAATCGTACATGCACTGCACTTTCTCCGCTTCTTTGGAATATATCCGGGCCATGGACTTGCCGATGGTTTCTTCGGGGTCTTTTTTTCTTTTGGAGTTTACGAATAGCATCCAGTTTTTGTACTGTTTTTTGCCGTATACAGGCTTAAAAAGCTCATTTACGCAGCCAGCAGCAGTCTTTGAGATTTCCAGAAGCTGGATGTACACCCCCGCGTGTATGCCTCTTTCAATGCACACCCTCTCTTTCTTCGGCCACTTCTCTGGGGCTTCCACTATAGTGTGCATTTTGAAAACTCTAAAAAGCAGCATAGATAGCATAAAGTAGTCGGTGATTACAGAAAAGTCTGTTATTTCTAGCTTGTCTAGCTCCTCCCCTAGAGAGTCATTTTTGAATTTTAGGTCAACTCCATCAAGTACTATGTTTTTCATAGAAGAAGTAATTTCTTTTTAAACGGGCAAATAAAATGCTAAAATACATTATATGATACTAAAAGTGCATTTTTATCCCGTAATAAAAACTCAAAAAGCACATCCCACACTTCTATATAACTCCTGTCACAAAATGCAGTCTTCCTACGCGAAAAATGCACAGAAATGGCCAGATAAGAAAAGAGCCCCAAAAAGCGCCTTTACATGCTAAAAAGTCACTCTTTGGGCCTTCCACTATAGGCCCAAACAGGCCGAGGCACTTCCAGCTAGCAGAACTCTTCTGAAAGTGCTTCAATACTGGGCCTATGCACGCTAAGAAGGCTCTTTGCAGTTTCCTCTTGGATCACCCCGACGAGTCTGCGCTCTTCCTTGATGAGGTCCTGTCCGTCATAAGATGGTTCTGTCTGTTGGCCCCCCCTAACGAAGGCCCTTAAATGAAGAAGCTCCGAGAACTTTTTTCTTGTTATGTCTACAGTGGATTTTGCCGCAACCTTCATATACTCCAAAAACCTATTTGCGCATGCATCGGGAATCAAGCAGACTTGCAATGACGTGTTCTATATTTACCATTGTATCTCTCGTCTGCTGGCAGAATTGGAACTTCTGCGCCCTCCGGTTTTTGTAATAATATTCAGCACGTTTCCCCGTGCGCAAAAACATCCATAAAGCTGTGCAAATCCTCCAGAACTTCCAGTTCCTCGCCTTTTTCTAATACGTAGGGGAAGAGGCGCTCTCAGCCAAGCCCGCAATCTTCTGGAAATGCTTAGCCTCAAAATCAGCCTCATTTGGCACTCCGTGCGCCACTCTGCACGAATCTTTGCACAAAGCAGGCTCTTCCTCTATGGGCACTGCCCGCTTGAGGATCTGCCCACTCCCTGCACCCTTTTCCATAACGCCAGAGCACAGGACAGAGTTGTCCTGAAATCTGCCTAAAACCATATCTGAGCTTCCAGGATTTGACATGCCTGTGCTAAGCAGCGCGCCCGAGCGTATACTTTCGTCTGAGAGAATGTTTTTTCCGCGCTCCCGCCGCCCCGCGAGTGCAGAGGCAGAGGACCGTGCAAAACGCCAGAATAATTTTAACATAAAATGCGTTTATGCAAAGCATGCAACATTTTCTAATTTTTCGCTATTTATGCATTTGTTCGATTTGATGCATCCAACCATTTTCTTTATGGTTCTTCTGATGGGTGCATCTCTGTTATCTCTATTTAAGCTGCTGGCTTATTCTGGCTTTGTGCACGTATGCTTTTTTCTGGTTTTTCACTCCCGCACTCCGGTTATTTGGGCTTTGCACACTCTAAGTCTGCCCTGCCGTGTGGATGTGCTGGCCTACTAGAGCACCCCCGGGCGAGTCCACCCAGAAACCCCGAATAATAACCCAGATATAGTTCGGAACAGCACTTTATCTCGGCAGAAATGCACAATCTCGCAGCATAAGCAATGATGCTCTTTTCTTGGGAGCTAAGAACTCCTCTATGGAGACTCTGCGAAAATACGCTGAGACAGAAACCTTAGAAAGCGCACAGCCAGAAGGAGGCAGCACCTGAAAACGCACATACTCGCTCCTCTGCGGGTACATCACACCCGGACGCTCTTTCTTCCTGGTTTTGCAGCTCCATTTCTGGCGTGATTTCTACTGGAGTGCAGGCAACAGCTCCGAGGATTATAATTTTTCTGCTGAAAATTGTACAACAAATGAAAGACATTTCGTATTGGATTCTCCTCTCCGTCTTTGAAGAGCTGCGCGGGAACAAAAGGGATATTTATCGCTTTGGAGCATGTTTAGGCGTTAAAATAGCCGAAGAAATATCCTACCAGGAAATCTCCCAGGACACTCTTATGCACACCCTGCAAAGCCTCACCCCCACGCTAGAAGAGTACTTGCAGTGCTGCCTTCAATGCGCTGAGGAAAACGGAGAAGTGCGGATGCACGTGAAGGAGACATCTATGCTAGAGCGTGCTGCGGAAAAGGTAGAGATAGTTGCAGGTGCTGTCTCCGCTGCGGTTGAGAGACTGCGCGGAAAAAAGGTGCGAGTAAAGACGTACGCCGCCAAGTCCCTGATTGTCCTCTCAGATAAATAGCTAAAATCACCCAGGCCTCTCAGGCGGTGCAAAAGAGCAGCCACTGAAGGAAAACAGAGAAAATTCGCTGCTTTTCTGTAAATAAATGCACTCGCCTGCAAGGGCACGGCCAAATATGCAGAAAAAGCAGCCGTTGAAAAGCTTCAGCGCGTGCTTTTTATTTCTTATACGCCAAATACTGGCTTGGAATCGCTCGGGTGTAGGCTACAGGTCCTTGGACATGTACACCCCGTCTATTTCGTACCCGAGCTTCCTGTAGTAATTTCTTGTTCCGATCCCGGATATTATGGCGAGCTTCCTTGAGCCGTGCTCCTCCCTTGCAATTCTCTCAGCCTCTCCTACGAGCATCTTCCCGTATCCCTGGTGCTGGTACTTCGAGAAGTCTTTCCCCTTTACAGGCACCACGCTTCCGTACACGTGCAGCTCTCTGACTATGGAGACTCCTCCCAGGAGCTCTTTCCTGAACGTTGAGGGCCCGCACTTTCTCAGCCGCAGCAGGCCCACGAGGATGTCCTTGGCCGTGTCCTCGTACGAGAGGAAAGTCTCCCACCCCTCGCTTGCAACGTAGTCTCTCCTCACGAGCTCAACCTTCTCGGGGAGTTCGTTTGTGTGTATGTTGTTTATCCCCACCTCTCGCGTCCGTATGTCCCTGCAGGAAAGGCCCTGCTCCTTCAGCCGGGAGAGAACAATCTCTCTGATGTTTCCGTGCTCGACCCCTGAGCTGACCAGCGTCATGGGAATGTCTCTCTGCACTCTGTATATCCGGATCCAGGGCGGGACCATCGTGAATATCTTCCCCAGCAAGTCTATCAGCTCGTTTGGCGAGTAGTTCGAATACTTCCCGTTTTTCCAGAGCTCGTACAGCCCTGTCCCCCGAATCACAAGCGTAGGGTATATTTTGAGTCCGTCTGTGCGAAACCTGGGATTGCTGAAGAATTCGTGGAACTGCAGGAGGTCTCTGTCCATGTCCACATTCGGGAGATTTGGCATCATGTGCGTGACTATTTTGTACCCCGCATCTTTCGTCAGCTTGAAAGACTCGCACACGTCCTGCACAGAATGCCCTCTGTTCGTGTCCACAGCCACGTCTTCAAAGACGCTCTGGACGCCTATTTCCAGGCGCGTGCATCCATACGAGAGCAAATCGTTCAAGTGTCTCTCCATGCAAAAGTCCGGGCGTGTTTCTATCGTTATCCCGACGCACTTGCTCGTGCTTCTCTCGCTGAAGAAGATGGCTTCCTCAAGCGTATGCGACTCTCTTTTTGTGAGGGCGTCGTGCAACTTCATTATGAACCAGTTTCTGTACTCCTTGTCCAGAGACATAAAAGTCCCTCCCATTACAATGTACTCGACCTTGTCTATATTGTGCCCGAGAAGAGCCAGTTGCTTCAGCCTGTCTACACTCTGTCTATAGGGGTCGTATCTTCCCCGAATTGCCCGCATGCTCGTGGGCTCATACCCCGTGTACGACTGCGTGCTGTACTCAAAGTCTGAGTCCGGCCCCCCTGGACAGTACACGCAGATGTTTCCTGTAACTGCAATGTGCGGGCACCTGTGCGGCTTAGCCATTACTGCAACCACGGCAACTCCAGACGCTGTTCTTACAGGCTTGACCTTAAGACGCGAAATAACAGCAGCGTCTTCCTCGGAAATAGTAGAAAGTATCTGCGACAGTTTGGGCGTGTCTTTTAGCCCGTGCTTTTTCGCCATCTTTTGCACGAGGTCCTTGATTTTCACCTTGTGCTCGGCATCCTCCTTTAGTATGGACACTATTTCAGCACAGGCTGCATGCAAGCCTCCAGACGAGCTTCTTTTACATGTTAGCTCAAGCATTGTAGAGAATTAAAATTTTTGTGCTTTCTCTGCATAAGACAGAAAATAAAACCAAAAACATACGCGAGACAGCATGCAATGTACAACTTTGTTTTTAAACTTGCAAAACACGAAAAAGTGAAGAGGGCACTGTCGCTCCTGGCTGAAAGCGGGGAAAAACTTCGAAGAAAAAAAGGCCCTGGGAGTGGAGAATGTTGCAGGGGGCGCATATTTACGTGCACGTGCAAGCCGGGAAAGTGTGGGGCCGAAGGAGGGGGTGTTTTGGAGGCCGGTATTGGCTGCTGGAGCTGGATCTGTGCGAAATACGGGGTGGCACGGGCGCAGAAAAGAGCGAGTGCATGCTCGGGGATAGAGAAGAGTGCAGGCAGGGAAGGAAAGCATCTTTTAAAATGGAGATTTTCTGGGGCAGACGTACATCCATATATGCGCAATTTATTTTTATTTTCCATGCTTAAGTCGCAGTGGATTGCCAATAAATTGGCGTATTTGCTTGAAACCAGTCTTAAAGACATGCCGGTGCACGACAACAATGCTGTGCTTGGGATGCTGGTTGCCTTTTTCTTTGGGGTGGTTAGCCCGCACGTGTGCAATAGATTCTTTATCCGAGAAGTGTTTAATGTGCTGATCGGGGGTGTGGTTCTTTCTGCGCTCTACGGAACGAGAGAGCTTATTCTCGTGCTTTCTGGAGTGCCTATGAACCTGCTCCTCGCATACATCCCGATCAAGAACAAGCAGACGAGAACAAAGGTTTTCCTGGCGTGCAATCTAGTGCACGTATTTGCCACTCACATGCTGCAGGGGGCGCCCGAAGGCAACCCCTTCTTGATTCTTACCGTTTCCAGCTTTTTCATGAAGTACATGTACATAGGGATGGAGTACCTCCCGGGAAGCAGTGGACTTATGGCGTACTTCGGATACGTCTTCTTTTTGCCAGGGCTTAGATACGGCCCAGTGATAAGCTACAGCACGTACGAAAAGTGGCTGAGCACAGGATACATGTATCTGGCGGAAACAGCAGACCAGGCGGAGGTGCAGAAGTTTATTGGGAAGGAAAAGGACCCAAAGGTCGTCTGCGACAGAAAGGAGGACTATGTTATGCACGTGTACAGCAGGCTAATCATGAACTCTGTTATTTCTTTTATCTACTCGGCCTTTTTTGTGATCACGCACAGAGTGATCGGCAAAGAGATAGAAGCCGCAGGGAGGAAGCTGGCAGGAGCGTGGCTTTTTGAGAACACCATTGCAGGACTCCATCTGGGCAAGATTCTGTACATTTCCGCACTGTGGGTCTCTGAGGAGGGCGTGTACCAGATAGGGTTTATAGATCGCGTTGAAAACACAAGGCTGCGCTCCTTCCTAAACCCGTGGAACCCGCAGGAGCTCTTTGAGCTCTGGAATATCGAAGGGGCAAAACTCGTCCGCAGACTCTGCGAAGCCCTCGCAAGAAAAGACAAAAAAGAAGAGGAAACCCCACAAAAAGAGGCCAAACCACAGAGAGATTCCTCCGTGTGGGAAGGCGCAGTGCAGCACATGCTCGCATCCGTAGCGTCGTACGGACACATTTTTGTCTTCCCCCTCCACGCAGGGTCGTGGCCAGTGGCAGTTGCAGCACTTGCCGCAATGGGACTCTGCAGGAAGACCCCGCACAGAAGAAGAGAAAGCACTTGCTGGGCTTTTATTATAAACACGGCAGTGCACCTGCAGCAGCTTCTGGCGTTTTCATACTTTGCCCTTCCGGTTGTTTACAGGCCAGCCAGGGTCCTGCAAATGTGGAGGAGCTCCCTGGCGTACGGGCACTTCCTGTGCATACCAGGGATCATTGAAAAAGTCCAGGGAGCAGTCAAAGTAGAGCCTTCCCCAGGCCAGCAAAAAGAATAAACAGAAAATCAATACAAGCCCGTGCATGCGGTTCAGCCCAGAAAATACGCTTTTCCCTTTAAGGCCGCCTGCAGAGCTTCAGTCGTTAAAGAAGTCGTGCCGCAGTGCCTCCTCTGCAGTAATCCGATCGGAGGCCTTCAGCTGCAGCATTTTCTCTAAAAGGTCCAGCGCAGAGGCAGGCATCTCCACGTGCTTCAGATTGCACATATCTATTAGCGTTCGAAAGGATATTTTCTGCCGCATGCACGCCTCAATGTTGCTCCTCCAGACTCTTTTGTAGTGCTTCGCTGCCTTCCGCATCTCCTCGTCCCCAAAGAGGCTTCCTATCTCTACGAGCGTGTTTATGTCGTCCTTGGAGGTGAAAAACGGGTACTTCCGGCACAAAAGCGAGAGAAGCACAACCCCAGCACTCCACACATCTATCGCCGTAGTTTGGGAGTCAGCCCGAAACAGGACCTCCGGGGCTTTAAATCCCCTCGTCCCAGACCTGGACGCGCACATCGCAGGGCGCGAGTCTCGAAGTAAATACCCGGGCGCACGAGAGGCAACAGCCATGCTCTTCCCCAGGGAGTGCGTGCTGAAGAAAAAGCGCCGCCTCTTCTCCTTCTTCTCCTCCTCCGGGGCATCCTCTATTTTCTGGGAAAGCCCAAAGTCTATTAAAACCCCCGTTCGCGCGCTCTGGTTGTACAGGAAGTTGCTGGGCTTCACGTCTCGGTGCACTATGCCCTGGGAGTGTATGCTCTGAAGGGCGCACAGAAGGTGCCGCATGTAGTGCTTTATGTCGGAAATTGTGAAAACATGCACCATCTTTTTAAAGTCCGTTATTTCAACGTAGGGAAATACGATGAAAACATCCGTGTTGTCTCTATACGTGTCTATTATGTCCACGATGTTCTTCATGCCTTGGACCGACATTAGAAACTTCAGCTCATTAGCTATTCTGCTTGGGGCAGTTGTCCGGGTTATTCGCTTTATGGCGACTTTTTTCCCTGTTTGCGCGTCTTCTGCCAGAAAGACCGTGCTAAACGAGCCTTCTCCAATTTTCTCGATTATTTTGAAGTTCTCTGAAAATTTCCGCTCTTCCATTTTTCTTTTCTTTTTTCATTCCCCCAGTAATAAAATGGTAGGAAAGAACGAAAAGTCTGGATTAAAAAGAATTGCGTCAAGATACAAGATGACGCCAGGAGTGCAGGTGGGCTCAGTCATAACCTGCGCAGATAACGGTGGTGCAAAGTCCATTAAGATCATTGCCGTCAAGGGTAACAGATCAAGACTTAACAGACTCCCATTCGCAGCCCCCGGGGATATTATCGTGACTTCCGTGAAGAAGGGAAAGCCAGACATGAGAAAGAAGGTCGTCCCAGCCGTGCTCATCAGGCAGAGAAAATCCTGGAGAAGAAAAGACGGAGTTTTCGTCTCCTTCGAGGACAACGCAGCTGTGGTGATAACCGCAAAGGGAGAGATCAAGGGAACTGCCATCACCGGACCAGTCGCCAAGGAGTGTGCAGAGCTGTGGCCAAAGATCTCCTCCATGGCAACCAGCATCAAGTAGTCCCTTAGTAGTAGAAACCGCCAGGAGGCCAGAGCATGTCATTGTGGCTGGGCACAGCCTGCGCATGAAGAGAAATAAAAAGTGCTTATGCTTAAAGATGCCTTGCTAGAGGCTTTGCGCGGAGGGCGTGGATTTTTGTGCGCGCAGAGAAAATTAAATGCGATGTTGCAGGAGGCGTTTTTGTTTGAGTTTTCGGGTATGAATTTGCATTTTGAAAATATTCTGCATGGGAGGGCCCAGGAAGAAGAAAAAAGCAGAAAATTCAGAGGGCGTGCGCGCAGAATATTTGCACTTTCTGCGGAGGTTTGAGAAGTGCCGCCTCTATGAAGGACAGAAGATGTTTATAAAAGACGCCACGGATGCGATAGAAAAGGGCGCACTTGCGATTCTGGAGAGTCCAACGGGAACGGGGAAGACCAGATCCAGCCTATTGTCTGCTATGTACTATGTGCGAGGCGCGGAGGCTCTTCCGGAGGGGGTTTCGCAGGAAAATCTGGCTCTTCTAAGGGAAATTTACGGGAGGTCGAATAAGCACGTTGTTTATGCGTGCAGGACGCACGGGCAGCTGGTACAGGTTGCGAAGGAGCTGGAAGCCCTAAACAAAATAGGGGGGCTTTCGGTGACGGGCGTAGTTCTTGGGGCGAGGCGGCACACGTGCATGCACCCGAAGGCGAGAAAGTCCCAGGACGTAAACAACCTCTGCAGAGTCCTGGTGAAGAACAAGAAGTGCGAGTTCTACAGCAACTTCCTGGCAGAGAGTGCCGCCTCTGGGAGAAGGAGGGAAAAGTGCGAAATATCGATAGAAGATGCAGTGCAGCGGGGGAGCGGCTGCAGAGTGTGCCCGCACTTCTACTTGAAGAGGGAGGCAAAAACTTCGTCTATTATAATTCTGCCGTACTCTCTTTTGCTGCAGAAGGACTTTTTCGGGGAAATAGGGATAGAAATGCGCGAAACAGTTTTGGTAGTTGATGAGGCGCACAACTTGTGCGGGTCCGTGCTGGAAGAGAACACGGTGACTGTGGAGTACTCTGAGGTCGAAAGTGTTTTGCCGTTTTTCTCGGAGTACATGGAGAAGAAGGAGGGCGTGCACAGAACAGAGCTTCTGGAGGTGTTTATATTCATGTCTGCCTTGATTGTGCGGGTTTCCGAGCAGGAAAGGATCTTCCATGTGAACAGGTTTTTGCTGGAGGGAGGGCTAGACCAAACAAACTTGCTGGAGGTGGCGCGGGTGATTGAAGAGCGCTCTCTCCCCAGTAGGATATTTCCCGTGAGCGCAGAAGACGTGCAGAACCGAAAGGAGAGCGCGCTCAGAAAAGTCGGGAAACTTAGCAGGCTTCTTGGAGAGTGCGACAAAAACAGTTATCTGATCGTGGATAAAAACGCGATATCTTTCCGAAATATATACCCGCATGGGTACCTGGAGTACCTTTCCGAGGTGAAGAGCATCATAGCAGTGGGCGGAACCCTAAACCCATCCGCAGAGATTAGCGGACTTTTCCAGAGAGAGTGCATAAGCAAAGCGTACCCCGCAGTGTGCAAAAATCTGGTTGTGGGCATCTGCCAGGACTTCCTCTTCACATACGCAAGAAGGAGCCAGGAGGCGGAAAGGGCGCTCTCCCTGGCCCTCGCCCACTACAGAAGAGTCAAATCAGGGGGAATTCTTCTTTTTGTGCAGTCAAAAAGCGTCCTCTCTGAAATGAAAAAGTGTTTAGAAGAGAAAAACTTGGACGGGTTTTTGTTTGAGGGGGATGCTGAAATGAGCACGTACAAAAGTGCTCTCGCTAGGAGGAAAAAGGCTATCATGGTGTGCGTTCTTGGGGGCAATTTCAGCGAGGGAATCAACTTTAACGACGAGCTGTGCCGTGTTCTAATAGTGTGCGGAATACCTCTTCCGCAGCCAACGGAGGAAACCCAGCTAATCGAGAAGCACCGAGGAAGCGAGCACTTTATAGATAAGGGCTTGCAAGTGGTGAATCAGGCCATAGGAAGGTCGGTTCGAACGAGAAGCGACTACAGCTACGTGGTGCTTCTGGATAGAAGGTTTGCAAAGTACAGGGAAAAGCTCTCCCACTGGATGCAGCCGCACATAAAATGCATAGACAGCGCCCAGACTGTTGATGAAGCTTCAAAGTGTCTCTCTGAATGGGAAAAAAACTACAAGGAATAGGAGCTTTTATTTGCTGTGTGAAGTCGCCCGGGCAGTTCCGTAGAAGATCCAGGCTCCTAAAAGCTTAATTTCAGCGTTTTCAGCACGCTCCCAAATATCCCGTGACAAAACAAAAATCTGTCTGCTAGAAGTGCATGGAGTCCACAGAAGAGACCATAGCCAGTGATACTTATATAATACTAATGCTGCAAGAGAACATACTCGGGGGAGGGCGTGCAGGTGCTTCCGTTGGCTTTTTTTTAGCTACAGCTGGGAGCTCGCAATTTTTCTCGTACCATTCCGTCACGTCTATATACTCTCCGGGGGCGTAGTTTGGGCTGCCCACAACTTTTTCGATATGCTTTTTCTGGTATTCCGGGTCTGTTCCAATGCTGTGGATTCGGTCTAGCCGCTGTTTTATATCGGCTGGGCTGGCAGCTGTTCTCGGGCATATGCAGACCAGCAGAATGCTCTGGGATGCGCCCACGCTGAGCTTGCAAATGGCCAGATTTTTACCCCCAAAGACGCAGGCAGACGCATCCGAGCTGGGTGCTGGTCCTGAGTGCTGAATAAACACTTTGGACACATTCATGTTTTCGTCCGCCAGGGTCTTAAAGAGCTCTACCACGTCAAACCTGTTTTTTTTTCGGCCGTTAATATCTATCAAAATATACTCGCTCTTAACGTTTCTGTACGCGCGAATAGCCCTCTTCACCACGTGCAGGCACTCTTTTTCAGCACTATCGCTGCGACTGTGTATTTGCATCGTGAGAAAGGCTACTTCGTGGCGCCTGAAAGGGAACCTGAACTTTTCGAACATCTGTGTCCAGTATATCTCGCACGGAATGCGTATAAGAAGCTCCTGCGAGCTTTTTTTGTGCGAGGCCTCTACGGCAAAGTACACGTCGTCGCTGTAGTACGTCGGAAAGTGCAGGCTTACGCTGTTTTCGTCCTTTGTGCTCATGGGGAAAATTCCACTGTCTATCTTTCTGTATATGTCGTAGTTTATCCTAAGAGAACTTACGCTTTTCATTTCCCGCATAAAGTTCAAAAACACGCCTTTTTCAACCTGGCACTTATCCAGGTGCTGAGAAACAATTGTTAGCTTATCCAGGCGCGGTATGCTGGAAAGAATGCTCATGTCTATCCGCTCGATGCTTTCGTTCTCAATGCACAGCTCTTCCAGCGTGCTTTTGTTTGTGCTGTTTAGAAAGTCCAAATTCGTAATTCCCGTGGTCCTCAGATGAAGCGTTTTTAGCCTGGGGAACAAAAAGCGCTTAAAAAGGTCTGGGATGACTAGCCCGTCTGGGGAGGTGCTGGTTAGGCGCAGATTTTCAATGTGCTCGAAGTTCTTGGGGGATTCTAAAACCGAACTAGTCGCTATAATCGGGGTCCAGTGCTCAAAATGGAGTGTTTTCACGTTTTTGGCCTTGTTCAGGAGAAGAAGAGGGTCCAAGTATATCTTGCTGTTGCAAAACCTAATTTCTTCCATCCCAGGATTTGTCAGAATCGACTCTTCAAAAGTATGGGCTCTCAGCCCCTTGCAGTGAATGACAGTGTATGTCAGCCCTATCGACCGCACCCACTCAACGACCTTATTCATATACCGCGTCATTTCCTTGTGTGGGCCATTCATGCACATAGTATATGCTTTGCCTCTGTTGCAGGAGATCTCTCGTGGGTCTTCCTTCCACACCCGGCCTTGGTCAAGAAACGAGTGAATCATAGTCCTAATTTCAGTTCTCTCCGTAGAGTTATCTATGAAGGAAATCGTGTGTTTGGACCATTCGGCGTACTCCTCCGGCGAAAAGTTGCATTCGTACTTTATGCAGGGCTCTCTTTGCACGCCTCCTGTTAAAGGGTTTTCCTCCAGTGCTGTGCAGTTGCACTGAGAAAATAAATTCAAGAAAGAGCATGTGCCCGTGCTACTGCCTATTTCCAGAAGACTCCACATTAAAGCCGCCAGAAAAAGGCCAATATATCCAATCGGACGACATATTCGGGCTTTTGGATGCATTTCCATATTTTTCCGAATTTTATTTATTATATAGAAAGAATCAAATGCCTCCAAAAACTCGGTCTTATCTCAATTCTCGCCTATAAACATGCCGCGCTGAAACTCTCAGAAGAGCCTGCCCCCAATTAACAGGCTCAAATATCCCTTGCCTCCTGTTAAAACAGCTTTTTCTGTGCCAAATTCCCCGGGCCATGAAATATGATTTTCCAATGCGTGCAAAAAGACTATTTCAACAGACACTTTCCTGCACGGAACTGTACACACTGAAAATTTAATCACTAAAAGCACAGAAATCACGGAAAGATCATTTTCTAAAAATGATCCCCGATTTATTTTTTACGTTTTTCTTGTTGAAATGCTGATGTCATGCATATATAAATAAAGAAAAAAAATACACAGCATGAAAAAGCAGGTTTTACTAGCAGCACTAGCAGCGTATAAAGCATACTCTCACCCGAACAATCCGAACAATCCGAACAACCCGAACAATTCTGCACTGCAGGAGAAAGCATGTGTAGCAGAGGTTAACCCAAAAGGAGCACTGGGCTTTTTGCGGATGCGCAGCCGGAGCAAGAAGGCCCTTTCAGCGTATCCTGAGATCCCGGAAGAGGAAAGCTCCGCGTATGAAACGGTCAGAATCCACGCAGAAACCGAGCTAGAGCGTGCTTCTGCAAGGGACTACCAGGAAGTCCTCAAAAGAATGCTTGTTTTGGTCGATGGGTCTCTGGAAATTGACTTTTCCCGAACAGACTCACTATCCTCGTTCCTTCACGCAGAGAATGTTCGCCCGCACGCATACAAGATCCTTGCCTCGCTCTTTTTGCTGAGTGAGGGCGTGGATGTTGGCATTACATGCACAGAAGAAGAAGTTTCTCTGAAAAAAGCAAATGGAGAAGAAGTTTTTCGGGTGTCTCTTTCTACCCCCGTGAAAAACCAGGAGGGCGAAACCATCGAAGAAGTCAAGCAGACAGAAGCCGCGCAGATTATAGAGTATTTCCAATGCACCAAAAAATACAAGTGCAGAATCACGTCGGAAAAAAATACTCTGGAAATTCTGAGCAATAGAACCCTCGTGGGGATATACGCTCTTTTGTACGCGGAAACCCCAGAAAACGTAGAAATATTCGTGCAAAGCGTGCACAGCATTTTGCATGACATCTTGCAGGCAGAAGCAGCCTCTACAGGAGAAGGAGAAAGAACAATTGCCCGGCGTGTGTATAACCGCCTCTTTGCTCCGCTGCCGGAGACTCCCCAAGAGGAAAATCCATTGCAGAGTGGGACCCAGGAAATAGTGCACTCTCGCATGCGCCCCATGACGTGGCTGGAGTACAAGGCAATGAAACCCCGGACTTATGCAAAAGTGTCCTTCCATGCCCCCGTCTGGAAATCCAAAGTCTTAAATATTTCCCGGAAGTCTCTGTGCACCCTGGAGGAGAGCATACGCGAGACGGTAGGCTACTTTGCCGCCTGCCACGAGAAAGCAGCTGAGATCAGCACGGGAACACTTGCAGAAGAAAATGAGTCATTTGCCGCATGGTTTAAGTCTGTCTCTGAGGCCCTAAAGGCCCGAGACCCGTCCAAGCCCCTTATTAGCACGCCCTGCAAAGTTGCCACGTACAAAGACAAAAATAAAAGTATTCTGGCGCCAGGAATACTGAACTACTTGCTTGTTTTGGTGCAAGTAACGGAAGCCCCCGAGGAAGCCAGCAGTAAACTGGACCGCCTGATCGAGGAAGTGTATTCTAATGAAACGCCAAGCGAGGACTTCTACAGAAGCGTAAGCAGACAAATAGTGGAGATACTGGATCTATCGGCAGAGGCTCAGAACATGACGATAAAGTGCTCAAGGCTAGAGAAAATATCTACAGGCAGTGACTCCTTTGAGCTGCACGGCGGCATCCACATGGAGTACACGAATAAAAACAGCAGCGCCAGAGAGCAGTTTTCGTACACTCTAAATCTGAGCATACGCCCTAGCAACGGGTTCAGTGTTTCCTTCTGCTCTCATGAGTCGTAGGACGGGAAATGCGCTACAGAAAAAACTCCCTGCGTGCAACTGCTACAGGCGCATGCAGCAACTTCCAAATGCCTGCACTTTCCGAGCGAGCGCATTCCCATGCAGAAGCAGCCTGTCTTGCAGCTTCCGCTATTTCCGTGAATGTTGCGAGTAACGATAATAGGAACAAATAAACACAGAGTGCATGGCACCTAAAACTTTCAGCTAGCACCGACTTCAGCCTGTCTGGAAGAGGGGCTTCCGCTTTTTCTTGTCGAGTGCCCGGGACAACGTAAGTATCTAGATGTTTATTTTTGCGATTCTACGAAACGTTCTCCTTGTCGCTGTCTTCTGTGGGGGAGGAGTCTTCGGAGGAGTCGTCGGAATCCTGGCTCTCCTCTGCAGAAGCGGCTGGCTCCTTCTTTCCCTTCTTTCGCCTTACATTTTCCTCCTGCACGGCCTTTCTTCGCTGCTTCTCTCTTTCTCTCTCCTGTATCCGGAGCTCCCTCTCTCGCAGCTCCTCCGGGGTCTTGTGTATGTATCTGTGGTATATCACATCTCCGCTGCATATTCCCTTCTCGATCTTCTGGAGCTCCAGGTGCATGACTGGGCCTCTTTCCACAAGAGTAAGTTTCACCTGGTTTTCTGCGCCCGGCCTCTCCTCCTTCTTTATTATGTAGTTTGTGAATAGGTACCTGTCTTCGCTCAGCTTTTTAATGGTAATTGCTCGGGTGGTCAGGTGCGACACATTTACGTTGTTTTTTATCTCCTCAATAAGCTCTGTGATTGGATCAGCCTTATCGATGTTGATGGGAATAATAAAGTATCCGTTCATCCGGTCTCCTATGTTCAGAGTCGACGTGTTGATTTTGGAGCTGAACATGTACTGATGTATTTTAAAGTAGAAGGTCTTGCTTGTATCGCTCAGCAAAGAGATCACCTTTAGGTTATTGTGCTCCTCAGACTGTGAGAATGCCCATATGTGAGACGCCGAGAAATGTCTGGCTAGCTGCACATAGTCTTTTATTCTCCACTTTCTTTCTTCCTTGAGGTTTCTCGTGACTCCCGGCTCAAAGCACTCTCTACACTCCTGGACCAGTTTTGCATATGATGCCGTTACTTGCCCAAATTTTATTACTACTTTATTCTCCCGTCTAGCCATTGAAATATTTTTTTCTGCTTTCTTTTTTTCTGTTTTCTGCCTCTGCTTTTTCTGCCGGAGACTGCATAAGCCCGGGCTGCAGGAAAAGTGCCCAGAAAACACTTTGGGAAAGTTAGCCCCAAAAGTGCATATAAAGGCACACAGGCACGGGCACTCTGTTATATGCCCGCAGAATTTCTTGGGATGGCCTGTGCGCCATTTATGCCCGGCAAGAGTCTGTGTTTTCTCACTTTCGGAGTCAGGCGCATATAAGCCCCTTTCCGCACGGGCAATCCGTCTAAAACACGAGTTTCCACGGGTTCTGCGGGTTTCTAAAGTGCGAGTTGTATTTGGGAGGTGCCCATGTGAAACAGTGTCCTTACTTGCCCAAAGTGTAGCCCCCTTAATTAGGCCTTTCTTGGCAATAGACAATTTAGGAGTAACTGTGCTCAGAATGCAGAAATACGAGCTGCAATATTATGAAAGTACATTATTGTGAGAATGCAATATTATGAAAGTGCATTATTATGAGAATGCAATAACATTAAATATAGAAATACGAGCTACAATATTATGAAAGTACATTATTATGAAAGTACATTATTATGAGAATGCAATAACATTAAATATAGAAATATGAAATATAGCAATGCAACAACATAAACTGTAAACTCATCAATGAAAATACAAACTGCAAACTGCAAATTGCAATAACACAACAACACAAACATACAAACTGCGAACTTCTGTGCTTTATTCAGGCAATGTGCATTTGCAGTGCCTGTACGTGGAATATGTGGCCCATGGGAAGGCAGCACCCCACGCCCGCACGCTATGCACCCTCCGTGCTCACACCAGGTACAAAATAAGCATTATTGCAGTCAGCGTCAGAGCTATTATAATGGTGTTTCTGCCGTCCTTCTGCATCTCCTTCACAGTCCGCAGCAGCTTATTCGAGAGTATCTTGCTCTTTTGCTCGACTTTTTCTGTTTGCTGCTCCAGAGTCCCCAGGTGTATATTGTGCTGCTCTATGGCATAGTGCACCTTCTGCGCCTCTTTTGCGAGCATTTCCGCCCTCTTCTTTATCTCCGTGTGCATGCGAATGTTTACAGGCCGGCCGTGTTTATGTTTCGCATCTGTTACCACGCAGCAAAAACCAAAAGAATCCCGCGAATATTCGCGTCTTCTGCAACGCGGGCTTTCCCCTGGGGTTTTCTCTACTTTATTTTTATTTTCATCCAATGGGGTGTAATACATGCGGGATACGGCCTGCTGTAACTATTCGGCCATCTAACAAAATGAAGCTTTGCAAAGAGTGCTTTCTCTTGGCAATAGAAAACCAAGTGCATTTAACAATACAGAAAACCGAGATGTTCAAGGGAGTGCGGAAACTTGTTGTTGGGGTCAGCGGCGGAAAAGACTCAACAGTCCTTGCGCATATTATCAACCTGCTAAACAAGAGGCACGGATACGGGATAGACCTGCGCCTTCTCTGCATCGATGAAGGCATTTCCGGGTACAGAGACAAGTCAATAGAGGTTGTGCACATGAACGAGAAAGACCTCGCCATTCCCTTGAAGATAATTAGCTACGACGAAATGTACGGACACACAATGGACTCAGTTGTCTCGAAAATAGGGCGAAAAAACAACTGCACGTACTGCGGGGTCTTCAGGCGCGGTGCTTTGGAGGACGGCACCAGGCACCTGGGCGGAGACATGATCGCAACCGGACACAATGCAGACGACATTGCAGAGACAGTTCTCCTGAACTACTTCCGCGGGGATCTGAATAGGCTGGTAAAGTGCACGCACCCTGTGACGCAGGTGAACTCCTCGGAGGTGGTGCCTCGATGCAAGCCGCTCTCTGAAGTCTACGAGAAGGAGATTGTGATGTACGCATTCTACAACAAACTGCCATATTTTTCAACCGAGTGCAAGTACTCGCCCGGCGCCTTTAGGGGCTTTGCAAGGACGTATATAAAGGCCCTGGAAAAGACAAACCCGCAGGTCATTTTGAAGATAATAGAGTCGGGAAACCACGTCCAGAAGGCAGCCCACACAATGAAAAGCCACATCTGCAGGGCGTGCGGGAAAACCTGCTCCAGCGCCGAAAAAACCTGCAAGTCGTGCTTGCTTCTTAAAACCCTGGAGGCGCCTGAGTGCCCGTAGCAAGGCCTTCGCTGATCTAAAATAGTAAATCTTTATTTCTGACTATAACGAATAAACATCTGTTGAAGGGTCTCTGGACCCTTTAATTGCGCTCTCGTGGGCTTTAAAGTTGAGCTTGTACGAGTCTTCTATTCCGGCAAAAGACTTCCACTGCTCCCCTATCCTCGTGACGCGCCGGTCCTTCAGGCTGGTCCAAATGCTTATCCTCGTATAGTTCTTTCGGGGGGAGAAAACAGCACCGCATATTACCCCGGCCAGGCTTCTGTCTATCGTCGCATCTGATATTATAAAGTCCGTGCTGGCCCCGGAAGAGGGACGGGTCATCACGGTTTCGGATATGCAGAAAAGAAGCGTGTTTGTCCACACGTCCTGCACAGGGGAGCCTCCCGGGATTTCAAGCACCCACTTTCCCCCGTGCGCATTTTTCTTGTCTTCCCACATCGGCTCTATCCCCGTGCGGAAGAAGTGCAGATTGGAGCTTATGGGAAGCATGGTAACATCCCCAATCTCCTTCATAATGCCCCAAAAGGTCTCCACGTCAGAAACAGCGCCTAATTTCTGAAGGTTTTCGCTCCAGTTTGAGCTGTATGTGTACTTTTTTTCCTGGTAGTCGTACCAAAGCGTCCACTCTTCGTTTAATTTGTGTCGCGAACTTGCATTCTCTGTATCCATGCGCTTTGGCAAATAAAAAGTAAAAATATTTAAAGTCTGTTGCGCACGCACACTCCCAGTGCAGAAGTCCCGAATCCCCCAGAAACTTTTTTCTCTCTTATCTCTCCTGCAGTGTGCTTGCATCGTGTGCACTCACACGCGCGCATTTCTGGCACTTTTTGGCCGTATATTCGCAACTCTTCCGCAGAAGCAGGCACTCTCCCTCGATTTGCAGGAGATGCAGCCAATCCCTGCGCCTGGCAGTTGCACCCTACACAGAAAGCCAGAAGGCACCGCGGAACTTTTCAGGGCCGGCAGGAAATTCAGGTTATTCGGGTTCGCTCTTCACTGCTTTTTCTGGCTCTTCACGGCAGTGCTTCCCAGAGCCTTTTCTCTCCTGGGGAAGCCATCTAGCGCGGATATTTCCTGGATGTTTCTGGCGTGGACTTTCTGCAGGATCAGTGCCCCCACTTCGTTATTCCCCTTTTTGATGGCATCTACCGTCTCTTCGACCGTACTCGCTCTCCTTTCCAGGGCCTCCACCGTCCCTGCGAGGCTCTGCAGCTCCTTAATGCAGGCGCCCACTGTTTTGGCAGCCCAGCACTCGCTCGCAGGACTCTTTGCAGCAAGCATCTCCTTTACCTCTGCCTTCAGCGCCATATTTTCCTTCGTAAGAACCTGAATTCGAGATATCAATTTTTCTGTTGTTTTTTCATCTATCATTGTCCTGGGCGTTAGCTTGATCTTTTTGGCCGTGCACAGGAAGCTTATCGTGCTTTTGGTCTCCGTCTGGTCCGCAGGGTCCACATTCCCGATGATGGACAAATTGCAGTTTTGGCTCAGCGAGTCCCGGAGAATGAACGTGAGCTTGGAGTCTCTGTAGTTGATGTGTTTTTTCTTGCCCTCCGTGGAAAGCGTGCTGATCACTCTGCTAAGGTACAGAAGGCTCCTGTTGATATTGCTTGTCTCCATGGACTTTCTGGAGGTCTTTTGCCTCTTCACAGAAAAGCCTTCCGCCTCCCCCTCCATGCACATCTTCTCAGACCCTGCAAGGTCGACCAGCGTTATTTTGGACTCTATCCCGCACCCGTCGACCACCCGCTGTATCTTCAGCACGAATACCATGTGGCTTCTGCTGCTTTTGCTGTTTACTCCGTTGGAGGCCGTCTTTCTCGCCTTCATCCCCTGCTCGAAGGCCTGCACGGCCTCCCCCTCGGTCTTGCACATCACGTGCGTCAGCCCACTCAGCACAACCCCGGACCCGCCCTCCATCACGCTCAGCGCCTTCTCGGATATTAGATCGTATATTTTCTCGTTGTAAACCTCCACCATAGAGATCTCAGCGCTCTCTATCCGGTCCAAAAAGACCTTCTCTATCGTCAGCGGAATTATCCCAGGGTGCTCCTCAGTGCCCTCCATTGTGAAGGTTTTCCCACTCCCCGTTTGCCCGTACGTGAAAACTGCCATGTTATACCCCTCCAGAGCCATCCCCACTATGGGCGAAATGCTCTGGAAAACAGCCTGCTGATCCTTCCCGTAGAAGACTTTGTCGAACTCGTACATCCCTGTTGCATCGACCACAGAGTTGTCCAGGAAGGAAAATTCGCCTTCTTTCTTCTCTCCTTCCCCCTTTACGCGCAGAAACACTTTCACACTGTCCATTGCATAAAATTCTCTTTTTTATTTATATGCATTTTTATTCTGCACAGCTGCCCTTCCCCGTATAACTCTGCGGCTTTTCTTTTTCTTTTTCTATGGACAAGAACCGGATTGTGCTGCTCCTGCACGAGGCCTGGAAAAAGCGAAATAATGCAGCGAGTTCTTCCGGTGAGGATTTGCCGGAAAGCATCCTACGGATCGAAGATGTGCGAGTTAGGCGGCTGTACATCTTTTTTTACTTCACTATTTGCACGCACCCGGACGCACATCTCCTCCTGATGAGCAATATCCGGGCCCTGGAGTCTCTTCCGCCCCCGGAAAGTCCGCCTCCTTCTGCGTGGGAGGCACCTTCTGGGGTGCTCAATCCAGCACACATTTTGGGGACTCCCCTAAGCAAGCTGTCCAAAGTCCTTGCAAAAAGCTACTCCCTGCAGGTCATGCAGAAACTCCACGTTGTATCGAAGTACGTGTGCGAGCATGGCGAAATCCCGCGGACTTTGAGCGACCTCTTGCGCCTTAAGTGCATTAGCGAGTTCCACGCCCACCGAGTCATGCACCACGCGTGGGGAGAGTGTGCAGGAATCCCCCCAGCGAACACGATAGTAAGAACTATGTTTCGCCTGGGATGGCTTGAAGAGCGTTTTTCCTCCAGCGGAAAAAGAGCAAATATGCGGATGAGTGGAGAGCGTGCAAGGGCTGTGCAGAAAAGCATGGAGAACGCATTTTCGCAGAAACTCTGGAAATTCATCACCCCTTCGTTTAACTATCACGGGTACACTGTATGCAAGGAGGCAGATCCCCAGTGCGACCGATGCATGCTAAACAGTGTATGCCCCTCCAGCAGCGCCCCGAGCAAGTACATGGTCCCGCTAAAGTACCCGGAGGAGGAGTACGATCTTTCCGACATGGAGCAGGAGAGCTCCAGGGAGTCCGCGTGTTCGCTTATGTCGGAGAGCCTAACAGAAGAAGAAGATATGTCAGACGTGCGCGGCGGATAAATTGCAGGCCCTCAGCCCAAGGACATGCATAAACCTGCTAGTAACGCCCTGAAAATATCCTATTTTGAGCTAATTTTACATCACGCAGTAAGAAAGTTGTAGAGTGTGCCTTTTCCAGGGGCACGTACTCGCTGATTTTTGGCTGGAAATCGTGCGATGCCAACTCCTCGTCTCGGAGTACCAGGTAAATAGAGAGCGCGTGAAAAAAATATTTATGCACGCGCAAATAGTTCCAGTTGAGGGGAATTTGGAAAAAATATCCGCAGCCTTCCAGGAGGGGCCAGTTGCATTTCCAACCGAAACTGTATACGGACTGGGCGCTATCGCATGGCGGGAGGACTTAATCCAAAAAGTCTTTGCAGTGAAGAATAGGCCGATGGATAATCCGCTTATTGTCCACGTCTCGTCTCTGGAGATGCTTCGAAGGTGCATTTCCGGGGAGATCCCGAAAGTCTACGCGGAACTTATCGATGCATTCTGGCCGGGCCCACTCACTCTGCTTTTCCCCAGGAGCACGGCACTGCCCGACTCTGTCACGGCAGGGAGTGACTTTGTAGCTGTTAGAATGCCAAATCACAGAGACACTCTTTTGCTAATAGACCATTTGGGAGAGCCCATCGTAGGACCTTCAGCGAACAAAAGCACGCGCCCCAGCCCAACAACAGCCCAGCACGTATTTGAGGATCTGGGGGGAGAGATTTCCCTAATTGTGGACGGTGGCTCCTGCGAGGAGGGCGTTGAGTCTACAGTTGTAAATGCTCTGTGCTCTCCCCCGCTATTTCTTCGTCCTGGAGTTATTTCGTACGAGGCTATACAGGAGTTTGTTCCCGCTCTGGAGCTTCTTTCCAGTGCCGACACGGCGTCAGGAAAGATGTCCCCAGGGACAAGGTACAAGCACTACTCGCCCTCCGCAGCAGTGACTATGCTCACGGGGAGTCCTTCTGAAATAGAGGAAAAAATAGAGAGAGTCCGGGAAGAGTCCGCTGGACTGCTGGTGCCAGAAAGGTATGCGAAGAAGGGCGGAAACCTTGTAGTTTACTCGCTGGGAGAGAGTGCTAAAACAGCTGCCCAAAGGGTCTTTGACGGGCTGAGGTTCTTGGACCGGAGAGTCTCCAAAATATACACGGCGCAGATGGAGGTGGACGGAGAGGGCAGGGCTGTGATGGACAGGCTTACCAGAGCAGCCTCGCACTGGATGTAAGCTTTGGAGGTACTGCAGAAGAGAAGTGCCGCGGAGACAGAAGTAACTGAATAAATTCTTTGAAGAAGCTTGCACCTCCTATACGCTCGGCTTTCCCTTGAATTAGCCCGAATAAATCTCACTCTGTCCGCGGAGTATTCGCGCACGAAATGTCCTTCTCAGCGACAGATTGGGAGATTCTGCCTCTGGAGTGCTCTGTAGGCCCGTGATTCTCCTGTGGGTTTTTCTTCCTCTGGAGCAAGATAGTGTTTGCCATCAAAATGCTCAAAGCGAATTCGTATATAGAAAATTCCAGAGGGAAATTTCATGGAGATAAAAAGAAGAAAGATAGACTCGATGAAAATTTCCCTTTTGATAGGACTCATTTCTCGCATTGCAGGCGTCTTTGGGAGTATGTCGCACAATTTCCTGCACTCTTCCCCCGGGGGAGGCCCTGCATGGACAGCTCCGATCGTGCACTTTGGGAATCCAAATACATACGCGCAAGAAGCTGCGAATATTCCGGCACGTCTTGCCCGGGAGATTCAGCAAGTGGATAGAGGCCTCAGGAAAAGGTCGAGTCCTGCAGGGTTCTTCTTGCAGGACCACGGATCCCTGGGAATGGCATTTCTGTGCGAGGAGTTGCAGGAGTACACAAGCGCAATAACCACGATAGCCCAGCCCAAGATACGCGAGGGCATTCTGGAGGCGCACAGAGAGAGAATAATTATGAGCTGCTCGTTCAAGTACCCCCCAGTAGCGCACTTGACGGATATAGCAATGCGAAATATACGGTCCAGGTACTTCCTGCTTAGCGATTTTAAGCATGGCGTAGACGATATATCTACGTTTAATATGATAGTTACGCTGGAGGATATTGCGTATATGCTCGACCTGGGAATTATAAAAAGTACTTTGGGCGTAAACATTTTCAGCCTGTCGTACAGCAGCATAAACTTCGTCCTGGAGAAAAAAGGCGTCACACACACGGTCCTGAAGGAGACGGTGGATTGCGCTATTGGCGTGCTTCGTTCTAGTATCTTATCTGCACAGCAGGAAATACAGAATGCAATATATCACACGAAGTTAAAGCCATACATGTACAACCCCGAGGAGTTTGGCGTGAAAGGGGATGGGCCTGCGAAGAGGCAATTTGACGACAGATATTATTACGACGCCCAACACGGGAATATAAACGAGCACATTACCCCCACGGAGTGGAGCAAGTTTATGCAGTTTATGCAGATAAACACGCTGCACCAGCTAAGCTGCCTGCTGGATAATGTCTTTGAGTCCTCGCAGATTCTTCTGAACCAGGAAGCCCATCTCCAACTCGCCAAAAAGACGGGGAAAAAGATTTTGGTGAAGATATACACGGCTATGAGCCTGGCATTGGAGGCGAATGTATATCGAGCCGATTCAGGCAGCATATCTGAAATAGACAATTTGCTGGTGGAAATTGCGGATGAGTGCATCGCCATGCTGGACAACTTCTACAAGTCCGTGCTTGACGAATTCACGATGATGAAAGAGGAGTCTCCCAAGCACTTCCCGGGCCTTAAGATGCAGGCTCTGCAGCTGAAAAGGTACATGCTATACCAGAAGGGGGCGTGGGAAAAGGCCAAGGCAAGTATGGAGCGCATCCGCACATGGCTCTCCGACAACGACAAAGCACTGAGCAGATACGAGGAAAAGTTTAACATGTTCAGCGGAAAGGATATGCTCGATCGAGAGGATGCTTTGTTTGTCCAGAATGGGAGGTCTATTTTGGAGTCTCTCGCCTTATTCGGGAGAAGAAAGTTCCACATAAAAAAGTATTTCCTCTACGAGGCACTTGAGATATACAAGAGCACTGGAGTCATAATTACAGAGTGCTGCGATGATGATATCACGTCAGGCAGGAGTTAGGCCCAGATTGCATTATTCTGCACTCGCTATAAGTATATGGGTGTGCGGGAAATGCCAGTTGAGCCAGTGCAAGATGCTCCCAGACCTGCTCGGCTCTCTTTTGTGGGTGAAATGCGCTGAATGTGTACTCTGTGCAAGAAACTCTGCAAGTAGGTGAGAGGCCGGCCTGAAATGGATAGAAAGGCACGCCAGCAGGCGTATAAATAAACTTCAGCTATTCTAAACGAGATGCTTCCTGCAGGAAGGCAGCAGAGTGAAAGAGAAAAATAGTTTTGGTGGGTGCATGCCAGGCCAAGCGTGCAGGCACGTCTTCCTTTCTAAATCTCCTTCTGTGCAGGAAAGTGCGTATTCCTAGCCCGAATTCTCACGGCGGTGTTGCATAAAAATCCGTACTTTTACGTAAAATTCAAGAAAACTGAAGACTTTTTGTTCGAGTTTCAATCCTGCTGGAGAGCACGAAATGCAGCTGATGCAAGAGCGTCCTCTGGTCCTCCAGCTGCAAAGAATGCGCAGGCGAAAGGAGTCCAGTGCAGTGCCAGAGGGAGTAGCCCAGAAACCGCACATTCTGGAGGCAGTGCCAGGCTAGCAGGGCATAAACCCAGAGAAATGCAGTGGCAGAATGCATGCTTTCCAGAGAAGAGCCAGCCCTCATCAGGACGGCAGTCCCAAAGGGCGTTTCGCACAAGAACAGAGCAAATTCCGAAATAAAACGACATTTTTGTGCGTGTTTATTTGAAGCCGCCCAAAGCAAAAATACCCACAGGCAGGAGAGTGTCCGTCCTCCACAATAGTAAAGAATGAAGCACGATCATTTCTGGCCGTCTGAGCGGGGGCGCATTTCGCAGGAGGCGTATAACTACAAAAAAATTTGAGAAAACAGAAAATGGCGAACACGATTTCCCTGCGCTTCCCATTCAAGCTGGACGGATACGAGCACAAGGCGGAGGTAAGCACCCCAGTGATCAGGAAGGAGAACGTAGTCACTTTTTCGCTTCCCTTCAACGCAACTGTTTCCGTTGACTCGGAGAAGGCGTATACCGTATACTACAAGCGAGCAGAAGAAAGGAAGAAATTTATGTACGTGGTGACCATAGAGTTCAAAAGCATCAACGACGCAATCTCGTTCTCTGGCACCCCCATCGTGCATCTAAGCCACCAAGAGCTCATACTCCTCGAAAACATAAACCGGCAGTTGGAGGAGGTTTCTGACCTTCTCGAAGCATCTGGGAACTCCTGGAGGAAAAGAAGAAAGTGCTCCGAGCCAGACGAAGAGGGCTATTTCACGGCGTAGCCCAAAGAAAAGCTCCGTCTACGCAGCGCATGCTTACTCATTAAAAACACAGTGTACGACCATATTCCTCCCATTCCGGCTTTATTTCTTTCTCTTCCGCCCCTCAGAGGCATCCGAGCACCCGAACAACAGCCCAAAGTCCTCGCAACTTCAGCCAAGAGGCAGGAAACTCCCGAGAGAGCTCGTACACTCACTCCGTTATTTCCTCTTTCACCGTGTACCCGTCAGGTATGCACACACTTTCTGCACTACACGCATCTGCATAGAGAGACCAGTGCCCGTAGAGAAGGTGCTTTCCCCGGACAGTGCGCAGCGACTTGGACACGCACAAGACGATCTCCTGCCCCCCGCTCTTCACACTCCCGTCCAGGGCGTACGGAGACTCTGAGACCTTCCGGATGATTCTGTGCATGACCTGCACGGTATTCACGGGGTCAACTCCCTTCGCACTTTCTGCACTCAGCATAACGCCCCCAGCCCCACTCATAACAGCAAAAGAGAGATCCGTTATTTCTGCACGCGTAGGCTTTTTTGAGCTTGTCATGCTATCCAGTACCTCCGTAGCAACTACAAACGGCTTCCCCAGGGCCCTGCACACATTCGAAATTCGGCACTGGATGGGGAATATTCCTGCATAGTCCATCTCCACGCCAAGATCCCCGCGGGCTACCATCACCCCGTCTGAGGCCTCCGTTATCTCCCGCAAGTTGGAGACTCCCTGGACATTCTCTATCTTCGCAATGATTTGCACGGGACTCCCAGAGGAGGCAACGAGACTTCTCAGGCCGTCTACGTCTGCCTTGCTCCTGGTGAAAGAAGCAAATACGTAGTCTGCCCCCTGCTCTGCCCCCAGGAGAATCAGCGCCTTCTCTTTCTCGCTTATGCTGGGGAGGGATATGTGGGCTCCGGGGATGTTTACGCCCTTCCGGGATGAAACCACCCCGGGAGTCACCACTTCCGCCCGTATCTCCCTCTCCTCCTGCGAGACAGAGAGAATTCTAAGGCCGACTCTCCCGTCGTCAATGTATATCATCGTGCTCTCTTCTGTGAGGTCAGCGTACACGGAGGCGTGGTCTATGTAAATTCTCTCCCTGGAGGAAGACTCTGCATACTTTGGGTCTGTGGTGATGCTTATGCGGTCCCCCGCGCAGAGCGAGACTTCACGGGGAAAGACTCCCGTCCTTATTTCAGGCCCTTTCGTGTCCACGGCAATGGCCAAATGCGCATACTTTGCCTCAGAGCGCACCCTATTCAGGACCTGAAGGATGGCGGAAGTGCTCTCCAGGGAGGCATGGCTCAGATTTATCCGGGCAATCACCATCCCCGCCTCAACAAGGCCTTTAATCGCGTCCTCCGTGCTGCTTGCTGGGCCCAGCGTGCAAATTATCTTCGTGGGTGCGACAGAGTTCATGCAAAAACAAAGTGCAGCATATTTATGCGTCTCCAGGCAACCTCGAGTGCAAGTTCCCGAAGTTCGCCGGAATAAATGCATTTTCTCTTTTTTGCATTTTATGCCCGTGCACTCTCTCTTCAAGACGCTTATTAAGAAGAGCCCCGTGCAGATAGAGCTCAAGAATACGCTGGTCATATCTGGCGTAGTGGAGGACATCGACACCTTCCTGAACTTCAAAATATCGAGTGTCACCATCGACAAGAATCCCCTAAACATTCCGATGCACACAACGGGCAGCCTCTTCGTGCGGGGCTCCTCCGTGCGGGGCATCTGGATAGAGGAGGCAGACGTGCAAATAAAGAAGCTGGAAAGTGCCACGCGAAAGTCGATGCTGTACAAAAAACTCACGGCGTAGGCAAGAATAAACGCAGAGTTCCTGCAAGCGGCAGATGCTTTTCTGTTTTTACTTATTTTTTCTCTCACGGCATCTTCGTGGGGCTGTCCGGGGGAATATTCGTGAGTTTAGAAAACATCTCCTTCAAGTTCACTTTTGTGTTTACGGAGACCCCGAATATCTTCTCTGCCTGGTCCTCGCTCTGCAGAAGGAGTCTTCTTGGCATGGACGGACTATCCACCCACTTCTGCTTGTCAAATCTGTGGTCTTTCCCCTCGTCATCGCTGGAGTCGTTCAAGGGCAGGCGGACAGGCTCTGACGGGGTCTCCTTTGCAGCGGATTTGTTCTTCATTTTGTTCAGCAGCAGGTTCAGCTCCAGGGTCTTCTCCTTCAGCTCCTCCGAATTAAGCCCGACAAAAGACCTGTTGGGCCTGTCCCTGTGCCTCCCCAGGGCACTCCTCTCCACTCCCTGGGCGGGTGCTGGGACTTTCTTCAGCCCCCCATCGATCGCGCTCTTTGAGGGGAGGAGTCTCTCAAAACTCTTCTCTTTTTCTATTCTGGAGTCTTTTTCCTCGATTTTGCTCTCCTCCGCCGTATGCGCAACAGAAAGGGTGGAGGACAAGTGGATATTCCTCCCGGGCCTGTCTACCTCAGCCCCCCTCTCCTCTGTGCTTCTCTTTCCCTCTGTGCTTCTCTTTCCATCTGTGCTTCTCTTTCCCTCCGAGGGCTTTTTCTCCGGGACTTTCTCCTTCTCCAGGGAAGTTCTCACGGGGGAAATAACAGAAGGCCGCATCTCCTGGGAGGAAGAGACGGGAGTATCCGCCCGCACGGGCTCTTCTTTCGGGGGAGAAGGCATCTCTGCAGGAGAATGTTTTTCCTGGGGAGTGACTTCGACCTTTTTTCCTGCACTTTCCTCCCCTGCCTCGAGGCTCTTCGTCCTACTCCCCGGGGGATTTGCGCTTTCCGTGAGGGGATTCCTCCTCTCCAGGGGCTTTCCCTTCAGGGGCTTCTTATTCTGGATGATCAGGCTGTTCTGCCCTGTTGGAGCACTCAGTGGGTGCATCTTCTCGAAAAGACAGAGTGGGGACATCCCTTTTTCAGATGGACTTTTCTCTTTCTCTTTCTCTTTCTCTTTCTCTTCTACGGGGAGAGAAGCATCCTTCTCTGGGGAAGCCACTTTCTGTGCCTCCACTGCTGCGAAGGATACTTCCTTAACAGGCTCCTTTGGGCCTGATTCTTCCGTGGGGGGCTTTGCCTCCTTCTTTTTCGAGGGGCTTTTCTTGGACTTTCTCTTGTTTTCGACGGGGGCATTTTCCTTCGGGAGAGGGAGAGGCTCTGAGTTCGCGCCCTCCTCCGTCCTTTTGGGGGCAGGGTCCTTTTTCTTCTTCCTCGTCCTCTTAGCAGCTCCGCCTGCAGTCTCTTTCCCTGCCTTTCCTCGGCTCTGGCTCCGGGGCTTCTCCAGGACGACCGATCCCTCCTCTGCAGGGCCCAGGGCGGAGGGATCTGCAGCCTCTACCTGCCCGCTCTTCTGCAGCCTGTCCCCGGAGACTTCAGCAGGGGAGTTTACGCCTTCAGCTCTCTCTGGAGACTCTCCCTCCTCCCTCGGATCTGCTTTTTCCTGCGATTTCTGCGAGGCTGCATCTTCTCCCTCCCCTGGGGAATTCCCGGGCCCATTTGAAGGGCTTTTTTCAACAGGCCCGGAAACTTCCGCCGCACTCTCCCCCGCCTCCACGGAGGATACTCCTGGAATCTCGCCCTCTGGGGCCGCACAATCGCTCTCCCTTGGGAGGCCTGCACCCACATCTTGCGGCACAAGCTCTCTCAAAACCTGGGTTTTTCGTGCTGGAATTCGCATTTCCTCTATCTTCCGCATAGATGCACCTTTCTCTTCCTCCACATAATCTCTCCACTTTCGCATAAATTCGCGTACGGCAATGGACTCGCCCTCTGGCTTCTTAGCACTCATATTTTTATTTGCAAATATTTAATTTTCAAGGCGAAAGCCCGAGACATCTGCAGCCTCTGGCATAAATACAGAATAATTTTAATTTTTCATGAAAATAGGAAAAGGTGCAATTGAAAGAAGAAATGGAATAGAAAGAAAAGTTATTGGTTTTGTATTTCTTGTGGGAATATGCATTTTCTGGCTTGTATTTTTAGTGCCTTTGATAGGATCTGTTTTATTTTTGACGGGAATAAAAAAGAACATCTCCAGTCTGCAGATAGATAAGATGGACATGTCGGAGGGAGACTCTGTTAATCTTCGGATTGTCTACAAAGATGTTCCTCCTCTCTTTGACATGCACGCAAAAGATATAAAGATCGGGATTGGAACCTCCAGGAACGAGAGACCCAGGGGGTTCCTGTACTGCAGGAGCCTAGACGTTTTTACGCACAGGAACAAGGCGGAGTTCAAGATGAACTATACGATGGGAGAGAGCACAGAAAGTGTCCCCGATGAATTTCTCCTGAAAATCGAGAACCGCCTGCTCTTTACCTTCCAGGCGACTGTTTTCATGAAGCTCACGAAGAATCTCCCCGGGATAAGCATCCCCGTGGTCTTCCCGTATACGCTCGGAGTCGTCCTGGGGAATAACGCGCAGAACAGCGAGAAGTTGGTCGACATATTCCTGAGCAGGGCTCCGAATAGCAGCGCTGATAACAGGCCTTCCCTCCCCGTGGAGATAAAGGAGTACAAAATCGTAGAAGATCACGACCAAATCTCCATGGAGGGACTGTACCAGTACAAGAACCTTCCCTCGTACGTCCGGATAAACCTCCCAAGAATATGCGTGGAGGTGCAGCTAAACGGGAAATCCATCGGGAGAGTGGAAGTGCAGGAGCACTCCATCTTCCCGTGCCGGTGCAGAGGACCCTGCAAAAAGGCCTGCAGAGTCTCCCCCGACTTCAAGTTTACGATGCACGAGAAAGGCCTGATGCACGCAAGAAAGTGTGCGGAAATGTACTTGAGAAAGCACATGGTCGAGCTCACATTCAGGATTCTCTCGTTTGAAAAGGCAGATAAGATGCCGTACTTGTTCCAGCACATGATAGCCCAGCACGTGTGCAATGCCTACATAAACCGCCTGATGAGCGGAACAAAGAGAAAAATGAATATCGTGAAAAAACCCCTCTTCGAGCTGAAGGTGAACAAGCTCTCCCCAAGCGGGTTTGTGACAAATATGATCTTCCACGAGGAAATCTTCCCCTTCAAGGACCTCCTGGAGAGCTTCAATAACGGATGCCTCCTCTCGACTAACGTGTACCTGGCAGTTAATGGAGTGACAGTTTTTGAGGCACTCGGAGGACACGTCCGCCCAGCAGAGCCAGAAAAAAGGAGGAAATACTTGATGATCGATGCAGCCGTGGGGTTTCCCCTGGGGTTTACATGCACCTCCCCCGTGTTCAAGCACTACACAGAGGGAAAGGGAAATGCCCCAGTTTGCAAGTCCGTGGAAATAGTCATCGGAAAGGGCATCTCCAGGCTCAGGAATATCCTCTTCTGCGGGTTCGGGCTCAGATGGAGGAGCGAGGAAGGATTCTGCGTGGGCTTTGAGTGGATCCCGCCAGCACCCAACACAGAAACATTCCCCGAATACGTAACAACGTACAACGTAGACATGGAGCTGTCGAAGGAGGAGGACGGCCCCAGCGTAAGCGATGACCTCCTGGGCGCGGACAAGGAGGAATCCCTCAAAGGCCTGGAGAAGAGACCTGCAGGAGAAACGGCTTTCGCCCGGAGTAAAAAGCCTTTCGCCCAGGGATCCGTCGCCTTCATGAAAAAAGTCGAGAAAGAAAACTTCGTCAGAATCACGTGGAATAGCGTGCAGATGAAAATTGCAGGACCCATTCTCGGGATAAACCTCGCAGTAGATGGATCGTATATAGACGTCCTGGCTAGCCCCACGTCCTCCGAGTGGAGCATCCGGAGCAGCCAGAAAATACTCGCGAAGATACACCTGGAAAAGCCGAGTAAGAGGGTGGAGAGAGACCAGTTTGAGCTGCAGGAGATATCAGGGCCATCCAATTCGGAGGGCCTGAATAGTGAAAGGTACAAGATACCCCCCATTGCCCTCGCCATTAGAAGCAGGGAGTGCTCCAAGAAGAAAGCGTTTTCCAAGAGGGGATTGCTCGACGAAGTAATTAGGTACGCCCTGCGAAACCTCCACTTCCAAGCGAAAGAGCCTAAAGCTAATGAGAGGGCACAGGCGAAGAGAATGCACTGCGCAGTGCACCTCACGGACTCGCTGGAGAGAGACTACACGAAGTCCGCATTCGTTCTTTCCGTTAGAGTCCCGCGTATGTGCGCTGTAATGCACCCAGAGAAGGGAAATGTCGTCCTGGGGATCGTGAAGACGGACCCCATCCTGATAAAGGTCACGAGGGCGGATAAGGCTCCCCCGTCCGTTCTTGTCGTGCGCGGAAATACGTCTGTAAAACTCCCGGGGCTGGTCGCACCGAATGAAACGTACTCGCCGATGGACTTGGGGCAGTCTGTAAGAATAAGCACAATGATCTCCCCGGACACGGTCAAGTACTGGCCGAAAGTCTCCTTCACAGGACTCAACGGATGGTTTTACCCGTGCTGCACAGAAGTCCGAATGCTCGTCAGGGAAGGACTTCGCCCCTGCAGAGACCATGCAAACCTGAAGAGCTTAGAGGAAGACACCGCACAAGACCCGGAGAGAGACGGGAAAGTGCCGGAGGGCGGATTCACGCACTCCCAGAAGGTGAACGTGAAAATTTCCGGGGATAGAGTCCACGGGGAGAGAATAAACTGCACCGCAACGTTCGAGTGGGGAGCAGTTGGCGTGCCAGAGCCAGGACTTGCACTGCACTGCAGGGATGAACTTATGCAGATGCCGAACTTGTTCTTTCGGGTGAGGCAGGAGGATGAGGAAGTCCTCGGCCTGGAGACGGAGTGGGTGAAGGCGCGAGTCGGAAAAAACCAAGTCGATTTTGGAATTTCTGTGAAGGCTTTTGTGCTCGGAAATCTGCTGCAGCAGCTTATTGGGGAGAAGAAGGTCATGGGAATGTCCTATGAAATGGGATTTATCGAGGGCGTCGGGCCTTTCCCCGTGCAGATCCCGTTCTTCACGATGGAGGCCCCAGACTCGATCTCGGGCATGGTAAAAGCATTCGAGAAGATGATGGAGGAGGACTCCCCGGGAAAGGGAGAGGATGGCCTGGGAGGAAAGAATCGGATCCGCATGGTTTTGGGCGAGCCCAATATCGTGCACGTGGATAACGGGCGTGTTTTTGTCCCGAGAGATCAAAATGATCAGCTCGCAGGGGAGGAGGGATCACTTTCCAGGGAAACTGCTGACCACTTTGACGCAATGTTCTCGGAGATCGTGAAGAATAACCTGGTATACGCACGGAGCCCGTTCCCGAGTAAAGACGAAAAGTGCCTGGAGCTGGTGGAGGGAGAGTCCGCCCTCGTAGAGTTTTCTCCCCCGAAGAGGTTCGTAAGTGCCCTGGAGGAGAAGGCCTGTACAGGAGTCGTTTTTCCCGTCGTGCTGAAAGAAGGATTCCTGGGCGGAATGCATATCACCCGCACGTTCGGGAAGGCATTCAATGCTTTGGGCGTTAAAGCCAGCAAAATATCTGCAGAGCTGGTTTTAGCAGATATTTCCCTTCTAAACATAAACATCTCTGAGGACAAGAAGAAAAATAGTGAAGCTTCAATATACATCCCAAAGCTCGTGTGGACCCACAGGGAAGCTTTCTCGATGAAAAAGGAGGAGGGAAGCGCAGTGGGGGAGATACGCGCAGATTTGGGCGTTATATTCCCGAGCTTCTACACGTGCAGGGGCATAAGAATCTCCCCGAAAGAAAACGAAGTGCGCCCCCTCGCAGCCTTCCTGCTGCAGCTGATCAGCATGAAGAAGGTGCAGCTGATGATGGAGGAAAAGTCATACCTGATGCGGGTATATAAATGCGTTAAAGCGTGCTTTTTGCGCGGAACTGTTGATATTGCAAGGAGTGCATACTCCAGTGCTGTGAAAATGGCCGGCCTATTTCTCACTGACTTTACAAAGTACGTTGAGAAGGCCTTCGAAATGATTTCCTTCACGAGCTTCACATTCCCCCTGGAGTTGCCCACGGTAGGACAGAGCGGGAAGAAGGAGAAAATATGCTTGGAGAATGCGCCAGGAAATACCCCCCCGAACTTCCACATGCTATCAGCCTTTACCTCGAATAAGTACTTCAGGATAGAGAGTGCAGAGGCAGATTATGCAGGAGCTCAGCTTGTTTTCGCGCACAAAAAGAAGGGAGTGGACTGCCTCAGATTCGCACTTCTTGAGAGGGCAGAGAATTCCCCCTCTAAAGCCCCGACTACAGAGCAGTGCCTTGCCATGCGGAAGTCTTTTCCCGTCGCAGTAGCTGCTGAGAAGTTGCGGAAATTGTTCACCCAGAGCGAGAATACGGTCGTTCTCCTCGTGCTGAAAAATATCGTGGTGATGCGCGTGGGAGTGAATAGCTCCGTTCTTGAGAAGATAAAGGCCCACGCTCTCTGCATTCTCAAGAAAAAGGCGGTTAACTTATACGATAAACTCCACATTGCCAAGGACATTGCACTTTTCTTCTTAACTCCCAGACCATTCTCCTCTCTTTCCTAGTGTGTGGCCTTGAAAAGGTCTCCCGTGATATTTTCCTGATTTCCTGAACTTACCTGAATTTCCGCTGGAAAAATCACGAAAACATCGCGGGAAGGCCGTCTGTAAGATGATATTATAAATCTGATTTTTTAATTCTGTTTTCAGGTTTGCACTCGTTTTATGTGATGAAAAGGCTCTTTGAGCGCTTTTCTTCGCTGTTTTGCGCCTAGGCCTTTCTGCTCTGCGTATAGTATGGGACGTAGAAGAGCGCTATGCTTGCGAATGTGACACCCACGGAGGTCAGCTTGACTGCAGTAAGCGGCTCGCTAAACTGCAGCGACATCAGCAGCGAAATCATCGAGCTAACTGTCAGCGTAATAAAGACTCTCGGAAGAGTCGCGTAGTATATGATGATGTACCCGAAGAGGAGACTGTCCAGAGTCTTCACGCTGGAAAGGGCGAGAATCTTTTTCAAGTTCTCGGGCTTCACGGAGAAGCCAAACCCAGCGCACATAATAGCACACGCAAGGAAGGAAACTGCGGTGCTGGTGATTGAGTAGTTCACCGCATTTTTCCACTTGCTCCGGATCTTCCTGCAGATGCAACTCTCGAAGAATATCCCAGAGCATGCAGAAAGCACGGGAAGACTCACAAGCATCAGGTACTCAAATAAGGTGTTGCTTTTCGTGGTGCTGGCAGGTTCTGTGGCTGTGTACCTGTCTATCAGAAGGGGCACGAATATCCCCATAACGAAGAAGACCTGCGAAAAGTACTGCAGGGGAACGTACTTTCTCTTCAGAAAAACCACGGCCATTATAAAGGTGAAAAAGGCCTTGCTTTGCGAGGATATCTGCAAGATCACGCTTGTAAAGGTATTTCCCACGACTATCCAGGAGAACGACTGGAAAGAAGAGAGCACCCCCGAGACGAGGTACTCCTTGAAATACTCCGTGCTTTCGTAGCCCTCCCTCCAGTAAGAGCAGGCAAAGCAAATAACAGCCTTTGCAAGCTCGCTAATACCGCCCACAAGAACCTGCTCTGCTGAGCCTAAAGTCCGGGTTGTTTTGCTCGTGTACAGGCCAACATACAGTATGGAAAAGACGAAAAAAGAAAGTTTCATGGCCTCCCACTTTCCAATGGCCTCCTTCGGCATTTTGCCCCCGTCCATGGAAAAGATTTCATTTTTTCGCATTTATCCGCATGCAAAAAGAGGAAAAAGAGAATGCGCATGCCGGGAATCGAACCCGGGTCTCTCGCATGGCAAGCGAGAATTATACCATTAAACCACATGCGCTCGGCACTTTGTCTCAGGAGAGGGCTCTGGCAGCGCCTGCTTATTTATGAAACTGCGAATTATTTTTTTGCATATGAAGCTACAGCACATGATTCAGTCGTATGCAGACATGTCAGTGGGGCTTATAAAGCACAGGTGGGCTGTCTTCCTTTTCTTCCTGGTCCTCTTTGTGTGGAGGGTTATATACACTGAAGGGTACCGACTCGTGGCATACTGCCTGTTTCTGTACTTTTTGCACTGCTTTATAGGCTTCTGCACGCCCATAGACAGCGAAATTCCAGATCCCTTTGACATTGAGGAGGAAGAGTCTGCTGCTGCCATGCCCATTAGAAAGAGCGGGGACGAGTCCAAGCCCTTTATCAGGAGACTGCCTGAGTTTGAGCTCTGGGCGCAGTCTGTGAAGGCGTGCATAATGGGGTTCTTCATGACGTTTATGCCTGTTTTCAACATCCCTGTTTTCACGCCGATTCTTGTTGTGTACTTCGGAGGCCTGGTCTACCTCACGCTTATAAAGATACGGAAACACATGGAAAAGTACAAGTACAACCCCTTCTTTAATGCAAAGAAGATATACAAGGGAATTGTGGAGCTAAAATAAACCCTAAAATGTGCACTTTTTCTCTCTTTTATTTGCCCTCTGGGTGCTGCAGGACCGAGTGTGGAAAGACGACTTTCCAGGGAGAGGATACAGCCGGGCTCTGGACAGGGTTTGGGCTGTGCTTTCTGTGTGCCTTTTTCTGGGCCTTGGCACGGCCTTTCCCAGGTCTTCGCGCGTATTCGGAAAGTGCCGCTTCGCAAGGTGTGCTCTCATGTCCCCGCACGGCAAACGGTGCGAGCAGTGCTATACACGCAGCGAGACAGTGCTATACATGCTTTCCCGCACGAATTGAGATTTAGCACATACGCCTCTATAAAGGCCCGAGCATGTTTTTGGGCAGTGTTTTCTGTGTGCAATAGTGTTTCTACGGCGTCTCTACACTGCCAAACTGCTATGCTTGCAATCCCATCGTGCCCACTGCACACGCATTTCCAAAGTCTGTGCTACCAAGCAATCGCAAATGCATAGAAGAGTGTACCCGTACACTCTGCTGGTGCTGTGTACCCGTATACGTTTTCTTAGCATCTTTTCATATATGTCCCCGAATAACCTCCTGCAAATATAAAGTATAAAAGCATACACATTTTGTTTTTATTTGAGGCTTTTCTCTCCCAGCGGAATCTACTCGCTCCTCGAGCTATTGCAGATGCCGCATATTTCCACAAACTCGCTCGTTAGCGAGGCATTCCCCACTAAAAACCCAGAGAGATTCTTTATCTGCATCAAAGACGCAGCATTTTCCTTGCCCACAGACCCCCCGTATAGCACTCCCTTTATGGAGCTGCCCATTTCCGCGTGGATTAGGCTGACAATAGGCTGTATCTCCTCCACTGCGGGGACTACTCCCGTGCCTATCGCCCACACAGGCTCGTACGCTATTATCACCTGCGGAGTAATTCCCGTCAGAACCTCCTTAAGGAGGCAAAGCCTCTTCTGGACGACTTCTTCCGTCTTCCCTGCGCTTCTCTCCTCCTCCGTCTCGCCCACGCACAGAATTATCTCTAGCTCGCTCTCCATCGCCATTTTGAGCTGGGCGTGCACCTCTTCCTCCGTCTCTTTGAAGTACTTTCCCCTCTCAGAGTGCCCTATTATAACACTCTCCACGTGCAGGTCCTTCACTTGCACAGCCCCAACACCGCCCGTATACGCCCCAGAGACTGCGTATGGGCAAATCCCCTGGGCGCCCACCTTAAAAACAGGGTCAAAGTATCGCCTGGCCTCCATGAGAAGGGTATACGGGGGAGCCACTATAATCTCAGTCCCTGCAAGCTCCGCCTTCTTCCGGTTCATCTCCTTGGAGAGCTCGTGGACAGTCTCCAAAGTTCCGTTCATTTTCCAGTTTCCTGCGCATATTCTCATCCAGCGTAAACAAATAAAGAACTTATCCAAATATTTCTGCTGTAATTGCATTGAAGTTTATTTAGTTGATCAATTCGGCAGCCCTTGCGTATAGAAGCTTGTCGACGTCTCCGCTCTTTCTTATCTGCCCAGAAACAGAGAGGATTGTGTCTTTTCCTGTGTATCTGCCGTTCTCATCCAGGACACCAACTGTGTATACTACACTGGACTTGTCGTGTGGGGCAATTGGCCTGTTGATAAATGCGCATTTTCTTATTTGTCTAGTTGTCATACGAGGGCTATAAAAAAAATGCAAAAATATGCACTTCTGGAAACGGCCATTTCCAAAGGTCCGAGCAGCGTAAATACCAGATGGAAAAAGTCGGGGTATTTAGCATGCTTAGCCTATTTCCACGGCACAGGTGCATTTTCAGGTATTCTGGGAATTTAGGGTGTTCTCGCCTTTAAATATTCTGGCGTGTATTTTTTTATGGAGAGACTCGAGCTTTTCTGCCCGCAGTGTAAGAGCAACTCGTACATAAACCCGGGAATGAAGGTCTTTGTCAGCCCGTGCTACCACAGTCTGTGCGAGATGTGCGTGTCTCGCCTGTTTTCTAACGGGCCAAATAAGTGCCCAGAGTGTGGGATTTCTCTGAGAAGGTCGAACTACACCAGCCAGACCTTCGAGGATGTAAGCATAGAAAGAGAGTGCCGCGTGCGGAAGATTGTTTCTTCTCAGATAGGGAAGTCACTCGACGACTTCTCAGACGAGGAGGACTACAACGAGCATCTGGAGAGAGTCGAGGAGGTTGTGGAGGAGCTCCTGCAGATGAAAGGCCCGAAGGAGATAACTGCCCGCATGCAGGAGATCAGGGAGAGCATGAGGGAAGAGGCACGGACTCTCGACGAGCCCAGCAAGAGGAGAAAGATAGAGTGCATTGAGGAGGTAAAGCTTACTCCTCACGTGGACTCTGTGAAGTACTTCTTCCCCCCGGATGCAATAGAGCAGAGCACAATCCCGAAAAAAGTCGTAAGTGCAGGAGTCTTTGCAGAACTTTCAAGGTACCGAGAGCTTGCCAGCATCATGATCCGGAAGGCTTCAGTTTCTCTGAACGTGGGTACACTATAGCCTGCAGCGATGCTCTTGTGCTCATACAGATATGCTCTCGTAAAGGCCGGGAGTGAGTCATGAGGGGGCAGCTCTGGGGATGGGGCAGAACACCAGGCAAGTAAAGTAGATAAAGTACAGCAGGATCAGGAGAGCCCCAACTTCCACTTCAAAGAGGCCGGTGCGCACTTCGTTGTTCAGGAAGATCAGCATAGTCGAAATAACAGTGAAAATCAGCGTGCACGGAGATGTTCTGTTCACTAGGGGGATCGAATTCTGGTTTTTCATCGCGAGGTTGAATATCGACCTCTGAAAGAACATGTAGTGTATGGGCAGGGAGAGCCCAATCGAAAGGCACTGCATGTACTTCCCCATCCAAATACCAACAGCGATCACCACGGAAGTGGGAAGCATAAGCCTTGCAGTGGCCAGAGAGAGGCGCACGAAAGGGTGCACTTTTATCTCGGGAAATGCGCATGAGAAGGCCAAGTACAGGTGCTCAGATGCGCACCTGAGAAGGACGCAGATGCATGCGAGCGTATATGCGCACCTGAAAATACTGGTTTTCTTCGTATGTCTCACGAAAGCACAAAGTGCAAAGAGTGCGGATACGCTCAGAAAAAGAGACTTTATGCAGAGGCTTAAAAACGTGCAGCAAATCACAGACCCCATCACAACGGGAGAGACGAACATTCCCAAATTTGGGCTGCACTCTTCCTTGGCGGAGCACACCACCAAGTCAAGCACCCTTTTGAAAAGGGAGTTTTTTCTGCTCTCTATGCACTCGGTGCTTGCCTGGGTGCTGTCTGCCCTCTGGATGAGAATTACCGTGTGGACAGTATACACGAGAAGAAGCACAATTGAACCGTACGCGCCAAGGAGGAAGTTCACCCGCATAAGGGGAGAAGCCATTGTTCCCAGGCTCTGGAAGAAAATTGCGTGCCTGACACTTTCCACGCACGCTCGCTCCTTCTTGGGCTTGAAGACTATGCACGCTCCCACGAGGAGGGCCAGGCACACGATAGAAGAGTTGTTCCACGCTGACTCGAGAAAGATCCAGTCCTCGGAGGGTACGACCATGGGCCCACAAAAAAGCCCAATAAGTGAGATAACTGTCTTGCACCCAACCGTTGGATATTTCATCTTGACTGAAACCCTATCTAAACTCCCAAAAAAGTGCGTCCTCACAGCAAAAGCTGCCGTATATATGAGAAATATGCTTTCTATCGCTAGAAAAGAAAATGCCTGCAGGGGGTTATCCTTCGAGAGAATTTCTCTGTATATGTCCGAAATAGTGTTCATTTACACTTACAAATAAACAATGCGAATAAATATATAGTCTTCAGAAAAATTAATTTAGGCGTGCTAGATAGTGCACAGAGCGCCACCTCAAGTCAATCAGAGAATTTCCAAAATCACTTTTCCAAAGGAAGGGGCGCATTTTGGAAATTCTCTTCCTGGGTGCACTTTCAGGCACGAATGATTTTCAGATATTTCCTCCTTGAGCCAACCACAAACCACCCCCACACAACTCTTATTAATGCCTCCAAAGACGGCGCCCCATACATTCAGGATTAATTTATTTACTCTATTCTTGATTTTAGACAAGCACGTGCTATTTCGTCTGCACTTTCTACACCTCCTCCACGTCATTTACATCTATACTTCCAAAGGTTCTTCTTCGGCAGCAAAATATATAGAACAGAGAGAACAGCATAGAAAGAAGAAAAAAAATCGCCAGCGGAAAGACTATAAAGAAAAGCAGGGGGAAACTTCCCAGGAATAAAAGCAGGCATGCTATAACCAGAATAAAGCTTAAGTGTGCTGTCAGGGCTCTTTTCCAGGTCTCTGCCTCGTCGTTGGACTCGCTTCCAGTCGGGGACTCCAGCAGCGCCAAAAAGTCGTTTTGCGCTCTCTCCAGCTTGAAGATGAAGTAGTCGTCGGGATTAACGGCATTTCTCTTGAAAAATTCCCGGGTCCCAGATTTCACCAGAAAGTCCCCGTCATTTGCGAAGTACAGGGCGCGTATTTTCAACTTTCTGTCGGAACTCTCCACGGCCTCCCTGGGGCGTGCCAGGGTCTCAAATAGGTCTCTGGAGATCGTCCTCAACTCAGGCTCTTTTTTCACGCTGATTTGGTCGATGTATGAGGCACTTATGTTCCTTGTGGAGGGAAGCACTTCGCTGAAGGCCTTCATTTTCCCCCGGGTGCTCTCCTCCGAAGGATGGTCGTACTCCTGGAGGGCATTTTCCAGGGACTCATAGCTAATCCTGTAGTAGTACACTTGCCCCATTATAAACATATTGTTCATGGGGTTTCTGACTTTCATGCGGTGCAAAAGGTGCCTGTCTGCCTCGTATTTGAAAAGGATCTTATTGATCTCGAACGCGGAGTAGTAGTAGTTGTACAGGGAGCTCGCATTTGCAGGATCGGAGGTCGTGACTTTTGCAAGGATGTACTCTTTCCCAGCCTTCAGAGACTCCAAAATAGACTGCCTGAAGGACTCAAGCGTAAATGGCTCGCTTTCTTCTGCATTTACAACGTCTAAATGGTAAGATGCTTCATGGTACGAGTTAGGTGCTCCTGTTATAAGAACCTCCATGTTCATGGTGTCTGCCCGTGTGATGTTTTCCAAAGCACATTTTGTCAGCATCCTTAAGCAAGCAAACAAATAGATAAATAAATACTATTAGTAAATAAAGAATGGAGTGTAGGGCTAAAATAGTAATCCTAGGGAGTTGCAGCTCGGGAAAAACAAGTCTTGCAAAAAAGTACGTATGCGGAGGATTTGACCCGAATCAGGCAGCCACAATTGGGGCTGCATTTCAGACGAAGCGGCTGGAAAGAGACGGCCAGGTCGTGCACTTGGACCTGTGGGATACTGCAGGCCAGGAGAGATACGGGGCAATAGCACCGCTTTACTACAGAGATGCAAATACTGTCCTGATTGTCTACGACATAACAGACAAAATGAGCGTAAAAATAGCCCAGCAATGGTGTGCTGAAGTTCGCATGAAAAACAAAGCGGCATTGATTATTGTTTTTGGGAACAAGACAGACTTGCTCTTCCAGAAAGATGCTGAGGATTCGGCGGAATATGCTGGGAAGGCCTTCGCCGATGCGGGGATGGCTGAGAGACTCCAGGAAATATCGAGCACAACGCAGAGCTACTTCGAGGGGTACGAAGTAGAGCACTTTACAGGGTCCGCCAAGACGGGAGAAGGGGTTGGGTCGCTGTTTAAGCACGTGGCAAATCGGACAGCGTACACTGAGAAAGTGCTCGTAGAGCAAAGTGCGTGGTGCTGTCTGTAGGCTTACTCTAATAAAGGCGTGCTTTCTCTTTGCTTTGTTTACTGCACTATATAACTGAGAAATTGCTGCGCTGGGAGAAGTAGTGCAGTACGCCCACGCCAGGATTGTTCTGGACTCGGGTATTTTCATGGTCTCAACTGGGCACTCCAGTAAATGCACAATCTCTCAGTTCTGTGGTGCATCTGGAAGAGTGCTCGTACTTTGTTGGGGCTGCTGGGAATGTTCACTGAAGGTGGGATTGTGGCTGAGAGTATGGGAAAAGACACTATTCCCGCTGGAAGGAGGTGTGTGCCCAGGAAATTAATCAATAAATCCAACTGCCAACCAAATGTTCTGAATAGTCTGAATTATGCACTGCACGTCGAGGGAGAGTCTTTTATTTCTAGGAGCACGGGATGGCTGAATATTCTCTGGAGTGCAAGGAGTGATGAAAATTTCCCAAACACGTGAAAAATTGATTTTTCACACGTAAAAAGATCTGCAAAATAGTGTGATGAGAAGGGAGGTTTCATCTTATCCATGTGGAAATAGACTGTTTTTTTCATTCCAGAAGATCTCTGGAAAATTTTGGAAGTATATATACCCTTTCACCGTTTTTTGATAAAATACAAATGAATACAAATAAGCCAGCATCAGTAAAACCATCACTAAATACATATTAGAGGCCCACAAGAAGTTCACTCTCCTTGGCAAGGAGAAAGTACTAACGCCCGTAAAAAAGAACGACGCGTACAGCTTTCTTTCCAAAATATTCTCTGGAAATGTGCAGTTAGACTTCCCGAAAGGGAGCAAAATAACTTGGGGAAATGGTCAGACTGTTGAATTTAGAGATGCCAACATTATAGAGCCCATCGCGGGAGAAGGACTGGGAGAAAAGAGGAATGTTGTTCGGCCTAATGCATCAGCTGATGCTAGCCTTCACAGCGGAACTGCTTCTGTGCATCCCCAGCAAAATATTCCAGCGAACAAAAATGCAGCTCCTGCCGCCCCAGAGGCTACAGAGTACGAGAGTTCCACACTCGAGAAGATCCTGCAAGTTATGCTGTGCTTCTCCTTGTCGCTATTCGTAGTCTCATCTTCTATGGTTGTGTATGAAGAAATGGGAAAACAAGCGTAAGAGAGAGGAAATAAGAAAATGCATAACCTCCAGGAAAAAATAAACACTTTTTAAAAAATATCCGTAGAGAAAGCCCGAGTTACCACAAGGATTTATTTGTAGGACTTAGTAGAGGTGTTTCTGCTGCAAATTCAAAGAATTCCCGAAACCATGGGAGAAAGCCAGGGTGAAGACGTGTGCATTTGGTGGACTGTGAAAATTCGAGAGCAAGAAGTCTTCTTGCTCGGATGCAAAATAATATAATACAATGGGTAAATACACAGTCAGAACTAGTTGAAGGCCGAGAACTCAAAGACCAATTAGGCGATGTCTACAGGAACTCGTACTTTCCAGGCTAATATGCTGCCTGTAATTTATGGGACTGGCTTTCTGTGGAGGAAGTCATACTCTTGTGGGTTTGTGGTGTTGTAATGGCTGCGTCTGCAAGCCAATCTGCCGTTTTCTAACGGGTATTGTGCGTTTTCTCTATAAGATGGAATAGCCAAACTATGTGCTAGTCGCGAGGAACTATTTACAACAGTATTTGAAAAATAGCTTCAACCCTTCTGCTAGAGATGTGTATTGCAGCGTGCAAATTATGCAGTAAGGCGTGAAACTAGTGCTCTACCTGGCTTCTATTCTGTTGAAAATAGTGTGTTTAGCCTGTCTCCGGCCATCTAAATGTGCGGACTGCCGCGAGTTGGATGCATGACTCGCCGTCCTGTTTGATCCGGGCACTTCCAAGTTATTCTGGGTAGTTTGCCACGGAGTGCGTATATGCGCTTGAATATTCTCTGCGCACATCTCTATTTTGTGTTAGTGAATTCACTGTGTGTTTGCATCGAAGAGCAAAAATGTCCGCGTATTTATATTTTTAAAACCAGCAAATGATCTCGATTCTGGAGAATTCGGTAGTTTTATGTGATGCTTTCCATCGGATTGCAAAGATCAAATGCATTTGACGTGGCCCATCACAGAATATTTTCATGCAAGAAAAGCACTTCCGCATGAAAACCCACCAAAAGTCGCCAGAGTCCAGCTGGTGCTTCTCCTGTGGGAGTGCATGCTCATACGGAGAACTATTCCACTAGGGAGTTCTCATTGAGTATTCAAAGTTAGCTCTTATTGAGTTATTATTGAGTTATTATTGGATATAAGTGTGTTCTTATTGAGCTTTATTGGATATAAGTGTGTTCTTATTGGATATAAGTTAGTTCTCATTGAGTTATTATTCGATATAAGTTAGTTCTTATTGAGTTATTATTGGGAGTTCTTATTGAGCTTTATTGGGAGTTCTCATTGAGTTATTATGGCGAGTTCTTATTGAGTTATTATTCGATAGAAGTGAGTATTAGAGTAGAGCTGCACTCGGGCGCTCGAGGCACAAAAGCAGGAATTTCCAGGCGGAGAGTTCTCATGGAGAGTCTTCGGGAGACAGCGAAAAACAGGGATATTCCCACGGGCAAAGCACATACATGCACATCCTTTATTGTCTTGCTGAAACAGCGCTGGAAATTCCCTCCTTCTGCCGGGCACCCTCACCCGAGGCACTCTCCACTCGCTCGGTGCTTCATGCACCCGTTAACAAAGAAGCTATGCAGCATCAATCCCGAATAATTTACATTTGTACTTCGCATTCTTCTCGGCGTCTGGGATAATATCTGTCTTCAAAGTGTGGAAGACCTTCAGCGTAAGAAGGGCATCACTCCCTGCCTGGTGCTGGACGCCCTCTCTCTGCACAACCAGCTCATCCGCCAGGTCCTGCAGTCCGCCCTTCTTTCCGAGCATGTTTATGAGGTACTTTATGTCGTAGAAGTGCGGGAAGACCTTGGAGAGGATGTACGTGAACTCCTCCATGGACGGGGGAAGGTCCTGCCCCGTGATGGCCTTAATGATATACCCGAAGTCGTACGAAGAGTGGAAGGAAATCCACTTCAGAGACTTATTCATCAGCAGCCCCGACGTTGTAATTAGCACGGAAAATGCGTCTATGTTTATCCCGTCCCTGCTGAGGCGGTCAAAGTCGATTCCTGCCTGCTCCAGCACAAGCATAGACTCCTGCGCGGACATGCTCCCCTCCTTGTCAAAGTGGAAGTTGAACTGCCACGTGCTCGGCATGGGCTTTTCTCCGCTTTCGTTTGAGAGCGAAATCCCGAGCTGAATCAGGCTAAGCAGGCTTATGTTGCACCGGAGTTGGTTGTACGTATAGACTGCTTGCGTGCTAAATGTGCCCATGGGCTTAGCAATAACCCCAGGGAACTCTGTGTCCATGGCGACATACGGATATTTCTGTATCAACTCCGATAAAATGTCGATTTCTTCCTCTAGGTTGTGCTTCCACACATTTCTAATTTCGCAGTTTTCCTCCTTCTCCGCCTCAGAGCGTGCGCTCTCTTCTTTCTTCATGGGAGACTCTTTCATTTTTTAAATTTACAACTTTAGTATTTGGCTGCTCGCTGTAGTTCTCTGCAGGCTTCCCGTATTTCAGCGCTACTCTCTTACAGGAGAAACTGCGTCTTCCGGAGAATTTTCGTCTCTGTCGATTTCAGCTGCGAGACTTTTCAGGTTCGATGCAACTTTGTCGGGGAGTGCCTTCCCGGAGACTATCTCCAGGATGTCCTCGATCAGGCTCGTATTCCCCAGAATGTTCACGTGTTGGGCCGTGTGCTCGCCGCCTCGGATGTCCAGGAGGGATGAAGACGCCACGTGCCTATACTCCCTCACTACAGTGCGTACTTTGTGCGGGTTTAAAGCGTCTTTTTTCCATCCGGCAGCTCCCATATACCCCATTGATATCACAGGAACTGTTCCGTCTCCATCTGCGTGCACAATTCCCTTGTATATGTCGTCCTCCGGGACTGTATTGTTCTTGTCTATCTGCAGGGATCCGCTCTCGGGCGCGAAGTAGTACCCAGATTCCGTGGGAATTCCCATTCCGTAGAGCGAGTACACGGTCATACTCGGGGCATTCGGGAGGGGAGAGAGCAGCGGATTTGACCATCCGTCTCGCTGGGTTTTCGGGTGAAAAAGCTTCTCGTGGATTTTCTTGTTGTGCTGTGGGAGCATTTCCCGGATCATGTCGAAGATCTCTGCCTGCGTTGTAAACCTGTACTTTTTCCGCGGACTCTTCTGGGGCGGACTTTCCTCAATTGCGACCAGGTCGTGGAGCTGCTTCTTCCCCCGGGACCAGAACTTCTCTCCCCCCTTTGGAAGGAGGTATATGGGAGACCCCCACGTTTTAAAGAGATCCTGCCGCTTTTCTCGGCCAAAAAGCAGCTCTACTATTGTGTACTGGATTATTCCCATGTCGGAGGTGTACTTTACCTCCCCCGCTAAAACACTTCCAATCGCCTTCGGAGCCCCGAGAAGAGGCGGGCCTATATAGGCTGCTGCGTGTATGTGCTTGTCCACCCACTTTTCGTCCTTCTCTGAGACCCACTGCATGAAATAGTGGAATATTACTGCACCAAGACTGTGCGCAATAATAACGGTCTTTTCCTGCTTCATAGAACTCTGCAGCTCTATCTCTATCTTCAGCTTCGTAAAGTATCCGTCCCGAATCTCCATTTCTTCAAGGCCCAGCCTCCAGTCAAAGGCTGCAAAGTGCACATCTGCTGGATCGTATCCTATGTGCGAGAGATTCTCCACGATCTTCCACCAAAACCACATTCCAGGTATCGAGAAATCGGAAGACTCCAGGCCAGCACACGCCCGCACTTTTATGCCTATCGGGTCCAGGCCTGTCTCCGTGTTTAATTTCATGCTTTCCAGCCACTCCGACCGGTTGTGCAGCATAAACGTAATTGTCGAGTGGGAGCCCCATATTTTCTTCCGAAAGAAAGAGTTGTTCTCCTTCTTGGTCTTCCACAGCTCCAACGACGTGTTTGCAATTCCCGGGATAATTGTGATCGGATGCTTCCCCACAAGCCCAGCAGCCTGCCCCTTCATTCCAGGCTTCTGGTCCAGCTCTTCGTACGGGGAGAAGGCAGCAATGTCCGCTAAGTATAGGAGCTTTGCCTTTGTGGTTTCGCTTAAGTTCATGCTCATAACAGTTTTTGAGTTTAGAAGCTCCTCCATCAAGTTCATAATTACGTGCTTCTTGAAGGCCTTTTCATAGCCTGTTTTTACAAAGTACCCTATAACAACCCCTATAACTGCAAACAAAAAATACCTCTTCTTTCTCTTTGGGCGTGCCTGGCCGCATGCGATGCACGCATTGTTCACATAGACAGGACTCTCCTCTGCAGGAGTTCCAGGCGGTTTCTGGTGTTTTTCCTTTTTTCTGTTTTCCCCTGTGCGCGACATTATGTTCGATGCAAAATAAAAAGAGGAAAGAAATAGATTGAAGAGTGTGGATATTGTGCCTTGAGGCGGCTGCTTTTCTGTGGGCAGGATACTGCATGAAAGTGCTGAATTTGTGCAAAAACGCCCTGGGAAGCTGCAATTTTTTGGCGAAAGAATTCGCTGGATTGCACGAAGATCCCGGATGCACAGTCCGGGTAGGACGAAAATGGCCACTTTACAATCGCACTTTTCCCTCCATAGTCTGTGTGCACAGTGCGAGTGGGCTCTGCATGGTGAAATCTGGACTTTCTGGGGCTGTTTCCTGCAAGCTCTGGGCGGAAAAGTTCTCCTCGCTGTTTTCTGGGGGTATGCATGGACGTATATGGGCAGTAGGACGAGCGCGCGCACATACTCCACTTTCTGCAATTGGGGTGGCCTGTGTGCCCACTCTTGCGAGATTATGCTTGTGCTGGCAAGTATAAAAGCAAGCTCTTTGGCGGAAATGGGGGCTGTTCGTGTGGGTGCTAGTGCTTCAACCAGATATATCCTCCACTTCACACGATTCGCGCGAAGTTATGGTTTCTGCTTTATCCCACGAGAGGTTTTGCTAGAAAGACTCCTGCAAGGGGGAAGAAATGCACAGAGTTTTTCCCTTAGATCTTTTGCCCGCCCGCACGAACTACTGCCCCTTTTGCGCGGCATTACTGCACTGAATTCATCCGTTTGTCGCGCTGTTTAGGCAGAAAAAACACAAAGCGTACGCACAGACGTGGAAACTTACGCTTTCCACGCGAAAAGGCGAAAGCTAGCAGCGAACAGGGCGAGAAGAGCTGGATTCTTGCGTGTGCGCTGCCAAAAACGCCAAAAGGGGCTCTGCACGAAAAAAGAGAGCATTTAAAGCATTCCAAGCACGTCTCTGGAACTTGCAAAAGAATTAGCTACTGCAAGAATACGCCGAGTACAGGACGGAAGCACGCCAGAAAAAGTGCCCAAGGAAGAAAATGTCCAAGGAATGGGCCTCCTATACGGTTTTTTGCAGAAAGAGCATCCGAAGCCAGAAAAAGTCTGGAAGAATCTGTAGAAAGCATCCTGCAACGCCAAAGAAAGTCCAGTGCTACGACAGGAGGAAGCGTCTTCACGTGCCCACCCAAGAAGAACTGCCGACACGGCAAGAGTGCCCTGCGAAAGCGAGGAAATGCGCAGAAAGTGCCGCCCATTGAAGACGATGCAAACACAAGAAGAAAATACCGTTAAGCCAATCGATAATAAAAATCCGGGTCTCCAAAGGATAGTAAATCTTTACTGGAACTAGCACTAGACACAGAAGCAAATATGCGGATCTACGGAAATAATAGCACTTTTTTCACTGCAGGCACTTCAGTTGTTCTTGTACTCTGGCTTCAGCTCGTACATGTTCTTGTGCGTCTTTTTGTTGAGAACTGCAATGTCCGGGAGTATTTCCTGGATGTACGCGATGGGCTGCCCCGAGCGGTCTGCAAGGTCTTTCGCGCTCCAGTACCGGTGCTCCTCAAAGGCCCGGAACATAATGTCCATGACTTCCGTCTTTGAAAGCCGCTCTCTCTTCTTCTCCATGAGCATTTTCTTGCGCTTTCTTGCCATGATATCGTACTCTGAGGCCCCGTACCTTTCCATGCGGATGCCCTCCTTCAGGCTGTCGAGGGGCTTCACGTCCTTCTTCACGTTAATAAGGGCTGCCCTGTCCTTCTTGTACTTCAGGTACTCCGGGGAGATCTTAGGGCGCACGTAGACCTCATCCGCGACTACTCCGTCAATGAAAGCTCCGTGCGGTTTCTGGACAAAAGTGAAGACTCCGTCCTTTTCCTCCAGGGGCTCCAGAATCCACTCTCTGGGGAAGCTCGGGGGCCCAAACTGTGCGGATATTTTCAGCACATTACAGCTCCCCCTCTCCTCTATGCAGCCTATCTCCACGGGCTCACTGTACTCCTCCAAGTACTCCTCCAAAATCCTCGGGACCTTAACCAGCGTAATCCGCGTGTGCTTTCTCTCTCCCATAAATATTTTATTCGCAAAGTGAATACTTTATTTAAACCGTGTTGAACAGCTCATAGTAAGGGTTAATTGCTGCTACTGCGCTGGGCACTGCCTTCACTCTCGGCATTACGAGCGTAGGCCTCTTATCGAACAGCGCGACGACTTCCTCTGACTTCAGGACTTCTCTGTAGTCTGGGCAGCTGAGCTTAGACTCTGGCAGCCTGTATCCTCCCTTAACTGCGGTGTATCCTGCGTCTCCAAAGAGTTCTCTGAGCCTCTCGAATGCGCTCTCACTCCAGATGACCAGTCTTCCCAAGTGGCCTCCAGGGGCTAGCTCCAGGATGTCCAGTCTGTCTACCTTCATGAGGTCTACTCCCGGGATGTTTCTGAACGCCTTTGTGATTCCCTTGTCCTCGTGGTAGATGACCAGGATTCCCTTTCGCATGACCCATCTTCTGTTTCTTGCCTTTCCTTTTCCGCTTCTGATGTTTTTGCTCTCCTTCACTCTGTTGATTTCCTCTGTGAGCGAGAAGTTCTTAATAAGCTCCAGGCCCTCCTTTGTTCTTCTGAGAGACTCTATCTCGTTAGAAACTACGATGGGGATGGACTTAAGCTGGGAGATCAGGTGTCCCCTGCTTTCTACGAGGGCAGCCGATGCAGTTGCTGCTACTGCCATGGAGGCTGCGTGTCTTCTTGTGTTTTTGTTTGTCTTTCTGAACCATCTTCTCAGCACGTTCGTTGGGCTGGCCATTCTACCTTTTCTACAGAAGTTGGCAAAAGCTCCCTGTCCCGCTCTCTGAGTACCTCCTCCAGAGACACGGGGCACTCTTGCAAGTGCTCTTCCTGTTCCCCACGAGTGCGCAGAGTGTCTCATACCGGCTAGCGGATCGACTGCGTATGGCTGCTTGCTGTTTTTTCTAACGCTGTTTTGCACTGTGCAGACTAAGTCGCTTCTTACAGGTATAGAGAATACTTTTGGTAACTCTGCCTTCTTATACACTGTTGTTCCATCTAAGTTGTAGAATTCTACTTGATTTTGTATCATTGCCCTTGTCGTTTTAAAAAGAAAAATAAAATTAATATTTTGGCACTCGCCCACAGACAGACGGCCTCCCTGCGAAATAAAAATAAAATATGCGGAGAAGGCAGACGGACACGCTGAAATTCTGGAAAAATCAAGAGAATTATCACGGGCTGTGCGAAGAGTACAGAGCGTACCCGTGCGTGTGGGAGTACATGCTTCAAATTCCCAGGGTGTGGCAGCGTATCTGAAGGGTTTTACTCTATTTTCAGGAGCTCAGTGCAGGGCGGAATCTTACTGTACAGGAGTGATGCGAGGAGGAAGGACGGAATAAGCACGGCCAGGGCGCTGGTTATAGATATAGTGCACTTTGGGAGGTGCAGAGCCACTCCGCAGAGAGTCTTTACTTCGTGCTCGACCAGGGAGGAGAGTGCAATTACCCCAGGGGATACGCCCGTGGCAATTGCGAAGAGTTCGCCCCCTTCTGCATGCGACAGAGCGTATATGGAGAGATGCGCAGCTGCCACGAGAGGGTACTCGCGATTGGTGGAAAGCAGGCTGGGAATGATGAAAAAGGTCCAGGGCATCCCCACTACGACGCCCGGAATGATCAGGACGAGGGAAAGAAGGATGACCAGGAGGCGGGTGTGCTTTTGGTTTTTCCGGAGTTGCTCGTTTGCTGCGTGCGGAAGGACTGCGGCTGTGGCGAAGAGAAAGAGCAGCGGAATGAAGCCCCAGAATCGTGCAGGGTTTCTGTCGTGCATTTTCGCGAGGATTCCGTGCAGCTGCATAAAGGAGGCGCAGGATATGAATAGGGTGCTGCATGTTTTTATGTAGTCGACTGCTCCGCTGAAGTCTGCCCTTGCAAGTGCAGCCAGAACAGTGTGATCCTGTGTGTCGTGCCCTGTGCTGGCGTCAGAGTATCTCACTGCAGTGCTTTCCATTTCCGTGCGAGAGTTTCAGCTTATGTACGCTGCATCTTTCCCGTGCAGGCATAATTCCCTGGGAAAGGCTATTTTCCATGGAATTATACCTGCACTGCCCCGCAGACGCCTGCAAACTCAAAAAGACGCGACTAAAGCAGAACGAATTTATTGATTTATCCTCCCTCTCAGGCCTAAGCCTTTTTAGATCCATTCTCTGCAGCATCTCACTCCAGGCCTATCGTCACGAGAACCAAAGACTCTATCGGTCACCTCCCATCCCACAGTTCGGGCAAAGACGCGAGTACAGGCACAGACACGGACTCACAACATCTTTCTCGGGCAGGTCCTTCCCATTTAAGGCCCTGCTGGGATTCTGGCTATTCTTTTTTCGGGGTATCTTTATTAGCTGCTGGGGAAAGTTTTCCCGTGGGTTCCCGGCTTGGCTGCGCGCACTGTCACAATGTCCGTGATCTTTTCCGTGTACTGCACGAGGGCCTCCTGAGAAATATTTTTTACGGCTGCGCAGACTCTTTCCTTGTTTCCTGGGTGGAAGCCTATTTTCATCCACAGTTGGAAGACTTCTTCTGCGTAGTCCTCCAGGTTGCTGGCCTCTTCCCGCACTGCGAGGATGGCGCTTTCCCTGTGCGCCTCGTACTCCTGTGCAGGCATCTCGCGGACTCTTCCCTGGATTTCCCCGACAAAAGCCTGAATCCGTGCTGCCACGTCCTCAATATCCCTGTCGCTCTGCACTGTGAAATGCACGTACGCTCTCTGGCGCAGGACTCTCTGCCCCATAAACACAATGTATCCGTACTCCTCTTTAGTCCGCACTTCGTCAAAGAATCGCTCGGAGAAGATCTGGACGAGGAGAATAGCGAGGGCGTACGCCTGCACTGCATCTGGGGCAGCGACCACGTGGAAAACGGACACTGCCACGTTCTGGATGTCGACTGTTTCCACGGAGATGTCGCTCTTTCTCTCCACGGTCTCTTTCGGGCCCTCAACGAAGGAAATGTGCTTTCCTATCCCGTCGACAATGCGGGTGAACTCTGTGGGTGTTATATTTCCGACCCCCAGGACCTTCACATTCGCGTCGCGTACAACCCAAATATTCTCAGGCAAAATGCTTCCAGCAGCCTCTACAAGGGCCTTTGGCTCGAACTCAGGGTATCCCCGGACGGTGTACACTCCGCCCATGCTGTACATGTACGGGGACTTTCTTGTCTCGCTCTGGAAAAACGAGACGGCGGACTCCTTCGAGAGATTGAACATCTGCATGTTCCCGGAGGCGTATTCTGCAAAGAACTTTTCGACCAAATCCTCTATAACCACGGGGGTTCCGCTGAACTGAAAGACAAATCCAGACATTCCGCCAGACTCCTCCAGGTTCAGCAGGGACGCGCTCATCTCTGCCCGGTACTTCTCCTGGAACATTTTTGCAACGGCCAAAAAGTATCCAACGGCTCCTGCATACGTTTTCTCGTTAAAAATGTGTGCGTCCGTGCACAGCATAACCCGCACGTGCGCATTCCGGGAGTACTTCGGATTGTGGAGCAAGTGCCCAGAGCATCCAGGGCGCAAAACCTCTTCGTGGCGGATTTCTCCTGCGGGATACTCCGGGATGTTCGCAGGTATTGCCCCAAGAGGCACGGGGGCACTCGTTTTCCTGGCGTGCGAAATGTCGACTTCCTCGGGCAGGCCAAAAGACCACTTCATCTTGCTGCATACGCCTTCCAGGAGTACGCTGTCCACTGCAGGCATCTCCGTAACTGCGTAGTTTATCCCGTATATTTCGTCCACCCGAATATTTTCGCACTTTATGCTCCCCGTCCGGAACAAAACCATCCACTTCTGCGCGTCCAAAGCCGTTTCCAGAATTTGCGAGAAATCGTCTGCGTCAAAGCCCTCCCAAACGTGCGGGTACTTCAAACACTCTTCCGTTGGGTAGAAGTGCATCGCCTGTGCGGCACTCTCCACCAACTCCAGCGGCTCCAGGGACTCCTTGGAGTCGAGCACTTTCTCGTTTATGTTCTTAAACGTGCTGTACAGCTCCGGAGTCCCGTTTTTCTGGATCATGAGGATGTAGCTGCGCAGAATCTGGAGAATAGTCGGGACCTGCGCCACTTTATCGTCCACAAGCTCAACAGAAACCTGCACCACCGTGTTAATAGTGGTCTCCTCCAAGTACACGCTTACATTTGAGGCAATTCCCTCCCGCAGAAGGACTCCCACGAATCCGTCGCTTCCAGTTCCCTCGAGAAGCTCCCCAAAATATGCGACTGTTTTCTTCCGGAAGTTGGTGATTCCCTCCGGGAGAGAAATGAAAATGCTCAGCGTGGACTTGCACATGGGAATGTTCACAGCCGGCCGATACAGGACAAGCTTCCCCAAAAAAGACGCGTCGAACGTGAGATAGTCCAGGCCCGTGCGCCCTGAAAGAGGGGGAACGTACGCAGGGCAGTCCCATATGTACGCGCCCTCTCTCGGGGAGATCTTTCCAAAGAGTTCTCCGACCCACTGCTCGAGCGTATCCAAAGAGTCGCTCCCGTGGACAGCCAGGCACATGCGGTCCGGCGTGTAAAAGTACTTCCAAAACTCGAGAAGGTCCTCGCGTGAGGCGGATGCAAGCGTCTCCGAGTTTCCAACTCCGAACTTTCTCGATGGATAGTCCGGGCGAGAGAGCAGGCTCAGAAGGTGGTACTTTCGCCAGTTTTCCAGCAGTATGTTTGCGCTGTGCTCGCTGTTGACTGCCTGGAGCTCTCTGGATATGGCGTCCTCCCGTATTAGGGGAGAAGTGAAGAATCCGCTGAATATGTGCATGCTCTCCCGAAGATACGACGCATCTATGTCGTAGAAATAGTTCGTTATCTCGTCAGAAGTGTTCGCATTTGAGCTTCCGTTGTGGATGTGGATGTACTCCATGTATGCGTTTTCGTCTGGGTGCTCCTCCGTGCCCATAAATAGCATGTGCTCCAGGAAGTGTGCTAAACCTGGGTGCGCACGCGGGTCGGAATAACTGCCCACTTTCACTGACATGGAAACAGCAGCTTTATCTGCGCTCTTGTCGTGCGAGAGCAGAACTCGCAATTTATTTGGCAAAGTGAGTGCTCTATACTCGTATTTGTCGGCTGTTCCTCCTAGCTGCAAAGACATGGATAATTAAAAGTTGCAATTATTAAAAGAGAGGGGCAAGCACGCGCTAATGGGCACGGAAAAACACGATTTATGGGTGGGGGTGCCAGACCAGGAATAGTCCGCATAGTCCATGCCTGCAAATATGCCCGTGTCCGAGCAGGGGACTCCAGAAATTTCACCACTCTCGGGGAATAAAAAGCGGCAAGACCCCATAAAAATCAGGTTTCACAGAAATCTATCTATAAATCCAGTGCAGGCACACATACACCTGCACGATACTAGCTTCCCAGAGTGTCTCACATCTCTCCAAAAATTCCGGATGGTATGCACGCTTCGCGCTCTGCAGGGTGGGAAGGAGAAAGAAAGGGCGTGTACTCCCGTGCTTGCATCGTCTGGGCGTACTTTTGAGTATTCCGTGAATTCTGCTTTTCCACGGGCCGTGAGCTTATGCACGGGATTAAATATAAAATATTATTATTGCCATTCTAACTACGTACGATGGGAAGCGTGTTCAGTGGGCTTACAAAGGAAGACATACAAGCGGTGAAAAAGGAAGGCTGCAAACTTCCGCAGGAGGAGATAAAGAAGCTGTACATTCGGTTCAAGGAGCTGGACAAGGAGGAAATAGGGCGCATATACATGGACCAGCTCCTTTGCATACCGGAAATAAGCATAAACCCGATGGGGGAGCGAGTGATCCGGAAAATATGCGATAAAGAGGGAAAGATAGACTTCAACGGATTTATTCGGGCAGCAACTCTTTTCAGCAAGTACGGAACAAACGAGGAAAAAGTGACTTTTTTCTTCGATATGATAGCCGAGAACGGGAAGCTAACAAAAGAAGCCCTGCAGGACCTCTCCAGCGACCTGTACACGCACGAGTCGGAGAGCGAGGGAATAAAAGCGGGAATAGAGGAGGTTTTCAGAGTCTACGGAAAGGACAAGAAGCCGTTTATAGAGTGTGCTGACCTGAAGGGAATGGACTGCGGCGCACTGGGCAACATACTGTGATACTGCTGAAAAGTGCACTCTCCCAGGAATAGGAGAGTCTCCTCAAAGGCAATGCCTGAAATTCCGAAGTGCAAAATTCGGGCTGTTTGAGGCCGGGCAGAGTCAGGCACTTGTGCGGTGCCTGCTTTCAAGCTCCTCCTCCAGCGCCCGGACTCTTTTCAGGGCGACAAGATACTTTTTCTGCGTCTCCACGAGAAGGGCGTCCTTTCGTTGCAGCTCCTGCGAGATCTTCCCGGAGTGCGCTATCCACCGATTCATTTCCTCGATGTAGTACTCTTCCGATTCGGTGCTCTGGCCTGCCTGCATGGTGGCATGTATCTCCGAGACAGTTTCCACTATTTGGGTGATAGTTTCCATCCTCTTGACTATTCCGTGGATGGCGTCTATCCCGCTCTGCAGCTCAGACTCTACTTCTTTCATAAGATGCAAAATATTTTCAGAATTATTACGTGGGACGCAGCAGAAGATCTTAATAAGTAAATGTACGTGCTATGCATATTTCTTGCACAGCACTATAAATGTGCGTTATTGTTAACACTCCTCTGCATAAGCAGGAAGTAACACGAATAACATGGGGATAAAAAAATAAAATATTGAAATACCATGGCAAAGCAAAGAGAGTGCGCGTACAGAAGAGAAATAGCAAAGCCAAAAGAGGCGATTACAATAGAAGAAAGAAAGCGGAGGGAAGAACTGAGAAAGAGCAGGCATGCAGACACGTGGAGTAAAAGAGAAGAAATTCGCGACAAAAGGAAGGCGCTCAGAGAGAGAATCCAGAAGAAAGAGGAGGAAAACGAGAAAGTGCTTGCTGCCAGCAGAAGAGCAAGACTTGCCGTCCGCAGAAAGAAGAAGATGCAGAGAGAGGCGTACCCGGACAGCAACAAATAGATGCTTCTGGAGAGGAAAGCACCCGAATAATAAGGCGGGAGTCAGAGTGGGCCCACTCGGAAATAAATAGACAAGTTCTCACAAAATATCTCTAGCTGATTTTAGGTGAAATTTCAGCTAATTCCTGCGCTTTCCTGAGTCTTTGCTCCGCACGGAAGCACTTTCTGGCTGCACTCCGCTGCACGCTTTAAATTCATCGCCTCCTGATCTGTTGATATTGCCGTAAATCCGGGTTTCATATGACTATGGTCTAATACAAGCTCCACTAAAGATTTATTAATCTGTGGAGAGTCCCGGCGGTCGACCTGTGCTTGACTTGATTTTTGAGTCTTCGAATTTCTTCCCATTTTCTTCTCTGAAATTAACATCGTATCGCGTATTTATGCTTCTAGCGATCACTAATCAATTTCATGTTCAGATCGTGTGAAATTCAATCAAGTGATAGTCGTGCCCTCTCCAATTTTGTGGGAGTTCCAAAAATTCAGCACAGAAATAGTAGTTACGCTTTTATTCCTGTGCACAGTCTGGACATTCTACTGCACCGGCTCTATGCGCACCTTCTTCCCAAGGAGGTGCATGTTTATCTGCAGGAGAGTCACCAACTCCTGGTTCTTCGTGTACAAAAGGGCCTCAGCGTACGCCTTTTCTGCGAGTCCGTAGAGCTTGTACTGATGGTATGCGCGTCCCGAGTTGTACAGGAGAATTGCAAGCTTCTCGGAGACGTTGCTTTCTTCGCAGGGAGCCCCCGGGAGAATTTCCCCACGGACGGCGTAGACTACGGACTCGCCCTCGCACAGGATGGAGACGCTGTTTGCGTGGGGCGGATCCATTTCCTGCATGAGGCTGGTGAATTTGTGCAGGATCTTCACCCCCCGGGATATGCACATGCTCCTGTCCGTGACTTTCCTGCTCGATGCATGCGACAGGAAGAGCGAGGAAAGTGCAACTGCCCGGGATATCCCGAGCAAAGAAGAGTCGAGAGAAGAAAGGACGCTCCCCTCAACGTCCCGAATAAGCCTGTCCACAGTGTTTGCGTAGATGAAGCTGGGCATGTACGAGAAGCACGTGAGCGTGAGAACATTCCCAGAGCTGTCCCGAGACGGGTCTTTTCTGCGGAGGTTTCTCTGGATGTTTTTCTGGAACTTGTAGAACTGGCTCCTCCTGTGGAACTTCGGCAGCTGCCCAATGAGAAAGTACGAAAGGTAGTAGAAAGAGACGGCGTCAAATCCCTCCCTGTTTGCATAGTACCGCAGTGCGTGCGTGAGCCCCCAGTGCAAAGAATCAGCATCTCTTGCATCGACGCTCATCCGAATCAGCAGCCACAGGAGGGCCGTATACTCTTCGTACTGGCTGCGCAGGATCTGGGAAGTGAGGACTTTTCTAAGAAGGAGCATCCCCGTCTCAAACTGTTCCTCGCAAAAAAGCGCAGTAACGTACTTTTGCACAATCCCGCACCACTCCTGCACGGATATTCCCCCGAGGAGAGAGGCGAGTCCGTCGTAGTAGACGCTTTTTGTGCTGGACTCTCCCTCGGGGAAGTCCGACAAAACCTTCCCAAGCCCAGTTATTTCCTGGAGCAGGGCGTAGTCTGCCTCTATTTCCCGGACGTTCACGAGGGATCCAGTTTCCCCGTTTTCCTCCTTCCGCACCTTCCTCCTGTAGAATATGAACGGATTCTGCAGGAGAAATACGACAAGTTCCTGCGCCGACTGGACGAAGTACTTTCTCACGGCACTTTCTCGGAGTATTTTCTCGGTCTCGTACACGTGCATCGCCTTGTACATGATCGACCGGTTCTGCATGCAGTCTGCCGCCCTGTAGAAGACAAGGCCGGACTTTTCTATGCCCGAGCACACCTGAGAGCTCTCTATCTGCAGCGCATACTCTAGCGCCAGGTCGATGTTTCCGGTCTTCCTGTATATTTCAGATATCCGCATGTGGACTTCTCCCTGGATGCTTTGCACGTACGGAATCCTGTCCCTGTGCGAGAGAATCTCTTTGTACGCAAGGATGCTCTTGTGGTACTCCCGCATCTTCTCGTGCACGAGTGCGACTTTCCTCTTAACGGAAAAAACCTCTGCAACGAGCAGGCCCTGCATCTCCTCGGAGTACGCGGAGGATGCACTCCCGGAGAGAAACCACTTCACGGCAGCGTCCGTCCACTCGAGGATTTTCAGCGCGACTTTGTACTTCCGCATCCGAATGAGAGTGTCCAAAAAGCACCCTGCCAGCGGAAGATGGAGCAAATCCGTTATTGCAGGAACCCGTACAGGAACACTCACAACAGCAGACTTTTTTCCCGCGTGTATAACGATGTTTTGGGCCGTGTCAATTTCAGCTGTTTCCTTGCACGTGCACAGAGAAGGGCACACAGAACAGCGAGTCGATATCTCCGAGATTACGCTCGAGAAGAACAGGATTATCTCCGTGCGCGTGCACATGAGAAGCCTCCTGCAGTACGCCAGAGAGTTATTCAGCTGAGAAATAAGGTCGTACTTGCACAGAGAAAAGAGAATGTCCACATATCCTATCAGAAAAGTGTCCGACACTGTCGAGAATGGCTTGTCTCTGTCGAGTATCCGGCTCACTGTGTCGACAATTTTTGCTGAATTTCGGAGCTTTTTTATCCGCGAGAGAACCTCCTCAATAAACTCCGGGGGAAAATTGTTGAGGGAAACCATTTCAGCCTTCACCTCCAAAACCTTCTCTATGTTGCCCTGTCGCTCGTATATCCCCAGAATCTCCTCGAGAATCTCCGGAGTCTCCTTTATCTTTTTGAGCCTTTTCAGGATGTACAGCTGGTACTCTAGGTCGCCCTCCTCTTGCTTGTACTGCAGGAGCTTCCTCCACAGGTTCACGTCCGTCCTTTTTATGCTTGCAGCGATCAGGAAGGCGTTAAAAGACCGCTCTGCATCGCCCAACTCTTCGTATATAATGCCGAGGAGGTAGTACGCACTGTCAAATGTGCTGTGGTAGGACAGGGACTCCTTTATCTTCTCGATTGCAGGCATAAAGTCTCCCCGGACGTATAGCTTATTCGCTACACCTAGAACGTCCTCTGCCGTCTGCTTATCTGATGCTTTTCCTTTTTTAAGCCGCCTCTTCATAATTCGCATAGACTCTTCCTTTTCCTTTCTGATGTACTCTTCAAAGCCTGTAATCTCGCTAACAGCAGGCCCCTTCGCAAGCCAGCTCAAGTAGTCCATCGAATAAATTTGCACGCAAATATTTTCAGAAATGTCAAGCAGCAAGAAAGTCTTCGTATTTGACTTAAATGGGACGCTTTTAGCACGCGTAAAGGAAAACAAGGGAAAACTCATGAAAATGCAGGAGCCAGACGGAGTCCTCTCAGGACCCGGGGATCTTATCTACTTAAGGCCGCACTTGGGGGAGCTCGTAGAGTTTCTGCACAAAAACAACGTGCAATACGCCCTCTGGACAACGGCAATGGAGCATAACGGAGTCCGACTGGCCTCTATGGTGGAGAAAGCAGGAATGACAAAGGCCCTCGGAAAGTACTACCACGCACACTCTGAGCCCATCAAAGGGCATCCGTACAAAAGAAGCAAAAACATGCAGGTTGTAGCAAGTGCGACGGGAGTAAGCATTGAAGACGTCTTCCTTATTGATGACGAAGTGCTGAAGTGCATCCCCGTCTCGTGCCACATCCCGATAGAAGAGTATAAGCCCCTGGAGGAAGACACAGAACTTTTGAGGATAATAGAAGTCATCAAAGGACACCTCTAGGCAAAAACAGACAAAGTCCGCATTCCTACAGCTTCCAGCTTCTATTTTCGCCCTGCTTCAGCTAATAAATAGTGTCGACTTGCCTGTGAAATTTCACCGTCTAAAATGAAAAGTGTACGCAGAGCTTTTTTAACTAGTTGTACGCAGAGATTTTGCTTTGCTTTTTTATTTTTCGCGTCCACTCCCAGGCCCGAGAAAGAAAACGGGAAAAGAGAAAAAGAGAAAAATTCCTGCCTGTATCAATCTATAAATAGAAACAACTTTTCTTTTTCATGGGAAAAAATCAGCTGAGCATTCAGACGATCATGTCCATCGTAAAGAAGAAGGATGCATTTCTGATGGAGTACGCGCAGAGTGCGCACGCTCCCAGGGTGTACGAAGACATTATGTGCCTTCTGAACGAGATACTCTCTGGGAGAATATCCGTGCAGAAAGCCACGGGACTCCTTAGCGTGTACTACGTGCTTCTCACGGAGGAGAAGGAAATAACGATTCGGGAGGTCTTTTATCGGTGCAAGCGGGTGTTTTCCCACCAGAATCACGTGATAAAGGCTCTGGAGTGCATAAAGAAAAGGACGCAGTTGGAGCTCCAGAACGTAGTCCCGGGGAATAAGGGCCTTGTAAACGGAGCCTGCACGATAGAAAGGGAGGGCGAGGCGATAGAAATAAAGCACACGACGGTCATACCGAGAATACGCCCTGGGGACCGGCTCATTGCAGCTTCTCGGGTCGTTCTTGTGGTGGAGAAAGAGGCTGTTTTCAACGAGATCGTGCAGAAAAAGGCAAGACTTGAGGAGGTTTTGGGAGAGCCCGCAATAATTGTAACGGGAAAAGGGTATCCCTGCAGGAACACGCTCCTGTTCCTTATGATGGCGTCGAATATGCAGGTCTTTGGACTCTTCGACTGCGACCCGCACGGGCTCTGCATATACACCGTGTACAAGCACGGAAGCAGGAGAAATCCCGCTCTGAAAGTCCCAGGAATAAAGCGGATTGGCGTCTTCCTGCACGACCTTCAGGAGAGGGGGGAAAGCCTCCAGGAGATCACGGAGGAGAGGCAGCTCTCCCTCGTGAAAAACCTCCTCGCGAGGCACAGGGAGCTTGGGAACGACATAAACATAATGGAGAAAACCCGAAAAAAAGCCTCCATAGAAGACATTTCCGGGAGCAGAGAAATAGCCGAGTATGTAGCCCAAAAAATCAGGCGATCAGAAAGCGGGTAGGCGAAAGGCCTGAGTACATAAATGTGTTTTTATTTAGCATCTTCTTTCCCTGCCCCAGAAAGTGCGTGCCTCTCCCCGGGGAAGGCCTCCTCGGAAAGAATCTCTCGGGCAGTTATGCAGTGCGTCTCTGTGGTAAGGACCTGCAGGGCGCCCATATGCAGGGTTTCGTCCACAACCGATGAAAGCGCGTTGAATACGCCTTTCACTCTTTCTCTGTTTTCTCCCGTGAGCATTTCGTCTTATTATTTTATGCAATTTCTTCGCATAAGTCCGTCTCTGCCTCGGGGTCTGAGGCGGGGGGTTTTGCATACATCCCGACATACTCCGCCACTTTCTTCTCGTACTCCTTCCTGTTTTCCCTGAACATGCGCCCAGCCTCAATGTTTAGCGGATCGTCTGGGTTTGGATACGCCAGCAACTGCGGGAGAAACGTCTCCACAATGTTTAGCACATCGTAGAGGGGAGACCAAACTTGGTTCAAAACGTCCAGGCAAACAGTTCCGCTGTTTTCGTCGATGTTTGGGTGGAATACTTTTGTGACAAACCCAATCGACGGAGACTTGAAGGGAAACTCCCTCGGCAGGAATATTCGTATTTTGTATCTGCCCCCAGAGAAGGGAGTTCCTGCAGGGCCGTCAATTGCAACGATAAAAGATGCGCGCTCTGAGTGCTCTTCCTGCTCGACTGCATAGTTCTTTTTAAATAGTTTGTTTATTTCCGCTCTTACTCTGTGCATTCTCTGCCGGTTTTGCTTTGTAAATAAACAAGCAATCACCAATGAAGCTGCTTCTCCCCAATTGGACGCCTGCAAAAAATTGACCAAAGCATCACGGAATAGGCGCACCCCAGAAAGCACTCTTCCCGTGGCACAAGAGAAAGCCATTCGCCCTGCACTGCCCCAGCGCAAGAAGAGACGGAGAGATCCCGTCTTTCCCCGTCCCACACGAAATAATAGCGTGAAGCCCCGGGACCGTATCAGCACCATCTTTACCCGTCGGGCGTACTGCTGATGCACTCCCGCTAGTCCGTGCCCAGGATCCAGCATCCTTGCAAACCCTCTGGAGTAAGAGTGCCCAGAGAGTAGCGAAAAAACAAGATGCACGGGCGCCAGCTGGACATACTTGCTTCTCTCTGCGTGCAGGCTCATTTTCCAGCCTTTCCTGCACTTTCTAAAATGACCAATTTCCTGCATCCATCAAAATGACGGGAGCACGCACTATTTCATGCTGCATTATTTTTCTGCCATGATCACAATTCTTGCAGCATATTCTAAAAGCACAGGCGCAATAGGACTGAAGGGAAAACTTCCGTGGCCACTTCTTAAAACAGACTTCCTTTTCATGAAGCACATAACCACAAAAGAGTTTACAGGAGTAATCATGGGCCGGAAGACTTTTGAGTCAATAGGAAAGCCCCTCCCAAACAGAACAAATATGGTCCTGACGTCGCGCGAGACTCCGCCCGAGAAAGGCCCAAACTACAGCGTATACTACGTGCAGAGCCTGGACAAGGCCGTGCACATGTGCAGGGCTCTCTGCATTCGCCCTGTGATATTCGGGGGACATTCTGTCTACAAAGAGGCACTGGAGAAGTACGAGTGCGACGTATACATAACAGAGATATACGATACTTTCGAGGGAGACGCACACTTTCCCGTGGGCCTCATCGACAGTGCGCCCCTAAGAAATAAGACGGAGGAGACGCTGAAAGAGCTGGGAATTGAAAAAAGCATGCACGAGTGCTCGCAGAAGGAAGAGTGTCCTTTCAAGGAGGAGTCCCAAAAAGGCTCTCTAATATGCGAGAATGGCGTGCACTATGCGTTTATGCACGGCGTATTTTCACCGCACAAAAAATCTTAAAAGAGTAAAGCTGTTTTATTTTTACACCCTTGAAAAATGGTAGGAGGACCCAGAAAGCACTTGAAGAGATTAAATGCGCCAAGATCGTGGATGCTGGACAAGTTAGGAGGAGCATTTGCCCCCCGCCCCAGATGTGGACCACACAAACTGAGAGAGTGCCTTCCTCTGTGCTTAATTGTACGGAGAAAGCTCGCATTCGCCCAGAACACGCGCGAGCTCGTGCACATCCTCAAGAACAGAATGGTGAAGGTGGACGGAAAAGTCCGAAAGGACCCAAAGTACCCGGCCGGTGTTATGGACGTAGTGAGCTTCCCTGCGATCCACGAGAACTACAGGCTTCTGTACAACGTAAACCAGAAGTTCTGCCTGCAGCCCATCACTGAGGAGGAGGCGCAGTTCAAGATCTGCAAAGTGGTCACGAAGAGGCTCGAAAACAAGAGCATCCTGACTCTGCACACAAACGACGGAAGAACAATCAAGTACGCAGACCCCAGCATAAAAATAGGAGACTCCGTTAAGCTGGACCTGGCAACAAGCGAGGTCAGGGAGATATACCCGATTGGCGTGGGAATGACCGCATACGCCTTCAGAGGAAAGAACTTGGGATGCGTTGGAATCATCCGGGAGATAAAGGCACACATCAGTGGATTCACAATGTCGATTCTTGAGGACCTGAACGGAAGATCTTTCGTTACAAAAACAGATAACTTGATTGTCATCGGAAGCGCAGGAGAGTCCGTGATCTCGCTCCCCAAGGAGAAGGGAATTCGCACAACAGCTATGATGCTCAGTAATATCGTATACGGAGACCTCAGAGAGGAGGGAGAAGAGGCAGAGTACTCCACGGAGGAAAGCGACGAGGAATAATAAAAATTCGTAGGAAAGTTTGCTCGGATCCACAACTTGCTCTTTATTCGCCTTAGGAGAGGGTTTTTTCCAGGAGGGAGAGGACGCTCATGGGGATGCGCCTCTCCAGGTCCGCACACTCGTTTTTCCGGATTTCTTCTTCGAGCTCTTTCTTGGGGGGACGCGGTCTTTGCTGCGCGCCCTGCATGTACTGCTTTTTCATTTCTCGCGTCTCCCGCATCAGGCGGTTGAGCTCGCGGATCCCCTCGAGGACGGCGGAGAGCTCTGGAATCCCCTGGAGAGCAGCATATTTCTGCTCGACGTCCCGGAGGAAGGCCTTCTTCTGCTGCAGAGTCTCCCGCAGAGACGCAATTTCCGCATTCTGCAGGGAGAGCGAGAGAATCTCATCCTTTAGCTGCCCGTGCTCATGCGCCGTCCGGGGGCCCTGCTTTCTCTCGTATACGAAGCTCTCCGGGAACGTGAATATGTTTCTCAGCGTGAATCGCTCAAAAATGAGCATGTTCTTCTGCAGGGCGGTTTCAATGCGGTCCATTCGCCCGCGGATGTCTGGGGAAGAGCCGAGGGAGGAAACAAGCATTTTGCTCATCCCTTGGTACAGGTCCATGTGGAAGTCTGCCGGAAGAAAAGAGAAAAACTCAAGCTCATCTTCGTACTCGCCTCGCATACAAATAAAATATTTCGGGTATTTCAGCAGAGACGGCGCATCCGAAGGGGAGGAAATTTTCGGAGGAAAAGAATTGGCTTATTCTTGGCATGCACGCCCAGAATGCGCTGGGGAAAGGGCCTGCTTTCTCCCGGGAGCTCCTGCCCGTTGCTTTGCGGGTTTCCAAGAACACGGAAGGTGCAGGCGCACTCCTGCCGAGGCGAGAGAATAGAAGCGTACACGGGCAGCATAAACCCTGTACTTTGCCTATTTCCGGCCTGTTTTTCTATTTGCTGTTTGTTTGCTCTTTATTGGCGGTTTGTGATGAAAAATTAGTGGCGGGATAACCCGCCAATTATTCTTATTTATACTTTGGCCAAGCACTTTCCCATGCGCGGGCCAAGATTTTCGTACTCGGAAGACTTTCGGGCGGTCTGGGACAAGGAAAACATAAACCCGAAAAGCCGAGAGTTCTCCAGGAGAACATTCCTGCCTGGGGACGTCCCAGAGTGCGCCAGCGAGGAGCCAGCCAAGCCCACACAGCAGAAGCAGAAGCCCAAAAGTATCCCGCTAAAGCAGACGTGGCTAGACGACATATTAGGATGTAAATAAATAACCCAATTACACGAATGCAGATGGTTACATAACTACGAGACAGTGCCTAAATGCATAGATGCGCAGATGAAGTGGTTTTATTTACGGGGTAATTTGCATGCGTGCAGCTGCTCCCAGAATTCGGGTTATGGCCTTTGGGAGTGCATGGCTGCGTCGTAGGCGCGGGGTGGAGTCGCTGGATCTACTGAATAGTTTGAATGCGGGAATGCGGGAATGCGGGAATATAAATTAAAATGAGAAATAAATTGCAAATATGAAGAGTACGAAGGAGATAGACCAGTACTTCACGATGGAGGATCCGCCTCACGTGGAGATGGAGGAAAGACGGCCTTCTGTGAGGAGAGTGAGCTTTGCACTCGAGCCGCAAATAGTTTACCCTCCTGCAAAAGATGAGAACAGCAAGTCAGAGAGTAGCTCCATGGGAATGAGCATGGACATGTCCAGCCGAGCCCCAATGGACGTGGACGCTGTGGGAAGTGCCCTGGAGGATGAGCTCGTAGGGAATGAGACTCTCCCCCTGTGCGAGGAAAAAGAGGAGAACTTCATAATGGACGACTCGGAGGATACGATGGAGGAGAAAAGGATGAGTCTCTGCCCTGTTGATAGAGAAAAAACAATGGAGCAAACAGCCATCCACATTGAAGTGCCGGAAGGCGGAGAGGCCGGGAGGGAGAGAGAAATTGAGGCTCCAGAGGGCGCAGAGACGCCTTCTGCAGGGCCTGCCCAGCCCGCAGGAAGCTTGGAGGCAGAGTGCAAGATGGAGTACTCGCTTGACGACGGGAGAGACGACATTTTGAGCGACATGCTTTCGGAAATTGTCTGTGCTGCCGACAATAATACGCTCGTGTACGATACTGTGAATGTGGAGGAGGTGCTCAGCAAGTACAAGACGGAGAAGAGGGAGGAAACAAAAAAGATCCGGGAAATTCTCGCAGAAACAGGAATCCGGTTTTTGGACAATTTATCCCTTGGGAGCAGGAGGGAGACTCTCTCGAAGATACGGAATAAGGTGGAGGAGGGCAGCCTCATATACTACAGGGAGTTTCTGCACAGGCGGATAGAAATGCAAAATGCACTTTCTGCGCGCCTCTCGGGGGAAATAGAGAAAACCCGAGAAGAGACGGAGGCCGTGGAGAGGGAGGTGGACTGCACGGGGCTGGCTTCAATCGACAGAAACACGCTCCTGTCAAAGTTGCGGCAGATGAAGTCCGACGCCAGGAAAGAGGGAAAGTCGCACTGGCACAGGAAGAGGCTGGAGATGGAGAGCGAGTTCCTCGCAGAGAGTGTGAAGCTCCTGGGGGCGTACGAGAAAGAAAAGAGCGACCTGCAGAAGAGGGTGGAGAAAGCAAAGAAAGACGCGCTGAAGGTGGACCTCCAGGGCCTGGAGCAGAAGGAGAGGGCCATGCGGGAGATGCTTGCGAGTGTTGGAACTCTCTCGCACGAAGAGGTGAGCCGGTTCGTGCAGGAGGTAGAAGAGGAGAAGAAAGTTGAGGAGAGCCTGAGCGCGCGCATGAAAGAGCTTGCAGCACAACTGGAGGAGGCGCGGGAGAAGGAGGGCGCTGTCTCCGGCGCGATAGAGGGCGAAAGGGCTGAAATAGAGATGCTCCAGGACTCCCTGCAGGCGGCAGAGGTGCAGAAGGACGACTTGGAGCAGATTAAGTCCGCAGTGCAGAGGATGGAAATTATCCTCGGGGTTAGGATAGTGGAAATATCCCACAGCAGGCTGATTCTCTCAATATGCGACATAAACATAACAATCATATACGACGGAGTCAGCATTGTCGACGTATACGCAGAGACAGAAATGAAAAGCCTTTTCAAAGAGTTTACGTCGCTTTCAATGGGGGCAGTGCTGGCCTCGATGGACCTCCTGGTGGAGAGTATTCCTGTGCTGATTCGGTACATACTGGAAATGGCTTCGGTGGAGAAGGAGGTTAAGAAGCTGGGCGTCTCTGTTCCGTACGAGGTGCACTACACAGAGAAAGAGCTCACTGTTCAGTTTATGATCAGGAAGGGGAAGACAGGCCAGATGGGAAATGTCTCTGCCGTTTTCAGGGCAGGAAAAGCTGCTCCAGAGATTTCTAGCAACATAAAGGGCGTGCGCATATCCGAGAGCAGGCACGGGCGCATCACCGAAACGGTAGAGTGCGCCAGGGAAGTTGCACACGTCAAATAGGAGAGATAAATAAACGGAAGTATTGTGATGCTTTGCAGAAGGCCGGGACACTCTGCCGCTGAAGGAGGATTTTTCTGGGAGGCGCAGATTTGTCTTTTGCGCGCTGAGGGCTGGGAATTCATGCGGGAAAGAGAGAGAATTCGCTGGTTGGCATAACTGTGCGGGCAGACACACATCCTGCAGGCATATCATGCAGGCACATTCTTTTGATATTCTCGGGCTTTTTTCTTCTCTAAATTCTCTGTTCTTGCAGAGTAAAATATTCGCATGAGGAAGTTTTTTGCAGTTAGCCCAACAGCGAGCGGCCTTTCTGAGAGCAGGGACTTCTCGTTTGAGTGCGAGAAGGCTGCAGAGGGGATATTCTCGTACGAGAGCACGCAAAAAATATCCAGCACCCAGGAGTATGCGCGCGCGCAGATACTTCCCATGTCTTTGTGGTCCATAATAGCGGTAGACCATCTGGAAATAGATGCAGAGTCAAAGGTCCTGGACACGTGCTGCGCCCCTGGGATGAAGCTTGTATACGCAGGACTCCGCATGAAGGGCGTAAATTCGGGGAAATCCATCACGGGGGTGGACATATCCAGGGAGAGGCTGAATATTGCTGCATCCCTGGTGAAGAAGTACAGAGTCCCTGGGGTCAGGCTCATCCAAGGAGACTCTACGTCCCTGGAGAGTTCGCCCGTGAGAGAGGCCACTCTTTTGGAGGCGCAGACAGTGCCCAGCAGCGCGTGCAGATGCCGCATGGCGCAAGAAGGCACTTCCCAGAGTGTCCAGAGAGTGCACTACACAAGCACTGGGCTCAGGAAGTTCGGGCACGTCCACGAGGAAAGGTATAACCGAATCCTTGTGGACCCAGAGTGCACGCAAACAAGCACGGTGAAGTACGCAGAAGGGGCAAGGCCTCGGGAAGGCAAGGACTACGCCTCCGAGCAAAAGCAGATCCTCAGAAGAAGCATCCGCATGCTGGAAGAGGGCGGAATAATTGTGTACTCGACGTGCACTTTTGAGCCCAGCGAGAACGAGGCAGTCATTTCTGCTGTCCTGCAGGAGAGCCCGCACATGGAAAGGGTTGAAATAGAAGAGGAAACTCTGAGAAGGTACGGAGTCAGCACGCAAAACAGAAGAAGCACAGACACGTACAAGCTTGAGCTTGGTGATAGTTTATTTATAGCAAAATTAAAATACAGCAAGCAATCATAAACGTATTTTACATTACACACTATTATGGCACTAAAACTATCCCCACATGTTAAACATGTGCACAGCGCAAACAGTGACCAGAATAGTTCCTATAAAGATTGATACGCATGACCCGACTAATTTCTTCTTTTCCATTTTACCTGCTCTGTTCTATCTCTATTTATACTTTGATTTTGGAACGCTCCAATCGATTTAGCACAGAAAAACCAACTGAATCCTTGTTTCAGAAATCTGTCTTGTCAGGGCAAAAATGCCTCCTACTGGGCTGAAGCTGCCCTTTTATTCGCGCATGAAAAAGCAGGCAAAGAAAAGACGAAATTTTGCAGAAAAGCGTCCAAATTCAGAAAAAAAGAATGGAAAAATAACTTATCCCATGTTTATTCAGCAAACAGCTAACACAAAGCAGACGCAAAGTCTTATATCCGCACATGCCATCTACACTTTACAATACTACTGTGCTAGAGCCCGCGCCCTTTAATAAGCCTGGCCGACTTTCACACTGGGCTATTCTTCCTTATTGAGCTGGTTCTTCCGGGGTTTCTCCTGCAGATCCTCCTGCAGCTGCTCCGCCCTGCGATGCTGCTCCGCCGCTTCTTGCTATAAAGTACCAAGCACCTGCAACACTGCCCACAGCTACCAAAACCACTACAGACACACATATTGCCATTCTTATCTTTTTGCTTCTATCGCTTCCGTCTTCTGCCATATTTTTGTTTTCTGTCCTCTTTATATAGACCTAGAGATCACACGAGTGATAGAAAAAGCACTGATGTAGAAGAAGTCTATTTTTTAGAATAAAAACATTGGCTGCCTGCCTTCTGTTTATTGGCTGATTCGCCATCACTGCAGGAGTCTCCTATCTTTATGGAATCGGCCTGTAAATGCTTCTATTGGACACTCTCCAGGGCAGGCCTGCCCTTTCCCCCGAGCTGCTGCAGCATGCTTCCAGAGCTGTCACTCTGCGCGAATCACTCCAGAAATAGTCTAGTAGTCCAGCAGGGCCTCGGGAATGGTCTAGAACTACCTTTGAAACAGTCCAGCAGCAACCACTCAGCACGACCTGCAAGGAATAGTCTAGAACTGCATAGAAATGCTTTAGCACGGACTATACTGGAACTATACTGGGAATAGTCTGGAAATACTTGTCAGTATCTCAGCACGAATTAAGCTGGCAATAGTCCATAAATAGCTCTGCAAAAGTGCAGAAATAGTTGGTTGTACTCTGGAAATACTTGCCAGTATCTCAGCACGAATTAAGCTGGCAATAGTCCATAAATAGCTCTGCAAAAGTGCAGAAATAGCATTATGTGTGCTGCCTGGCCACAGCAAAGAGCTAAACTGGCCCAGCGCAAGGCATAAGCCAGCATTAAATACCCTAGCAGCACCCAAGGAATACCCTAGCAGCACCCGAGAGGAAAACTCCCACAGACGAATTAGCAGCACCCACGGAATACATTGGAATTCCCGTGGCACACTCTTAGCATAACCTTGCTTGCAACGCATAAAAGGAACGTGCTGAAAATATTTTATGAGCAGAGAAATAGACCAGATCTTCTCGGAAAGAGCCTCGAGCAAAGCCCCCCGCTCCAGAAAAGAGAAGAAACAAAGGGAGGAAAGCTACAACATACGGGGAACAGACGTGCTAGAGACAGACATATTTTCCTGCGACGGATACAAAATATACACACAGGAAGAGCTCAACATAGGAAAGGGAGGCCTAACAGACAAGTGCCCAATTGACTGTAATTGCTGTTTTTAATAAAAGCAAATTTTATTTGCATGTTTTTCAATGTCCAAGAACACCCAGTGCTTTTTGTGCTTCTAGTTCTCTTTCTGTGCATAGTCGCCACGAAAATGGCGTGTGTTCTCATACGCTCCAACTACAAAATCAAAAGCCAAGCAACAGATGAGGTCATCACGATCTCAGCGTACACGACTGCAGCCTGCCTCTTTCTCTCGTGGGCGTGCTTCTACTTGGGGCAGGCCACTCCCATGATGCACCCGCATTAAAGCAAATATTTGGCATTGCAAAATCCCATGGAAGAAATGAAGGAGCGCGCGTGCGAGCTGAAAAGTGCCTCTGAGAGGGAGGACAAGGAGATCCTGCAGGAGCTGGGGAAATACTTAGACTCCGTTGTGGCGCACGTGGAGGGCAAGCAGGTCGAAGCCTCCTGCCTGGAGGAGGCCATACGCGCAGAAAAAGAGGTCCACAAAGTGGCAAGCGAGCTCTTTGAAAAGGCCAAGCAGAAAGTGCACACGGAGGAAGACGTGGACGGACTCCTGGGGGCTGTGGACGTTCTCGTGCACGCGGAGAAAAACAGTGAATAAAGGCAGTTTATTAAGAATGTGCAGGCGTGGAGGGTTTTTCAGTTAGTCTCTTAAAAATCGCTCTTTAATATCTTTTATCTTTGTGTTCTTGTAATTTATGGTTTTGTTCAGATAGTATCTTTCCTCCTCCACTTTCAGCCTCTCCTCCATTACAGTCAGCTCATCTGCTGAGCTTTCCTCCGTGCACAGGATCCGTGCTAGCTCGCTCAGAGACTCAGTCATGTCGTGCGCCTCTGGGACCCTGTTCACGCTCTGGTATATGAGATCATCGTATGTTGGGGAGATGAAAATGTGATACGGTATTAGGGAGTCGTACGCATTTATCACACTCGTGAAAGGCTGTATTCTTGGGTTAAGCACTTTATCTTGGTCTCTTTTAAGGGCTTTTAAGATAACATCCTTATTAAGGCCTGGGCTGGGTTGCTGCAAAATATTTTCACGGTGTATGCTTTCCCCGTAGGCTTTGTTGTGCATAAATAAAAGTTTTAGTAGAAATTTATTTAGCAGCGCAGAGACAGATACTTTTCAGGGTAAATGGCACTTTCCGGGACCTCTGGGGGAGAGTACTCGCCGTGCGCGCTTTTGCTCCGGATGGAGATGCTTCTGCGTATTTCTGTGCTTCCCTCGCCCTTTATTTCCACTTTAAGGCAGATTCTGTACGAGATCGAGAAGAAGTCGTTTTTGGTCGTCTCCGAGGGGAGAGTCTCGTCGGTTGTTATGCGGATTTTCCCGTTTTCCTGCACGACCTGGCACGGAAAGTGCATAATCACTGGGTGCAATTCGTTCGTGAAGGAGCTGATGCGCATCTCCAGGGAGCACTGAACACGCGAAATGGACGCTCCCGTGCTTGTGGATATCTCCAAGGCGTGAGTCTGCCCTGCGTACAGGACCGAGTCGTGCGCGAGGAGAAGGTCGATCGAAGACGCGCTGAAGCAAAGACAGTTTCGCATGCTGTGCCTGTACGTGGTTCTTTTGACCTCTTCGGAGACTGCCTCGATCATGCAGAGCTCTTTTACCGTGCTGGCCACAGGCTTGAATATTCCGTATATTTTTACCTCGCACTTGCTTATGTACTTGTTCAGCGCGTATATGTGCCTTTTCTCCGCTATTTTCTTGTACTCTATCGTGGCACCCTCCCCGGGAGCCATCCTAAAGCTAAACGGGAACTTGTGCATGCCAGGGAGTATGCGCCCTGTTCGGTCCCCGTATATGACAAACCGCCCTAAGTGCCGGGTCACCTTTTCGTTGGAAACTGTCTTCTTCTCAAGCTCGTCAACCCGAATTTCCGACTCCTTATCAATCGTAAGGACGATACTTTCTATCGACATTACGCTGGGCACGTGCAGAGTGATATACCCTGAGATCAGCTCCCCTGCAGAGTGGGCTCTCTTGTAGTAGAATATTCCGACCGAGCAGACCATGCCAGGCTCTCCGGGTGCTGCTATATAGAAGGGCCGCCCAATGAAAGGCCCGGAATACCCACCAATCGCAGGAAAGCCGGAATAGTCCCCGCAGAGAGGCAGCAAGGCAAGAGCATCCCAGCCTCTGCCCGCTCTGGGCGCACTCCCGCCCTAAGCCTGCTTTTATGTTTCAACCAGCCCCGCAGCTCCCAATGGGAGAAGCCTGTAAGGAGCGAAAAAGTAGAAAAGAAAGAGCCAGCCGCACAAAGGGCAGAGGGATATGATAGCAAGGAAAAAGGGAAGACAAGCTAAGCAGACGGGGAGTAAGATTAATAAAAAGCAGAGGAACAAGGGAAAAAAAATGCCAAGAGCCACAATAGAAAAGAAAGGAGCAAGGGAAAGAACGAAAGCAAGCAGAAAACAGCAAAAAAAGAGGCCGCGGCATAAGAAAACCAGAGAAGACGAATGTGAAAAATAGAGAGTCTGCGGCATAAGATAGTAAAAGAAAAAAAAACCATCGTGTTTTTATTTGCTGAGTATGCTGCACAGCTCTACCTGGAAAACCAGCGTGGAGTTTGGCGCTATCCCGCCCACGCGCGAGGACCCGTATCCCAGGTGGGGCGGCACGGTTATTGTTCTTTTTGCCCCCACGGCCATGCCCTCTACTCCCAGCTCCAAGCCCCGGATCATCTGCCCAGTGCCCATTTTGAACGTGAGCCCCGAGGACTTGTTTTTGTCCACGAGTTTATTGTTCACGAAGAGGCTGTACCGGACCTTTACAGTGTCTGTCTTCTTCGCTACCTGCTTGTTCTTTGACTTGAGAACGTCGACAATTTTCATTCCGCGCAGGTCTTCCTGCTTCTGCGCCTTCTTTCTCTCCTCCTTCGACAGGCGCTTCTCGCGCACGGCCGGAGCCTTTGCCTGCACTCCCATGAGGCTCTCCATCTTCTCGTCTGAGATGTACTCGTTGTCGTTTATCTCAACGCTGTCGTCTTCCTCGATGCTCTCCTCGCTCTGCAGGCACTTGCACTCGCTCAGCATCTGCCCCTCGCACTCCGAGCAGCCTTCGTCCTCGTCCTCATCTTCGCTCTCCTCCTGGATCATGTGCCCGATCAGCTCGACCTCTCCCTTCCCGACAAGAAGCATCTGGATCTCCTCGCCCTCGAAAGACTCCAGCGATATCTCGGCAGTCTCTATCTTTCCGGGCACGAGGTTTGCAATTGTCACCTCCTCGCCGTTCACAACTATGCACACGGAAAGCCTCTCGCACGCGCACGAAACGATCGAAACCAGGCTGTATATCAGGTCCCCAGTAATCAGCACTTTCTCCCCGCTCTTCACGCGCAGGCTGAGCAGAGACGTGGATGGAGAAGGCGCTTTCTCGTTCTCCAGATACGACATGTAAACCGCATTTTTCGTGCTCGTTGAAAGCTTGAATTTCTCGCCCGGCTGCAGGATAATGTTCGCAACAACGCTCTCCGTCACCTCCGGGACAAGAGTGCACAAAATAGTCTTGTTTCCCAAAACATCCTCCGCAACCAGGGAAGTGGGCTCGCTCGTGCCCTCCTGCCGCACCAGCCTAAATTCGTGCAAAAGCGTCTCTCGCTCGGTTGTAAAATCAATTTCCTCGGATACTTGCAGTCCTCTGTGCATTCGAAAAAATTTTAAAAGTGTGCACTTTATGTACATGCACTGCCCTGCTGCAGCCTCAAAAGATCAAGTCTCAGAAAGTGTAGATTTATTTATGCTCTGTTAAGGGCGACAACCGCGCACTTTGGGGCTGTGCTGGGCACTCTCTTGTCGAAGAGCGGGTACCTGGGCTCGCCAACGATCTGGAGAAGCTCCTTGCTCGTGACGTCTTTTGAGTCTATCTCCGTTACTTCAACGATTCCAACGGTTTCTGGCCTCACGCTGTGTCTCGTTCTGAGGTCCTGCAGCAGTCCAAAGACGGCCTCGGCTCTTGTCAGCGCCCGGATCTCTTTCAGAACGTTCACGGTCTTTCTCTTGATTATGTATGCAGCTCTGACCCCGAATGTTCTTACTTTGTTGTCGGCGTGCTGGGGGACTTCCTCAATCTTTAAAACTACACCTTTTGTCAGCTTTATCTTGTACTGCTTTCTCAGAAGACCAAAAGTCTTGCTTCTGGCAATGATCTCGTTCTTCGCGAAAACAGTGTTGACGAAAACCTGCGGAACTGGATTTGCAGCTGACGGTTTTTCAGAGGCAAATACTTTATACTCTTTTATATGCATGGAGTGAATAAAAAAAATAAAATTTATGTTCTTTATTCTCCCTGCAGCCCGTCCTGTACCGGACCCAGGCCCTCGCAATTTTATTCGGCCTGCACTTTCCCGTGGAGGCTTTGCCTGCCCTCGTGCTCTCTGCCGTGCCTTGCGCCGGCTTTACACGCTTTTTCAGAGACGACCTTGCACTTTTTTCAGCGGACTCCGGCTATACGGGGTCATCTGGCACGCGGGACTTCATTTGGGAGCGCAGCTGGTCTATTTTCAGCTGCATGATCCTCTTCTCCCGCTGGTGCAGCCTTTTCAGACGGTCCATCTCCAAGGCCATCGAAATATTTGCGTCGTTGATGTGCTTGTTCTCTTTGAGGTTTGCTATTTCCTGCTTCTGCTGCTGTATGATGAAGTCTCCCTCTGCAAGGTGGTTCAGCAGAACTTTCGTGCTGGGAGATGGCTGGATGCTTTCCGAGAGGATCTTCTCCTGCTTCACCAGGTACTGCACAGTCTCTGCAAGCTCGCTCACTCTCTCCACGTGCTCCGTCTTGGAGGTCCTGAGCTCCTCCAAAAGCCCAGCCAAAACGGCCTCCTGCGAGGGCCCAGAACTTTCGCCCGAAACTCTGCATATTTCGTCAAGGACGTACTGCGCGTCCAGAAGGCACTCTTTTATCTCAGAGAGGGTTTTCTTCGCTGCTTTCAGGGCCTGCTCTATCTCAGCGGCTTTTCTCTCCTGGGCCTTCGCAGTGCTCCTGATCTGAGGCTTCTGCACAGGCTTTATCTCTATGTTCCGGGCCCTGCTGGCGAGTGCAAGCGTGGAAACAGTCTCTTCTATGCACGAAGGCGTCGGGGAAATGGCGCATATCATGATAGTTTTGGACGGCCCAGAAAGAGCCGGCTGCAGTATCCGCGTCAGCTTTGCGTCTCGGAAGGGAATGTGCGGGTGCTTCTTGGAGAGCTTGGAAATTACCCCCGTGAGGGCGAGCAGACTTTTGTTTATTGCAGCGCCCTCTTTCAGCGTGGCCCCCGACGTGCGTGCAGACCCGACTCTCTCCGACCCTGCCAGATCCACAAACACGAGAGAGCTTCGCACCCCCTGGGCTCGCACGCTTATTTGCAGAACTGCATGGCTTCTGCTGCTTTCCCTGTTCATGCGCGTGGCCGAGACTTTTCTCACGCTGTTTCCCCGCCGGAATAGCTCGTACGCCTCCTCCTTGCTGTGGATTTCAGCTTCTACCGCGTCTTTTATGTACACATCCCCAGCCCCAGACTCTCGTATCTGCAAGGCCTCTCCAGGGTCTCCCAGCAAGTCGTATATGTTTTCGTTGTATACCTCTATATATGAAAGCGCCATTTTATGCAGGATTTTCTTGCTGAATATGCGCTCTATGGACCGAGGAATAATCCCAGGGTCGTCAAGTCCGGCAGCGGCATGCGCTCCTGCCCGGTACTCGGAAAACGTCCCTTTCATCGTGTGGGTTTTCCCAGAGGAAGTTTGCCCGTATGCGATTATGCACACATTTACGCCGCCCATGCACTCCTCCACCGCACCCCCAATGCGCCTGAAAAGGTCCTCGTTCTTCGCGTCTTCGCTGAACACCCAGTCAAAAAGAAGCGTCTGCGCAGAAACCTCCTGGTGGGAGCTGTTCAGATGCTGTATTAGCCCTCTGTCGCCTATTTTGTGCCATCCCTGCGGGATTCCTCGGCTTCTTTCGTCTGCTGAGAGCGGCCGGATTCTTATTACTGCCTCTACTTTGTTCATAAAAAGAATTCTAAAAATCCGTTCTTTTTCTCTCTGAAAGCGCCGCTGGAAATATTCTGCCGAAATCTGCGCGCAGGCAAATCTCTCCTGCAGAGTGGCGCAGCCTGCACTGGCCCACCCGCAGAAAAACGACGCACGCCCAGCCCGCAAAAGAGCGCAGAGCACGGGAAAAGCCCGAATACCCGAAAGAATAAATGGCACAGCATGTGAGTGCGAAATGCGGCTGCCGCCTGGATTTACAACAATTCTAGTTTAATTATGATACTGGCCCGCGTGGAATTCGGGCATTCGCGTGCCTTGCGGCTGAAAAGGCAGAGCCCAAGAGCATCTGCTGCTCTCAGTCGTAGAAATTTATAAGGTCCTTAACCGCCCACTTCTCGTACGTGTTGTCTGGCAGCCTCCGGAGAACTATCAGCGGCGTTTTCTTTTCCTTGAGCTCCTTCTTGGCAATTTCCACGGGGTCTGTCTCATCTCCGTACTCCACCATGATGGGGGCGGACATGCTTATCTGCTGGGCGCGGATTCCGAGTATCTTCGCCCTCTCAAACTTTGTCATAATGGGGGAAGTGAACCTTTTTTCTGCCTCTTTTTCCGGGAGTCTGTGCAGACCTTCAGACTCTGCGGCCTCCAAAATCATCCCGTCTTCGTTCTCCTCAAACGTCTTGTCATCACTCCCGTAACTGTCCCTGCTTTCTTGGTCTGACATTCTAAATTTTTTCCAATTTCATTTATTTTTATGCGCGTGGGGACTCTTCTGAATAGAGCACAAACCGAGCACATACAGGAATCTAGGGCTGCCCTTAAACAGTTGGAGCAGCTTATTCTAGAGGGAGAAACAGCAGAGATTTTCAAGGAATTTTGCGAGTGCACCAGCCTAATAATAGGATGCAAGAAGGGCGAGCTGCCCCGGAGTCTTCTTGCCTTCATGAACGAGCTCATGAAGGCGCTCAAGCACGTGAAAGCAGGCAGAAACTTTATACACAATTTGATAAAGTATCTGGTCAAGGGGGTAGACTCCAAGCTGAAACACGTGCGGCACAACAGCCTCTCCCTTCTGTGGAGCTGCATGGAGCATCTGGACAGCGTCAGCCCCAGACTGTGGGAGATTGTGAAGATAAAAATAGGAGAAAAGCTCTTCGACAAGGAGGTAAATGTGCGTGTTCTGGCTGTCCGGATATCTGCCAAGTACCAGGAGGCTTCTGTGGAGGGCGGCCTGCACTTTTACAAACTGTTCAAGGACTTGCTCCGGTACGACACATCTGCAGACGTGCGGAAGCTGGTGCTGCAGTACATCGTCGTGAACAAAAGCACGGTTTCAGCTATAGCCACGCGGGCTGCGGATACGAGTGATGCTGTCCGCATGGTCTTTGCCACGAATAAGCTTGCTCTGATTCCGTGGGACGGGTGCTTGTCGCTCGATCAGAGGGCGCTTCTTTTGCAGACGCTCGAGGAGGAGAGAGTTGAGGAGATCCGGAAGAAGTCCCTCGAGAGGTTTGAAATTATTTTTGAAGAAGTCTTTGAGGGAAAGTATGAGATGTTCACAGACGCTTTTTATGTGGAAAATGGAAATAACAACTCGCTCAAAAATGTTCTGAAAGAGCTCATGAAAAGACACGAGTATGCGAGCGGGTTTGATGAGGGCTTTTTGGAGAGGGCGACGCCAGCCCTGCTTTTTCTTATGTGGGTCTCCCTGGAGCATGTGGACAGCGACCGGGGGCGGGATAACCTCGTTTTGCCAGACATGGCAGTCCTTCTTAAGTCGATCGCAGACTCTTCGTGCTCCGTTGGAGAAGACGGGGAGTACAGCGGGACTCTGTCGCACGCGCTGTTTTCCCTGCTGGACTACTACGACATATTCCAGAGCAGCGAGAGGGGGCTTCTTGTTAAGTGCGCCCTCTATATTCTGTCGCAGGGAGAGCATTTGCTCCCAGGGGTTGTTGACTCCGTGTGCAAGATGGTCATAAAGGCGTGCAGCGGGTCTGAAAGCCCGAAGGTCTATTTGAAGGCGCTGGGGACTGGAGAGGCGCGGACGCAGATGCTTTTCTCAAAGGCCCTGCTTATGTCGAAGGAGTTTGACCCGAAGGCATTTTTGGAGGTCTTTGAGGTTATAGAGAGAAAGTGCGAAGAGGCCATTTTCTCGCCCGACGAGGAGATAAAGGAGTGCGGAGTGCACCTGCTGGTTCTCTGCGCGTCGGAAACGGGGAAGTGCGACGAGGCCGTGGGGAAACTTTTGGAGCTGGTGCGGCAGGGCTGGCAGAGTGCGTTCCGGGCGCTTGTTGACCTTTCCATTGTTTTTAGGACGAGAAAGGACGTTTTTGACACGGTTTTTGGCCTTGTGAAGACCTTGCAGTTTGAAATGCGCGACAAGTCGATCACGAAGCTGCTGCTGTCTGACCTGGCGTCTGAGGAGCAGGCTGAAGAGCTCGTGCGGGACTTGGTGGAGAGGTTCTACTCCGAGGAAACAGGCCTGCAGGACGCCCAATACTTGCACGTGTTTTTCTACGAGTATTTCAGAACCAAGCACTGGGTGGTGTTTACGATATACAGAGACGTAATTTCAAAGATAAAGCACTGGAAGGTCTTTAACGACCAAATCATATACTGGTTTGAGAGCAGGAAAGACCTGGCGTATAAGGAAAGCGACTTGCTCCTGATTGTTCTTTCGGTCTCTCTGAAGGCCTTGAAGGGGGCTAAAGAAGCTCCTGCGAGGGACAGGAAAGAGCTTCTCCAGAAACACTTGGATTTGCTTAGCAAAGTGGCTGCGCTGAGATGCGCCCTCACAGAGGAGGAGAAAGCAAAGGCTCTCGAGCTGGCAAGTGCGCTCAGCAAGCAGTCCGTAAAGATTCTTCCCGACAGCGATGTTGTAAAAAACATTCTGTTTGACCTTATAAGTAGAGAATGAAAGCAAATAAACTTCTGTATATTAAAAGAGCGCCCAGCCTCAGCGCACACAGTTGCACAGCTCTACGCTTGCACTTTTGCTTGGCCCGTGCAAAGGCATTTATTTTCACGGGTCAATGCGTGCCCAGAGAATCGTGCATGCTTTTGCATTTGTACTTGCAATTTTGCTTGTCATACTGTTTTTTTTGAAATACTAGCATTTGAAATCAGTTAAAACAGCAGCACTATAAAAGGGATTAAAATCCAAAATGGTATGCTTATAAAAACAAAACTCTCTACAGATGTGGAGGCAATTAAGTTGCGCGCACACACTGCCGATAATTTATCAAATGCAGACTCAATCCCTTTGAAAAGAGAGCCAGTAAAGGCACGCCCAACTGTGCACACCCTCGAGCTCGAGGCAAGAATTCCCGAATATCCGAAAGTTCTGCTCAAAGGCTGTGCAGATGCCCCAGAAAGCACCAACAGAAAAACTGGCATCCCCCCAGTCCTTGCGCCCGCTGCAAAAGCCCCAGAAAGTGCAGAGCCCCAGCACCCTGCCTCTTCCCCAGAAAACCAGCCGGTGTCTATATCCGACGAAAACAGCCCCAAAAAAGCAGTAACCATCACGCTAGAAGGAAGACGCTCAGGGTCCTCTGTAGAGAACGAAGATCCTTATCCGCCCGAGCTATGCAAGGTAGACTTTGACTGTGAAAGTATCTCCTCTTTTAGGGCCTTGCAAAACAATGAGAACTCTTCAGAAATCGGGATATTCAGAAGGATATCATCCCATGGTGCCTATATAACCACCCAATACATACTTGACGTGGGCTGGGTGGTAATAGTGTTTTTCGCAGTTCTGTTTTTCATTTTGAGTTGCGTGATACTTCTGATCGGATTGTTCAGAATCATTAAGTATTATCGTTTTGTCCATTAAGATTGACATTAAATAAATTCTGGGCTTTTCATCCAAGACTCCTTGTGCGCAAGCATTCTGAACTTGGCCATTTCAGCACCCACGCCTGGGCCTCTATGGAAGAGCCTTTTGTGCTGCCAGCTTCATTTTGCAGCTTTCTTCACTCTCAGAAATAACTGCTTGTGAGCTCAGATGCTGTCCGTTGCAGGGCATGCCGTATATATGCCCTTGAGCACGCCCATAGAAAGGCCCGGCCTCCTGCACAGTGCATGCTCCCTCCCACAGCCTGAAATCCAACGAGAAAAGCTCTGCTTCGCGCACCCGTCTGGAATGTGTGCTTGTGGGCTATTTGTGGAAGCACATGCCAAGACATTTGTCTGCTTTTCAGCACTGAAGACAGAAGGCTCTCTTGCAGCATAGCAGATCTACGCTAAAAAACTCAATAAAATATTCGCAAAAGCACGCCGAGAATCTTAGTTTGTAAAGTCTCACGGAGCAGTCGCAAGCGCAGCGCACACTCTTTGGGCAGGGCTAGAAAATTGCAAATTTAGCCCAAACAGCACGCCCACAGGAGCGAAATCATGCAAAATATATTGAATCTATCCCTGCGTGCGCACTCTCAAATATAATTTATATGCATTATATCCAAGTATTAACTATAAAGGAATATCAATTAAAATATTTAGCAGATATTAATCTAACTCTATAAATATTTATCTAAGAAAAACAAACTATTCACAATACCCTATAACAATGCCAGAGGAAGATAAACCGAAAGCAAATAAATTCGGTCGGTGCATTGAAGAGGTTAATAATGCAGTGAGGGCTGCCTACTCTTTGCGCAGAAGTCTAAAGAGCATGGAGGAGTTTGTGGCAAAGATGGAGGCCTACGAATTCTCTGAGTCATGCAGCAGAACTATCAAAAGTCTGAAGGCCAAAGAGAGGAACTGGTTGTTCCACTTCTCAGAAAAGAACATTGGAGAGAAACTCAGCGCCTCAAAGAGTGCCTTGGAGCTGGCCGCTGCAGAGAAGACTTTCTGCACGGCTCTTTGCGGGCTTGTCTCCTTTCTGCGTCCTGTTGGCGCAAATGGAGCGCCATACAAGATAGTTGAGGCGGACAACCGCCTATTTATAAAGCCCTACAAGGACAGCAGCAAGCATGAAATTTCGCTTGCCTCCTATGCGAAGAAAGGCCTCGCCCCCAAAGAGCAGCCTTCTGATGCAGCCCAGGATAAAGCCGAGCCTGCACAGAAACGCATATCCTTTAAGCTAGCCCCAGAGCAGAGTACAGCCTCTAAGAACTACAGTGTGCATGGTCTCTCGGTTCCCGAGGAGGGCAGGATTGAGGTAACCATTGAGGAGCTTGAGTCCGATGTTGGCAGATGCAGCACGTGCACTTACACTTTGCTTGTTTTTTTGGTCGGCCTAGTTGTTGGAGTGTCACTTTTTTCGACTTTTTTAATGCTCTTATACTTTGACAAGAACGGGATTGGAATTGACTACATAAAGGAGATATTCTTTGCGCGCTCGTGATACGCACAAACACATGCATTGTAATGATGCATGGTCTAATTGTTGTGACGGCTGTCCATCACCGACTCTGAAATGCTGTGCGCGCAGTGCATTATTTGGAATAATAAAAATGACAGTGATAGCCACTTCACTCTCCCATAGGCCATGGCTGATTTTTTGTCGTTTTTTCTTAGTAATATACGCCACCGCGCGTCATTTTGTGTCTGCATGACGTTGTGTTGTGTGATAAAAATCACCGTTTTTGTGCTCCCATGGTATAAATACTCCAAGAAAACTGCTTCTCTACCAGATGAAGAATTCGACAAAAGACTCTGCAGAAATCTATGTGAACTGCCAGAAAGATCAAACCCCTGCAAAAGAAGTTGCCCTTTTCTCAGAGAAGAGGCACCAGCCCGCATACGAAGGCACTGTGTCCAAGAACTCCATGCAGGAGTACTTGGCGCACTTTAATGGCACCTCTGAAGCACTTAACAGCTGCATAAAGACGCAGTCGGACCTGAACAACAACGACTCTGTTCCTCTAATGATCTCTGAGGAAAAGGGAGTGTTTGAGATGGGCCATCCCAAGCGCCTGGAAACACCAGCTCACAGTGGAGCCAAGCATATGCCTTCTTTCGCAGAGTCAAGTGACCACGCTTCCTATGAAATACTTGTGGAAGAAGCCCCGAAAAAAGTGCATTTTCTCTCATCGAACGCCGTGGACTTCTATAATGAGCCTCGCCAGTATAGTAGGACCAGGCCGAAAATACACAGCGTCCACAGCGAAGAAGGAGACTACTGCTGTATTTTTCGCCTAAGAATAGCCCGGTACCTTTACAACGACTTCTTTAGATTTTGCGACATTTCCGATTTCATATACTTATTTTCTAGTATTGTCTTTCTTTTTCTTTTAACCGGGTGCTTATACCTGCTCACCACGACTGTTAGAAATGCCAGTCTCATATAAGTGCTTGCCGTGGGAATAAAAAGCCTTACCATGTCAGATCTCTTCTTTCTTCCGTGCAGGCCCAGCGTGTTTGCGCGTGCTGGAGTGTTTAAATATTTCTCTGTAAAAACATAAGTGTAGGCTTTTAGCAATTTTTCGTATACTTTTATTTGCAAAGCGCACATTCGCACACGAAAACCAGTTTTAGAACATGCAGAAGCATGCACTTTCAGCTGCGCAGTATACATTACATCAGTGGAAAGCGCAAACAGGTGGAATTCTGGGAAAACAGCGCATGCCTGAAGGCCTGTGTGGGTGTTCGTTTTTATGCAGGAAACCGGCTGTATCCACGGCAAGACCAGGAAATGCACAAAAACAGTCCAAAAACAGATAGACCGCAGTTTTTCCATGTTTTGCCGAGATCTTTTAGATTGGGCAGGCGGTTATGCTAAATCTACCTTGTGCTTTGCCGCAAATGGTTAAATATTTATTTATTTTTACTGGCTTATGCCACAAGAAACCCCCAGCGAAACTTTCCTTCTTTTGCATGTAGACAGACACGCTGCATTTATAAAGCCAGAGCTAGACGGCCTGCTAAAGAGCATAGGCATGCCGCACACTGTACACAACACTATCATAGATCAAGTTGTAAAATACACAGCTATCACGGCAAGTGCTGCCACCATAGACCAGATTCTAGAAAAGAGCATGCTAGTAAGCAGGGCCATAAAGGTGCACAGATACCCGCCCGCAGGGGCTGCAGACTCAAAAGACAAAAAGTGCCTTATTGCGGACAAGCTGCACTCTTCCCTAGACGCAAGCACATCCGAGTTTCTGCGGGGGCACGTCGTGGGCCCGTACAAGGTAGAGTGCATGAGCACCTTCAAGAGCCAAGTAATAGAGCAAACAGTGACTACCCTGCGCATCCCGCACCCTATAAGCGTGAGTGCGCCCGAGCACTCGATATATGTAATCGAGGAAAGCGAAAGGTGCATAGTGGGCGTCCTGTACAAGGACAGCCTCAGAAAGTCGCACTTGAAGTACTCGGTCAAGAACCGGAAGTTCATAGGAAACACGTCGATGGACAATGAAATGGCGTTTATACTGTGCAATGCCTCCGGAGTGACGCACAGGAGTGTGCTGCTGGATTGCTATGCTGGGAGCGGAAGCATAATTCTATCCGGGGCTTTGCAGGGGGCTTTTGTCATAGGAACCGACATAAGCAAAAAGCAGTTCAAAGGCAGAGACGTGGCGCATGAAAACGAAAGGATCAAGACCCAGCTCCCAAACACAAATATATACAGCAACTTCGCAATGTACAACGTAAGCGACAGGGTCTTGTTCATAGGGGCGCACGACGTATTTGACAGCCCTGTGCTCAGAGAGGGCTCTGTTGATGTAATTTTGTGCGATCCCCCATACGGCGAAAGAGAAACCGTCCGCAAGAAGGGGAGCAACAGCAACATATACGTCTCCACCCAGGATGAGTACCTGCTTAGTGCCATTCCTTTCCTGGGGCGCACTGTAGAAATAGGCAGGCAAGTGCTGCGAAGCAACGGCAGGATAGGGATATTTATGCCGCACAAAACAGGATGTACTCCTGCTCTAAAGGAAATTTCTGGATTCTCCCTGGTGGGGCAGGCCGAGCAGTATCTTAACTCCCTCTACTCACGGAGCTTTTTCCTGCTGGAAATGTCCAAAGGTGCTTGAGCACATGCTCTGCACGAGTAGTATATGCATCGCCTAGGCTAAAATTTGGTTTTGCCCTTCAAAGGCACAAGTCAGTGCAAGCAGAAATACTGCATCATACAATGCATTTTTCCATTGGGGAAAGCGCCTAAGATCATTTTGATGATATTTTGCGGATGGCATATTTAAATGTTTTTGCTGCGCTGTAGCATAGCATGCGGTACAGCATTACAACAGAAAACAACATATACACCCGGATAACTGTAGAGGATTCTTCCGTAAAGCCAGTGCATTATGAGCACAGCAAAGCATGCACATTTATTGGGCAGGAAGATGACGATGCTTTTCGGGGGCTATTCACTGTGCCTTTTCGCATAATAAGAATAGACGCATGGATAAGGCGCAACTGGCCTGTTATAAGGAGCGCCCTTATCCTTTTCACAGGGATACTCATACACTTTTTGGGATTCTACACAAGAATAGAGCGCATGATCTCCCTCTACATACTGCTAAACGTGGTTCTCATCGACAGAGACAAGCTAAAGTCCGCGATTCTGGGAGACGATGAAAGCCCCGAAACAGCGAAATAAGATACAATCAGTAAATATACACTGTATTTATGCATGTTTTGCCGTGCTTTTTGCGCGGTGCTACGCGCCTCTCTCTATGATGGTTTGTAGCTCTTTCTCTTCTCTTTGCAGTATGCTCAGCTGTCTTAGAACAGCGTCTATTCTGTCCCGGAGATTCTTCTCCAGCTTGTCGATGTGGACCTCCATTGCGTCCAAAGAGCTGCTTTCGTCCTCTAGCATTTTTCTGTATAGAATTCTGGCATATGAATACTCTTCGGAGCTTTTCATTTTTTATGATAAAAATACTTTCGCAAGAAGATGCTACTAATATACAGACAGAGCAAATCCTCCCGGACATTTACACGCTCGTAAATGAGCTGGTTAAAAACAGCATAGACAGTGGGTGCACATACGTAGACGTGCGAATTGAGACTGCAGGCAGCTTTATAACATACACTGTCGAAGACAACGGGGCAGGAATAGACGTGAACGAGTACTTTCTCATGAGAGGCGGCACGTCAAAGTATGCCAGAAGAGGGGAGTTCTACGGGTATAGGGGAATGGCCATGAATGCCTTGGTCACTGCAAGCGACTTCACACTGCTCACTAAAAATGCCTCTAAGAGCGTGAGAGTAGATGCAAAGGAGGGCGTAATATCGCAGGAGCCCATGCACAAAGAGAGCGCAGGCACGACTGTTAAGGTGTACAACTACTACAAGAGAAACCCTGTGCGGTACAACTACCTGCTGAACACGCTGTCCAAGAACATAAACAGCATAGTAGAGAAGCTGAAGAAATACAGCATTTTCCACAACATAGTCTTTAGACTGTACAAAAACAGCACGCTCCTCTACAAAACCCAGCACAGGGGCGAGGATGTAAAGCGCAAAATAACAGCTACTTTCAGCATGCAGGAGTATGTAACAGCCATCTTCAGCAGCAAGAACATGGTTTTGGAGTGCTTTGTGTGCACGCGCAGCGGGAGCCTGAAGGAGATGAAATGCACTGGCATTATAAACAACCGCGCCGTGCTGATGGAGAATGCGCGGATGGACAAGCTAGTTTGCAGCGGGTTGCAGGACAGAGCAGCATTCTACAATCTTACGCTGAGCAGGGAGTACAAGGAAATAGCTGTTTTAAAGGATCTGGAGGCTGTAAGCGAGTACATCGAAAAGAGTGGAATCTCTGCAGACGTCACTGTGGACATAGACAGCGCGCGAAAAGAGAACGACAGCGCGCGCTTTAGCAGGCGCACGGAGACGCCCATTGCAAAGAAGGTCCGGGTGGCGAGCGAGGCCCTGCCAGGCATGCGCATGCGGGGCATAACTGCTGTTGTGGTGAACGACCGCGAAGAGCTAGTAGAGCACGAGTACAGCAACAGCATGGAGCTGTCCGTGGGCGACCTGAAAAACCTAAAAGTGGTTGGACAGTTTAACAATGGGTTTATTATATGCACAATAGCGAAGCCTGCAGGCATACACATATACGCTGTAGACCAGCATGCGGCAGACGAGGCTGTGAACTATGAAAGGCTCAAAACATCGTACACGTACACCAGGCAGAAGCTGATACAGCCTATTAAAGTGTCCATAAGCACGTACGAGATATACGTGCTGAAAGAGAACATAGAGCTGGCAGAGCAGCACGGGTTTGCGCTGGACAATGGCTGCACAGAGATTCTGGAGGCGCCCGTGTACGAGAATACCGTGTTCGGAGAAAGAGAGCTTGTGGAGCTTATAGAGGGAATAAAGGACGAAAGAGTCAAAGCAGGAGAGCGCATACTGTTTAGCGAGCTGCGCAAAATACTCGCAAGCAAGGCGTGCAGGTCCAGCATCATGATTGGGCGTCCGCTGAACATGCAGGAAATGAAGCGGGTTTTGTCTTCGCTATCAAAGACAACGCGCCCGTGGAACTGTCCCCACGGCCGCCCAACCATAATTCTGCTGCAGGCTCTCGCAAAGTAACAGCCCTGCGCAGAGGCAAATCCATGTATAAATCTGCCACTCGTTCTAAAGGCCAGAAATCCACTTCCCTGCAGAATAGTGCATTCCTGGGGTTTCAGGAGAATTTCGGCCTGGCTCCTGTTTTTGGGCATCCGCACACTTTCGGGGGCTTTTCAAGCAAAATTACTCCAAAAAGAACTTCACTCTCGCGTGCCAACTCACAGGGAGAGCAGGCGCAGAAAAGCAAAAAAAAGCAGGCCCAACAATAAACACATGCTAATTAGTAATGTGCAGCGAAGTCTTGCTGCTCTGTCTCTGTGCATATTTCTCGTCTCGTGCGCTGGACATTTTCGTGCAGCCCGCTTTAGTATTTGCTGCTCTAATATAACCCGCAAACAGTGCGTGATATTTTCTCCCACATTTATGCCCCTTGTGATTATTTAAGGAGCTGCAGTATATAGTAGCACGGCCTGTGGGGAGCATGATTTGGTATGTTTTATATGTTTGCGTTGTCTATCTCAGTGCTAGCTGTGCACTGTGCACGATATGGACGACCTGATAGTACACGCGAAGTCTCTGCACGTGCTTTCTGCTAGGGCTGGGCTGCTTGTGTTTGTTTGTTTTCTATGGGCAGGCAGACAGGCCCAAGCGCGCCTGTGCGGGAAATCCGCTGCGTAAATGCGGAATACTGCGCGAGAATATCGGAAAGTGTGCAGAGGCTTCGCTGGATAGCCCCTGGGCATATTAGCCTGCTTTATGCGGAATGTGCGCTATTTGGCAGGCCCGCTCTGGGCGTGTTAAAGACGAATAGCATGGCAAGGTCCAGCGCAGTAATGCACATAAACACCAGCAGCACAAAAATCCCAAATATGCTCTCAGCCTTTCTTTCCTCGTGCATGTCTCTGGGAAGAAGCACGGAAGATTTTATTTGAGGCCGGCATAAAACATAGTCTCAATGTGATTTTCTTTTTCTTATGCTCATTGCAGTGGAGAAGCACGAAGACATTGAGTCGATTCTTTTGGGGAACGGCCTCTCAAAAAGATCATCCACGTACACCGGCACAATCCGCCTGTATGTTATAGAGAACAAAACCTCGATAACATACACCTCAAACACTGCGAACAACTATGTATTTACGCAGAAACAAAGCAGCTCCAAAACGGGCGAGGCAGAAAATGAGATACCGCATCTAAACATAGAGCTGTCCCAGCAAATACTAGACCCAATTTTGAAAGAGTCTCACGCACCAAAGGAGTACAAGCTAAAAGAAACCATTCTCTTTAATAATGAAATAGAAATTAAACTGATAAATATAGAGTCAGGCGACATTAAAGTGCTCACTGCAGTGGAGGGACTGGACCACGCAGTGGAGATATTCGACGACATCCCGGTGGAGACGATGCCTATAGGGAGCGCCCCACTGGACAAAACGCTCTGTCTTCTTTTTATGCGCACTTTACATATATAAATCACTGAAACAGGTAGCTGTATTTTTCTATGCAATCAAACGCATCGACCATATTCTTTACTATGCACTCTGGAGTGTCTGCATACGACTTTGACAGCATAAAGAGGGTGCTATCAATCTCTGATATAAGGTACTCGCACTCTCTTATTAGCAGAAATATGCGGTGCATTCTTTCCTCTTTCCCAGGGAAGCTGTCCAGCACAGAGACGCTGTCGTACCCCGACCTGATCATGATGTAGTGGTCTTTTAGGGACTTCAAGTGTATATTTCTGAAGGTCGTGTACAGGCCCATCATCTTATTAAAGTCTATTTTGTCCCGCACTGTCAGAATTAAAAACTCAAGAAGAGACATTTTGCACACTTCGTCGCTCACAGGCTCGGACGAGCACCTTGAAAATGCACATACAGAGGAAAGACTAAATCCCATCGCAGGAGACTTGCTCGAGGTTTCTGCGTACTTGTAGTTCACTAGATTCCCCAGCCGCAGCAGCAGAGCCATGAAAACGGGGAATTCTCGGTCTTTCTGGATAGAGGCAAGCGACTCTTTGACGCCCCGCAGCGTGGAAATAAGAATGCTTAAAGAAGGGTCTGCCCACTGCACATACTTAATCAGAAGGAACTTTCCCTGCGTGCAGTTGCTCTGGAGAATTGCCTTCACTTTCTCCTCGACCTCTGTCAGGGGATGCGACGCGTCCAGAATTTTGGCGCAGTCCTTCGCAGAGGGAAAGACGTTGGACAAATTCACTATGCTGTCTATGCACGAGGGCGGCGTTTCTGCGTCTATCCACGCATTTAGCTCTCTGGAGACCCTGTTGAGAGAGACTTTGCTCTTTCTTGTAGACTCAAAAACAATTGAAAGAAGAAACTCCTGCTTCTCCGAGAGAATTGTCTGGGCCTTCACAGGGCGCTCCTTCTTGTAGACCTCCGCTTTTTGCGGGGCCCTTTTTATGCAGAACTTCCGCTTGAACTCGTCCTCTATCTCCTTCCAGCGCCCCTCCAAAGCAGCGTCTTTCCCAGGGCTCTCGTACACAGTCCCCCGAGCGGACAAGACCGTGTTCCACCCAACACGCGGAAAGACAGTTTTGCTGGAAAGATCCACGCCCTCCATCTGCGACACTGCAGGACGCACGATCATTCCTGGCGGAGGCGGCAGCTTGCGAGGACTTGCCCCAGGCTTTTCTGAAGAGGCATTCCCAGAGACAGACGGAGGCGGGAGCGCGCATTTTTTGCCCAGAACATCCCCTGCAGGACCAGCGGCGGAGTGCAAACTGCTTCCTTCCCGGATTCCAGACGCTCCAGAGCTTCTGGGCAAGGGCCCTCTTCCGGTAATTTCAGGCACAGAAGATCTGCCAGCTCCTGCACTGCCCCCAGAAGAAGGCCCATTTCGGGCTTCACTCAGGGCTGTGCTGCTGCCTGCAGCTCTGCTTTCGCTGGTAGTTTCCGGGGAAAAGCTGTCTGTCCGAATGGAAAGCCTGCTTCTTTCGAGGGCGGAGGAGAGAATGGCCAGCCTTTTAAGGGACTCGGCCACTCCAGGGTCCACGGCGGTCATTGCAGAGACCGCGCCCTCCTCGACTATTATGTCCAGGAACAGGTTGTTTGGCAGGTACCTTTGTATGCTGAAGTCCTTTTTGTAGTACCTCCCTATCCCCAGCGGTATCCGGCTCAGTGCAATTGACCCCACTATTATCCCGCTGTTTACTATGCTTATGCAGGTCTTGGCTGTGGCCTCCATGTGTATACCATCAGTGTATATCAGCCAGAACTCGTCCAACTCGATAAAGGCCTTCCTTTTTCGCCCCAAAACGCTTTCCGTCGTGTACCTGTGCTCGACCCCGTCCACAGAGACTACCACTGCAGGCTGAACAATATCGGGCGGAGTGCTTATGACCAGCTGTGTAATAACATACTGCATAAACCCCCCACGAAACACGCATATATACACGCGCACAAAGACAGAATATTATTAGTCAGTTTTATTACCTAAAACACACCGTGAAACGCACCAATACAGCACAACATCTGCCCAATGACACGCGAAAACACTGTATTACATCACCCCTACATCCAAGGGTGCCACTGCGGGTCCATCATGCAGAGCCTTTCAGGGGCTGTGGCATTCCCTACAAGCTTGACAATGCCCCCCGAGGGATCATCCAGCCGCAGAAGCTCCAAAACCTTTTGCCGAACCACCTGCATGCTTTCCCTTCCGTGCTCTGCGCCTTCTTCCTCCTTGGCGAGCACATCCATGAACCGCAGGAGGTACGTCTTCGTGCTGAACGCACTTGCCATGTGGTACATCGTCGTGAAGAAAGGCCCCTCGAGCCCGGCTCGTCCAATGAGCTTCTGTATGTTTGGCGTGAGCCTGAAAGGGACCTCCTCAAACGCAGGCCTGTTGCAGAATGACGGGTAGAAGTCCGTTGAGTAGACTTTCCCCGTGGTCTCGCCCACAAAGACGCGCGACGGCATCCTGGAGCCTATTGAAAACACATACGCCATAAAGCAGTGCACGCTGTGCGAGACAGAGAATGCCTTTCTGAAGTAGAAGAAGTCGCTCTGCGAGTTGAACGACCGCATAAAGTAGCGGTACATCAGGCTGTCACCAAGCTTCTCCGACGTCTTCAAAAACATCCCGACTCTTTTCTCCGGGTCCAGCGCGTCTGCCTCCATAAGCGGGCTTCTTTCGTTGTCCCCGTGCAGGTCCTTTCGGCACTGGAATATCATATTGAACGCTTTGTCCACGCCCACCTCCGTGTTCAGGATGTGGTTAACAGAGACCGTGTTCTCGGGCTCAATAAATATTTTTGTCTGGTTGTTCAGCGAAACAATTTTCTTTATGGGGACTTGCGCGTTTCTCTTCCGAATTTCCACAGACCGGCTAACACTCGCGTTGAACAGGGCAAGCGCCTGCATAAACCTCTCCTCTCGCCGGGCAGTCTTTCCAGAAGGCATCTGCAGAAGCACCTGGTACACCGTGCCGTTGCTTCCGCGTATTGCAAGCTCTCGCAGGCTTATTCCGCCCCTTCTCTTTATGTTTATCTCGGGCTCAAAGCGAGATATTTTGACCATCTGCGGAGCCCTGTCCGTTATGTCCATGTACTGCCCAAACATTTCAATGTCGTCGTTTCTCTGGTCGAAGTCCACGAGTCGCCTCGATATGTTCTCTATGCTGATGTTCTTCGGGTGCGCTGCCAAAAGCCTCTCCAGGCTCTTCTTCCACACCATCAGCTGCTGGGAGAGCTCGAAAATGCTCTGTGTAGAAAGCGTCTCCTCCAGGAACGGGGCAAAGTCGCTGTCAAAGGCTGCCTTGTACTTCTGGGCGAGCGAGGAGAGGCCGATCATCTCTGCAATCTTCTGTATGGCCACGGACAAAGACCCGTTCTCTCTCGGCTCCTTTCCAAAAAGCTGCTGGAAGGCCTCTGAAAGCAGGGCTGTCAGCAGCCTGTAAAACTCCTCCTCTGCGGACGCCCTCAGCCGCATCGTGAAGCTCTCGACAATGCCTTCTATGTTTATGCACATAAGCGTAAACCCGGTCTTCAAAAACGTCCACAGGTCGGAAACAGGGCCTTTCTCCTTCATTCCCCGCTTTCTCTCCTCCTCCAGGGCGTTTCGCACGGGGAAGTACACGGCCTGCGGGTACACGCGGGCAACTCTGGAAAGCGCCGACGCCGCCATCAGCGACCCTGTCCTGGAAAGAATCGAAACCATCTGCATAATAAAGGGCACAAAGCACCAGGCATCGACCTCGCCTGCGGATGTTTCAAAGACTTTTTCCATTTCCTCGTTTACGCCCTCAGACTCCATGAGCGAAACTATCTCGACAATTGCCTTCCTAGAAAGCGCCCCCGGGGCTATTGCAGCCGCCTGCATGAACGCATTTATCGCATTTATTGGGCTGATTTTGCTGGAGAGCAGCCCCCACTTGTACCACACTTCGGCATTTGTAGGGTGCACCTGCACGGCCTGCGCGTAAACTTTCGCAGCCTCCTCCGGCGACCCTCTCTCCTCCAAAAGCGTGCCCCGCATCAGGAACACTCCGCTCTTCTGGGCCGACGTGAAGTAGTTTAAGTTTGTCATTCCCAGGAGGTCCAGCCCTGCGCTGTACTCCTTTATCTGCAGGTAGCACTTGGCGTGCTCCTCCAATTTCATGTAGGCGTCCGATATCTCTATGTTTGGCAGCGTGTAAATGCTCTCCAGGTTCGTAAGTGCTGCTGGAAGTACCTGATGCTTTCTCAGGGTCTTGGAAAACAGGTTCAAAATGTGTGCTGTTTCGTGGTATCCCCTGTACTGCAGCGGCTTCTCCTTTGTCTTTCCGTTCCAGAGAGAGGCAAAAACGTGCGTGCGCCACCTCACGAGCATCGACCAGAAGGAGATAGACGCCCACTCAAAGGGCACGCGCTCCTTCCACGCGAGCAGAATCCCTGCAAGGTCCCTCTTCAGGTCGTCCGACCCCGTGAGCTGCCACGACTCGTTCATCTCCACGACAATCTGGAACTTTTCAACGGCGTGCATCTGGCGCGGGGACAGCTTCGGGTACTTGCTGATCTCCTCGATTGTGGAAGAGACGATTTTGTAGAGCGCGTCTTCAGACCTCTCTGTTTTTTCCCCTATGATGAAAAGCTCGTAAAAAGCCTTATCCGGGGACTCTGCTCCGTCAAGCAGGTTCTTGAACGCGGCCCTCTCAGACTCGATTGAAAAGTCCGACGTAAACCACTTTGCCTTTGTAACGAGGTCCTGGTTCTTGGTTGCTGCGCCTATCTCTGAGAGCAGGTCCCACTGCTGCATGTACGCTGCGCACTCGATCCACTGCTCCTCCCAGATCTTGTACTCTGCCTCGTTGTAGAGCAAAATCCCGCTCTGCGCCTTAGCCTGCACGTCCTCGTACGCGGTCTGCGCTGCCCTTATGTCTCCCACCTGCTGTAAAAGAAGGGCCTGCACCGTCTCCGGGTATAGCGCGGATATGCGCAGCTGTGCAAGGAAATAGTCGGTTTCTCCGATCTCCTTGAAAATCACGGCTGCCTCTGGCCTGTCGTGCAGTATGTCCGAGGCCAGGCTCCACGCGCCCGTGCAGTGCGAGACCTCCAAAAGCCGGCACTTTCCGGAGTCCTTTTTCTCGTCTTTCCCCTTCTTTCCCACGGCCCTACCACGCGGCAGCGGGGCATACCCGGGGGCGGACTTGCAAAGGAGGGAAATTCCCTCGATCAGGGCCTCGGCACTCTCTGAGATCTTTCCCCCTGTTTTTCCGAGGCGAATCAGCATGTCCTCCATTTTCGCGTGGAGTGACCCCTTCATGCGCTCGGAAAGGTGCGAAATAATCCCCGGGAGAAGCACGCGCGCAACCTGCCCTGCCGCCAGACTGTTTCCGTGCAGCAGGCCGAGCACGCTGTTTTTCATGTCTGTCTTAGAGGCCTTGTACTTCCTGAACTCCTGAAAAAGCCCCGAAAGCGGCTTCTCGTACCCGGCGCTTTGCAGGGGGCAAGCCCCGCCTGGGACTTTCTGGGATCCCAGCGCCTCCATTTCCTCGAGCTCCCAGAAGACTTCTGTGCGCAAAGAAACCACGTCAAACAGGCACATAACCATCCGGCTGAAAGCAGGCAGCCATGCGGTTCTTTCAAAAAGCTCCCACTCAAACGTGCAGAGGTACAAAAGCCTTTCCCCCGGGAGAGAAGAAACCCCGTCGTCAAAGACTTTGAAAAAGTCCGACCTAATCCTGTCGGAGGGGCACGAAAGCCCCTTAACAAAGAGCGGCTGCAAGCCTGCGGCAATTTCCTCCCTGTGCATCTGCGGGTCTACGTACGCCGTGTGGACAAGGCCCAGGCGAATTTCCTGGAACTCCTCCGACTCCATTGCAAGCAAAACTGCCTGCTTAAGGGGCGAGGAAACTCCTGTGCTCTGCGCAATGCTTACAACGACTTCGGGTATCTCCGGGTGCCTAAACACCTCCGGGTACTTGGAAAGTATCTGCGCGACAAGCGTAAGTATTTCCGTTGTTGGGTACTTCAGCGCCAGCTTGAGGCCCGACGAGAGGGCGCCCGAGAGCGCCTTTACGCCGCTTTTCAGGCCTTCTTCCAGGATGCGCAGCGCCTTTTCCGCATACTCCTCTCCGCTCAGAAGGCCGGCGCATGTTATGGCGAGCTTGGGCGATACTCCCGTCGAAATAATGCTGTGGAAAATGCTCTCCACGCACTCTTTATCCACTTTCGCTGCGACGGGAACGATCTGCTCGAGCGCCTCCAGCCCTGCCTCAGCCAGGCACGCGGCAACTGCTGGGCGCATGCTCACTGCGAGGGCCTTATTGTGCCGCGCTGCTTCGATGTACAGGCTTGCCACTGCCTGCGTGCAGAGTCTTTCCTGGACAACGGGAGTCGGGCTTTCGCTGAAAAGCATGCCCGAGATCCCAGAAACGACTGGTCCTCCGGCCTTTCCCTTGCTGTGTATGTAGTGCGTCACGTATGCCTTTGTGAGAATCAGAGAAACCTCGTCGCAGATCGAGCCCTCTCTGTACCAGACAATAGACGCCTGCAACAGCATGAGCGCAATTCTTGTACTTCCGGAAGCGAAGAGCCTCTGCACCATCGTGCACACAACCGACTCAATCCCCGACCCGGTGAAGAGCTCGGGGACCTTCACGATTGCGGGCAGCAAAACGTACAGGTGCGTTCTGTAGAGTGTCTCGTCCTCGAGCGCCGAGGAGATGCTTTCAATAAACGGCTCAACGCCGTGTCTTTTCAGGAGCGAAACAATCCCCTTAATCGCGTGCTGGGCGTATTCCGGGTGTGCGGTGATGAGGGGCAAAAAGCTGTCCGTGGAGGAGTCTGCGTCGTATTCCACGAGGAATGCAGTTATCCTGATGGCGTCGACGGGCTCAAGTGCCTCCAGCTCCAAAACCCTCTTCAAATACTCGACAATTTTCTGCCTCTCGGGAGACCTTTTCTCGACGTCCAGGGGCTTTGGGCTGCTTGTCCGGGTTCTGGCTCTGCCCGAGCCTCTCCCGTGCGCCTTCTTTCCCACCGGCTTCTCCAACGCCTCTGGGTCGTCCCCGATCAAAACCATGGCCACGGCTATTCTCCACGCAGGCGGCCCATCCAGGCACACAACAGACTTATCCGTGAGCAGCGACTCAACCGTCAAAAGAATTCTTTTCTGGACTTTGCTCTCGAGCGAGAGTATTGCAGCACTCTGGACGATCTGCATAAAGAGCATCAGCACCGTCTCTGCGTCCTCCTGCGGGGCACGAACCGGCGCTGTTCGCAGCTCTTCTGCGGTGTAGTACCGCATAAATCCGTCCACGGACATAAAGCACCACTTCCTGACCACTTTGTCAAACTCCGCGTCTCCCGAGAACTCTCTCCACATGTCGCACATTCTTTCTATGTTATCCCACGAGAAAACCTCCCCCGCGGCGTCAGAAAGCACGTACTGCCTCCACGTGGACTGTCCGGAGACGGCCATGGGGTGTGCGCTTCTCCCCGTGCTGGCCTGCCCGCTCGAGCCTGGAATTTTGAACAGCTCGGGCGCGCGCATTTCCAGCAGGTACCTGTGCAGTATGTAGTACGCAGTGTCGTCGTCGTTTGCCAGCCTGAAAAGAAAGCTGGCTGCAAGCGGGCGCAGCGACAAATACTCGAATATTCCCTTTTTCCTGGTCTTTGGCTGCATCCCCTTGAAGTGGTGCATGTACGCGAGTATCGAGCGCGTGAGAAACTCTCCGTCCGGCAGCTGCGGGGTTTTTGCGAATATTTCGTATATCATGTCGACTGTGTCCTCCGGCAGCGGCTCGTTTCCTGGGCCCAGCAGCTCCAGGAGGCTGCTTGCAAGGCCCGTCTTGAATATTTCTCTGTCGAGCTCCTGCAGGTGGACCAGCCCGGAAATCACGGACCCCATCGTTTTCTTCTGGCCTATTGTGTTCACTATGGGCACAAGCCACGACTGCAGGAGCTCCCGGTTTGGCTCTCTCCCGAGGATGTACATCTGCCTGAGCCCATCCCTGCATGTGCCGCATATCTCCTCCTCCTTGGAAAACAGGCCCTTAATCAGCACCTGCGATATTTTCAGGAGCGAGTGCCCGGAGCTGAACTCTGGGGAGACTGCAGCCGCGACAAACAGCCGGACCGCTGCCTGCTTCAGCTCTATCGTCCCATTCGGAGACGCAATAATTCTGAAGGCCTCCCCAATAAACCGCTCGACCTTCTCGTCAACTCCCATAAGGGGCGGCCTAAGCCCAAAGAGGTACGTCATAACCTCCATGTTTCCTATCTGCACGCCCCCTGGAAGCGCGCGCAGGGGCTTACTCAGAACTTGTGCGAGTATTTTCTCGCGTATAGGCGTTAAAAAGACGGAAACATCCGACCCAAAAAGCTCTGCGCTGTAGTCCAGACACTCCCTGGACACGAGCCGCACTCTCTCCAGGGGATGGCTAAGCTCCTGTGCAAATGTGAGAATCAGCTGCATAAAGTGTTCGGACGATGTTGGCTCGACCTCCACTGCAGGGTCGTGCGTGACCCGGGTGATGTGGAAAATGGCCTCTCTCACGCTTTCCACGGTGTTATATCTTGCCGAGGCCAGGGACGAGAAAAGCGCCTTGACGATGCGAATTTCCTGGTACAGAAGCCACCCAACGCCTATTTCCAGGGACTGCGTCATAAATATAATTCCCTTAATTCCGCACATTTTTTCCTCGTCGCTGTATGCATAGCAGGCCGAGCAAAAAGAGTGCAGAATATTGTAAAAAAGAGTCATCTGCGACGTTTTTTCTCGGTCGTCGCATATTTTCAAGGAAATATTGTACATTGTAGTGAGCACGTCCTGCGCAACTGCCTCTGTGTCCGGGGCTCCAAAGGCTCTTGTGAGTGCTGCTATGAGGCAAAACACGTCTGCCTGCACGATTTTCTGGAAGTCCTCAAAGCACAGAAGCTCCAGCGCCTTGAAAATTGCGAGGAACGAGTACACGGAGACAAGGAGTCTTTTCGCCTCCACTGCGTAGGCTGGAACCTGCTCTTCTGCGGCCTCTGCGTCTATGCTGTACTGTGCTGCTCGGGTGCCTCTGTGCGGTATTTCAATGACGGAGGAAATTGCGCTGTTCAAGCCCAGGCCCAGGCCCGCGCCTCCTCTTCCCTCCGGGCCTGCTGCGCACTTGAAAAGCGCGGATATGAGCGAGCACGGGATCTCGCTGGACTGTTTCTCCATGTGGGACGGCTCGTCTGCGGGGCTGAACGCGCCCGAGCGGACCTTGCTGTGGAGTTCCTGGAAGTCTGCCTTCCGGATTCCCTCGATCTGCGTGCACCATCTCTGCAAAACGTCTTCCGACAGGCTCTCCCACCGGAAAAACGTGTAGAAATAGTGCCCCACAAGCAGGAGCGTGTGCTCTCTGTTTCCAGGCTTTTCCCCGGAGAGCACTCTTGCAGCCTCGCTGAGTATCTCGTGCAGCGGAACTGCGAGTCTGTCTGTTTTTCCGGGTATTATAACGGTGAGCTCTGAGTTCTGGAGTGCAGGGCTGCTGACGGGCGCGCTGAAGGAGTTGCACGCCTTCCCCGAAAGCTTTCCCAGCAGCTTTATGGCCATGACCGAGCTCTCCTCCTCCTGCACAAGGTCCACGAGTATTGTGAATATTTTGTTTATGTTCTCCCCCAAGTATGCGACGAGGAACTCCAGGTTGAGGTTATCCACGCACATTTCAAGCGTTTCCATGGCGACGCCTGCGAGCTTGTTTTTCATCTGGAGGGCTCTGACGAGGGACTTCGACATCTGCCCCAAGAACGGGAGCAGGCCGGAAATCTTCACGGGAATTGTGAGCGTGAGCTCCACCGGCTCGATCCTGTCCGGGTGCAGGCGCGTGATCTCCTCAATTTTCGAAAAGAACTTTGGGAGTGTCAGCGCCATTTCCTTGTGGAGCACCTCCAGCTTCTCCTTTCCTGCGGCCTTGAACAGGTCCTTGACTATCTCCAGCGTGTACAGCAGCCTCTCCTCAAAGACCAGGCACTTGCTGAATATTTCCTGCAGGTGGTCCGCCACCACGCTTTCGATCTCGACTGTGTGCACGGCAAACGACGTGAATATCTCGCGGAAAGCCAGCACAATGAACTCCTTGTCTTTCTCGTTGTGCACTATGTTCAGGAGCTCCTGCAGGATAACTGCCGAGAACTTTCTGGCCACGCCTGCGTATGCGAGAAACTGCCTCCAGATGACAAACATATTTGTGTTCTTCTTTGTGCTCTCAAAGAGTATTCCGACATTGTCCATCAAAACCTTCTCAAAAAGAGCTGCGTCCAAGTAGAAGAAAATAAGGAGAAACTCGCACACAATAATGATGTCTGTCCGCTTTTCCAAGTCAAAGTGGTTGAACGGCCTAAAGGCAAGGCCCAGATTATTGGACAGGTCCTGCACCTCGTACGGGCTGAAGCACTTCAGGGAGAAGACAATTGCGTTGGAGGAAATGTTCTGGAAGAGCGAGAAGTAGTGCATTGTGTTCTTCATTCCCCGTATGACAGAGCGCAGCACGTTCTTCGTTTCGTCCGTGACCTCTATCTGGCTGTACTTTCTAAAGGCCGCCACAAACGTGCTGTAGTTCATGCGGATGAAAAACCCCTTCTCCCCCAGGCTAATGTTGTCGCTTATGATCGTGTCGTTTATCTGCACCAGCACGTTCGCGCAGAGCTTGTTCAGCGTGTGGTCGTTGGACTCGCACAGAATCTTCGCAGCCTCCCTGCAGACCTTCAGAGACAGGTGCCTGTGCGTGGTGTCTCTGAACATGATCAGAAACTCTGTGGAGAGCGTGAGCCCCAGAAGCTTCAGGACGGGGTTTTTCGGGCGCAGCAAAATGCCGTCCTTCAAAATGATCTCCGAGTACGACGCAAATATTCTCTTCTTTTCGATCTTTAAGACGCTCAGGTGGTGGTATATGTCCTTCTTTATGCTGATCGCGTCATCCGGGCAGTAGCTCAGTAGGAATATGCTTAGCTCTGGTATGAAAGATGAAATAGCCGCTATTTCTGAGATGTTTTCCTTGAGCATGCTCATAAAGAGGGAAATAATCTGCGTGAGCGTGGTGATGCACTGCAGCTTGATGTTCTCGTTTATAAGGTACATGTGGATTGCGTCTGTTCTCTGTATGAAGAACAAGGCGAACGAGGAAAGCGCACTTGCCAGCGGGACCACGTTCTGTATGAACACCTCCCTGGAAACCTGCGTCAGAAATAGAAGAAGAATAATCGGCTCGCTACTCAATAAAAGCGTCTTTCTCGTGTCTGTCAAGTTTTCCGACGAGTGCAGGCCGTTTGTCAGCGCGGTGAAAAACTCTGTCATTGCAGACATTATGCGGATGTGCTGGGGCGGCGATATCTTGGTTTTCTTGCTTATCTCAATCAGAGACCTAACGGCCAGCGATATATTTGTCAACACTCCAGACTCCAAGATGGTTATCAAACCATCGATTATATCCGACGATACGTCACTCGACACGCGTATGCGCATAAGTATTTCCATGGCCTTCCTCTGGTCCTCCTGGCTTCCTTCTAGTCCTTCCTTAAGAAAAGGTATAATCTCGTCTGCAACCTTTTTCGTGTCTTGTATATACTGCAGAAAGTTTTCGGTTGCTCTCCAATTGTACAGTATATCTATTCTATCAGACAGCTCTAGGGTTTTATTGTGTATGTCTTCTATTTTCATCTTCTTAGAATTTTAAATTTTTCAAAATAAAAATACTTAAGATGTGGGTAATTGAATCTTCTGCGAACAGCGTGCCATCGATGACGGACCTTCTAAGTATTACGTGCCTGATCATTTCTGCGTATCTGCTGTTCTTTTGTGCCATTTATGCATGTTTTATGAGCTTTCTCGAATAGCCCGCCCGGCCCGTGCGCAAATCTCCCTCCGCACGGGCTCTCTGCATGCACTGCAGTGCCCGCGTGCTCTTCCAGCGCCCTTCTTCTCTATAGTTGCGTGGCAGGCGCTATTCTCTTGAGAAGGTATACCCCATCAAATATGACGTGTCTGCTGATGTCGCGTAAATTTACAGTTTTTTCTGGACGGGAACATCACATGCTTGCGTGTCTAGGGCTGTCCTTTTGCATATTAATACTATTGCTCCTGCACGTTATCAATAGCACGCTTCTCTTTGCTGCCATGCGTGCATAAGCGCATGCTGTCATAGCGCACCCAGCTGCAACATCCCGGAATAACCCGAATTAGCCAAGCCATGCCCCTTTCAAGCCAATTATTGACTTTCCAATTAATGGTGCCTGGCGGCGTTTTGGGCCTAATATGCGCAGCCCTGCCTTTGCACGGGGCAAAAAAGGCTGAAATTTCAAAATAGTTTATTTTCATTGACAGGAAATAGATACGAACTGGAGCAGCTTGTATAAATCTACACTATTTTGTACGAGTGATCTTCGTTGGCGTGCGTCTGCGCCATTTTTCGATGTGTATGCTAGACTGTGCCCACAGATGCATGTGCCCATGCAGTATAATATGCAGCACAGTCAATTTTTGTCCGTGGATGTCTACTGCTGGTGGCAGCTGTGCCGGGTTATTCGGGGTATTGCTAAAATCCGCGCGGCTGGCTACCTCCTTCGATTTTGCAGAATCTCCTGCATGGAGAGGTGCTTCTTCATGCACTGGACTGTTTTTATGGCTGAGCCCTTTACGTAGCACTCTTCCACCTCTTCTGAGTTGTCTTTTATAGCATTTTTCATGTGAATGTTCATCCACAAATCACACTTGTGTAGAATGCCTGTGTACACATTTCCGCTTTTCAGCTCTATTCTAACTTCGTGTCCTCTTGCAATTCTTATGACAGTCAGTGGGTACATAAAAATATTAATTCAGCAGTTTATTTACTTACGGCTTGAGGTCGTAAGCAAAGAAGACGCTCAGAAAAAGCTGCAGAAACAAGGCATTTTCTGCGGCCCAAGCATGGGTGCCTGCCCACGCGCCTGCATCTGTGTGCCTATATGCAGGGCCGAATGTAGCTCACTGATGTCCAACCATTCTGTTTCATAATCATTTATTCGAGGCATCCGCAGCTTCTGTGTTGTCTATGGAAGTACTCGCATGAATTTCATTTGCACTCTTTCGGGCATGGTACATCAGACAACAGAAAAGTGTCTGTGCGCATCTGGAAATATTTCTGCGTGCTTTTTGCGGGCTGTGCACATATTAGACATATAAACACAGCATGCCAGGCTGTTTGGGTGCTGCGGCCCCACCGGAATGCACTGCTTTTATGGACGCCCCCACTTCTACAGAAAGCACGCATACAGCCTATGCGGCATCTGTTCCTGCTGTTGCCTGCTTTCCGCATGCGGACACGTGTGTTTTAAAACATGTGCGCATCTTTCCATATTTGTGCATATTATTTGAAGATACAGATATTTAGAAAGAATAAAGCATGCACGCACTTCAAAACACACATGTCCGAGGAAGAATCTATACTCTATTCGCACGACCCGGTTCTGAGCCTGTTTAAGAAGTGCTTCTTGCAAAGCGAAGAGTCGGAGGTATTCCATATATGCAGCGAGTGCAGTGAGTCTCACGGCATTGACAACATAATAGAGCTGTACAACCTTGTAGATACACTACTGTATGAGGCCCCTGAAAATTGCACTATGTACTAGAACTATGTCTGTGCACCCGTGCTGATGCATGTATTTGGGGCTGCTATTGGCGTGTATATATGGGCAAAGGCCAGCCTGTTTTCTGAATAAAAAGCAAAAGCGCACATATTAAAATTATTTTGTGTTCGCATAAATTGTATCTTGCACGTGTCGCATAGAGCCCGGAAAGAAAGTATATCAGCAGGCTGCAGAATTCTGTAGCGCTTGTCATGGCCCGAATGTGTATGCTATGGCTGCTTCTATAAGAGCAAAAATAGCTTTAAATCCTCTGTTTATTAAATGCGGCACCTGCAGGGCTGTGCTCTTATGCAGCATTTAAAAATGGTATGTGCTCTAAGGAGCATACTAGGTCATGAAGGCTCTTCAGTCTTGCATATAGAAAGAAGCACAGAAAGTATACGGCGGTGGAGCAGGCCAGCATAGTTGCCAGGGAACCGGCGGAGAGGAGTATGGTGACCGACAGAGACGGGTGTATCCTCTTTATTGTGTACCCCTGCTGCTTGTAGTCTGCGCACTTTCGGTTTATTTCGCTGTTCTCATCCCTCAAGTTTTTAAGCATTTTGTCCTTCTGCTCAAATCTGGCGTACATCCACTTCTCGGGATTCTCTATTATCTCGGGCGTAAGTTCAATGTTTTCGCACACAATGAGGGCCTGCATTCTCGAGCACCTTCCGAGCAAAATGTTGTAGAGCGTGAAGTGCTCCGACGGGTATACTGCATGCTTGTTGTGCATGTTCAAGTATATGGTGCAGTCGATGATGTACTTTATGCTGTCCTTCAGCTCGTCCAGGAGTAGCTTAAAGCCCTTGACTCTTGGGAATATAACTTTTTCAAAGACTGTTGTAATGTGGTTTGGGACAGTTGTGTGTATGTTTTTCTGCTCAGCCTCTTCCTTGGGCATGTTCTTGAGAAGTTCTCTATTCTTCAGCTCCTTCTTAAGGAAAGAAATGTCTCTTTCTTTCGTATCTTTGTCAATAAAGGTGCCTTCTGGGAAGATCACCAAGTTGAAGCTCTCCCTCTCCTGCAAGGCAGCACACGCAGTCTTAAGGCGCTTTTTGTCCTCTTCCATCTTCCTGCTCAGAAGCACAAAGTTAAGCATGTCCATGCCCAGCTTCAGCGGATAGAACGCCCCCACGGCCTCTTTCGCTATAAACGAGATCCCGTCTCTCCCAGAGTTTAGGAGAAGCGACCACAGATATATCCAGTCCACGTACGAGGTGTGATTGGAAATAATCAGACTGTTTGCCATTTTTTCTCTGCTGTCCATCTCCTTGTAGACTATGTATGTGTTGTCCCCTATCAAAATGCACAGCAAAGATTCCGTTACACGCAGCCACAGCTTTCCGACCATTGACTTGTACTTTTCCATTTTGAACCCCATAATCCGAAATAATCCGTATATAGTGTACACCACAGGGATAACAAATATGCACGCGAGCAAATAGAAAGTAAGCGCAAAAGAAAAATAGAGTGTCCTAAAAAGAGACGTGATATTTCTTAGTGTACTTGAGCTCATGCGCGTGTTGTAAAAGCTTTTATTTCTTTTATTTTAATAAAAATATTCTGTCTCGTTGCGAAAGTAAATAAACACGTTTTAACAACAAACACTCGAAATTCATCTGCTGACCCCTTAAAAGCCACAAATATCAGATAGATTGATTCATTGTGCCGTAAAAATCACATTGATATATTTGACATATTTTGGCCAATCTGTCAATTCTCTAGGCTTAGCACAAACCCGCCGAAAAACGCAGCACACAGTTTTCTGGCCCTGCACTGGCCTATGCCCTTTCTGCGCCCTTGCTAGCCTGCCTACGCGCATTTACAGCGAGACACTGTGTGCACCGCTGAAAACCCGCACAAAATCCAAGCTATATGCAGCCCACGGCGCCCCCATGCGAATTCGCTCTCCGTGGGCTGGCTCTTTGCAGCAGCATCTGAGCACGAATAAATCCCCTGGTGGCAGCACAAAATATTTAATTCTCTGATTTTTCAGAATTTCAAAGTTTCGAGGCGAAAATCATTTTTATTTTGAGCTTCTGCACAGCCGCGTGTGGGCTTCTGTGCGAGTCCACCCGAAAACACAAAGACGCCACGCAAGCTGCGCTTTCTATGTCTATTATATATTTATTTTCTGGGCCCTCCGGCGAATATGCGCCAACGCGTTTTCCTCCGAGCGCAAAAACACCAGAGCTTGCGGTCTGGGCGTGGCAAGCTGAGAGTGCTCTAGCGCGCATCTACTGCATTGGCTTGTATATGTTTGTGTACCCGACCCCGCACGACTTTATGAGAAGCAAGCCGTCGGGCAGGCCCGAGTTGACGTCATGCTCTGTCTTCACGTACGGCTCTATTGTGTACGAGTACTTCAGTATGCTTTCCAGAAGATGGAGCACTTCCCGGTCCTTTTTGGAGATCTTGCGGATAACTACAGCGCTTCCATCTACGGTGGTCAGCGCCATCAGAACAAAGACAAAGTGCTGTATCCGGTGGCTGTACGACCCGCTGCTCCGTATATTCTTGTAGAAAGCCTGTATCAGTCTGTCCACTCTTTCCTCTGGGGAGCTTTCCAGCAGCGAGTCAGACCCGTCCACCGTGTACTCTGCCTCGTATATGGAGCTATTTCCAAACGCCAGCAGCAGGCATCCGTGCCCTGGGGTTTTCCCAGAGGTTTTGCTGTTTCCAATGTCGTTGTATATCTTGACGGACGGCGTTATAGTTTTCAGCTGCTCTCTTTCCGAGGTGCTGACTCTGTGCAGAATGTCGCTGCTTATTCTGGCAGAGTAATTTACCCCTATTATTCTCCTGAGCTCCTCCCTTCGATCGCACACGATGGGCTTGAGCGCAGATGCGTGCTCCGCCATCAGCAAGACTTCGCCGTCGGCGGACGGGTATATTGCGCGCCTGTTTATCTTGATTTCAGAGACAACCCCAAACTGGCTCATAATCTTGCAGTGCACTGCTTTCACAAAATCCACTGAAATCCCGGCCTGCGAGTTTGTCACGCCCCGCACCGTGAGATGCACGGGAATGCGGCAGAAAACCACCAAAGGAAGAACGCTTGCTAGAACATCAGGCACGCTGCAGTGGACGCACTCGAAGAGAATGCTGCCTCCCTGTATGCTCCCAGGCACGTACGAGAACGCGTCCGCACTTTCGCGGACTTCGCTGCCTGCAGTTATTTTCTGCATAAGCTGCAAATACTCGCGGGTCTCATTGTTTATGCGGGGCTCCTGTGATTTTTGCAAATTCACACTTTTTCTGGATATAGTGCACAGAGTAAGAGCCAATTTCCCCTCACTCGTATTGATTTCCATATTGTTAAAAAATATTGTTTGTAAAACAATTTATAAAATGAGAGCCAACGACTTGCTTGAAATGAGGGAAAGGATTAAAGGCCGCCTGTGTGAAGAAGAAAAAAGACGAGGCGAAAATTTAGACCTACTTAAGAAGATAGAAGAAAGCCTTCAGCAGAGAACAGAGTTGTGTCAAAGACTCCAGGAGGAAGCCACAGCCAGAGCAGATAGAGTAAATATGAAGCAAGAGGCGCTTGCCAGAGCCAAGGAAATTGTTGCTGAAAAAGAAAACAGCGACATGCAAAATAGAAGGAGAGAGCTTGCTGAGGAGTTCGAGGGCTCGCTAAACCGCGTGAACAAGGTGGAGCTGGTGCTTTCCAAAGAGATGACAAGCACGGTTGAGCGAATACTTGCAATGGGGGAGAGCGCCAAAAAGTCTGGGTTTATGAGCCTGTTTAGGGCAGTTCACCTGCACCTTATGAACGAGATGAAGGAGTTTATCCGGGAGCTGAAAAATCTCTCCGGGACCATACGAGTGGATATGCTGGTGGGCCTGGCAAAGGCGCTGAACCGCTCTATCATTATGGCAGACCGCGCATATCTGGATATTGAGGCGCGAAGAAGGCTCTATGTTGATGTGTTGTTTGCAGAGATAGAGGAGAGCTTTTCCCATCATTTCTTCGGGGGATTTGAAACAAACCGGCTCGACAAGCCAGAGTGGTACATGGATTATCTTTTGTCCGCGCTCTCTGAGCACGACAAGATATTTTCTGTGCTTTCGCACGTGGACGAGCTGGCCGCAGAGATAGAGTGCGACGAGTTTGAGCGCGAGAACAAGAAGAAGTACTTTTCCGAGCTTATTGGCAAAATCTACGCGCAAATTGTGTTTAGAAAGTTAAACGAGTGCGTGTACAGTGACTCTCGGCAGAAAAAGGAGCTGATCATGCACCACGTGCACGAGCTGAAGGGCTTCCAGAGAAAGCTCCAGGAGGCCTACGGGTGCGGGAAAGTGCCTTCTATACCAGAGAAAGATAGCGCGGAAATACAGAGAGTATTTATTGAGTCCACGAAGAACGACCTTATGCGGATTCTGGGAATGTGCTACAGCGAGTGGAGCGAGCATTTTCTGGAGCTCCTGAAAAAGGCGTTCAAGCAGTCCGCGTCTATACACCTGATCATACCAAACGCGCACGCACTTCTGCTGGAGGAAGCAACAAGCAAGTACTTGGAGTGTCTTTCGGCCTTTCTGAACTCTTTTTTGTACCAGAAGGACGAAGAGCAGAAAATACTTGTCCACTTTATAGAGGAGGCCGTGCACCTGGAAGAGGAGCTTCTGAACATAGAGACAGAGTTTGGAACTGCCGTTGGGGAAATAACTATTTTGGAGGTTCCGTATCTGGAGAAATTCAAAGGGGAGATACTGAGCATTCTGGAGAGGGTTGTAGAAGAGAAAATAGAGAGCGCGCTCAAGCCGCTGGTAAGCTACCGGTTCATGGAGAGTGCAGAGCACGCAGACGCAATGTCATGCTTGGCTGACACGGTCCAGCACGAGCTGTCGCTTTCTGAGATGCCAGAAGTTACAAAGTGGATGCACAGCACAATCGGCAAATCGGTCGACGAATATCTTTCTAGAGAGGTGCTGTCTTCAGACATCGACAATGTTTCAGATGTAGATATAATTAGAAGTACGCTGGACACTGTATCTGAAATATTTAAAGAGTACAAAGTAGAGTATGCTCTTTCCAAGTCTAAAAAAAGACACTGTGAGCTACTAAAGAGTTTTCAGTGATGAGCACACGATAATAATAAAGAATCTTTAGTATAAAAAAGCGCAGGTGCTCGGGCCAGCTCCACAGCAGAGCACATATCCTGGGCCTGTGCTGTTTTTAAAGTCTCAGAGCGAGCCATCATCCCACGCATTCTACTGCCAATATAGCGTGAGCTTTGCCATCAGATCCGCGGGTTTTCAATATTCATAGTAAATCAAAAATTAAAAGCGAATTTTGAGCATATACGAAAATTAGATGGGGTTTGGACCCTGCATGGATGCAGAAGACATACGAAAAACTCTGTGCAATGTTTTAACAGTGGCCTCTAAGATATACAAAAAAAGCACGCTGCACACATACTATAACATAAAAAGGTGCTTGGCCACAGCTAAGCAAACATACGAGGCGTGCTTTCACGAGGTCTCTCTGCTCCTATACTTCGAAAAGGATCTGGAGAGAGGTGATGAAAAAAGCTTTGGCAGGCATATAAAGAGGGACACCGAGGAAGTACTGGCGGGCATAGATGCTCCTTACAAACTGCTGAAAATCGCTACAAGCATGCTGGAAGCCTGCAAGAGAGACCTGGCGGATAGCGCCAACTTCTATGAAACACAGAGTATGCTTATCCTGGCGGAGTTTAACATTAGGACGATGAAGCACGGCAGCTGCTTTCCATACGCAGACCTGTTTGAGCAGGCGTACAGCGAAATTGAAAACAAGCGCAGACAGACTATACATATGGAAACGCTGTGCAAACAGCTTGAGTCCCTGTGCAAGGACATCTTTATGCAGATCAGCACGCGCTTACAGAGATACAACAGCAGCATAAGATGCGAAGCAACCAAAAAGAATCCCCTAGGGGAATATTTATACGCGGATGAGGAAAACGACCACCTGGTGAATTTGGAGACAGAGTCAGAGCCCGAGCTTATGTGAGCAGGCTCAAAGCATGCGAATAAATAAAGTTTTGCGCTATACAGAAAGTGCACTCCAGAGGTTCGGCGCTATTTTGAAGCTGGCATGCACAAATAGACATCCAGGCTTGCACAAACATGTGCAGCACCCACGGGACCGAGTAATAACCTGAATCTCGGGCACGGACTTACTTGCACCTTTTAATGTGAAAATTCTTGAGTCTGCATGCTAAGATGCAAACAAAACCATACAACATATTGTCTTGGGGTTGCAAAAACATGCCTTGGCCTTGGCTATTCTCTTAAATTTAGCACGGCCTCTCAGAATCAGCTCCGCATTACATTGCTCTTTTCTATAAGCCTATGCGCGCTTTCGGCCTGTTTTCTCCTAGCCTAGCACTGCAGGAGCACACAAATGCGCATGTCCTTTTCTAGAAGTGGGCGCTGGCAGTGAAAGTTCACACTTTGAAATGAAGGGGCTCTTCTTGCCACAGAGTGCCCGGATGAAAAAGTGCTTGCTCTAGAGCTCTCCAGCCAATTGAATAGTTCGACCAAGCTTAAATGTGTGTAGTCGGAATTTGGTTTTAATTTTCTGCCAAATGCAAGTGCAGGAGGCTTACGCCTGCATGCAGGATGACAGTGCCCCAGCAGGCTAAAAAGGCTGCATGCCTTGGACTTTCTGCCAATGTAGTATTAATGTGCACATTGTGACATTTTGAAAAGAAGTGTGTATTTATGCTCCGCAAATACTTCAAAAATGGGTGATATCATTTATGTTGATATTTAATAGAAAAGCCATAAGCAAAGAAATGAAAAAATATATATACAGAATAGGAGTTTGTGCGGTTGGAATATCCCTAGCCATGTGCAGTGCTTTAATAGAGCCTGCACTGTGGAACCATTTGATAAGAACAATCGGCGTAATCGAAGAAACGTACACAGAGTGTATGCATGGAGCCAACAGCATAAGAAGCATGGAAAAAAACAAAGAGTCCGCGGATGTTATGACGGATATTATGAAGGATCTGCACCACATATACATGGCCAATCAGAATGTGAACTATCTGGCATACTTGCTAGAAAACAACATTCTATCCTATAAAAACGTAAGAAAAACATGCAAAAAAATAAGAAGCCATATCCAAAGTCTGCACATATGCCAGAGAACCGATCTATATAAGGACATGCACATTTGCATTAAAAAGTACAACAGAAGCAAAATGCCACGGGAAAACATTGTGTTTCTCCTAGAGCACTGCATGTTCATAGAGTTTGCTGTTAAAAGGCTGTTGAGCAAAGAACAGGAATTCTTTCTTGAAAACCCCTGGCAGCGTAGAAAAAAGTATGCTGTTACGCAGAAGCTGGTAAACATATGCCAAAAAGCCAAACAAAAAACCCTACAGTGTGCGTGCAGCTAGCTTTGCGTGCCAAGAATAAGCATGCATAATTGGGCCTTTTCAGCAGAGTTTGCTGAGACTATAAGAGCTGCGAAGCACTAGTCTTTGCTACCAGATGCTCTTGGGGTGCTGAAATAAATAGACCTGTCATAAATTCGGGGTAGATTCGAGGCTGTGTCTAGCGCTAGTTCCAGTAAAGATTTGTTAACCTTTGGAGAGCCCCGGCTGTCGACTATCGATTGACTTAATGCTATGCTCTTTTTGTTTTTGTGCATCTGAAATTAAACTTGCTCGCGTATTTATGCTTTTCGCAATTACTATTTCTCAATTTCCTCGCACCCATACCATAAAAGCCTATCGTGTTCTTGGCCGTCTCCGATCGCGTGTGAATTCTTGGAATTCACCGCAAAAACAAAATGGCATGCCTAAATGCCTTTGATGCTTTTCCGCTGTGCAGGGTGCTATAATGTGCAGGCGCAATCTGCAAGTAGAAAGCGCAATGCACGAGAAATGCCGAATGGTATTTGCAGGATGTATTTTGCCTATGAGAAAAAAATAAAGAATACTTCTTGAGTATATTTATATGCATTTATTTATTTTAGCTCGAGTATACTCTACGCTCTATGCACAGGGTATAAGAGCCTGCATAATAAAAAAATGGATTCCAAGATACTCGGAGGCTGCTGGCCGGTCGTTCTGGATTTTTTTCATCCAACAACCCAGGCTATACCTGCGCCCGTACATGTATATGTAAATCGCAGACTTTTCCATGCTCCACTCCAACAATCTGTTGGAGTTTTCAAGCAGGGCTGCGTTCTTACGGACAAGCGTGTATACCCTTTTAGGCCTATGCCCTGCACGAACAAAAACACCCGTAGAGCCTTCTCTTCTTTTGGCGCCCTCTGCCCAGTTGTTGTTTTCTTCCAGCGCTTCTGCAGAGTCGGGTGGGCCTTTATGCAGGTAGTATGCATGGTCACGCGTGTTCTTCGAGGCGCGCTCTCTCCATGAAATGCCGAATATCTCTCCATTTTCATAGTACAAGTACTTTATGTCTGTAACAAAGCACTCCACGCCCACGGAAATGTCTTCGTTCAAGGACATAATAAAGTCTGCGTACATGTGCAGCTCTATGCTTCTGTTACACTTGGATAGGAAGTCTTGTATTAAGTAGCATGTGGGGACCCTTTCTGTGAAATCCAGCTTATAAATAGGACAGTACTCGATACCGCCGAATGACCTGCACAGTGCTAGGCTTTCCCACATTAGGGCGTCGATAAATATCGGAATGCGAACCGCCTCGGTTATATCGATCATTCCAGACCCGGCGTGCATGATATTTATAAAGTACATCCGCTGGCTTTCGACCATGGCGTTTTCTATGTAGTAAAATACGTATAGAAAGGGACAGAATGGATTTTTTACCAAACACTGGCTTTTGTCTAAAGGCACAAACGACCAAGTTCTTCCACTGTTCTGCGTGTAATACGGGTATATTCCACCGACCTTTGGGTTTATGCCGAACTTTTGTGCTAGATGCTCCACTGTATCCTGCACAGTGTGGATGCCTTGCTGCACGCCTTTGTGGGTGTAGTACGGCATGCACACGCGGTGGCAGGCGTGGGTGGCGGTGTCGACGTAGTACACATGGTAGTGCGGCACACACGTAAGCTCCAGATAGAAGTCGTTGTTGGTGGTTGTGTAGCAACTCTGGCTTTTTATTTCCAGGGCGTTTTCCTTGCTCGGGTCCGTGCTCTGTTTCAGCGTTACAGAATAGTTATTGTACACCCTTCTGCTCAGTATGTCCTTCTCAAGCAGCATGTAAAGTGAGGTGCCGGTTCTGTAGAAATGCGGCGCGTGCGTATAGAATGTGGCCAGGATGTTGCACAGGTAGGAGTACACTGAGGTCACAGAGTCTGAGTCTACGACTTTTTTTGGGTAGAGGCCGAAAATATGTCCTATTTTTTTGTAGCACTCCATAACTCGATCTGCATAGGCAGCATAAAACCGGCTGCTTGCGCACGCACTGCGAATTCTTTTGATGTATTTAATGTACCTCTCGCCCCTGTTAGCGCTCTTTTTAAAAGACAGAATGTCTATTTGCAGGGCGATCTCCTGGATATACAAAAGAATTCGTACGTTGTCCTGGGTTGGCATTGCATTTTTAAAATCTGCGTCTTTAACTGCATTCAGCAGAAATTCCATGCTAATTTTGCAAAAGTCTATAAGAATGCCCGACTGGTCCAGAATCAAAAAAAGCGCTTGCTCTATGCTTTCGTACATAGAAAGGCTGGGGCCTGTGCCAATTTTACAGTAGGGCTTTATGTATGCCCAAGCCTTTTCCATATTCATGCATGCCTCGTACCGGTCCCCAAGTGTTTCCGTGCTCATCTGTTCTTTGGTCAGCGTGTATCCCCTCTGCGCAAGGGCCTTGCACTTTTTGAGCGGCCTGTGTCTGGACACGTACAAAAACATAGCATTCGTCAGCACCTGCAGGTAGTTGGGATTGTTCTTCGTTGTTTCCAATGCTCCTCTTCTAAGATACCTGTTTATCTTCTGCTTAATTATTGGGCGAAGAATCTCCATGTTCTCCGGCACTGGGATTTTCAAATCTGCAAGAAAGAACCACACAGAAGGCTCTGTTTTTTTGTTGCTTTCGCCAGAGTTATAAGAGGCCGCGCCCTTGCCTCCCATCATTTCGGAGTATGTTCTAATGGAAAGGCCCTCCATCTGCTCCTCCGAGCTTTTATTGGCGGATGGCGCGTGCAGCGCCTCTTGCTTGCCCAGTTGGGGGTTCCATGGCTGCGTCTCTTCTATACCGTAATTCGTGGGGTGTGGAGGAATTTCACTCTCGAAAGTTCTGTCTGCATTCGGGCATGTGCCTTGAGAAGTGTGAGAATCCGCGTTCGTGCATGCAAAGTACTCTATATGCATAGAAACAGCGCACACAATTTCCAGCGCCATGCACAAAATATTTTTTATGCCTTTTTGCATGGGCGAGCGATGGCTTTTCTTATTATAGCAGAAAACAATGCATCACATCACATGATATTTGAAAAAACATTCAGAATTTCGGAAACTTCTGGGTGGGCGGATGCACTCAGCTGTCGCCGCTGCGCCCTGGCACGACAGAGTGTGCTGCATATGCGCGCTCTGAGCTGGCCCGGGCAAAAGTGTGCAAGTAGTCAGTAGAAGCTGCATTTTAACCAAGCGGACAAAGTTACCCAAGAAGTATATCCTGTTTTTTATATATTGCAATGCACAGGGCAAAAGAATACATGGGCGGCTGCTTACTTTTCCATTCTACAGATCCGCCTGCACGCTTCCTTTCTTGTCCTTGAGCAGGCCTGTAAACAGAAACTGCGCCCTTTTCTGCAGGTCGTGCGGCGTGCGCACTTTCAGATAGTAGTCAAACGCAAACTCTTCTGTCTCGCGTATCCTATGCCATAGGTCGTCATAGCATCCGGGCGTTCCCATTTTCTTGTTGAGCATAAGCAGGATGAACCTGTCCGCTTCTTCTGTAAAGCCTATGGACTTGTTGTTTCCTGGGTATGGAACTCTGAAGTTTTCGCCTTCCTTCGTGATTTTTTCGTTTAGATAATCCTTTATCCTCTGGGTTCTTACAATCCTGCTCTCCCCCCGTTGGATCTGTGTTTGTATCTTTTCTGCGTCCGGGAGCTCTTTAATTCTCGCCCAGAACACTTCTCCGTACTTCGCAACCTCCTCCCGCGTCTTGTCTGAGAGGTCGTTTGAGATTTTCTCCAAGTCGTCTCTCCCGTACCTCTCGCACGCTTTTATGTACGCCCAGAAGTCTCTCTTTGTCCAGTTGTTGAAGCCTTGCTCGAAAAGCGCCTTCTTTTCTTCCTGCTCCTCTGCGGTCAGCAGACTTTCTGTGCTGCCGTTCGCCTGGAACTCCTCCATTTCCTTCTTCTGCAGCAGATGCAGCCTCTGCGGGTGGAACTGGTGCTCGGGAAGGTTGTACTGCCGAATTCCAATAGCCTTCCTCTTTGCAAGTATTCCCTGCGCAATTCCTCTGGTCCTCCCGCCTTCTGGGACGACTATGTACTTTGCAAGCTTCATCTTCGCATTCTTTGCGCTGTAGTCCTCGCCCTCCCACTCGTATGCCTTTATTTCGTTGTTTGTCAGGTCCTTCAGAACGTCCTGCTCGCCCACCCGCGTGTTCATTTGGTCAGTTTTCTCCATTCCTATCCGAATGGTCTCCTCAATTGTCCTGTCTATCTTGTTGTCGGAGTCGAACACGTTGTCGACCCCGCTTGCAAGTATTCCCAGCAGCTCGTTCTGAGAAATTGCATTGTTTTTCTTTTTTCCATTTTGGACAATTATTTCGTCGAGCTTCAGCTTTTTCAGCGCCCTCTCCAGTATTTTTTCTTCAATTGTGTTTTCTGTTAGAAAGTTAAAGACAAAAACCTGTTTCTTCTGGCCTATTCGGTGGGCTCTGTCCTGGGCCTGCAAGTCCATCTGCGGGTTCCAGTCGTTGTCGTAGACTATCACCACGTCTGCTGTTGCCAGGTTTATACCAAGTCCCCCTGCGCGCGTGCTCAGAAGGAATATAAACGCCTCGCTGTTGGGCTTGTTGAACTCTTCAATGGCCTGGCACCTGTCTTCTGTTGCCGTGCTGCCGTCTATCCTGCAGTACGCGTACTGCCTGAAGCCGCAGTAGTCCTCAAGTATGTCTAGCATGCGCGTCATCTGGCTGAATATCAGGACTCGGCTGCCCTTCTGCTTTAAGTTTACCAGCAGCTTGTCCAGCATCACCATTTTTCCGCTGTTTTCTATCATGTGCTCTCCCGTGGTGTATGGAGGGCCGGGCTCTGCCCCGTCAAACAGGTACGGATGGTTGCAGCACTTCCTGAGCTGGCACACAATGTTCATCAGCTGCATCTTCGAGCCTTCGTTTACAACATTTTCGGCGTCTTTCTCCAAAATCATTTTGTACCACTTTCTCTGCATCTCCGTGAGCGGAGAGTATAGGTTTATGATTTTCTTTGGAAGGAGGGACTTCTCCACGTCCGCCTTTTCTCTCCTAAGAATGAACAGACTCAGCAAGTTTCGGAGCTTGTCAACTGTTTCATTTTCCGAGTCGCTGGACGCCGACTCCACCCACGCATCAAAGCCCTCCCCGTCTGAGAAGACCTCCGGGGCCAGAAAGTTCAGCAAAGCCCACAGCTCGTGTATGTTGTTCTGCAGGGGCGTTCCCGTAAGAAGAAGCCTGTGCGAGCAAGGAATAACCCGGACCACTTTGCTAAGAACCGTCTGCTCGTTTTTAATTCTGTGCGCCTCGTCTATGACAATGTACTGCCACTCGACAGTTTGCAGCTGCGACTTCCCCGACAGACACATTTCGTATGTTGTTATGCATGCAATGTAGTCGAGCTCCTGAAGCTCTTTGGCCTTTGTGCGGATGTCTTTCTTGCTGCAGTGGAATATGATGGTTTTGACATTTGGCATAAACTTCTTAAACTCGTTTTTCCAGTTCTGCAGCGTGGACTTTGGAACTATAAGCAGATTCGGGAGCTTGTTCTTCTTTGAGGAGTACAGATAGCCCAGCAAAGAAATTGTCTGCAGAGTCTTCCCCAGCCCCATTTCGTCTGCCAGAATGCAATTGATCTTTTTCTCGTACATGTTTATAAGCCAGTTCAGCCCCTCTATTTGGTAGTTTCTGAGCGTTCCTGTTATATACGGGGGCGACTGCGTATACATAAATGCCTCCGAGTCGTCCATGTCAAAGCCGTCGTCTTCTTTCAGGATGCGAGACTGGCTTTTGTCTGTCTTCAGCTTCTTGACCGTTCTTCGGGTGGACTTTTTGTTTCCCAAAAGTATTTGAAACAGCACATTGTCGCCTATAAATTCTTTATACCTTTCAATTACCCCTTCTTTCATCTCTTGCAAATTTTTAGAACAAATAAACTATCTAAATGTGTTGATTAAGAGGTAATATGCACCGCAAGCACGCATCGTTTTGGCGAAATGGCAAATTCACACACGGGGCCAAAGCAGCGCCAATTAGGAGCAGGCGCGGCACAGAAAGGCCAATTCCTTGGGAAAGAAGGGTGCGAGGGCGTGGCCGATCCGAACACGCTTCGCAGCTGGAGATATACAAGACCCATTGAATATCCGTCCGCACAGCGGCGCATTAATGCGGTGCATGCGGGCTGCAGCATGCATCTGTTTTGTTCATTTCCAGAGAAGTTAGCAACTTGCATAGTTTTCGTCTGCACACAGGCATGCTTTTACGCGCATGCAACAACTGGGAAATAAATTTGTAGATGTCCTTTGAAATTGGCAAATGCTGAATTTTAATACAAAAACTCCTTTCGAGCGCCGGGAGGATATTCATTGGATCAGAGCAAGTGGCGTGCTTGTGGCTTTTATTCGGAATGTTTGAGTGGCCTGCTTTCGGGGCCACTCATTGTGGGGGCTTGTGCTTGAAAGCTAATCATTTACAAAGCAAGGAGATCAGCGCGTCCCGTGGCAGCTGGGAGAAAGAACCCTTGGCACGCAGCCAGCGCCTCTGCTATTTGGGAGTGGCTACGCATGTGTTCAGACCCCAGAGAACGGCATCAAATCGAGCAGGCTCTAGCAATTTTTAGCATAAAAAAGGCACGAAGGGCGTATAGAGGCTGGGAAACATCTAGAGCTTTTGGCATGCTCATGCGCTGTGGACAGAAGCTGCCAAAAACCTGCAGACTGTGCATAAAAATTTGAAAATGAAAAATTAAACACCATTATGCAGTGAAAGAATTGATCATCATGTTGAGCTTGCGTGCATGACCTCAGATATGATATCAGCGCACAGAGGCTCTCTATTTAAACAAATGGCCCGAAAAAAACATGAAAATATTGAGAATATTTGCACTGGCAATTTTCCTGGCGTGCACTGTTGCTTTTTATTTATTTCGCCTGGGTGTTTCTGAGAGCTTTTGCAGCACATTTGCTTCTAGTGTGACACGAGTCGACAACCCAGATGCATGGAGCAAACGGACTCTGTGCATTGTGGAAAACCTCAATTCGGAGCCTTATGTGGTGGGTGCCAAAGTGCACAGCAAAATTCGGTACGTTCCCGAAGAAGACCTACTGAAGGCAGAACTAGGATACTCGGTTAAAGACGGAAAAGCAATTCGGCGATTAGTGAACTCCGACGAATCTACCAAGAAAGGGCGCTGCTTGCACGACAGCAACACAATAGAGCCTGGAACCGACAGGGAAATGTCCAAATTGATGTGCAGCGTGTCTGAGCAGGTATACGAAAACCCACTTACAACGGTTGTTTCCGAGTTCATTCACTCCAAGCCCTTGATGTATAGCAAAATATTGGCTACTCCCAAAAGATACCTTTACGACGTGCTCAAAGCATCAAGCAATGCGTGCTATGAGGCCAGAGACCAGATCCGAGTGATGGAAGACATTTTATTTCTGATGTGCAGGTGGCATTTCCTGGAAATTACATCAATTGACGACAAAATGCAATGCATCACCTCGGCGCTGTTTTTGTACGACATGGTCAGAGAAAATATGTTCAACCGAATCAACAGCGCCATTTACAAGTACAGAGACCTGCTGGAAAACCAAAAGGACGACTTTTCTAAGGATTTGTTTGTCATGGTGGCAAAAAACGCCAAACTAGAGACGTTCTCTGCAATTTACCACATTAATTTTTTCGCCGAATTGGAAGAGACCTTAAAAAATATGTTTGCCCGCATAGATGAGGGTATTGCACCGTCCAAACTGACGATTATATCGAGCAACGTTCGCAAAGAGTTCAACTTTTCCAATAATAGCAACATCGAAGGGTGCCTGTTTTTCAACAAGTGCATATATCCACATACAAGATATCTGCAGGCGTACAACGCATCTTTTGACGATGTCTACATGAGAAAGATCTTGGATGATGTTGAAGCATCGCCGGCGAAAAGCATGGAGGAAGACATACACATGCTGGCTGACTTGCTAAAAAATCTGAAGGAGTCTCTGGGAACAGACCGGTTTGTCGCTGAAGTAAACGAGAACGACTTGGAAAAGCTGGACCCGCACCTTATTTTTTTAGAAATGGAACGTTTGTTTGCTGTGATGTATAAGATTATGGATGAGAATAGAAACTGCGGGTTAAAATATAGCAGAAAGGCAGAAGAATTGTGCAGTGTCTCAGGCATATGCTCGATTGAAAATGAACTGCATGCAGAATAACTTAAGCATGCAGCATGTTTGGTAAGTATGCACAGTGCACCGGCTTGTTTTTAGTCAATTCGCACATGGAGCAGTTTCTGGCCCGCCAAAAACAATAAATTCAGCACTTCCAAGCAATCCTCTTGCACGCTCAGAGATTCAGCGCAGGCATATAGAAGCTATCTTGCATTTTGCATAAAATGTGCTCACATAGCTGCAAGTCAGCATTATTACAGCCCCTTCAATCCAGACAATGTGAAGAATGCCAGCATAATAGGCTTTGATTTGATGCATATACCGCAGGAGTATATTTATAGCTCTCTGAAGGGCGCAGCCCAGTCGTGGCTCTGCAACAGCATGTACTGCAGAAACTTAATCCGTATAATAGGCAGGCTTTGCCTGGACATTTTCAACCAGCTTGATGTGGACTCCCAAAGCCATACAGGTCCTTTGCCACAGCTGCACTAATATACGGCCTGGTTAGAGAGAACGTATTTGGCCGAATGAAGACTTTTGCAAAAAAGTATACATACATACTGAGTATTGCAAAGCAGCAGCAAAAAAATATGATACTTTCCACCAAGCGGTTGCAGTCCAGATTAAAGCGGAGGCTATGCCATGCAGAACATGTTCTTGCCGTTTGACAGGATCAACTGCCTCTTCAAGAAAGCCTCCAAGACCACTATGGAGCACCAAAGCCTCTCGATGCTTCGCGTTGACCAGATAAATGTTGCATGCAAGGAGCTTGACACTGTTCATGATGCTCTGCGCGTATGCTTTGCCAAACCGCCATGCATATACAAGCATATGGGCACTGGCGTGGAGTTCTTCAAAGGCAGCATAGTCGACTCCAGGCATGCAGCGAATGTAAGCATGGCGATAGCAAAGACCAGCTCCATTGAAACCCTAGAGAAAGCCTTCAAGGGCGTGTGGAATGCTTTGGAGACACTGAAAAGAATTTTGTGCCGCTTTCCGTCTAAAATTGTAATAACAAGAAAGAGCTTGACAGAGCTCCAGCCATAGAGTGCATTATACAGATGAGAAAGGCTTTGGCGAAAGAGCGCCGCGACAGCACCGAATACCAAGGCAATTATATGGAGCTAGCAAACAGCCTGTGCTAAACGAAAGACGTATGCAAAAATAGAAACAGAAATGCCATAAAGCCCTTGCTAGAAAAGCACATGCTTGCACACAAAGAAAATCCCCCTATAAAGCCCAAGGAGTCGGCGCCTTTTCTGAGATTATGTCCCCCATGCGAGGGGCAACGACCGGGTAGGAGCCTGCTTTGCAGTGTTTTTATTCCAACTTTCCGGCTTTCAGCGCAGTTTATAGCATATGCAAATAAGTAGGCAAAGAGCGCAGAGACAACTAACATTTTGTAGCGAGGTTTAATAAATATGTTTTGTTTGAGTTTGCTCGTTGTGGCTTTTGGCAGCGAAAACAGCCAATACGCACACGAACTCAGGGCCTGAGCCTGCAGAAGCCTTCCACAGGAAACAAGAAAGCACATCGCAAAAGCGCACAGTACAGGCCTAAATTGCAAAGGCCAAATACTGGATGGTCTTGCATGGAATGGCGTGTAGTGGTTCTGGCATGTCTATTTTTTAACTATTTGAATTTATTGATTATATCTTCCCTGTCTGGTTCTATGCCTTTTCTAGATCCATTCTCCGCAATTATCTCACTTCAGGCTTACATGGTCTCGAAAACCAAACAGCCTTTTCTCCATCCGACCTATGCCTCCTTATCCCATGGGCTGCGAATCGTGACTACACAATGGGTAATTTGTGTATCATAGTAGGCTCTATGTATGTCCCCCTCTGTTTGGGCTGATGGTCAGAAGCTTACCGCTCATGCTTCTGCTATTCATAGTCCTTTTATGACTATACAGAGTAGGATTAATCCCATTTTTGTTTTAGGGGCCTTGGCGGGACTCCCTCCTGTATGCCCGAAGAACTCAGGCATCGGTGATTCTTCCTAATTTTCTTTTACATAGCTTCGACACGTTTTGGCTGAAAAACCCTCTTTTCTTTGCTAGGTTACTGTGTTCCCTAGCAATCCCTTCAGGTTGCGCGAAACCAGGGAAAACAGCCAATCCGCTTTTGTCAGCCGAAGGTGTAAATCGTTTTCTTTGTTCTTCACAGCCGCCCCTTTTATTTCACCTTCTCCCCATGAGCTGTGTGGGGTTCTTCGGACCCTATAGTTTGCTGTAGGGTTTGGCTGGGTTTGGTCGTGTAACGTCCCAAACTGTTTTAGGGGACTTTGGGCGTGAAGGTTTTAGTTCCACGCCAGTATTTTTTTATTGGTACCACAGCGGGTCCCTTTTCTGGATTTCGCTGTGCTTTTCAGATTCGAACTCGGGGGCTTTCCGGGTTAAATCTTCCAAGCATACAGCTGGTCCATGGGGGGACCCTGGCATGTCTATTCGGGTTGCTTTTTTTAAATTCTGAAAAGCAAAGTGTGCCGTGCTCGGCCGTTTTTTGATGATCATTTTGATCCTTATTTTTGCCTATTAATATACGCTTCAAAAAGAAAAAAACATGGGATTATTTACAGTTATTGCAGCTTTGTTTTTTTTCATATCAGCATATATGCTTAACATGGGATACCTCAATATAGAAAAAAATACACGCTACGCAGATACAAGCAATGAACTCAATGGGGCTATCAACAATGCGTTCGAGCTTCCTACACTTTTCATGACAGATGGCAACCCGAAAAACGACGACAACCCAATACTTGTATCGCATGTTAATGACTCAGAAATAATATACAAATTGAGAGACGGGGCGAGGCTGAGGAATCTTATTATGGAAGAGGCGAATTGTGAACAAACCCCGTGCCTATACGACAGTCCAAACTTTATTCCTGCTACAGACAAAGAACTGACTGCAGCAATATGCAGTGTGCCCCAAGAAGCATACGAAAACCCTCTGAAAAGCATTTCCTCAGGTTTTTTTGTTTTCATCAAGTCAAATGCTGCGAAAGAACTTTCGAATATTCCTGCTCATCTTCTGTACGAGTTTCTTGAAAACATACAGGATTCATGCATAGAAAATGGAAGAGTTCATTTACTAGCTGACTGGCTTTTAGGGAAGATATGCAAGTACAAGCAAGATGGCATCGTTCTGTCCCCAACAGAAATGGCGCATTGCATTTCTTCTGCTGCGCTGGCATGTGAAATAATTCGGGAGAGCACATTAAACAAAATGTCCGCAACGATTTTAAAGTACAAACGACAGCTGCGTAAGCTAGGCGGTGACAATTGCAGTGGGGAATACTATGCACTAATCTTAAAACGGGCCAATACAGAATTAGAAGGATTAGAAAACCAACATCTAGAGTTTTCTGGCGTATACAATATTTTAAGGAAAATGGCCACTACGCTGTCTGCCGAAATATCTCCTGCCAAAATTTCAATTTATACAGGCAACCCCATAGAAGACCTCACACCCTCCATTGAAGAGAAAGCCAAGAAGTGCAAGTCTGATCAGGCATGCTTAGACGAATTGAAAGAGCTTGAGTTAGATGAACAGTTTTATCTGAAAATACGCGATAATGTAGACAGAAAAGACCCACTAGGTGATATAGCAGCTGTTATAAAAGATATGGAAGGCATGGTGAAAGAGTTAAAAGGTGCAGCCGGAACAACAGAATACCGCATAGAAGTAAAGAAGAAAGACCTACTACGCTTTGACCCAATGATTGTTAAGCAAACCATAAGTGAAATTTCAAACACTCTAAAGGGTTTCGCCATTAAGGAAAAGAGATTCGAAATACTATGCACTAAAGTACTAGAAGCTTTAAGCTCAGAAACAAAAGACCCCATCCTTATGGAGCCAACAACAAATTATACTCTTCCGCTCCGGGCGTGATAGTTTCATGGCGTGGTACACTATGTCATGCGTGGATCTGTACAAAGAAATCTGTGCAGGTTTTATGCAAGTGGCTCAGTCTGTTTTCAATATGCTTGCAATTGCACATGCGCATGCAACTTCAAACAAAAAAGAAAAAGCAAAAACAGTCCAGACAGCTTAATAAACATATACTTTATCATTTCTTCCGCAAAAAAAAAACACAGCGCAAAAATGCTTGGCACATGCCAAATATTGCCCGGTGCGGCCTAACTAGTTAGATTTATTGAATAATTTCCTGCGCACACAGTTGTTTCCAGCACCCGGCACGGCTTGTGGTGACTCTAGCGTTTTAATAAGTCATTTTTTATTTAATTTTGAAAAACGGGGTGCATCGTGCTCGGCCGTGCTTCTACAAGCAGCTTTTTCATTTTGCAAACTCGAGATGTTTTCTCGAAAAGGCGCCTGCAGACCATACAGAAACGGAAATCAACAAAAAATGCTGATTGATTTGATTCAAAATGTTGTTTATATAATTTGTGCTTCAAAAAGAAAAAACATGAGAGTAGTTGTGGGCATTGTGGCGTTGCTTTTTTTAATATCAATGTATATGTATATGCCTGTCTTGAGGGCAGAGTTCGGGATGCGGACAAGAAAGGCGGACAAGACACATAAAAGCAGAACAGCGGAGAAAGCCGCCAAACAAAATCCTAAAACTAGCGCGATGCTCTTGTTTAACAAATTCGAAGCAAATTATCGTTCTCCAATGGCCGTATCACGCATAGAAAATTCAAGAGTAGTATACAAAATGGTGGATGGGCTGAAGCTTCGAAAATACGCAATACATGGCCAGGAAGAAAATCCGTGTTTATACGACAGCCCAAGTTTTACTCCTTCTACAAGCAAAGAACTGACTGCAGCAGTATGCGGCGTGTCTCAAGATGCATACTATAATCCGTTGAGAAGCATTTTCACAGAGTCTCGGCAATACCGCGAAATACTTTTAGACGAAATGTCGAGTATCTCGCCTAGTAAAAAACACGCGTTTATTAAGGGCGTGCAAGATACATGCATGGAAAATGGAAGAAGCTATGCAATTATTTACTGGGTTATCAGCCAATTCTGCCAATTCTGGCATGCAGGTGGTATGGTCAGTTCAACTGGTATAGGCCACTGCATCTCGTCTGCGGTGCTGGCATGCGAACTGGCTCGAGAAGACATGTACAACAAAATGTCCGCAACTTCTTTAAAGTACAAACGGCTTCTGCGCAACCTGTACGAGAAATACGATGAGAAAGACCATGCGCTGTTTTCATTCAGGCTTGTTTCAGAACTAGACGGAATGTCAGCCCATCAGACAGGGGTTTCCGAGCTATTCAATGCTTTAAAACGAATGATCGCTTCATTATCCGCCGAGATATCCCCTAACGGCATTTCAGTTAATATGGATTGCCCTGTGGAAGACATCTCCTCTTCTACTAAAAAGGAAGCCAAGAACTGCGAATCTGATCAGGCGTGCTCAAAGGAATTTGAGTTGGACGAGCAGGTCTATCTGCAAACACGCAATAATATAGAAAGTCCCTTGTATGATATAGCAGATAAAATATCAAAGATTGACATAATGCTAACCACTTTAAAAATTTCCTTAGGTACAAAAAGCTACTGTGTACATGTAAATGATTCTGACATAGAATTCTTTAACGCAAAGACCGTTAAAAAGGGCATGATTGTGTTTTCAGACCTTTTGGAAAAATATGCAATTAAAGCAGCAGAATGTGAAAAAGCAATGGAATATTTAAACCCAGAAACAGATGATTACCCTCAGGAGCAGACAGCAGATTAGATTTTTCCGCCCACGCTGTGATAGTTGACATGGGGCGATGCCCTATGCCATGCATGGCTCTGCATAAAGAAATCTGTGCAGATTTTATGCAAGTGGTTCTGTCTGTTTTCAGCGCGCCTGCAAGTGCAGAAATACGAGTGAGCCTCCCTTTTTGCAGAGAAAGTTCGCAGACACATGCGCATGCAACTTCAGCTTTAGGAAAAAGCGGCCAGAATAGAGTCTAGCGGCTTTTTGCACTAAAGCTATAGAGCTTGCAGGCTTTGTTTCCGCGTTGCAGCGGAGTCCCACTGGCGCCGCTTTATTTTGCATGCCTTCTAAAGTGTGTGGGCTTTCTGCAGTTTGTACTGAGCTGCGCTCAAAAATAAAAATGCATCGTGCATTCAAGCCTCAAATTCGTAATTTTCAAAGCTTAAAATTCGAGAGCTGCCTTTTGTCGCTGCAAGCTTACTCAGGCAAAGACGCAGCAGCCCCAGCTTCTGCCCAAAAATGGCTGCCACCGGCCAGGCTGCATGCACACGCACAAAGCAGTGAGAAAATAGAATATGCTCTGATGATGCTGATTTGGGCTATGCTTAAATCAAGAGAGTCAGCGCGACCGTGTTTTATTCGTCTTTAAATTGCCATTGAGGCCTGAAAGCCGGCATAAGCTAGACTATCATCTCGCCAAAGCCTTATTTCTGGAGCCCAGCTGATAAGCCATATGCTGCAGGCGCAAAGAGCACAGTCTGGCCATGCAACAGATCTAGAGAAAGCCCCCAGGCTTCTGCACCCCGCATGCAAGCTGCAAGAAAAGGGAAAAAATATACACTATGAAATTCCATTCACACATTTTTCTAGGACTCTATTATTTGCAGATGCCACTGTCTGCATCCATTATATGCGGGCGTTTTTAGCGATCCACGGAATGCTGCGTGCCACCTGCTTAATCTCTTTGTGGGCTGTTGCGTCGTCGCTGTGTATCACTATGTATCCGTTTTTGCCCACTACCGTGCACACTGTTTTCCCATTCACGACCTCCTGCTGGCTCTGCTGAATGCCCTCCATCTGGTGCTGGTCCGCCTTTAGAAGGACTCCAAACGATATCTTTCTGTACTTTGGGCTTCTGGTGTGCAGCTGCACTTTGTTTCCTACTGTCTGGACCTCAGCTATGACTATGTCCCCCACCCCGTAGTATTCGCTCATTTTTATTTCGTCCAGCTCTCCTTTCCTGCGCTGCACGCTGTCCGCCAGATTGATTGCACTCAGCATGAGAATACACTCTTGTCTGGTGTTTACGTCTATGTACCATCTCTTGTTCGAGATCTCCAGCACCTTCCCTACAACCACATCGCCCACGCACGGAGTGTACCAGTATGCTTCCGCCTCAACGGTTATGAGCCTATCCACCTGTTTTACCTGCCCGTGCACACTTGCCACGAATATTTCGCCGTCCTCTGTTTTCTTCTTGTATATGCCGTGCCCTTCTAAGCACTCGTCTGTGTACTCAAGTTTCTGGCCAGGCCACACTTTCAGCATACGCAGCCAAATATTTTCACATAAATATTAAAGTGGGCACAGCATAGCCCCGCACAGAAAATGCGGCTTGCAGAAATCGAGGCAGGCCCTTCTAAAGCCTTCTATTTTTCGAGTGCTTTTCATGTGCATGCCTGTTTCTCTAGAAAGGCGCAAAGCTAGGAATCTGGGCAGATGCCTCCTGCAAACTCCCAGAACCCAGCATGCAGGCGAGGTGTCTCTGCCGTTGAGAGTGCAGTGCTTCCTTGCCCAGATAGCCCGTCTGCGAAATATGCGGTTGCTCTCAAAAATGTTGGGCATGCATGTCCAACCTATTTGTCGCTTTTGGGCGAATTAATTCTGCCAGAAATTATAAATCACATTTTGTTTTGTAAATTTATATGGAGCTGGACTGGAAGAGAATATGCTTCAGGAGCCGGAAAGAGGCTGTTGAAGGCACGGTTGGAGAAGTCGTTATTTTTAGCAGCACGTCCGATATGCCATCTGGCCTGCAAGATATTGGCGCATCCTTGCCCCACAACAAGAGCAACACCTGGACTATTTACAAGGAGAGGACGTACGTCTTCTGCAAGATAGACGAAGGCAAGATAAAGAGCCCAGTGCAGGTAAGAAGCGCAGCTGCCAAGGCAACAAACATCTTGATCAAGGAGGGTGTTTCCAACATAGTTCTGGAGGGCGAGAGCGAAATGACCCCTTGGATTGCAGAGGGCATTATGGTGGCCTCGTACAAGTACGACATTTTCCACAGTGAAAAGAAGACGCAGGTGGCGCTGGTGTATGCAGGGCAGAGCCAGGAGGTCATAAGCGCCATTGAAATTGCACAGGCCCAAAACTTTGCCAGGTTCTTAGTTGACACGCCCGCAAACAAAATGACGCCAACTCTTTTTGTCGGGTATGCCAAGGAGTACTTGCCTGAGGGCGTGCAGGTGAAGGTATACGACAGAAAGGAGCTGCAGTCTATGAACATGAACCTGCTCCTGGGCGTATCTAATGGGTCTGCCGAGGAGCCTAAACTCCTGGAAATATCCTACAACCTTGGGAGCGAGTGCATTGCCTTGGTTGGAAAGGGAGTAACCTTTGACTCTGGCGGCATCAGCTTGAAGCCTTCTGCTAAGATGGCAGCTATGAAGGGAGACATGGGAGGAGGGGCTTCCGTTGTCAGCACAATTGGCGCACTTGCCCGGCTGAACGCCAAGGTAAGCGTGGTTGGAATCGTTCCCTTGACGGAAAACCTGCCGTCGGGAACAGCCACAAAGCCTGGGGACGTGCACGTGGGCAGCGCTGGAAAAAGTGTGGAGGTTGACAACACGGACGCGGAGGGCAGGCTTATTCTTGCAGATGCCCTGGACCATGCGCTGAAGTTCAACCCTACAAAGATAGTGGATATTGCCACGCTCACAGGAGCTATTACAGTTTCCTTGGGTCCTGTCATGGCAGGAGTGTTCAGTAACTGCGACGAGCTGGCAGAAGAACTTGTAAAGAAGTCCAACGAAGTGGAAGACAAAGTGTGGAGGCTGCCGGTGACAGATGAGTACAAGTCTCTGATTTCTTCGGAAGTTGCCGACCTGAAGAACGTGGGCGGCCCTGCAGGCGGGTCTATCACTGCAGCTCTTTTCCTTCGAGAGTTTGTGCAGAACAAGCCGTGGGCGCACTTGGACATTGCAGGCGTGGCTTTTAACACGCTGACGCCCGAGCTCCACGGAAAGGGCGCAACCGGCCGGCCTGTGAAGCTGCTTACAAAGTGGCTACTGGAAAAACAGTAATAAAACAGTTTGTTTATTCTTTGTGGTCTTTGCGCAATTAATCCTGCATCTCCGTTACATTTTTCTGTTGGCATGGATTTTCTCGTGCTGCAGAAGATTGTCTGAGCGGGAAAAGCTTTTGTTGCACTCTGGAAGCGAGCATTTATACGGCTTTTCTCCCGTATGTATTCTGTAGTGTCTTTTTAAGTGCTCAAAACGCTTGAACGCCTTGAAGCAATTCGTGTGCGTGCACAAAAACGGCCTGTTTTCGTCGTCGTCCTTTCTCTTCACAGCCTTTTGCCGATACAGCTTCTGAGAAAGCGCGCCCTCTTCGCGCCTTGGCATAGACATAGAAAATGGCTGGGTCGAGAAGTTGTCTACATCTATGCTGGACAGCGTATAGGACAGATCGTCTATGTTGTAAGATGCACACATGTCTATTATCTCATTGGCATACACCTCATTGTACTCGTGCTTAGGAGCCTCCGAAAAAAGAGGCTGACTGAAAAGACTGTCTTGATCATTTATGCTTTTCAAAATAATCTCTTCAAGCTGAACGTGTTGTCTATTATCTGAAACGCTTTGTTTTGAGTTCGTTTTGTCCGAGAACGCATGGCTGTCTAATGGAGGCATGGCTTGTCTTCGATTCTGCATAAAGGAGCATTTTATTGTTGTACTGTCCAATAGATCCGCGCTCTCACTGACAAATAGTCCTGGGCATTTCCACCAATAAAGCGCTTCTATATACCAAAACACTTATTTGCTTATTAATGCACGGTCAGTCTGCGCATTTAGATCTTTCTGCCTATCACTTTGCAAGCACTGCCCTTTTCATTTCTGCTTGCTCAGATCGCAAAGCCTGCTGCTGATCCATAGTTTGTATGGTGGACTTAGACTGAATCGCGTGTGCGGGTTGGCCGGAGGGAGAGAGAAAACCACCCGGACTTGCGCTTTCTGGAGCCACCAAACCGGCCTATTGACCGAAAGCATGCACGCACAGCCCGAAGTAGGCAGCCTCGCAAAAACCCATCCAGCAATAGGCACTCCAAGCATTACAAAGCCCCAGCAAACAGCGTCTTCATTTCCTTCTTAAGACACCGGCAGATAGCATTGTCCTCTTCACAAGGTTCTGCAGGATCGTATGTGCGATTGCACCCATTCTAGCCTTGCGATGTTTTAAGATCCTGCGAACTGCCCGACGCCTGCCTGCCCACGGGCATTTGCCTCTCTTCAGCGGTATATATTCTTCTAAATATTTTTCTATATGAATACATATTTGCACTCGCTTGTGCTGAATAACTTTCAGAAATATGCGAACAGCACGTTCATATTCTCGCCGCATGGGAATTTGATAGCTGGCTTGAACGGGTCGGGAAAAAGCACAGTCGCTGCTGCCATTGCGCTCACGCTAGGAGGGACCAGCAAGACCGTGGGGAAGCCTCTGGCCACGCACGAGCTCATAAAGTTTGGGGAGACGAAGGCGGTTTCTGAGCTTGTGATAAAAACCACCCGGCGAGAGGAAATTTCCAAGATAGTGAAGATACATGGGCGCAGCAAGGTCATTGATGTGTCCATAGCACGCACGATCACAGCGGTCGGATCATCGTACAAGATAAACGGAATGCCTGCCTCCCTGAGCCAGGTGAAAGAAGTGGCTTCGGCGCTAGACATACAAATAAACAACTTAGGGCAGTTTCTGCCGCAGGACAAAGTGACCGAGTTCTCCTCGCTAGCTGAAGAAGAGCAGCTGGAGACCACGCTCAAAACATGCAATCCAGAGCTTCTGCAGAAGAAGAAAGACCTGGAGGAGGTCAGCGACAATCTGGCCGAGTGCAAGAAAAAGCTGCAAACAGAAAAAGAGCAGCAAACCAAGCTAAAGGCCAAAATGGAAGTGCTGGAGGAGGAAAGCAAAAAACTGAAAGAGTTTTTGGACCGGAAAGAGCAGATAAGTCTGCTCCAGTGCAAGATCAAGTGGGTGGAGTACCAAATTCTGAAGGACAAGCGAGACCTTGTAGTGGAGAAGCTCAGAAAGCACAAGGAAGAGTATATGGAAAAGCAGCAAAAAATAAGCGCGCTGGAAAGCGAGTACTTGCAAGAGATGGACATTCTGCAGAAGGAAAAAACAGACATCATAAAGGGAATGGAGGTAGAAGAGTTCAACCTTCAGGTGCGCGAGATAGAGAAGATCCAAAGGCACGAAAAGATAGCTTCAGAGAAAATTTCCGTTATCCAAGGGAAGATTGCAAGACTTAACCAGGAGAAAACAGAAATTGCGCAGTGGAAAGTTGTGAAGGAGACGGAAAAGCCGGCTCCAAAAATGACTGCCCACCTGCAGCAGGAGTATGCAGCCTTGGAGGGCGAGTACAGGGAAAACAAGATGGAAGACAGCTCTTGGCAGGTCGAGTCTGCTCTAAAGGCCATGGAAATACAGAAGCTTGAAGTGTCCCTCAAGAAAGAGGAGGAGGGCGAAAACAGGCTGCTGGAGGAGCTCAAAAACCTGCACAAGGACACGTACACGGCCATAAACATAATGAAGCAGAGCGAGAAAAAGTGGGCAGTTGACTTCCCCGCCATCCTAACCATGAAGGTCATCCGGGAGGAGTACAAGGAAGAGCTGAGCAGTCAGCTGAACCTGCACGCGCTTACCTCCTTCGTGTGCCATAGCAGAGAGTCTTTTTTGGAGTTTATCCGCGAGTTTAAGGAGGAGCGAGGCCTGGCTATAAACATTGTCGAGAAGCAAAAACACACAGCCGAAGTGGCACCTGATGCTTTGGCGCCCGCCTCCACGGAAATAGACAGCAAGTATAAGATGGTATATCTGTCTGAGTGCATTGAGGCCCCCCCGGCGGTCAAAGAGTTTTTGAACATTTTTTCAAAGCTGTCTCTCATCCCCGTGACAAAGGCCGCACTTTCGAACGAGCGAGAGTTTTTCAATGCGCACAGGAAGATCACGCGAATTATTTCAAACCGGAAAGTCATTGAGATAAAACGGTCGCCGTACACAAAGGACGAGACTCTTGTGATATACCCGATCGCAAAGGGCGTGGGAATTCTAATGAAGCCAAAGGGCCTAGGAACCCTCGAGGCGCTGGAGGCCTTAAAGCAGGAGCGCGAAAAAAGGGCTGCACACCGGCAGGGCGTTCTAAGAAAGCGGGAGCAGCTGGAAAAAAGGCTTAGAGAGCTGAAGGGCTTAAGAGAGTCTGACGCTGTGGAAAGCGAGAAGCACGAGCGGCTGCAAAGGGCCATGCAGGCATACAAAGAAAGAGCGGAGGAAATTTCAGTGGAAAGCAAGCAGCTAACTGCACAAAAGGAAGAGCTCCAGCAAGAGGTGAAAAGGCTGCAGAAAGAGCGCGCCCTCCCCTGGAAAAAGCTGCCCATTGCGGCCATGCTGAAAGAGCTGGAAAGCATATCCAAGCGATCAAAGGAGCTGAAGGCGCTGCACGAAGAGCTGCAGGGCAAGCAGTGCCTGCTGGACTCTGAGAAGCATCTGCTCAAGACCATGCACGGCTCCATACTGCAGTGCTCCAGCGAGGCAGACAACCTGAAGCACCAGGCTGTCCAGAAGCTGGCGGAGGCAGAAGCAACGTACAGCTTGAAGACAGAGTCCGAAGAAAAAAAAGCAAAGCTCAAGGAAATGCCCTCCTGCGTGCAGACGCTTACCTTCTTGCTCGAGCAGGAAAAGGCAAAGGCTGAGCTGTCAATTGTAGACTATTCTGCGATAGAGGAGTACGAGAAGTGCAAGGCCGAGATGCAGCAGCGAGCCAAGCTCCTAAGAAAAGATGAAAAAGAAGCAGGCACGGCCGAGGCCATAAAAAAACAGAAAGAGGCCGACCTGGTTTTGGAAATAGACGCACTAGTGCAGCAGATAAACGGCCACGCACACTCCCTGTTTTCCAGCGCAGGGATTGGCGCAGACGTTCACGTGCACTATACAGAGTCTCCCCGCATGTGGAAGCTGGTTCTAAAGGTGCAGTTTAGGTCTGAGGGGAGCCTGGAAGTTTTATCTGCTGGAAGACACAGCGGAGGAGAAAAGGCTGTGTCTATTATTTTGTACCTGCTCTCCATGCAAAAGCTCTCAAACTCTCCGTTTTTACTGGTCGACGAAATAAACCAAGGAATGGACGCGGCGCACGAGAGGACTATACACAGCATGCTCGTGGGAAGCAAGGCGGCCAGCACAAAGCAAACCATTGTAATTACACCCAAGCTGATTTCAGGCCTGGACTACTCGGAGAGCACAAAAGTGCATCTGATTATTGAAACTGCTTGAGCACACTTGTATGCACTCCGGCTCTGGGCGAGCTTTTGCGCTGTCTGAGGGAGTTTGGCTTTGGGAGGGCCGGCACAGGCTTTCTAAAATAAAGTGCAGGCGCATGCTCTGAGGATATTAAGGATAAAGGGTTTCCCCTGTACTTCTCAAGACAAAATGCCGTCCTTGCGCAGGGGCATGCTGATCATCTCAGTTATGTCTTGAAGTGTGGGCTGCGCCGAGGAATAAAAAATAAAATGAATAAATGCGCATTTCAGGCCGTGGCTGGCATAAAAGAAAAGTGTTTGGCGCCTGCTTTAGGCCGGAATTTGCGCGTTTCAAGGCTGTGCGCGGGCACATGAGGATTTACGCAGGAAAGATCTAAATGTGCATCTGAGGAAGTGCTGGGGCTGGAGGGGCGTTTCAAAGACAACTGTCAAACCCGGCGATTCCAAAGCGTGTCTAGGCGTCTGTGCACAAAATTCAGCAAATGCACACGCAGCGCAAGTGCCCAATTGGAGTGCACTTTCTTTGCGGGCGTATCCGCAATATATAGGGAGAAGTGCGCACTGCAGCATGCACGGAAATATAGAGGCTGCTCTGAAAAGGTGCGACTTGAAGGAAAGACTTAACGAAATATACGCGCAGGAGAGGCGCAGCAAGCCCACGCGGATAGTGCTGGGAAATACTTCGTGCGACCAGGACTCGTTTCTGGGGGCGCATGTCCTGGGGGTGGTTGAGGGCCGGATTCCTGTTGTGAATATGCCCAGAGAAGTGTTCTCGCATAAGCTGGACTTGTGTTTTATGGTTTCCCTCATGGGGCTGGAGCTGGACGACCTGGTTTTTCTGGAGGAGTCAGAGGACGGCCCTGTGCTTGTTCGGGGGCGGCAGAGCATTTCTATTCGAGAGTCTCCTGTTAGCGCGTTTTTGGTAGACTTTAGCAACCCCGAAAAAGAGCTGCTGGCGTGCAGTGCTTTTTCTGTCGAGCGAATAATTGACCATAGGCAGGTCTTGGAGGGGAGCAGGGTTATTTTGCATGTGCAGGAGATGTGGATAGACTTGCATGCTGGGTCTTGCTGCAGCCTGATATTTCATTACATACAGACCTACTACAGGGACGAGCTGAAGCTGAACCCAGGGCACTTTAAGTTTCTGTTTCTGCTGAGCATGGCTATTCTCACAGACACGTCATTCCTTACAGAGCGCATACACAAACTGGATGTTTTGGCGCTGGACCGAATTCTTGCATTTACGGGCATTTCCATAGAGGAGACTAAGCTGGTTCATGCCGTGGTTTCCCAAAAGCAGCACTGCGAAAGAGCTGCAAGCACCGACATAATTCTCCAAATGTGCCACAAGCGGCACGAGTATCCAGACGGCTCCGGGCGGCTCTTTGGCGTCAGCCTGGTGAAGTACGGGTATGACGAGTGGGTGGCCAGAGACACGCCCAAAGAGTTTCTGAAAAAGATGCAAGAGTTTACCTGCAGAAAGGGCTATGAGTTTCTTATCGTCAACTCCATAGAAAACGAAGTCCGCGAGTTTTTTGTTTTCTCGCCTCCTGCTAAAGACTTTGCCCAGAAGGTCCTGTACGGAGACTCTGAAGAGCGCAAGCGAGAGGTGGGCGGCCATCCAGAGCTGCCTGTGTACAGGACAAGCACGTTCTTTGTCGGGAAAATGGTTATTCCAAAGATTTTGCGGTATTTAAAGAACATGCCCGGGTAGGCCTTCTATGCGAGAAAGCTGGCTTGCAGTTTTTCTTTTCTAGTGGACGCAGAAACACAAATAAAATCGTGTAAATTGCCAAAAATGAGTATACTTTATATTTTTATGTGCGGCTCCAAGAGCCCTCCAAGGACTCTCCAAGGAGCTGCCTCTGCAGGCATGCACTGCTTTGAAGGTGCTGGGCCGCCTGCTGAAGATGCTTTCTTTCGCACTGGGCAGAGGCTTATTACCATTTACTATGGACCCATGCTGCACCCGGCTTTTTGTGGCGCTTCAGCTACTCTATATGCTTTATGCCTGCCAGATGCATTATAATGTCCTTCATATAAATTATTTTTGAAGCTGACGCCTCAGCAGGGACTATAGTTGCAGCATCCACGAAGTATAGCGTGTTTATGTGTGTGTTTATCTCTAGATTTTCCTTTACTATGCGCCCGCCTCCATTCTCTATTAATTTTTCCAATATCTCCTTGTCCTTTGTCACAAGAATAACCACCGACCACCCAGAAAACGCCCTTTTCCCGGACTCTGTCTTTTTTGCTCTCCATATGGAGGCTGCAGATATAAGCCGCCGAATCACCTTCTCGTTTTTCGGGGCGTCCAGCTTAAGGTCTCGAAGGCCTAGCTCGTAGTCGCTCTCTTTTGTGTATATGTTTTGCAGCAGGTCGTCGACTATGCGGTAGTCCATAAGGATGCACCCAGAAGACACAGCGGACAGAAGCTTGAGGGAGACTGTTACTGTTCCAACAATCAGATGCGTGCACTCGCTTGCGTACTCTGGACTGTCAATCACGACAACTCCCTTCATGCCCAAGACACGCATTGCCTTTTCCTTCAGCTTGTCAACCATCCCTGTGAACTGCACTTTCCACCCCGTCTGGTCGCTGGGCATGTACTTTATGCTGGCCTTTCTTCGCGTCTCTTTTTTCTCAATCACAACCTCCGGAAGCGTCTTGAGTCCTGTGGGCATTTCGAATTTCTCCTCATTAAGCCTCTTCATGTAGTATATCGACTGGTTTAGCCACTCTAGAAAGCAGACGTTTATTTTGTACACTTTCAAATAATTTCGCACTCTGTTCTGCATTTGCTTGCTCTTTCTTTCCACGACGCAGTGTGTTATTTTGCTGTTCATTTGCATAGCTATCTCGCCTCCGAGCGCATGCACTTTATTTCGGGTCCGCAGGCCCTCCTCTTTGCACACCATAGGAAAGACCACGGCTTTTTCCAAGGGGCGGGGAGGCAGCTCTGTGCGGTCCACCAAGTACCCGTCGGGCGACAGAAGAATCCCCAAGTCGGCGCTGTCCAGAATCCATTGGTACCAAACTAGAGTTCCCTTTTTCATTGCGCCCCCAAAGTGTATCGAGTAGCTCACGTCTGGCCCAGGCCTTTCCACCCGGTTTCCTCCATACTCTATCACTATCCGCCGGACCAGCATATGTGCTGCAGTGTCGCCTTCAAAGTAGAAGGTTTTTCCATTGAATATTTCGTCAGTAAGCGGCTCGTTTACAAAGCTCTCGTACTGCACGCTTCTCCGGAAAAACTCAACCCGGTCGTCAAACACGTTTTCAGCCGAAATCACCGGAATATTGCACTCTTTCGCATACAAAATTTTGTCGCTGACTTGCTCCACGGAGTTTACAACAAGAAAGTCGCAGTGCCTGGTCAGCACAGAGGAGTGGCACGCTCCGCCCAGCCGGTAGTAATTAATAAATAGGTCGTTGGTGATCCCAGATGTGCAAAAAGTGCACCCCTCGTACTTTCTTAGGCGAAACTGCATAATGTTTTTTATGCTCATGGACTTGTACACCCACAGCACGCTAATGACAGGGACTGCCCACTTTTCGGCGAGTATCCTCTTCTCTGTAAACTTGCTTCTATATGCCAGAACATACGAAGTCCCAGAGCCCATGGTGTCGCTCAGCACAAACTGAGTCCCCTCAAAGGCCTTGGAAATGAGGCCTTTTTCCAGCGAAGAGAGCCCAGTGGTTGTAAACTTGACCAGATTCATATAAAAAAATTATACAGCCATTTTTACATGTCTTTAGAGTCTGCAAAAAGAAGAGTGAAACGAAACAAAAGCTCTCTTAACAAGCTGCTCCTAGGCACGTGCATTTCCAATGTTGTTGCAGTTGTTGTATACATACTTCTGCGGAAGTCACTTCTGGCAACGCCCATAATCATCACGGCAGCAGTCGAAGGGTCCTTCCTAGGGCTCTTGTACTATCTGGTGAACCCGACATTCATAAAAACCAGTAAGGGCCTGGAAATAAAAGACTGCGGAGTAGATATGGAGGCTCGGGGGGTCATCCGCATATTCAAAGATATAATATATCTCTCCTGCACAACTAAGCTAGCCAGCATTGTTTTCAAGGAGAAGGCGTTTATTGTTATGCTGATGATCCCTATCAGCGCATATTACGAGATATTCATGCGCAGGGAAGTCCGGCCTAAAATGAGGAACTAGCCTACTCTAAAGTGTGCTCGCTGTTAAGTATCTCCTTTGAGATAATGCTTAATAAATCGCGCCCTCTGCTGTCTATCCATTTGTTTTGTATGCTCTTAAAGTGGTATGGGCCTGTGAGCGGAGAGGAGAGCCATATTTCCCTCTTTGGGGGCTGCCTGTTTATAACGAATACTCCCGCGCCAGGAACCTCCACTGATATCACGTTGTCTTTTATAGAGGCCCCGTCCACAACTGCATCAATTGTGTTGAACACTTTCTTCATTATATCCTTCGAGGCTTTCTCATAGGATGGAGCAAGCATGCGTGTGTTTGCACGAAATTTTTTAGAAATATGCGCCTGCTGCTTCTACAGCGGATGCGCATCAGCGCGAAAACAGTCGCGACTGGGGAATTTAAGGCCCTGGGATTCTATTGTGGGAAGCCTGTGCAGAAATTTTGGCTTGTCTGAGAGCGTGGGAAAATAATGCAGCAAGACAGAGCCAGGACAAATACAAGAAAAGGCTATGCATAGGCTGCGCATTGAAGGGCTTTGCATGAAATTGTGGGCGGTCGGGCATATTTCTACAGGTGTATAGGCCCGAAAGCACACTAGGCCGCAGTGCTTTTCCATAGAAAAGAAGCCCGCACTCAGATGAGCCTATCCCATGAGAAGCCAGCGCAGATTTTATTTGCAGAACGCGCAGAAAGAAGATGCGTGCACGAGCTGCATGTGAAGTGTGCGCAAACTGCACGGGTCTTTTAAATTTTCATACAAAATCCATCAAGCGAGCCCGGGGAAAAGGCTGCAGATGCGCAATTTGAATATTCTTGCGAACAAAAATATTTTTATGGGAAACATAATAACTCTGCAAGTGGGGCAGTGCGGTAACCAGATAGGAAGCGAGTTCTGGGAAAAGGTATGCACGGAGCATGGAATATCCGACACCGGAGAAGTGATGTGCGATAGAGGAAACGACAGAAAGGACACTTTTTTCTACGAGTCGTATGATGGCAGGCATTTTCCTCGGGGGATTCTTATTGATTTAGAACCCAGGGTTGTCTCCTCCATCACGCAAGAAAAGCCGCACCTATTTAGTCCGGAAAACATCTGGGTAGGCGCCGAGAGCAGAGGAGCTGGAAATGTCTGGTCAAGCGGGTACCAGCAGGGAAAGGAAAACCAAGAGTTTCTTCTGGAAATGATCCACAAAGAAGCAGAAAGCAGCGACCTTCTGGACGGGTTTATTCTGTTCCACTCGGTGGGGGGTGGGACTGGCTCCGGGCTGGGGTCGTATCTTCTTGAAGAAATACGGGACAGGCTTCCGAAGAAGGCGGTGCAGACAGTCTCCATATTCCCAAACAACTCCGAGATGAGCGAGTCTGTGGTCCAGCCGTACAACACAATACTCACTCTGAGAAGACTGATGCAGCAGGCAGATGGAGTTATAGCAATGGACAATGGGTCGCTGTCGTCTGTGATTGGCGACACCCTGAAAGTAAGCACGCCCACAATGGCGCACACAAACAAGCTTGCGTCTTCTGTGGCTGCTGCGTCTACCTCCACTCTGCGGTTTCCGGGGAGCAGATTCAGCGACATTTCCACGCTTCTCGCGATGGCCTCTCCAATCACAGGATGCCACTTCCTGGCTCCTTCGTACTCGCCGTTTATAGAGAACAGCACGGGCAACATCCGAAAAACAACGTGCTTGGACGTGCAAAGGCGGCTTGTTCTCCCCAAGTCGCGGCTGATAGGATTTGAAGAGAGCGAGACCAACAAAGTCATCTCCTCTATCAATATTATGATGGGCACAGATGCCGGGGAGGTGGAGAAGAGCCTCATGCGACTGCGGCAAAAGGAGGTGATTAACTTTGCTCCGTGGGCGCCTGCAAGCATCCAGATGGCAATTTCAAAGGCGCCGTGCGAAAGCGTCTCTGGGCTGCTTCTTACGAACAGCACAGGCTTCTCGCGCACTCTGCAGAAGATATCGGCACAGTACGACGCGCTGAAGAAGCGAAACGCCTTTTTGGACATGTACAAAAAAGAGGGAAATGAATATATAAACGAGTTTGAGCCCGCCCGAGAGGCCGCGCAGTGGATTATAGACGAGTATAGGAGGGCCGAGCTGTCTAACTATCCGGAGATGAGAGAGGTTTAGAAATAAGGAATAAAGCTACGAAACATCTGTATTTACTTTCTGAACCAGGAAGAGGCAAACGACTTCTGCGCCTTCTTCAGAGCGCTGGACAGCTTAGAGGGCATCTGAATGGACTCCAGCCCTTCAAACGTTCTTGTGTGTATTGAAGCAGCAAGGTCTGCAGAGCTGTCCGTCACAATCAGGGTCTTGTATATAAACGCGTCTATAAGCAGAAACATCTCGTCGTAGTGCTTTTCAACGGACTTCTGCGTCAGAGGCCCGTTTATTGTTTTTATGGCTGCAGTATAGAAAGCATCCAGCGCGTTGGAGAGCGCAATTTCGTTCTCGTTTATAGACGCATACAGCATAATGCATATGTCTCCTACGATCTTGTACAGAACTACCCTGTCCTCAAAGAGAATGATGGAGTCGTCCGCTTCCTTTGCCTTTTCAAACATTCTTTTCTCCATGTCTTCCTCTGCCTTTGATATAGTAAGCGGGCTTCCTATTAACCGGCGCCCATTCTCCCCAATAATAGCAAGTCCTTGAACCACTTCGCTGGTACACATAAATAATAGAAAAATGAAAATGAAAGAGAAAAAACACGCCCTTTCAGATACCAGAAGTAAGCGAGGACAAAAAGCAATAGAGTGCCCCATGCACGCAGTGCCTGCACAACCAGCAGTATAGCTGAAAAGTCCGTCTGCACTGGCCCAGGCCTGCGCTTTGGCAACTTCCTGTGAAAGCCTGCATCAAGACGTTTCAGGGCCTGCTGGCCTGCGCTTTGGCTTCGTATAAGCCCAGCGCATTCGCACCCGTTACGTGCATGGTTGTACTGTGCTTGTGTGGAGAAGGGCCTGTTAATCCACCAAATCATAGATGCTGCTGCCCACTATGTTTTTGCCTGTGTTTTGCCCGCATATGTGCAAGAAACAAACCGGTATTTTGCATAGAATTGACACTTTTTATTCACTTATGCAAAGAGAGGCGAATAACCCTGAAAAAAACTAAGAAAAAGTGAGAGCAGGCAGCATGCATCCTGGCATTCTGGATAAACACCACCCGCACCATATAATGGGTTGCTAAAACTCAAAGCCCCAGCTGCCTACTTTGTGCTGGGATGGGGAGCTACACTGCCAAATCAGTAAGCTCAGTAGAGGCATATGCTAGGCGGCCTTGGCTAATATAAGCGCGGTCTGCCATTCCTTCTTCATGGAGGCTGTCCGTGTGAATTTGGAAATTTCAAGTGCAGAGTTCAGAAATGCCTTTTTCCTGCATATTTGCACTTAAAATTTGGGCAGCGGCTCCACATCAAATAGATATCCTTAAAGTCCTCTATTTAAGCCATATTTTAAAAAAATGTGTTTTATTCTGAAAGAATAGTTACTTGTAGTTGATTATTGTTTGTGTCTGTTCAACAGAATCATAAATGATTATAAATTAAACACATAAGTATTTAAACAGGTAGAAAAATAAAAGATAGTATTTCACATGAATATTTCCAGTAATCCAACTGAGCGCATGCAAGATGCATCTGAAATCACAGAGATGGTTCCGAATAACCTAGAAAATGCGCTCTCTGAAAACCACACGCACATTGATGTAGAGCCAACAAAGGCAAGCGCGTTTTATTTGTTCAAAACTACCATAATAACAGCAGGCGACCTCATAGAAAACTGCGGGTTTCTTTTTCTGTATATGGCCCTGGCGGATGGGTGCGTATACAGCTTTTTGGTGGGGCTGACAACACAGCTTGCAATTAATCTGCTAACAACAATCTGTATATACAGGAGCGGCAGCGCAAGCCAGCCCAGAACAGATACGAACGAAACCGAGCAAACAGTAGAATCCGGGGCTCAGGAGAATGAACACATGCCAAAGGAAGAGAGCGAGTTATACACATACAGAGGTGTATTGTCAAATTTGCCGATATCCATGAAACGCCTGTTCGCTGCCATAACCATTATAAAAAGCCTGCTTACTGCCGGTATTCTGGCATCGATTCTAGGCGCGCGAATATTCAGAATTTTAAGAATGGACACAGAACAAAGAACTATGCCCGTAGACGAGGATCCGTCTATTCTTTTCTGGCCTATTCAAATAGGCCTTGCATGTGTCTCAATTATTTTTCTCACAAAAAAGACTCTGCTCAGACAATGCAGTCTCATAATATACACTGCGGTTTTCCTAGGGTTTTTCGTTTTTATGATTGCATACTTTGTCTATATGTGCCATATAGACATTCAAGAGGTTTTCTACGGCATCAAGAGTGTACTGATCAACGATACAAATGGCATCTCATTGAGGAGGATTGCTAGAGGGTTTTCGATGACTATCTTCAGTCTTCCGTTTTTTCACGGCACAGCCAATTTTGCGATAAGCTCCGAAAGTAAGCTGGAATGCAAAAAGATAAGAGTAATGCAGATAACCACGTTAATAGTGATGACTGTTATGTACTGTTTTATTGGGATTATCGGGGCTGCTTTGCAAAATCCCTGCGAACTTATGCAGATAGAAGGAGACATGATGTTTGGCATGGTAGAAATGGTACATAATGTGCTGGAGCAAGTCAAAAACCATCCGACTACTTTGAGCCTGCTGATTATTCGGGCCATGGTAGACTTCGTTGACGCAGGGGTGGCGCTCATTTTGGTAGGTGCAATAATACGGAACATGACTGTAGTGCACACAAGCATATACCAGCCGTGCAAGCGCACACTATATGAGATTGGTGCGCGCTTTTTAGGCTCAATTGTGAAAGGGAAGCACATAGCGTTATTAGTAAGAATTTTGGTGAGTTTATTCGTATGGATAATGTCGACAATACTGGGATATATTCTGATGAAAAACAGCATGCAATATGTGCTTGAGGTGTGTGGGTTTACAATTTGGACGATGCTTTGTGTCGTGTTTCCCTTTGTTGCTATTGACTTCAACGCAAATCCCAGGTGCGGGTTGACTTTTCGGGTGGCAAATAGCATGGGCTTGAGTTTTTTGGGCTCATTTGCTGCATTCACTTCTGTTATAATGCTTTTTTCTGCTGTTATGCCAATGCTTTTTCGGGCTATAATTGAAAAGATCTGAGCTTGCGCGTCTTAAAGCCGTGCGCCCACAGACTTTACATCATGTAGGCCATTTTTCCTGCGCCTATGAAGATCCAATTGCTATTTTTGGCCTCCTGGGCGGGTGTATGGGGCTGGCTGGACTTCAAACTCCCAGAGAGCGCATACTCCGCATGCCCTGGGCACAGGTAGAAATAAAAACAAGCTTGATTCAATAGTCTACGCTTTTGTTTATTAGATGCGGCCCTCTTTATGCACAGCGTTGTGTAATTTTCTGTTTAGCTTTTTCTTAGGAATGCGCTATTGCTTGCACAACAAAAAGCGCATCAGATTGTTGTGCACGTTTAGCTCTGGCTTGATGTACTGTATGCTTTTAAAGGCCACCAGCACGCTTGATTTGTAGCAATATGTCTTGTTGATTCTGCAGAATGACTGAAAGTCAGCTGGGGATAGAAGCAAGATGGGGTTGGACTTCGATTTTTCAGAAGAATATATAGATACATGAGCGTGGAGGCTGGATTCGTAATAGAACTGGCAAATTTTCTCTATTGATTGCGCCACTTGATCGGAATTAAATTCTGATTGGGCAGCGACTGTGCTTTCAAAGAAGTAGTGCCTGTAGACGTTTTTGTTTTCGCACATTTTAATGCACCATGTAAATATGTATTCGTTTTCCCCCTGGTTTATCATGTATATGCGCAGGCGCATGCTGTGGCACTGTGCAGTTGGTTTTGCGCAGGACAAATATAAGTTTGCATAGTACTTGCTGACACCGAAGTATGTTAGAAAAGGCGCGCGCGGGCGTTGGTATGCCTCTCTTTTTTTCTTGAACAGCTCCACCTTCGGTATGTAGACGCTTGGAAACACATAGTTCTGGGTGAATTCGGAAAGCTTTCTTGAATAGGGCGGCCTCTTGCCGTGTTGAACAAAGTGGGTCAGAGAAAGCGCGCTCTGCATAAGAGGAGAGAGAAAAAGAGGTATCTGGATTCGTCCCGAAGCAGTTATTCTGGGATTGTACTGTTTTTGGAACACGGAAAAAGTGTACTCCTGGTCTGGGCTGCTGTTTGAAATGTAGTAAAAGACCACGGAATTGTCGCAGCCAAAGAGCTGCTCCTTCATGCTCTTTTGCATGTCATCCTCGTGCAAAAGGCACCACATGTCTGTGGCTTTGCAGTGCTTCATTGGGTATATGTCTTTTATGGGGATGCTGTACAGATTGCTCAGAAACCAGCAGATTCCGCGCGCGCAGTGCATAGGGCATGGAGGAGCTCCAGGCTGTATAAACAGCGGAAAGCACACCATCTTGTACTCCTGCTTGAAGTTATCCACAAAGTGTATATGGGTGTGCAGTTTTGGGGGTTCCGCCTGCCAGCAGTTGTACTGGTCGACGAATTTCATTTTTTTAATGACGAACTCCCCGCATGCGTTCAGCTGCACACTCATAGCAATCTTTTTGTAGAGCTGATTTACGATCACGTTGATTCCTTGAACTTTGTAACCAGGGCTTTCTATTTGGTCGTTTCCCCCGCTTTCTTGTGTGCTGATGCTTGGGCACTTCTCATAAAACATCGCCACTGCCGAGTATGCTTTCTTGTAAATTATTCCAAATGAATTCCCAAATTGCGAGTGGGACTGGACAAAATTATTGTGCCACTCGAACAGTTGACTCTTCCACAATGCACTCATTTTTGAGTCTTTGTTTACCACAGAATAGAGAAACCACAGAATGCGAGTTTTCTCATACAGGTATTTTTGCTCTTTCGGATCCTTCAGTGCCTTAATTTTGAAAATAAACCCGTTCAGCACCTTGGAAAACACATCGCTGGGTATGTTTTCAAAATCGCAGTACACCTCGGGAAGGCTCAGAATAGAAAGAACCCCGAACAAGCCTTTTTGGGGATCTTCATATTTCAAATATGCATCCATGGTTTTTTTCAGTTGCACACGCGGGATCGGCGAGGACAGAAAAACGTCCCCCAACGTTTGCGTGCTGTTTTTTGGCAGAAGGTCGCTTCTGCATGAAGCCACCAAAATCCTGGAGGGGGTTGTCGCTTCTATGTATCTCTGGAGGTCTGCAAAAATGCTGAAGTAGTACCCTATGAGGTTTCTTTTCGGAAACTCAAGCGTGTTGTTAAGCTCACTCAGCAATTGGACGTCTGTGTATACGTTGTTGGAGGGCCCCAGAAACTCGATCAAAAATCTCCAGATGCTGTCGTTCGAAGTGAAGTCCTGCAGAATCTTATACCCCACAGAGTGTGCGCGATTTATATTTTTCTTTGCAGCTTCCAAAGTCGTAATGGAAAGTTTTTTCACGTCCAAGCGCTGCTCCTGGGTCGACATAAACTGGTCGCACAGTGTTTTTTTCCGATACATATTCATGTATGCCTTGCTTTTCTCCGTTAGGTTTTTTTCGTCAAACATCCAGTTTTGGATCAAGTCATCTGTTTCAATAATAAGACAGTATGATTTTTTCTCGGGTTGATACTTAAACGACAGATACGTGTTTTCTCTGCTTTTTTTGCTGCAGGCCCGTGTTATAATCGAGCAAACCTCTTCGCCACTGATCCTATACGCTACATCGGAGGAGGTGCAAGCAGAATCGCCTTGATCCTGCTTCGCTTTCTGGACTTCGGGCGTTTCAATGACCACCGAAGAAACACACATTTTGTCTAGGGCCTCGATGTTGACGCTTTTTTGGCTGGTAGAAGTCTGAGGATTCTGCTCGCCCTCACTGCACGCAGAAGACTTGGAAGAGGAGGATTGAACTTCCCCGCCAAATGAGGTCGAGAGAATCTCAGAAATATTCGGTAGGTCTTCCAGGGGCATGCCGCAGTCTGGCATCGGTGACGGCTGGGTTTCCGGGAAAGGCGTGCCTTGCTTCGTAAAACCAGTGCTATTGAAAACAGGCTCTCTCATTGTAGCTTGCTCCGCCTTTAAATTTTCTTTTGCAGAATCCATGCTTTCTGCATACATGGTATGTATGGCAGAAAAATCAATTATCGGGGTGGGAAGAGAGGTACTTTCACTTTCCATAAAATTTCCAAAATCCAAATTCTCACACACAGAGACTAGCTCGTTGTAATCGCCTTGACTCTGCAGAAGCTCCTCAAACTTTGCGAGCTGATGTGTTGACAGAGACAAGTCGTTAAGCAGCTCCTGTTCTTGCTCCGGGTCTAAAAGTATATCTAAAGAATCTGCGACGTCTTGGCCGGGCAAAGCTTCTGGGGTAGACTGTTTTGACACCTGTAAAAATGACAAGCCTATAAGCACAGACACTTCTAATAATTTTTCTATCTTCATTTTAAAAATCATGTAATTCAGCAAGAAATTTTCTTTATAGCATGTTTTTAGATCTGAACTTGACGAAAAAAACAGTTTTTTCTCGACAAATTAGACTATTCCAGCGCAGGAAAGGCCACAACCTCACCCTTAACCGCCATGTATTTTGCCAGCTCCTCCGACGTCCCCTCTAGGCTTTTGGAGGTGGGCACGCCCGCCTGCCTAAATAGAAGAAGCAGCTCGTTTCTCTCATACTCCTCCAAGTCCGAGCATATTCTAAAGAAGCCGTCCTTCAGAGCATTTAGGTTTCCCTGGTTTGTAGTTATTAGTATAAGCAAGGACAGAACCAGGCCATTGTATGTGTTCGGGTTTTTGGCTCCGCTGTCCGACAGGGAAGCACACGTTTTCACGTACAAGCACTTGGCTGCGTCTTTAATCACGTCAGAGGGGTTTTCCTTGTACTCGTCGTTGGCAAAGTCCTGCACTGCCTTCAGCGTGCTGTCTGAAAGGGACAGCTTTTCCATCCCGTAAATAACGACCTTGATTATGTACAAGAGCATTTTATCGCGCACTGTAACGACCGACGGAAGCTTAACCAGAGCCTTTATAAACTTGTCGGACAAATCGCTGTCTTTTATCATCTGTATAAAGTCAAACACGATCTTTCGCCTTTTTTGGTCTACATTCTTTCCCTCCTTCGCCTTTTTGTAGTACTCTTTCGCCGCATTTTTTTCTTGGTGCCGGTCTGTCCCAAACCGCTTGAAAACAATTTCTTCTGAAACTCTAAACTCTTCCTGTTTTGTCACTGGATTGAACACTTTTTTTTCGTTCATCTCTACATCCACGGTGTCGTATGTGTGTTCACTTCGGCTGTCCACTGTGCTTTCTATCCCGCCAGAAGCAGACAGATCCATTTCCGTAATGAACAGAGACGCCACCGTGTCGCGCACGACATGCTTCACAGCAGCATAGTGGTTTGGGTCGCTGGACTTTTTGCTGCCCTTCTTTGCCTCCCTCTCTGTGTAGAACCCGTCCAGCTCTATGAGCCGCCGCACAAGAAGCACAAGCGCCTCCTTCTCCGCTTTGCTGATGAACGCCCGGATAGTTTTTTTCAGAGTCTCCAGGAAGCTTTTGTGTCGAACATAGCTTGGAAGAGTCTGTAGGTATATAAAGTCGTATATGTGGCCGTTCTCCAGAAAAACGGAGGCAGTCGGAAAAGAGAGCAGATGCACGCACGTGGAGACCGTGTGAAACATCTGGTATGGAGAGGTGTGCTTTAGCACGTCTTTTGTGAAGTCTGTGCTTACAGACGAAATTAGCCCCTCCTTCATTAGGAACCCCAGGGAGTTCCATTTTTCAGAGAGCATTCTGTCGGCCAAGTCCTGGGTTCCGTCGTGCTTATTTGCATCAAAGGACGCGGGCGTGCTGATTTTCCTAAACAGGGCCCCGTGCGGCTCGACCGGAATCTCGCTGGAGCCGGATATTCTCGAGAGATACAGAAGCAGATGCAGCAGCTTTACGTGCGACACCACATACAGAAGAGTGTCATAGGACGGCCTTTTTTTCCACTCCAGCGCGCCCTCAAGTTTTTTGAAGACCTCTTTGTACTTGGCAGCAATAAGCGTGTTGAAGACCAAAAGCTTCTCCTGCGTCACGCTTACATTGTTAAGCCTGCCAGCTGTCTCCGCGCCCTCGCTGGTCTCCTCAGAGGCGTGTTTTTCGCTTTCTTCAGAGCTTTCGCTGGAGCTATCGGAGTCATCTACATTTTCCATTTCCGGGACTATCCGGACCTTTTCTTCCCTTTTCACCTCCTTCTTTTCAACATAGTTTTTTATGGCCGCAGAGTCTTTTTTGTTTTTGCTGGTGCTTCCCTGCACTGTCCTGTTGACAACTGCATTGGCCAAAACATCAAAGGTGTCAACAATTTCAGAAGCGTCATCAATGGACAGAAACTCGCACGAGCTCTCAGTGAATGCGTCGCAGAAGTATCCGATGTACTTTATAATCGTGTCAAACTCGCTGTCAAATGCATCTGTGTGTGCTGTAAAGAGCGCCCACACAGCACGCGCAAAGACAACGCTGTTCTTTTCTACAGTTTTGTCGGCCACGTACTCGTTCAGCCGATTAAACATAGGGGCCATGCACTCCTTGGCCACGCTTTTGTCGTTTATCGTGTACATCACAGAGTAGAGCACGCCTCTGCTTATGTTTCTGGACAGAACGCCAGCACACAGCTCCTTGTAGTAGTTTACAACATGCATCTTTCCAAACAGATCAATGAGCAGGCTTCGGGTGGCGTCCTCCTGCTCTATTTGCGAGAGAATGTCATACGCATGCTCCACAGTCACATCCGGCATTGCACAAGACTCAAAAACCTCCCTAATTATTTTTGAGTATGGGATTGCGTCCAAGTATATCCCGCGCAGAGACCGCACGAACAGCGCCATTTGGACCGCACACGAGTCTGATAAAAACACGGGCCCGCGGGTAAACTTCTTCAGCACGGACAGAATGATGTACGGGCTTTCGGAGTTGTGCAGAACATGCAGGAATATTCTCTGCTGCGATGCAACGTTAAGCTTCTTGGTGATTTTGGCGAGAGACTCGACTTTCTCGGTAAACTCCTTGTTTCGGCTATAGTCTAGAGTTAGCCGTTTGAGGATCTGGTCGGCTCTTGAGAGATTTTTTATGCTGTCCTCCGTCTGCTTCGTCTTTTTAATCTCCTCTAGGTCCAGAAGAACTTTTCCCTGCGATTTCTTCACAAGAGAGGTTCCAAACTGGCTGTCTGTTTTCTTTAGAAGGTCCATGGAGATTGACTTGACTATCCCGGCTTCAGAGTCATTTCGTATGGATATGGCCACGGCCCGCTTCTTTTGCTCTTTGCTCTCGTGCCCGTTCAGGTCCGTGGATGCCCCCTGCCGAATCACTTCGCTTATAAGATGCGAGTCCTCTTTCTTATTAATCGTAAGTTTTTTGTCGATGGAGGCAGTTTTTCCTGGAGAGTCCTCGCTTTCTTCGCTTTCTTCCTGACTGCGCTTGCTCTTGCCAGATTTGCCTTTTTTCTTGCTTGCGTCCTTCTTTCCCGACTTCCCGGATTTCCCCTTTTTTCCGCGCTTCTTCTCCTTTTCGCCGTTTTCGCCACTATCGCCCTCGCCCTCGCTGCCGCTTTCGCTGCTGCCATGGCCTTTGCTTTTTTTGTCGTCAGTGCGCGCACTTTTTTTGGCTTTATCCCTGCCCTTTTCAGAGTGCCTGCGGCTTCCACTGTGCGTGGCGCTGGAATCATCATCGCTCACATCGGTGCTTGAGCCATCCTTGTCGTTTCTGCGCGCGCTCTTGCTTTTTTGCCCCTCTTTTTCCTGGGCCTTTTCCTGGCTCCCGCCGCTCCCAATAGAGGACTCGTCTTCGTCGCTTGCACTGGTCTCACCATCTGTCTCGTTATTACTGCCGCTATCGCTTGCACTCTCAGGGTCGCTCTCACTGTCCCTTTTCCGGGCTTTAGAAGGGGCGCGGGCTTGGGCCTTTCCAGAAGTGCGCTCACTGGGCGTGTCGCTTGCATGATGCAGGCTCTGCCCGTTGCTGCGATCTTTGGATCCGCCAGCTTTTGACGGCTTTCTGGGCTTTTCTTCATTAGCGTGCTTCTCTTCTTTTTTAGGCATTTGCGCCCCCTACCGGATTTGCATTTATACCGAACTTCCTACAGTGTATGGAATCTAGCAAGTAATTATAAAATAATTCATTTTTTATTTGCGAAATGAAACTGAAGCTTTCACTTCGTGGTATAGAGAAGAGTTTGGTAATTAGGCTGCCCAGGCAAATCTTAGAGGAAGCAGCGCCTTCTAAGGTTAGCCTGAATAAAATAATTGAAGATAAAATGCAGTTTTTTCTTAATGCAATATACGCCATATGCATAGACGACATAAAAGAGCAAGAGAAGAGAAGAAAGCTCATACGGCTGTATACCAAGGAGATGAACGAACTAATAAAAATACTAACACTAATACTATCCTCTAAGCACGGAGCAAAGATAGACTATCTTGAGAGGAAGGTGCTGAAGCTGCAAAAGTACAACAAAGAGCAGGAGGAGCTGGCAGATCTCCTGGTGTACAAATGCAACGACTTGAAGCTGGAGGTCCCTTCATCGTACGACATTTCCCGGGCTGTGGACGTGCTGCTCCAAGGAGAGGTGAACTTTCCAGCGGAGGTTCTGCGGCTATCAAAGGCGCTGACGAAGGAAGATGCCCAGCCAACGGAGTTCCAGAGGGTGGACCAGCTTCTCGGCCTGCACATACAGCGGTCTGGGATCTGGAGAAACAAGCATGTTTCGTACACAGTGAACAGAGGCGTTGTGGAGCTGGAGTCGTACGGGTTCAAAAGCACGCTTACCATGGAGAGTGGGCGCTCTCAGGAGTGGCGAATCCTGAGCGTGAAGGACATGGAGGGAGACATGAAAAATGTTTCTATGAAGGGGATTACGCTTAAAAACCCTCTGATGGACTTGGTGAACATGACAAAGTATGCGCACATTGTGCTGCAGATAGAGGAGGTATACAAGCTGTTCAAGAGGAAGATAGAGAGCAAGATATTCGACATGGAGATATCAGGCACCTCCAAGGAGTTTACCGTTGATGTTTTGGGGGCGTACAAGGCACAGTTTGGGATATCCAGCAACTGGGATGGGCCAATTCTTACATGCCACTTAAAGCACGGCGCGACCTCTGTGCTGTTTAAGGAGAATGTCTTGGAGAATCTGTTTGCACATATAGATGCATGCCTGAAAAATGAGTACACCGAGAATGCGTCTATATCGATAGAAAAGGGGGTTTTGTACAAAGAAAAGGTGCTCTTCACGATGAGAGAGCTCCACAAAGAGGCTTCCCAGGATAGAACTGCCAGGCTTATTGCGGCCCCCGGCGTTGTGATGCAGGAGCGGGTAAACATTATGTGCGAGGGCGATGTGATCAACGTGAACGCAGTGATTCGCATGGACGGAAACATGTTTTTGGGGGTCATGTGGAACGCCCAAAAGACGTCGGTGCGGCTGTTCTACGGAGTCTTCCAGATGTGCAGCATCCTAGTAGGAAATGAAATTTCTATTTCGCCGTTTTTTGCAGAGGGCGGAGCGCCCAGCCCAGGCGCAGAGGGGGCGAGAAAGAGCTCGCCAAAAAAAGACACCAGCGAAGAGACAAGTCCTGTTGCTAGCAAAAGGGGGAAAAGTCCGTTTGTTCTCATAGAGACAACCCACACCCCAGAGCAGCTGATCCAGGTGATTCTGCAGAAGCCCATACCCATTCTCACGCTAATATCCTCGTACAGCAGCATAAAAGATATCACCGGGGTGCGGGGCAAATTGCACATTTCCGACGAAATTGAGATGGTGCTGTTCGATTCTGTGCTTATACACCTGGGAGACAGCAAGAATCACAGAATCCACTGCCGGGTTATATCTAGGCAGATCCACTTAGAAGGCGATATGCTTCCGCAAGAGATACAGAAAGTTGTGTGGCTATCTGTTATGTGCATAGGCGCAGCATCAAGCGCACACATATTCCTGCCGGAGTTTCATAGAAAGGTGCAGGTTTCTGGGAAAATGTGCAACATACAGCAGAGCAGCGAAGAGATCGCGCTTTCTAAGGGGCTGATAGAGATCTCCCTTTCCTTCAGAAATGGGCAGATTTTCTGCACTTCTGCACATCCTCTGGTCTCTGTTTGGGCGATGTCTATTATTAACGCAAAAAGCAGACGGGGGCTGTGCTATTTGTTTTTCTGCCAGGACGTGCTTGTGCATCCTGGGCTGGTCAGCACATTGCACATACACAACACGCTGGGGGGCTCGCTCGACAAAACATGCGGCACGTCTATTGTGTATATGCTGAAAGAAAACCTGGAAGTGCGCTGGGAGAAGCCTTCAAAAAAAATAGCCGACGCATTGCAGAGCATACCCAAAATAAAAGAAGACGCCGCGCACGCGGTGATGGCGCTGGAACATCTTCCTGCCTTTCTTAAAATTGTCTCCAAGCTGTTCTCTGAGGAGAGAGTGGCAAAAATGGGAAACGTTGTGAAAATACAAGGCCCGGCTGGCTGCTCAGTGTATAGAATAGAGGCGCGGGGTGATGGTCTTGTTTCTTCGCACGTGGAAGGGGCGCACATTAAAGAAGCCAGAGTAATATTAGAACGGGGGCCAGATCCTTACCGATTGCTTCTAGAACAGAATTTGCATGTTTTTCCAGAATAAGTTATATTTACGCATGCAACATAAATAAAGGCAAGTATAGAGGGAATATGAAGATTTTTGTCCTTATCCTTTCGCTCGCGTGCATATCAGCAGCTTTGACAACAGGCCAGACAAAAGCTGCCTCCAAACAGAAAACCTCTGTGAAGGCGTCTGGAAAGAAGGCCGTAAAAGGAAAGTCCCATGCAAAGACATCCAAGCCCGTAAAGAAGACCAAATCCAAGGGGTTGGCCAAGAAAAAGGCAGCTCAGAAGAAGCCAAAGGCCTCCAAAAAGAGCAACCTCCACCTGGTCAAGGAAGCGTTCTATTTAGACGCAATGGAGGACTCCATTGAGGAGAACACCATGGTCCCTATCAAGGAGGAAGAAGAAAAATCAGAAGACTTGAAGGAGGAAGTTGCAGATGCCAATGAGTCTGGGGACGCAAAAAAGGAGCATGAGGTTTCCGAGGAGCCTGAGACTAAAGAAGTCGAAGACCTCTCAAACAAGGAAGACAAGGAAGACGTTTTTGACGGCATAAGCTGCTTCCAGATCATGACCATGGATTCTTTGGAGCAAATGGAAGACGAGGACGCGAACGGCCTTGTTTTAAAAACTTGCAACGTAAAGAACGGCGTGGAGATTGACCTCGACCTGGAGGAGCTGAAGAGCATCCTGGGAAAGCACGTTATGACGAAGGAGGAGTCTGCTCTTATGTACAAAGTCACAGAAGAGATAGAAAAGAACAATGTTCCATTGGACTCGGTTTTGATGAAAATAGTGCAGACCACGCTTCTGCAGACGGTTATGGAGAACGGGGAGTTTGCGACTACAAAGACTTTTATAGGCGCATACACGTACGTTGTGAAGGAGGAAAACCCTCTGCTGGAGAGCAATGTTATCACGCACATATTCAGAATAATTGAATAAACGTTCTATACTGTACTCTCTAGAAAGCCTTTTGAACATAACGTCACGTGTCTGCTGTCACTAGAAAGCAAACAGTGCATATGGGCAGGTATTTGGCATGTTACAAAAACCGACACGCTTGCTGTGAAGACGTCTGGGCTCAGCTGCCTTTGGGCAGTGCTTAAGCACGGAGTTCTTCCTATTTGAAGATTTGCATGTCAAAATGGTGGTTGTATTTATCATTCTCGGCTCTTGTATATAGAAACAGGGTGCAGGGTTGTTCTGCACGCAAACAGCATGTCAGTTTTTTATGCGTGCTTTTATGTTTGTTTGATCGACATAAATAGAATGAAGCCATGCTTTATCATATGATCGCGCTGTTAAAGTTCAAATGAAAATCAAAGTGATCGGTTTTAAAGGTATAAATACATCAGCCATTGGCCTTTTTATAATGCAAAATATCCAAAGTCATTCTCCATTAAATCCGAACAATATAGAATTGAATAGGCCCAATGCTAGAGAAAACGAATGCGATGAGGAAATACAGTTGCGAGAAATAACAATAGAAGATTCTTTAAGCCAGCCGAACCCAGTACAAGACGCACCGAGCATTGTAAACACCAATCTTTTTAAGTTTGGAGTTTCCGGCGCGGCACTCCTTATTCTTATACTGTCTGCGGCTGCAACGATTTACTACATTGTCTACCACCGTTCTTTCTCTTCAGGAATAGCCGAGACTATCATCGCCAACACAACAGCAGCGCCCACAAACAAGACCGAACAGGCAGCCACTACCATCTTTACTCCGACTTGGAATGGGCTGGACCATAAAGTCAAGCTGAACATTACAAGTAGCAATGGGACCAGTTTCATCGGAAATATTGAAGAGTATGTTGGAGCTAACTGGAAAGTCAAGAACGATTCAAGCGTTGTTCTAAACTGCACGCAAGCAGAGAGTTCATTTGTAAGCTGTAAGGCTTCAAACGACTCGATCCTCTTACTGGACCCCAAAAGCGATGCCACTTCTCTTTTGTTTATGCCTGCAAAATATCCGCAGTCATTGTACAACAGTACAGCGCCAGTATTCACTCCAATGAATATCACAAGCGCCGCGCCAGGCTCTTTGGACAAACCGGCATCTATTCCTAGCATACTAGAAGCGAATACAACATCTGGATTCAATCCAACGCCTGTGCTTAATGCAACGTCTGGGCTTAATGGGACTACTACTGAAATATCGCAGACACCTATGACATTCTCAGATTCTACTTTAGAAAGCAGTTCTACAACAATGTCTACTCCTGCGAAGCCTATCCAAGAAACAATGGTTCCTACGAACAACTCTACACTAATGGAAGACCTATCTTCTGTTATGGACTCTACAGAGATAAAATCGACATTTTCGGATTTCTTCAGCAATATGCCAGAAGATGAAGGGCGCACACAGATTCCACACATTTCCACAAAGGTCTCAGAATCCGTGAAATTCGGGAAGCCAAACATCTCAGAATCTGCAAGATCTGCGCAGAGCCATGGATTGGCAGAAAATTATGGACGTGGTTTAAACAGCAGCAGAAAGCCTAACAGCACATTAGTGAATGGAATCAGCACGGAGACAACAGATACTACTACTGTCTCGGAAGTACAGACCACTACAGAGTTTGAAACCGGCTCAGGGGATGCATTTACGAATTCAGGATAAAGTACCGTTGGTTATGCGCGCCTTAGACGCAATCCAACATCTAGCTTGTTTTATCTAAACAGAAGAACAGCCGTTCGTCTGCTAAGAAATAAATGAAAGCAATGCCCAAAGTCTATACGCCTTTGCTCATGCAGCATCTGCGAATGTACTACGCCAGTTTTTCTTTGCATTGGCGTTTTTATTTTTCTCTCGTGCAGGCTGCTTTCTAGTATCTATAAAATTCTGGATGAAAGTTCCGTTGTTCTGGTTAATGATGCATAGACGCAGAAAAAACAACCCGGTCTTTATTGTTAATACTCGCACAGATTGATGCACGCTGATGCTAGCGGATATAAAACCAGGACTTTGCCCATCCAGCGATGTGCTGTACTGGGGCTCTTCTAGAGTTCAAGCACATTGCAAGCAGAGCCCGAATATGCGGGGCACTGCTGGGCACATAGGCCGACAGGCGTTGTGCTGGCGCTTCTAAGACCAAATCACGCATACTGCCTTGCTACAGTATGCAGCCAACTCCCTGCCTTTTCCCGTCCGTTTTCAGCGCACTGCCTGCAAAGAAAGTGTGTGTTTGGCTTTTGCCTGGATTTTATTTTAAATATGTACACATTTCACAGAATTCTAAACACATAAAAAACCAACACAGACGCGCATGCTTCTTTTTCAAATGTGCATGCGCAGAATTTCGAGGCAGCGCCTAAGGGATGCAGCTTTTGTTTCTGCATAAGGGAACAGCCCAGAAAACAAAAACTCTGGTTTATTCCATGCGCTTGAAAGAACCGCAGGCTTTCAACAAAAACCTTCTATTTGTGTGCTATGAGATTGCAGCCTTCTGTTTTTGCGTGTAGAGCCATCTATAAGGAGGAGCAGATTCTCGATTGCACAGCAAATAAGCAGCATTGGCTTGGTTTTAAAGCCGTTTAGCAGAACCAAGGCCCGCTGCACATCTACAGCTGCTAGGGCCCGGTAAGGGAGAGCGGGTGGAAAGGCTCTGTGCGCCCCCACGGATAAAAGTCTGTGTGCTGTGCATCGATCAGCTAGAGGATTGAGTCATGCGGCTGTGCACGAGACTTTGAACATTAGCAGAGATTGCATGCATTATAGCTGATGCACATGTTTGTTTTTGTGGTCCTATATTAAAGCATGATTTGTAAATATTTAGATGTTTTGCACTTTCATATAGAAAATTATGATGTCCTTTTCTATATAAGAGCAAAATACTTCTGTTAAGGATGCAAAGATCCGAGTTATATGTACAAGGAAACGAAGAGTCAACGGACATCTACACGACTAGGGTTGCAGGAATGGCTGCAAATCCTGCTGCGCGGGCTACATTCTACAGGCAGGACACCATGACTGCGAACTGGTTCAATGGCTATATGCTAGAGAGGTTTCCCGGAAAGGTGGACAAAGTTTTTACGTTGAAGAACATTTTCGTACTCACATGTGCGCTTTTTTGCATGCTGTTTCTGTTCTTCACATACAGCACAATCAGCTTGATATATTACGACAGAACTGAAGGGCTAGATTGCGAGGAGTTTATGGTAAATAACGAGGGGTTGTTTTCCAAGCAAATAGACTATCTGAGAACAGTTCTGAATTTACCCGCAGAGCCAATAGAGTAGCAAATTAATTC